GTATTAGAGATAACTTAGAGGAAAATAACATCTTAAGTATAGTTATATAAGTAATAACAGTAATTAAGTCATTATAAAAAGATTGGCTTATAGAATTATCAAAATAGGTATTAATAATAATAGAAGAGTACTACAAGTATAGTATTAACAGCTCTAATATAAAGATTAAGATAATTATTTAGAGATTAGAAGATTCATGGAAACTTCTAGCTATAGTCAAGAATAACATACAGATTTTACTATAATATAAGAGATTTAAGAACTTATTCAAGTAATTAGAATAACTTGAATTATCTCAGCACGGAAAGCATAATCATATTATTTTTATAAAGAAAGAAAAGTTATTAATATATAAAAAGATTTACTTAATATCTAAAAAAAAATTGCAGATATTACAAGAATATATTAATAATTAACTAATTAAAGATAATATTAGGCCTTCAAAGTCACTAGTAAGATATAAAGTCTTATTTATATTAAAAAAAAACAGCAGTTTACAGCTATATATGGATTATCAGCCATTAAATATTATTATAATCAAGGATTAACACCTGTTATCTTTGATTTTGGAAATCTAAGATAAAATATAAGAAATAAAGTAGTTTATTAAACTCAATATCACGGATGTATATTATCATATATATATTATAAAAGATAAAGAATGGAAAACTATATTTAGAATAAAGTATAGATACTTTAAGTACTTGATTATACTATTTAGGCTTACTAACGCACCAGCATTATTTTAGTAATATATTAATAAAATTCTTAGAAAATATCTTGACAGGTTTATGATTACTTATCTAGATAATATATTGATCTTCTTGAAAACTAAGAAAGAATATATAAAATATATAAGACTAGTTCTATATAAACTATATCTATATTAATTATAATATAAACTAAAAAAGTATAAATTCTATATACAGAAAACAGAGTTTCTAGAATACTGGATATCTACAGAGAGAATCTATATTAAATAAGCTAAAGTATAAGCCATACAGGATTAATCTTAACCTAGAAATCTGAAAGAACTATAGCAGTTTATTAGATTAATTAACTATTATTAATAATTTGTGGACGGATACACTATCTATATAACACCATTCTTCAAGCTTATAAAGAAATTAAAAAAATATCTATAAAAAGAACCACAGCAGAGCATGTTTAAAAATATTAAACAGTAACTTACTATATTATTAGTACTAGTATAGCACAATCTAGAGAAAGAAACAACTATTAAAATCAACATATCAGACTACACTGTTGGTATGCGTATAACACAACCCGGAGAAGACAGAAAGCCAAGACTGATTATATTTTATTTAAGAAAGTTAGTTTAAGTAAAACTCAACTATGACATTCATAATAAGAAATTACTAGTTATAGTAGTAGCGTTCAAGCAGTGGAAGGTCTATCTTAAAAGAGTAAAGTATACTATTATTATAAAGATAGACTATAAGAACTTAATCTACTTCACAATAATCAAAGAGTTGACCAGAAGATAAGCATGATAGGCTGAGATTCTGTCATAATATAACTTCAGAATTATATACTATAAGAAAATAGAGAATAGATATACAGATACACTAAGCCACAAGCCAGACTATGAATTAGATAAAAAGATTATTAAACCAGCCATTCTGAAACAAAATACAAATAAGTCAATCAGCTATAATAAGACTAATTTAATAATAATATTAAAAATAGATAATAATCTAATCAAGCAATTAGCTGAAGATATAAAAAATAATAAAATACTTTAAAAAATAAGCAAGGACTTACCAGACAAGATTATTATTAATAAAGATAGATTAGCACACTTTCACGGATTAATCTTTATATTAATTATAATAAGAACAGAGATTGTGACTAGACACTATAATAGACCGCTTAAGAGTTATCTAAAAGTTAAAAAGATAACTAAACTAATTATAAGGAATTACTATATTCCAAATCTCAGATAGAAAATATATAATTATATTAAATAATACAAGACTTATATCAGAAATAAGCTTATAAGATATTAATTCTATAGATAAATATAAGTACAGAAGGCGCTATAACAGTTATAGAAATAGATAATAATTGATTTTATTAATTTACTACCAAAATTAGAAGGGTTTAACACTATTACGGTCATTACTAATTATCTTATTAAATATATTTATCTTATATTAAACAAGATGATAATAATAGTAATACAGATAATAAAACTGTTTTTAAAAAATATTATTATATACTATAAGATACTAAAGTACATTATATCAGATCAAGACAAATTATTTATCTTAAAATTCTAAAGATTACTTGCAGATCTTATAAAAATAAAAGAATAAATAATAATAGCTTACCACCCGCAGACGAATAAGCAAATAGAAAGGATTAATTAAGTAATTAAATAATATCTAAAACACTATATAAACTACTAGTAGGATGATTAGATAAACCTGTTACTGATAGTATAATTCTTATATAATAATACCAGTTACTTAATTATTAGAGTCTTACTGTTTTATATTAATTACAGATATTATTTGAGATTTCTAAAAATATTATTAAAGAAGCAGTAAGTTACTGATATAGTCAAGAATATTATTATATTTATAGAAAACATATATCTATAATTATTCTGAGATATTAAGTTTATAAACTTGTATAGCAAGATATATTATAATCATAAATATAGAAAAGAACCTGATTTTAAAAGAGGGGAAAAGATATTCTTACTCTATAAAAATATTAAAATAAAATAACTAAATCAGAAGCTTAACCATCACAAGCTAGGACTATTTATTATTAAAGATAAGAAGAGACTGGTTAACTATAAGTTAAGATTGCTAAAATCAATAAACAGAATTTACCCAGTATTTTATATCTCATTATTGGAACCCGTACCAAAGAACACTAGAATTGTAGAAAATATGGAGATTAATAATAATACAGAATAAGAATATAAAGTTAAAAAGATCCTAGATTACAAGAAGATTAGCAGCAGACCAAAGTATCTGGTAAAATAGGTAGAATATAATATCTCAGAAAACACATGGAAACCTATCAAGAATTTAACAGACTGTTACCAGCTTGTGGAGCAGTACTACTAACAGACAGGTCGAAGTTTGCCCAGAAAGAAGAGGAACCAACTAACTGAGTCAGACTAGGAGTATCTGACACAGCGGCAAGTTGAGCAGTATTGTATTTATTAATCAGATACTCTAGCTCTTAGAGATCCTCGGTGCTTGGAGGATCCTTATCATTCAGTTATTCCAACACATTTGAGTCATGATCTAATATCTAACCACCATAATCTTTCAGAAATCTGTAATGTTTTCACAACTGCTTCATTTTCATAAATAATAGCTCAATCTACTCTTCAGTCTCTTCAATCTCCTAAGCTATCTTTTCTTTATCATGTTAAAGCTTATCCTACTCAGAATCACTGTGAAATCATTTTTCACACTTTCAGCCACAACGAGTGCAGGCCGCACAATTTCGGTTTTTGGAATCCATGAAACAAGAAAAACTGTAGGAATCGCACCAAGTACAAGGAAAGTCAACCTGGATACCGTTACAAACAATCCGGTCAGTCTGCTGACAGTACTCCTTGTAATGATTACGCAGAGGCATGATGATCCATCTTAAAGGAAAAAAGAGACTAAAAAGACTCAAGCCGACCTGGACGAGGAACACGCACCTTTATGTTCTTGAGGACAAGAACCTCAAAGGAGGGGAGATGGTATTACAGACCCCTGCTAGCTAAACAACTAGTAAGACAGGTATGTCAGGCAGAAGGCCACATCTGGACGGAAGGGGACTCTTATCAAGGAAGATCCTAACCTGAACCATCAGGCAACACGGATCACGTGACCATGGTATATAGATAAGCATGTGATATATAACATATTATCATGGTCTATAATTACCAAGTGGGTATACGATAGACCTGATAGTATACAGAATGGTATACGGGGAACAGATATATAAGGACACTCCTTCACGTACTTAGCTAGTTCTGTTCTTCGTGCTCAATTAACATTGTCTTTAAGTAACCTACATTTTGGTAGAGCTTAGCGACAATACTTGTCCGCACTTACTTACGGATAGCTGCGCGGCACTATCTGGCCTTACTTCTCTTCTCTTGTTCAGATCAAGTCACCTTTAGATAGTCAACAGCCTGACTACCTTTGATTCAGTTCACAAGGTACGTATCGGAACGGGAGCTAAGCTAACAGGAACAGGGAGAAGCGATCCTAGGGTTTGACAATAAGTCAGGTCAATGATTATCTAAAGAGAACTGGTCCTGAACAGAAGAAGAGAAGTAAGGCCAGATAGTGCCGCGCAGCTATCCATAAGTAAGTATAGATAAGTATTATTATTAAGCTTTATTAAATATATGGTTACTTAAAGACAGTATTATTGAGTATGAAGAACAGAACTAACTAACTATATGAAAGAGTATCCTTATATCCTATTCTTTATATACTATTTTATATACCATTCAGGATAGATTAAAGATCAATCTAATCATGTTTCGGGGTTCCATATACCATATCATATACCCTTAATAGTAGATCTGATGATAGATGGTCACATAACACAGTGCTACCTCGGACGTTACTCCAACCGGGATGTTACTCAATAAGAGTTGCTGATTGCCCGAGTCTTGCCTGGTCATTACTTTCTGCCTGACGGGTCCGCTTCGCTAGTAACCTGGCTAGCAGGGGTCTGTAACAATAATTTAAAATTTTACAGAAATGTTTTAAATTATACTTGATAATAAATATAGCAGTGCTTTATAATAAAGAGCTAGATTTATAATCTGTTAAAATATAAAGCTGAAGAAACTAAGTAATATTAATATAACTAGCTAGGAGGCTTCTGTATACGCGGGATGAAAAGGACAATAACACAGTGGCCAACGTGATGTGGCACGTGACGTGCTTGCCTACTGACCAACCGGCTGTCCGGACAGGATCTAATCAGACTTCCTACTCGTTCTGCTGGCAGTAAACACAAAAAATCATTATTGCCCGATGGCCGCTAATGCCCGCCGTACTGATCAATGGCCTCAGCTTACGCGACACCGTGCAACGCCCGTTCGATTATTTCGCCATCGCCTTCAGACCGACCGTGAGTACCCCGAACCCTGTCTAGCGGAAAAGCGTCTGACTTACTGATAGGATACTCCAAATATCTACGAACGCGTTTTATTTTGCAATTATCCGACAAGGGATCGGACGATACTGCCCGCGAGTGACAGGATCGAGTTCAAGCAGGCACCTGGCGCGGAGGACTTGGAGCTGCCCAGCGCGACACTGCTGGACTGTCATTACCGCCTTGCTGAGATCTTCAATGCGTCTGACATCGACGAGACGATTCACCAGCACTTGCGCCGCTTGGAGAACCTAAAGGACACCGCGGGAGACGAGTTGCGTGCGGACGGGGGGACCGACATTGGGGAAATCTTCAAGGTGGCTCTCTGGGAGAGGATACCGTAGGGTGGCTGTTTTGTGTTGGTTCTACATATCCCTGAGTGTGATCGCCATGCCTTCTCCGGTAGTCCCGATGAGGAACTTGTATTTATTCATATATTCTTATTTCTGCCCGCCGTGTCTGACCCTGGAACCAAAGGATCTTCATATTCCGTTCCTCCCCCCTACCAACCAAACTCCACCAGAGTCCCTTCATCATCAATTACCTTCCCAAACAACTTTCCCAAGTCACCCTCGATAGCCGCACGAACAATCGGCCTCGCTCCCTCTCCAGCCGACTTGACTCCCTGCCCACCCCCAAACAGTACCAGATCCTAAATCACAGCTACCGTAGCGTCTTAGTTACTTGATAACTCCTTTCCATCCCAGTAAGCAAAGTCAGTATCTAATCAGGCTATACAATCTTACACGGCGGAAGTACAATACTCACATGAATGTTCGGTACTGTATACGACCTGTGCTAACTAATACCTGAACCTTATCTAAAACAGTCCCTGAGGTAGACCGAAGTAGGTTAGCTGCCGAAACGATGGTCATACGTGCAATACAACGCAGTGGTTGCTCTCGACGTCTGCTATCCTACCCAACGCGACGTGGTAGTTCTTCTGACACACTCCTGGCGGCTAGAGAGCCTAAAACCTCTGTTAGAATCAGGCTGAGCTACAGTCCGGTATGTTTCACACATCTACTGGCTCTCAGGTGGTGTAGGGCACACGAGGCTGACTCGGTGGTCGAGGAGACATTGCCGCCGAGGCACGCTGAAACGATTAGCTGGCTCGAGCAACGCATGATCAGGCGGCAAGTTATATTTAGATCACACAAGCCTTGCAAGATGATAGGCTAGAGTGGAATCTTGATAAGGCTGGATTAGATATTGAAACAGTTGGCGCTGGGCTAACAGACGCCCTCCGAATGCTTTTGCGGCGCAGTCAACATGCAGCATTACCCCACCATCACATGATCCCCTCGCGCCGTCCAAAGCTCCCATACTTTGATTATTTTCACCTCTCCGGCATTTCCAGCAACTCTTATACATAAGGCTGGAACCCCAGACACTTGTCTTCGTGATAAATATTTCGTACAGGGCGAGCACTGCCATGACTGACGCCGCGGATAACCCCAGCACTACTCCTACCAGGAGCACAAAAGCAGTCTCATCTTCTGCAGACAAAGATCATCCTCTTCCTTCAGTCGAATTTACCCTTTCCTGCAACCCTTCATCCTCCGATTGTATGACCCCGAACTCGTCCGCCGATGGTTCCAAAGGCAGCCGATCCTCTACCACGCCAACCACGTTCATCTTTGGAAATCTCCACTTGAGCGAAAATATTAGTTCCCCAACCCAAGCGCCACTGATTAATCAACCAAATATCATGCAGAACGGTCGTACAACTTACCGGGATCTACACAATGTCACGCCCAGTCCTGCAGGTCCCGCTTCCATGCGGCCGAGCCAACAACGGCCACATACCCCGTCCTCTCCTTTGGGAACTGTCCACTATCAGTTCAAGAACCTGAATCTGGAAGATGGAGGGGGTGATGTTTCCGACTCCAACAGGAGCTCTATTGATGTACCAGAAGACGACGAGGCCACCTTCAATATTCGTCAAGAGGCACTTCCCCCGGCGCCCATCTATGACATTCGCCTTCAGAATGTGCTACGACAGGTCAGAGGCGAGCTGACGAGTCTTACACAAGTCATGAGTAGGAATGTCCTGGTCCAGGTCCCTGATAGTGCCTTGTCTAAATTGTATGCCCAAACCCTTGAGGCGAGTAAATTCGCGTACCCGGCCACACGGACGGTAGGATTCATCGGTGATTCGGGTGTGGGTAAGATGCTGAATGTGCTGCTGCGCCGTATATGATGCTGACTCAGGCAGGGAAGAGTAGTTTGATCAACTCGCTTCTAGATCAAGAGGGCTTGGCCCGGTCGGTGAGTTCGATTCAATCATCGTGATAGACTAACTAGATACTAAATCCTGGTCGCCCTAATAGAGCGGAGACGGCGCCGCCTGCACCACCGTCGTTACTGAATTCCGGAGTGTAAACGATACATTTCCAGAGAATTATACCGTTGTTGCGAGCTTCATGGACTACGACGAAATTCGGGAGCTCCTTGAGGAGCTGTTATCCAGCGTTCGGAAATACTACACGGAAGCGTTTCGTGAAGTCAGAACGTCGGAAGAACAGGAGGCCATCAAGGTCGCAGCTCAAAGAGCCTGGGACACCTTGAAATCCCTCTTTCCCCATCAGAGGGACTTTGACCTCGAATTCCTTCTCAAAGAAGGAGACAATGCAGTGGACTCAATTATGACCACCTTGCTGCAGTGGGCCATGGCGGGCTTAGACCATCGACCAGGAGGACGTGATAACCTACAGCATACGATTGTGGCTCATCATGCAGATCAATGCATGGAGCATCTTGATAGGCTCATGGCCAATCCGGAAGATGATAAGCCAGCGTTTTGGCCCTTTGTGAAATTGATCAGGTACAGGCGAAGTGATGGACTAGTAAGTTCAGTGGCTTATATCATCTAGGGTCTATCTGCGATCGCCAGTTCTACGTACAGGCCTAGTCTTGGCCGACCTACCAGGTATCTACCGGATTACACCAGTGCCATTAGACCAGCTAACAACACTGCTTAGGGTTTCGTGACTTAAACTATGCCCGAGTGCGAGCGACAGAAAGGTACCTTCGTCACAGCTGCGACGAGGTGTTTATTGTGAGTACTATTATGCGTTGTACAACCGATCAGTCCATAGGAGATATTATCCGCCGATGTGCACGAGACCAACCTATTCGGATTGTGTGCACTCGCTCCGAAGTAAGTGTCTATACTTTCCAGATGCACAAGTAGTGACCATTGCAGGATGTGAATTCCCAAGAGACTGCACGTACTGCTCCGGCAGCAGATGCCGCACGTATCAAGGATATGGACAACAAGATCCGGGGACTCGAGCGCATGATTGCGCAGACACGGTCGCGCAGACGACAATCGCGTGGAGGCAAGATGCAGAGTCTCGCTGCAGAGGAAATCGACCTCAGGTAGGTGACTCCAGCACGTGTTAGACTTTATCTCATTTGCCACAGAGATCAAAAAGACGCCTTGGAGCTCCAGTAAGAACCCCACCTTATCCTAATTGAATAGATGGTCTAATACAGCCCAGGTTGAAGAGTTTTCTCGTCACTCGGCGAAATACATCCGTAACCAAGTCTCTGTTGGATGCCTGGGGAGACCGAGCTCGGATATTCTGCGTGAGCAATAAACTCTACTCTGATTACCGAGAAAACGATCCACAGGTCCATGATTATCTGTCACTCAGTGGTGTTCGGGAACTTAGGCAATATTGCCAATCAGTCCCGGCAGATGCGCAATTCCGAGCCACCGTGGCTTATCTCCAGAATGAATTACCCGCGCTGTTAGGGTCTATCTCGCAATGGGGATTAGCCGGGTCTAGCACCATGACTGTGGCCCGAGCAGAGGTCTTGCGGGATGTTTTGGCCAAAGCTGAAGGCACTCTCAAAAGGGTACGATATTGTCTGAGTATATGAAGAATTCTATTGCCTTTGATCTATGTCTGCTGTTGTATTCAGTATAGAGACAACGATGCTGATTCATTTAGAGTACAATTCTCGATGGCTCTCAGGTACACTCGTTACAGAGGAGCGTCAAAAAGCAATTCTCCGACGCAATTACACAACATATTCGTGGGTTAATCTGAATTCCAGTCATAGGAAGTAAATAACCCTGGTAAAGGCAGATCTCAACACGACTGGGGAAATCAAGCAGTCGAGGCGAGTTTGGAATGGGCAACCGTAAGTGGCACCGACAGTACAATAAGCATGTCTAAAAGTATCTGCAGTGGCACCACATGACATACGCAGCATTCTGCCGCAACTACGGAACACATCAAACAGCAAAGCAGCCCTATCGCTGCTGGAATAAAGAGATTCTCGGGCCAGGAATTGATCAGCTATCTCTGGCTTGGCGGAGCATGTTGGACTGGCTAGAAGAGCATAGCCAGAACCTTGAAGACGAACTGACCGATGTATTTCAAGGTGTGCGTGGTTCTATACCCGGTAAGTTATTAGAACAGCCAAAACTGGGATGTCATCGACTAAGCTTGTCAGAGCAATGTGACTTGGCACCAGAGGCCTTGCAAAACTTGCTTCTGAACCTCCGAATGCGACAGACATGTATAGTGGATGCCGTGCATGATTCCAAGGAGAGTATAATCAACGTCGCTAAGTATATACCCTGATCCTTGCCACTACAACGAACGACGAACTAACTCGGTGAAGAAAAATAATGGACGACACAATCGGTGGACACGCGAGCTCCTATATCGCTGGAATCATGCGTCCAGTCTACAACCGTTGCATGCAAGAATATGGTACGCTCTCCCTTCGTCCTATCAATCACAAGTTCATGCCAATAGAATGATTGTACAGGAACGGGAAGTGACTCGCGTCGCAAACAAACCATGCACCGCAATCTCAAGTCCCCAGATATATTCATCAACTTCGCTAGGAATATTGCGGCTGATTTCAACACAACCATTGACGAGACGTTCAATCAGCTGGATCAGAAGCTGTATAATGAGATTGCTAACATTACCCGGGATTTGGGCGCTGCGGTCACGGTCGAGGGGGAAGTTTCTGAAGCGGGGCAGCATCCAGCTAATGCGGAGCAGATCAAGCGGGATGTTGAAGCGTGTCAGAGGATTTTGGGGGATGCGAAGAAGGTAGTGTTGGAGTTGCGCGGGGAATAGTATTGGATATATGTGCACATCCTCGCTAGATACAATATTAGACATATTTTTCCCATTTACTCTGGACAGTAATGTGATAGTAGCCTAGCTGATGTGGCTGTAGTGCCTCTCGAGGAAAAGCACCGACTCTAGCATAGACTAGATATGAACATCAAGCTGCGACGGGAAAGTATATGTTGACATACAAGGACTAACTAGCACCTCGCTACGGCTTTCAATCGACTTGGTAAGTCGTGAAATGCTTAGAGTATATATAGAGCTAGGCAATCCTCCAAATCAACCGTTAAGCTGCGTATTGTAGAAAAGAAGTATGCTGACTGGCTGAAATGCTCCGAGGGCAAGCAATCCTTGAATGAATACATCATATAGAACGCCAGAGAGATAATTTTCCTCGTTTATGTTTTATCATCAAGGGATGTAATCAATTTCTCATGTACCTTTCTCATCCTATGCTTTACTCCACTTTATCTCAATGGATAATTCAATCTGGAGTAGTCCTACTTTCCCATCTTCCGTCTTAGCAATCTCCACATGATCATCACTAGCGGATATTATCCCTTAAAAACATACTCAGTTTCATCAACCAAAATCGCAGGGGTAAATTCAACATCCCGCGCCAGAAACTCGGCCAACAACGCGCTCAAACTCCAGGATCAGTCGACCATCAACAATCGGGGAACTGACTCCGTGATCCACCGTGGTGGTTGATACCAGGTCAGGTACTAGATAGACTGTCACCATTTCCTGAGTTCGAACTTGTCTCGGGATATATTCAATTCTCCAGAACGACCGGACCCTCTTAGTAGCCCTGCTTACTTGAATCACCAGAACAATGAGGACTTGTCCCCTTGAGTTGGATATCCACCACGCGGGCATCGATGCCTCGACACGGGCCCGCTTCGAGAACCACAACTGGTGTTTAGGTCGCAAGGTGGGATTAATCCAAGATGCATCTGCTTGCTTCTTGGATGCAGTGGGGCTGGTGTATACTATTACCCCGAGGAGAATATATTCATTGAGATGAATTCCCATGTTTTTGATGAGTTCGGTGCTGATACTGGTATGACTAGTCATCTCGTGCTCGCAGATAGAGAGTTTGATGAGAAGGGTGTGTATGTCTGGGTAATAGGTGAATTTCATTTTGCGGTGGAGTTTATTTCAATGGGATTCGAGAGATTTAAAGATTTATGGAGGGAGAGACATGGTTTTATGGGATTGTAATGGATGTCTTGGTTCTGGTAGAAGGCAGTAGATGCCATTTCACGATATGGAGTACGTAGTGACGTATGGTTGTTATAAGCTTTCTAGGTTATCGTGAGGGACAGAGCGGATGTATATCCCGCTGGGGAGATGATTTGAGGAAGGTGTTGGAGAGGTTGGAGAACCTGTAGTGGAAAGTAGGAAGGAAAGGAGGAAAGGAGACGGGTGATAGTAAAGCAAAGCAAGGTCCGTGAATAGTAGTCCTGGTGACAGACTAGCCAAGTGAAGTCATATTGGGGCTTCACTTGAAGCAGATATATGATGCTAGATCGTTATTCTTTTAGATCCGCATATAAAGACCTTTCTCCAGAAGGCTTGCATCTTCACCGGTCGAGGATTTACATGCCTGAGAAATAGTATATTTGCCTGAGGCCACTTCATAAATTTAAACATCCTTTAAGGGCCATGTCATAATGCTTTTAGTTCCTATGATAGTCCTGTATATTGCATTTAAACGGGACGTATATGAACTCTGCCTGAGGGCCTGTATAAGATCTAATTATATCAAGGTATCTTGGGGCTTACAATAGGTCGAGGGTGTCCTTTTATCATATACAGCGCCTATCCTCAAACACAGTGGATGTAGGATTCAAAAAGCAAGGATTAATGCAACCATGCAAAATCAAGACCAAGACTCCCAATGATAACCGGAATTCAACACATAATTCCGACCGGTTCCATACTCCACACTCGGAGAATAATGTTCCAGACGCTTTTCTCACCCGACTTGCCTATTCCGGTTACCTTGCCCCACCCTTCCAAGTCCCAACCTGTATAGATACTTACCAACATCTGTATCTTATTGTAACTATACTCTACCTAGCTCCAGCGAATAATTCATTCCATTGATCCAGTACAATTCTCTCTTTTTATCTCTGCTTTCTTTTCTTTCCTTCGCAATCTTTAAGAGAAATCCTTCCACATCACCCCCTTCTCTCCTTACCAATCCATCGACTCTCTCCTATAACCATGTCCCAATCACCCAACGCAACCATCCTCGGCACCATCGGCACCGTCTTCTGGTGCATCCAACTCATCCCACAGATATGGTATAATTGGAGAAGAAAGAAAACGGAGGGATTGCCTCCTGCCATGGGGTTCTTATGGGCGGTTTGTATGTCCCCCATCCCTTACCTTAATCTAATCTACATATATGGTAAAACGGATAGGGGAGTGTATGCTAATTGGTAGTTGTAGGCGCTGTGCCTATGGGTGTTTATTTAATCCTTCAGGTATATACATCTTCTTTCTGGTTCGTTGGTTTGGGCTGTATGTTAATGGTGGCATGGGATCGGGATGGGGATAGGATGTGAATCTCCCCATGCAAATCCAACCGCAGATCTTTGGGACTTTTTCGGCGGTGATATGGGCGCAGATTTTGCATTATGAGTAGTGGGTTATCTTTTTCCCCCTCTCCATCTCTTTTTATTTCCTTTTTTTGGTGTCAGGGGGTGGTAGGATGTGTGTATTTTGGGGTACTGATGTGAAATAGTGACTATAGCACACGCAAAGCTACATTAGCTTGTCTTGGGTTGTTGGCTGTGATGGGTGGGATCGAGGTGCTGCTTGTTTTGACTTTGAGGGTGAGTATTATTCCATCCATCCTATCTTGGTTCTTTTTTGGAATGAAGAGGGAAGCTAACGGTGTAGATCCCATATAACAAAGGTATCACCTGGCCTGATATCCTCGTCGGGGCCATTGCGACAGTTCTTCTGGCGGCCGGCATGTTGCCGATTTATTTTGAATTGTGGAAAAGAAACGGTCGGGTGATTGGAATTAGTATGTCTTTCTTGTTTGGAATGGGCATCGGCATGCTGATGGTTAGATTGGGTCTTTTTGTGTATTGATACACTTGGGGGATTGTTTTCGCTGTTTGCACTAGGTATGATGGGATCAAATCGTATGGGCCATGCTGACGGAACAGTGGCGCAAGGGTCGTTTGATATTCTCGGAGGTGTCATGTATCTTGTAGTGTGAGTATACCCTCTGGTGGTTGTTCCTGGCTAATGAATAGTGTGGGACTCGAGATTGGCATCTATACTAGCCATATTATATGGCGGGTTCGGTTTCGCGAGGCAAGAAAAGAAGCCAAGCTCACAGGGAAACCCATCGAGGAGGTGTTGAAGGGATCTTGTCCGGCATAATCACAGTATTAGCATTCGCCGCTCTGGCGACTGTCGCATGAGTTGAATCCACGTGCCGCTACTCTCTGACCAGAACTGCCGCAGAAACGACAACACGTTGCGTCGATCCAACGTGCCGCTAATTTCCATCACCAGTTCGAGTTCGTGGGCCACAATGTCTTGTTTCTGTGGACATCCGCGACACTCGGTGCCTGCAATGAACAGCGGCCACACCAGGTCTTGTGCAAATGCACGCTTGTCCGGGAGAAGGGATAAATGGGTAAGAATCGAGTCTCTCCAGGACTGAAGGGTTGTATCTAGAGAGCCATCGGCCAGTACGTGATAGACATAGATTAGGACAGCATAGTAGAAGATCCACACCAGGTGCTGAAAACTGGTCCGCGCATCGTCTGTCTGCCAGCGGAGCGTGAAACCCAGTTGGAGCATGCGCGCTTTGGCGGCCTCCAGATCCTGTATCATGGTGTCGAGCAATGAAGACTCAACGGCATATTGCTGATTGTGTTTCAGTCGCTCGAGGCGCGTCACTTGGCTAATGATACTGACAAAGTCACTGAAGATGGCATTGTTGTCGTATTCAAGGCCCGTCTCATAGTCGGTCAATGAATCAAATGTTGTAAGTCCCGCAAAAACACTGGCATAGTACTGCTCGTAGACCAAAAAGGCATCCGTCTCTGAGCGATGTGTAAAAGCCTGCTCCTTCCATTGACGGATGACGCGTGCAGCTTCCAGGTGCATTCGCCACTGGGTGGACGCGCCGAGCAGCTCGACATTATAGAGGATCAGCGTGGCAGCCAAGGCACACTGCGCCTCGCTGGAGGAACCCTCTTCCCTCATACGACGGATCAACTGCGCCAGCCAGGTCAACGCCTGGTTCCGCCGGCATTCCGAGACCCTCTGCAAACACTGGCGGCGCGGATGGTCGGGCGGAAATCTCGCCGCGAGGTCTTCCGAAGCCAGGGCCAGCACGGCATGGAGGACGGTCGGAGAGGCCCCCGCCAGCGGAATGATGACCAGTCTCCATGGGTTCGTGGGCCCATCCACCCACGCCAGCTTCGCCGATACGTGCTGATGGTAATGATGCATCAGTTCGGACATGGTCACCGCCTGATCGAGTACAGGCAGCTGCCTTCCCGCCAGTCGGCCTCTACTGGCTACGCCTTGGTTCCATTTGAGAATGAGGCCGTAGCCGGGACAGGAGAATCCACGAGAAATGCATTTGCGACAGGCCGGCACTGCCCGGTCGCAGTTGATGCGACGGGTTCGGCATTTAGGGCAGTCTTTATCTGCAGTGATGCTCGCCCGCGTGGACATGAGAGCAGGTGATGGTGATGCTATGTACAGATTTGCAAGGTTGTGCGAGTGGGTAAGCTGACTAGTCATTAACTACAATTTGTGGGCGTCTTTCTCGGAAGGAATCGGATATCCCTGCTGGGCCCAGCCCTGCAACACCCGATCCCGCATCGCCTGCTGCTCCGGGCCAGTCAGCGGCGGTCCCGACTTTCCGCGCCGCCGGCGGGATTCCTGCGTCTCTTCCAATTGGATTCCCCTGGTGAACTCGTATGTGCGGAACTCGGCATTGTGCCAGCCGGTACCTGTCCAGATGAATACTAAATTTATAGACTGCTTGCAGTGGACTTACCTTCAAATGTGCATCCATCTTCCCAGTCTTCAGTCAAGAAATGTAACAGACCTCCATGTGAGACCACCACGATTTCCTTCTCGGGCCGTGCGTGCAGCCAATGGCGAAGATCTCCACACCGCGCGGTGATCCTTTCTCGCGTGGGTGCAAACCTTCCCGTCTGTAAGTTTATATTAGCCAACAATATCAGCACGATATCTTGATAGGTCACACCTTGTCTCTCCATGCTTCACCAACCAAGCTCAAATCAACCGGCAATCTTTCCCCCTCCATCTCGGCTTTCAAATCACTCACACTGCTCCCAACATCACAAGGAAAACTACTCAGTTCTTGCAAATCCGGCAGAGCAATCAATTTCCGCTCCTGCCCCTCCCACTCACTGCAAAACCCCTCAATCCCGGTATAGATAGCACGACGCAAAGGCGAACTAACCACCAACTCCACCGATGGCATGGCAGCAAAGCTTTGACGAAGCGCCAAGCACTGCCGCTTTCCGTGGTTGGTGAGTAGCGGGTCGGGAATGTTCCAGTACGTGAAGCCGAGGTTATGGTATCCCTATGATGGTTAATTAAGCGGGTGAAGAGGGTAGGGTATCCACACCTCTGCGTGCCGAACGAGATGAATTCTGGGTGTCATGTTTAATGGCTTGAGTTTGAGTTTGACTGGTGTAAAGGTATTGTTGTGAGAATTGCCGGGTCAGGAACACTTGTTGTATATACTGGAGGAATGGGACTAAATGGAAGACCCACAGATAAACTTTATTTTTACATACAGCCTGCTTGTTTGGGTTAGCGTGGTTACTGTCACTTGTGGAAAATAATTCACGGAATACTAGTCAAGGAAGTCTTCAAACTTGTTTCCACTACCGAGTAAGCCCCTAAAGAAAACTCATACCTAAACACTCTTTCTACTGCACGCTGAAATCACGTAACTCTCACATCACTAACTGATCAACTCCCCTTCACTTGTATCTCACCAATATTCACCATCCATCATCACCCATTCCTATATACCCCATCACCAACACCATTCCTGATAATCATCACAACGACCTCCTTCACTTCACTCAGCTCATCAATTTCCCCCTCAAATGCCAGTCATTGGATTTTGTACTTTAAAGTAATTGAGAGTTATGCTCTGTGTAGAGTACTACCATAGACTCAAACAAGTTTCATTCATTGTATATTTTATCCATGAGGGAGAAGAGAGAAGAGTAATCATTAGAGATAAAGCATACATCAATTCCTTCATTATTTCTTATTGTATAACTTGAAGCAATATCACCACCACAATCACCAGCAAAATATCCACTATCATAGTCACCACTATTTTCCCTCTCCAATCACCCTGTGTTGGATATTCCCCCCCTCCATCACAACCCTCCACTCCCTCACCCCACCATGCACCCACACAGAAACCTTTACCGTCTCCTCCGCAAACACCGTCAGATAATTATCCTCCCAGTACACCGGGACCACCTCGTCCCCTGTCACTGCATCCACCAATACAAGACGGATAAAGAACCCTGGTGCTTTCGATCGATTCTCCAACGTAACCTCGATCTTTAACCCCGATTTACTCTTCTCTTGGACTCTCACTGTTGTATCAAGCTCCACGGCCTGGAGATTACTCAATGCAGTGAAATTCGCATACTCCGTAACCGGGGTAGTATACCAATTTGACTTCTCCCAGTCGAGTTTATCCATGTGGTTCGAGACCCAATACACATTGCGGCTAAGGATTGCTCCAGGGGTATCTTGTAGAAGGAGCCTCAGGAATCCCATCTCAGGGATAACTTTATCCTTGACCCGTGCGATCTGCTTCGATGTAATCGGAGCTGTATTGACACGGACCCCCTCAGTCGAGATATGATTCCCCCGGTGGTCCATCAGGTCGATGACGACTACTCGTTCTCTGCGCTGATCCAACGAGTGATTAATGAGATGAATCTCGTGAGTGTCAGGATCATAGGCAACATGTTCGATCCGCGTCCCGATCTTAGTTCCGTAGTATGCTCCCGCCGGATGGAGGTAGTAGTCGAATAATTGCCAGTGGAGGTTTGGCCATGCGCTGTTGAGCATCCAGTAGATGACGCCTGTGGCGGGGCGGGGGGCGCTCTGGCGGATGGAAAAGGATTCGAATTCGGCACGCGTGGCTTCGTAGTCCATTAGTTGGGCTTTGAAGATGTAGTCGGGTAAGGAGGAGGGGGGGCCGTATCGGGCTGTGAGGGCTGCGTTGTAGATTGATCGGGTGTGGAATTGGGAGTCGGATCGGGACATGTGGAAGAGGTTGGCGTTGGGGTGGTTCCACAACGTATTGAGGTCTTGCGGTGAGAGGAACCGTCGCAGACTGCTGAGTTCGGGTGTGCCGACCCCGGCGCCCTGTTCAGAGCCGAATCCGAAGGCGGCACCCCGTTGGCTACCGGACCAGTAGTTTGGGGGCACCCAGTCATAGGGACCGAGCATTTTCATGCCCGAGGGGCCAAGAGTGGACGGGTATCCGCGTTGGGCGGCGGAGGAGACGATGGGGTTGGGCCAGTCCATGCGGTGCAGGGCGGAGGTGTAGATGGAGGTGGCGCGGTCGTTGGGCCAGTAGTCGGAGCCGATGAGGAAGGCGAGGAGGGAGGGATGGGGTTGGAGATGTTGGGCTTCGTGGAGCATGGAGGACTCGGCGGTGTGATAGTCGGTGTCGTTCCATTTGAGGCCGTTGGCGTCGTCGTTGTACTGTGATGTGAGATGGTTGCTGGTAGTCAGAGGGAGAGAACATACCTCCCAGCCTTCCCATTTGTCGCAGCACTCCCATCCTGCCATTATCATTACTCCCATTCGATCGGCTAGATCGTATAGCTCGGGATGCTCCATCTTTCCCTCTAGACGGATTGTGTTGAGACCCATGTCCAGCACGTACTGGAGGATGGTGCGGACACGATCGGCATCGAAGCGGAGAAAGATGTCGGGGGCATAGCCAGCGCCTAGAACTTGAAATGGAGACCCATTGACTGTGAAGGAAATGTCACTGTCGCGACTCAGCGAGGCTGCCACTGAACGAATTCCCAAGGTAGTGCGTGCCCGATCAGCGAGTTGATCATTGATCGTGACGTTGGCTTGGACGACATAGAGAGGCTGCTGGCCCCATGCAGCGGGCCACCAAATACGAGGGTTCTTGACAGAAACGGAGATTGCAATGGTAGTACTCTCCCCCTTTTGCAGTCGGATAGGACAGGAGAATGGGAAGGTCTGAGATCCATCTTCGGATTGGATAACCCCCTGGAGGACCCCAGTCACCAAGCCATTCTCGTGATTAGTAACGTCAGTCTTCACGTCTACAGCAACCTTCTCTGTATCGGAGCCATTATAAGTAGACAGCACACGAAGGGGAGACAACGAAACCGGTCCGGTATGCTTGACCTCCACGTTCCTCCAGACGCCAGTGCCGTTGTCCGGTGGGTATGGATTCCAATCCGCAAAGCCCTGACCAAAGTCCGCCAGGTAGTCCGTTGGATATGCCTGGATGAGAATGGCATTCGAACCGGATCGGATATGAGGGGTAATGTCGTACTGGTGGCCGCCGTAACACCCTTGTTGGAATGAGCTCGAGGCGATCTGTGCGCCGTTGAAGAAAATATCTGCCCGTGACGTAACACCGTGTGTGACGAGGAAAATATGGTCGCCACGGGGCGGGGGCTGCAGGCTCACTTCCTCCCGGTAGATCCAGGGGAATTGGAAGCTCGATAAATCGACGGAGGCGAGGTGATCGCCGTAGAAGAGGTCTGTTTCGTTGTAGACGCCATTCTGGATCAAGCCAGCCATGACCGTCCCTCGCGAGCTGACCCGGTGCCATGATGAGGTGTCAGCGTTGGGCTGTGAAAGCCTGCTGAGACTTTCTGTAGTTCGGAGAGACGACCGAAGATGCCATCCTGGAATAATAGCAGTGTCGCCGGGTGAGGGAACTAGGGCTGCGAGAGCCGAGGCAAATAGCGAAAATGACAGTAGATGCATGTTGAATGGTAGTTGATTGGAAGCGGATTTTGAGAAGTAATGATATCTTTTGGCCGGGAAAAAAAAAGAAAGAAAAGAAAACGCAAGAATAGTCACCGTGACGTCGACGGTACAGAACAAAGATTTTATTCCATCGGGTCACACACTATACAGTAACAACATTCTCACAAGCTTTTCAACTTCCATGTCCCTCCCTGCAATCCGCTAGCCTTTCCCCCGACTAACTGCACACTCACCCCCTGATCTGACACAAGCTGTCCAGCGACACCACTGAGCTCCACCGACCCCGAGGTTCCATTAGGCGCAGTAAATGTTAGATCCTGATATTCACCAGTTGAGGATCTTCTGATGACTGACTCAAAAAGCCCCAACCTAGTCTCGAAGCCCGCCTCTACCTGGGTCAAATTGCCCGGCTGCGGTTTGAACAACCAAGTCACCCCCGCCGGCCCCGTGAGGTGCAAACCAGCCGTATAGATCGTCAAGGCGGACGTCGGCCCCGTCGACCATCCGTGCGCGTGCGACACCCGGGGTGTATTCCGGTACGGTGCGTATACCAATGACCCATCGGTTGAGTAGCCCTCGATGAAACTGGAATTGGTCATGCGCGGGTCATCGAGCATAAATCCCCATTGCAACCGCAGAAGATCCAGCGCTCGGTCTGGTTGACCGGCTAAGTAATGAGCCTGTAGCTCAAACCCACCGATAAAAGGGGATACTGTCGTGCCGGCCTCAGGGGCGGGTGCCCCGTAAGGACCCCAGCGGGCGGCGAGTGCGGATGAGATGACAGCGCTTTGGTTGGCCGAAAGGGTGAGGTTGGCCTTGACGGCCCAGGAGTTGCCATCTTGGGGATGCAAAGTGGTGGTCTCGTTGTCGGTATACAGGCCACTCGACTCATCCCAGAGAAGTGCGTTGGCAGCAGTCTTGATTCCTGCGGCGGTTGTACTCCAGTTTCTGATGCTGGAGTAGTCATTCAGGGTTTGGGCCAGAGTGATGGCATCATTCAGAACGTAGTAGAGAATCGCGTTGGCTTCGATGTTCTGCTCTTGTTAGTTTACACCGCGTGGTGATATCTGGATAAACTTACATGCGCACCCATGCCAAACCTCAGCCAGTCAGCACTGGCTGTGATGTTGGCCAAGCCAGTGTCATCCACACTGCCCAACGCCCACTGGACACCCTTCTTGTACTGTCCCCAGTATCGGGACAGCCACGCACTGTCTCCGGTGTACTCATAGTAGGATGCCGCGCCGATCAGACTGTGGAGGTGGTAGGTAAAACTGACAATATCGGTAAAGGGCTTTCCAGCATAGGGAAGGCGACCGTTAGCTTTCTGCAGCGCATACAACGACTCCAACGCCGTGCGAACACTGTACAGGTCGGCGGTGCTGACAGCCACGCTTTCCAAAGCAATGGACATATCACCAGGCCAGACAAGACGATCCCGCTTGGCCCCATCAACCAAAGTGCTGCTGCCGTTGGTAACGGTATAGTTCGACCACCAAGTGTCCGTCTGGGGAAGTGTAATGTTGTCGGACGAGTCGATAACACCCAACCACACCAAGGCGTCTCCCGCAGTGGGATCAATACTGCAGAGCTGCAGGGTATAAGCACCTGCATACCAGATGCGGTTGATGAGTTCATCATTGCTATGAAAGTATCCCTTGTATGCCCGAAGATCCTGGGTCGGAGCGGCAGTATAGTTGATGTGAATGCTGTTCAGAGAAACAGTGGCCGTGGTGTTGCTGATGACTGTCAGGTAGCGAAATGCGCCACGATTGTATTTTTTGTCCACGGTATAAACCCCAGCACCCTGCCCCACCGGGAACCAAAGTGGCGTGTCAAGACCAGCATCCTGGGTAGCATCACAAGCCTCGTTGCTTATCCACAGGCTAGACTCTGTGAATGCTACCCCGATGAAGGCGGATTGGGAAGATGCAGAGGCGACATCCACGGACACGATGCCAGCGACATTCACGCCAAAGTCATAGGTAACCGAGGATATGCCGTTGAAGGTGGCGTTTCCGCTGGAGCTAGTCAGAGCGGCAGCATTGGTGACAGAGCCGTTCACTTGTCGCACCGAGACGGGAATCAAGTCGCGAGAGCTCGGAGCAAGGATATACTGCTCATAGGGCACGGCCAGAGTAACAATGGCCAGCAAGACTGGCAGCAGGAGCCAGGACGATCGCATCTTGGTGGATGTATCTGGGTGCTCGTTTGTTGTGCATGCAGGCCATCATAGTTATATACGGCTGAACCTCGGCAGATCCATTGCATTGTTTGAGCTGTCGGAGCATTAGCGACCGATGAGGAAGAAGCCAAGGTATTCGGTAGATCATCCGTCCGAGCAATTGACGGGAATCCACTTTGTTCGTCCACTGCCGCTCACGGTTCCCGGGGGTAGAACCGGTGAAGAAACCCCGCATTGACTAACAGAGGGGTGGGCGTGGCATTGCTTAGCGGGGGACTGAATGCGTGTGACTGGATGGATGGATGGAAGATCCAAACAAGGGTGGCGTGAGATGAGAGGGGAAAAGGGGAGAGGGGAGAGGGAGAGGCAAGGGACTGAGGGAGGGGAGTCACAAGTCGGGAAGTGAACCGGATAACCCGGGCGCTGCCTGAATGCGGCCTCGCTGCCTGGCCCGGCTTCCCCACGGGGTTCGGGTTAGCCCGACTGCCGAGAGTCCAGCGGGCAATGGAAAGAGGGATATATAACATCCCCTGGTTGTGGAACAGCCTTTTGAAGAATAAAAAAAAAGGCCACTGATACTCAACGACACTACATGTATATGATTCATGTGTAGCAAGGTGCTGACAAATGCCTGCGATGCTTCCTTTTCCCAACAAGGTAAGTCTAACAATCTAACTACACCAACACCATCAGCCTCATGGTACCATCCAAATATATACTCACTGAAGAGGCGCAGTAACCCCGGTGATGAACCCTTGGAGAAGATGAAAGGGGATTTCCGCCGTAGTCTGAAGAATCGATGCAATGCTATCCTGCATGGGCGGAGGATCCGGGATGAACTGAGGCTGGGCCACATAGTACTGAGTCTGCGGTTGGTACTGGAATTGGCTCCCATCGGGCTGCACCATCACCGCCTCTGCGCCATCTACCATGGTCGAATATTGTTGGGGCATGATGTACGGTTGCCCGAATCCCCGGGGTTGTTCTTCTTCCTCTTGGCCCCAGAAATCCAGCTCCTCGTCGCTCGACAATGAGTCGAGGTCGCCGTCGTCGGACGAGGAGTCTATATCGCCTTCGTTGTTCTCACCAATGCCTCCCTCGAGGATATCTTCTTCGACGAAATCATCGTCGTCTTCAGGAGCCTCGAGGTTCCACATGAGGTTCTCGCGTTTGGGATCGGTCATTTTCATAATGGCCACGGCCGTATCAATGCCGTATCCGTCCTTGAGGGCCTGCCACTTGACCTTGGTCATCGCGTCCGCCTCCCCAGTTTGGTGCGTGTTTTTGGTCCAGTGGGTGATCAGACAATCCATGGCCTTGATTGTCATCGGACTTCCAGGTGGGAGAACGTCTCTACATAGTTTCACAGCCTGTTCAAGTTCTGTCTCCCCTGGACAGCCCCCAGGACAATCATCCTGCAAGCAAATCTCACCTAGAAGAACAGCGGCTTGAAGTGTAAACAGATGGCTGCCGCCGACAGTCTCTTCCAAGCCAGCTTTCGCCACCTGAACCAGGTCTTCGGGGTTTTGGTCGTCTTCGTGGCATTTGAAATCCGCCTGCTGGCAATCCAATAGCAGCTCTGCCAATCGCAACATGGCTTCCCACCGTACCACCGAATCTGAAGGTCCTGGGGTGTTGTCAACCGGGTCGACTGCATCCTCTTGCCCCGAGTCTCGTGGACAGAAATGGTTGTAAGCCTTCTCAATTAACAACGTTGCGTCCTCGAACCGCTTCTGCTGTCGGTATAAGTTGCCCTTCTTGAGTTCCACCCGAAGAATATCCTGTCCAGCCTTCTCGGCGCCGTACTTTTGAAGGTCTTCTAACGCTTGGTTGTAGTACCTTTCGGCCTGCCCCTCGTAGTCGGGGCCTCCCAGAGCTGCACAGGTCTCAGCTAGATCAATCGTTGCCGTTGTGATCGCCTTGTGAAACTTTTTCTTTCTCTTGAAGTCCTCCATGTATCCTTTGTATGCCGTCAGAAACATGGTTTTCGCATCGGTAAATTTGCAGCTCTGGTAGTAGGCCGTCCCAAGATCATACGCTGCCATTGCCGTCACGCGTTTGGCCGTTCCGTATCGCTTCTGATATCCTTGGTATGCTCGGGCATAGTACTCTCGGGCCTTCTCCATCTTTCCCAGAGCAAGATGGAGCCCGCCCAGGGCCTGACACGTCCGCAACGTCCGGGTCGCATAGCCTCCTAGCACCTCTTGGAATCCCTTTAGTGCCGCCTCAAAGCCTTCAATGGACTGAGCAAATTTGTTCTCCGCCTCATCTCGATTGCCGGTCGCCTTCAGGGCATCGCCAGCCATCTGCCGGGTCTTGGCGAGGGTAAATTGGGACTTGAGGTGTGGAAGGCTGGAGCATCCTTCCAGGCGCGAAACAATCCCTGAGACCGTCTGTCTCAGGTCCTCGGCTTTCTCATACAGCTTGGCATCCTCGTGGAGGGACGCATATAATGATAACAGATCCGTTTCATCCAGGTCGCCTTGTTCATCGAAGAATTGCTGCTCCTGAGCCAACTTCAGAGTATACTCGCAAATGCTGATGGCATTGTTCGTGTTTTCTGAGCCGCCAGCCGCATGGAGAGCCCGAGCGATGCTCCAGTGTGCCTCCACGACGAGGCGCCAATCGAGACCCAATTCGGCCTCCTCCGTCTGGTACGTTTCGATGACCGAGAGGGCGAGGTTGACGGCTTCGCCAATATCTTTATCGTCTCGCTCGATGTGGCTTCGGCATAAAGCAAGAGCAATGGTATAGTGCAACTCGTTACATTCCGGCCTCCCGAACGGGGTCACATTTAAAGCCTCGGTGAAATGATCCCGGGCGTGGTCGAACCGATCCTGCTCTAAGTACGCCTTGCCAAGATGGTATCGTGTCAACGCCACGAGGACGTGATGGTCTTTGAAGGCCGCGAAAGAGTCGTGCGTGTTGGAGTTTTGGATGGAGGGTTGGTCATGACTCGTGAGGCCTGACAAGACCTGATTGAGTTGCGTCTCGGCTTGCTTAAATTTGGACTGAAGAGTATAGTTCACTCCTAGCTGTAACCGGATCACGAGAAGAAGAGGGTGATGTTTCTTCAGAATGGAGGTCAGTCTTCTCAAAGCGCGCTGGTAGACCGCCGCAACGGCTTCGTCCCGCTCTTTCTTCGAGGCTGTATCCTGGGTTCTTCGCTCCGGCCATCGTGGTTTGAAGGCCTCAAACACCTCGACCGGCTTCCCAAAGTGGGCCATAGCTCGTCGTAACTGTTTAGTGGCTGTCGCAAAGTCGTAGCGGCTAGCCGCCAACGCGACCATCTCAGAGATGGCATTGAGCTCCAGTTGAAGCCATTGGATGGCCTTCCGTTCGTCCCCCCGTCGATCCTGGCTCGAAGCATCAGAGGGCGCATTTACCTTCTCGCTGGATCTGTCCGCCGTCGCATTCGATGTTGATGGCCCACGCGTTGGTTCTCGGCCTTTTTTCTTCACCTCCACTGCCCGGTAGTTGCCATTTTCCTCGCAAGCCTTCAATATATTCTTGAAGATATTCTCGGCGCTCTGGACGCTCTGACTGTAATTGGCGACCTCGTTGCTCGACAGGCTGTGCTGCAGGGCCATTACAGCCTGCCCCCAGGCAAGTTGGATATCCAGGAATGCGAGGTTATTCTGGTTCTTCTGGTTGGCTATCCTCTGCGCCCACGGCCCTTTCAGAATGAATGTATAGGTTTTAATGGCTCTGTCCAGTAAACTTCTTTCTGCGTAAACATCTCCCAGGAGGGTAAGGCCACGGGCCAGTTTCTCGTCCTTGCGCTTTTGGGCATTCGTGGTGTTTTGATCCAACGGAAACTTGACATCAGCTGGGTCAATCAAGATGTTGTTCTTGATCAGCACTCGGGTAGCACTTCTGTTGTTCACTTCCAAGGCCTGTACAAGGGCCTCGGGGCTCAGGTCTGCAGCAGCATACGAGGCTTGTGCAACCCCGGAATTTGCCAGCCAAACGGACGGGTCTTCAGTATTGCCATTGAGCCACTCGCCAAGTGGTTCCGGGGTCATAGGCGTCTCATTAGGAGTCGGAGGCTCCTCCGGAGCGTCCTTGACTACCATCTCGTCATTTTGGAAGACGGTGTTCTCATCTATCGAGGACAGGTAGTTCCAAACCTCCCCAGCTCGCAAAGATTGGCTTTGCTTATCTTGACCACCCAACTGGATGTTTTGAACGGTCCAAAGGCCGCGCGTATCCTCATTGTGTTTCACAAGAACGGAGCCAACGTACCGGCACTTGATCGTGGGGCCATCTTTCAATATGGCCAATGGGACGACCAGGAGAGCTTTGGCACTGCTGCCTGACAGCGATGGGAGAAGGAGGATGTGCTTATCCCACTCTTCCAAGGCCATCTGGACTCGCAGCGTTGCCGCAAGGTCATCTCCATAAGGCTCAATATTCCCTTCCACAATGTCCGATTCGACCACCTCACGAAAAGACCACAGCCCCCAAACGGCACCCGCGTCATCAATCTCCAGCATGGTTGTCTGGATGGTGTCATCGGTGGACCGGCAATCGCCGTGGGCCTCCACCGGCAAATCGTCGAGGGTTGCGGGACTCCAAGAATAGCCACCGTTATCATACATCGTGGACTTGCCATGAAGAAGACTGGCATAAGGAATCTTGCCCAGATATCGCAGGATGTCTCGGGTCATCTCACTCTCACCTTTGGAGAGGTCAGGGTCAGGAACCCCAGCCAGTAGACTGGCAATGATGGTGCGGTCGCGCACCCACGAGGTGCTGCGAGGCGCGAGAATGGTGACCAGATCCCCAATGTTATCAATCGGCCTTCGAAGTCGTTCGATCATGGAGGTTGCCAACCAGTGTGCTCGGGAGGCCGCACGCGGACTGCGCGCCAGAATATGTTCATCCAGATCCTTGATAACGGGCTTCCCACTCCCCGGGTCCTTGAACAAAACTTTGACGCTTTTTGACATGGCCAACTCAAGTGCGGTCCATCCTCGTGTGAACCAAGTGGAAAGAACCAACGCCAGGCACGGTCCTCCATCCTCGCTCCACGGAAAGTTCAGCAGGAACCGGTCGTGCACGACAGTGTGGCTTGCGTTGGCATAGTTGCCGTGCATGACGCTCAAGGCCTTGCTCCGGGCCTTGGGCTCATATGGAATCGATAGGGTATCCCACCAAATGCCCTTGCACCCCAGCTGAGCTGCAATGTCGGCGAAGAAGTTGAAGAGGCAAGAGTTGACAGACCCGGCGTCCTGCACACCCACCCCGGTTCCATCCGACCAAACATGCGACAGGGCAATGTAAGAGTCGCTACTGGAACACAAACGGCGCGTCTCACACAGCCATGCGGTTCTTTTCCCCAGCTCCAGGTTGGTCAGGAGTAGCTCTACGGGGAACAGGGTTTGGGCGCAATTGACCGGCTCGGTGCACTTGTGCAGCTGGCCGACCTTGGTGCTATCCATCTGAGCCCCCTGGCACTTACTTGGCGTGCATTTCTGATGGCCTGCGTGGGAGAGAGACTCTCCGTGACGGGCAATTGCGGTGACAATATCCGGAAGATCCCCGTGTTTTCGATCGCTAACGTTGACAAGGTTCCACACACGGTTCTTGCAGAGATCCATGTCACCAAGCTCTTTAGCCGCTGCTTGTACCGTTCGAACGGTGTATCGAATGGGAAGGAAATCATGGTCCCACCTGGAAAAATCGGCGGAACCAGTGCCCAGTTGAGATTGAATCCCGGCCATCCAATATATGAGGTTGAACACCTCCGATAGCTCAATGGTGCAAGATTGGTCTCCATCTTCGCCGTCCAAGAACGGCAGGATGTATCGGTTCTTATCCCGGAACCTTTTGAGAATGCTGAAGCAGCCCGTAGCGGATCTCGCCAAATGCGTATGGGCTCGTGATCGGGTTTGATGATCATCCATCGCGGCCTGGCATGACATGGCTACCAGAGCCCATTCTCGAAAGTTGACCCAGTTGCAACATGGGGCCCACTTGGCCATAGCGTCTCTTGTTTCCATGCATTTGGGCGTCCTGCAATGTGCCAGTCTAGAACGGACACACAACTGAGCCAGTTGCGAGAGGAACCCCATTCCCTGTCCCTCGAGGTGTAGTCTCGGGCGAGCCGCCCACATATCAGGGCGCACAATGCCATTCGGACAGTTATCGGGGTCTTGGTCGTTCAGTTCGGTTTCACGCAGCAAGCTATGGTTGAACCCCACCGTGAATAGGGGGATTGAGAGATTGTCTTGGTCTTGGTTGTCTGTGGCATCACCTTGCGCGTTTTCGCCATTTTCGTTCTGCTCGGCCTCGGGGATATCAATTTCGTCCGCTTCATCGTTGCCGTCTTCATTCTCATCAGCCTCAGTCATTCTAATTCCATCCCCTTCTTCATTGTTGCCATCCTCGTTCTCCTCAGGCTCAGAGACGTCAACTCCGTCCCCTTCTTCCATGTTGCCGTCTTCGTTATCACCAGCCTCGGAGACGTCAAGTTTGTTCACTTCTTCCATGTTGTCATCTTCGTTCGCCTCACGCTTAGGTTTGTCAGCTTCATCGCCACCCTCGCCATCACTCTGTCCATTGTTGCCGTCACTTCCATTCTCATCCTCCTCATCATAATCATCGGAGTCTGTTCCGGAAAACATGCACTCGTCATCAAAGGAGTCGTCGTCGGAAGCCTCGTCATCAGGCTGCCAAATACCATGCAGTTTGAAGGCTTCCGGAATGCTGGCAAAGACCGCCTGGAGCTTGACGTCATTGAGGTCCGTGACGGAGGCTGGATCTCCCATTCTGAATATGTTCGAGAAGACCGGAGGGTATGTCAGAACTTGAATTCAGCGATCGGATGGCAACTTGTTTGTGATTATGTTGTTTAGTCAAGGCGAGCCTGCAGACGAGGTGCAATTGGAGTCGTTGATTTATGCCAGACTGAGAAAGGCGCAGTCGGAATTGCTCATTTATGCCAAATGAGGACCGGTGCACGATGATCCGCTAGGAGGGTGTTGCCCCTCCATCTCGATACCTCGACACCTCGACACCCCGATCAGCCCTACTGACGGGGCTTGATGATTTGCCCGACCGGCTCGCAGGGTAGATCAGCCAGCCACACTAGCCGACTACTACCATGTCTCGGTTGCCTTATGAGAAGCTGTTGCGCCGGAAAGAGCATCCTGCATTTAGTGTCCAGCACGTCCTGCACCATGTCGGAAAGACCGCGACTGCCATGCATGCGAACTGCACAGTCACCTATCAGAAGGGGAACACGTCGCTCCTGCCTGTGCGGCCATAGTTAGCGACGGCTGCCAATTTGTCATGACTCGGGGTATTTAGACCTGATTCGGATTAGTTGTCTGTAGCTATATCTGTAGGTAGTATAATACCCGACTGGTACTTCATACATATTACACTCGGACTGGCTAGCTCTATTCACCGAACCAATGGGATGGTAAGCATGCGGGATTTTGGGTGGCAGCGGCAGCGGCAGCGGTCCGTCAATCAGTGTCAAAGCTTGTTTGATAGGGGACCTACGGGGACCATACTTGCATCGGACTAGCCCGGGCTATTCGGACGTTTGTATCGTCCCCGAGGTTGAGGGGTTGAAGCTTCCTGCGTGAAGGAACCCGATGACCCACTATAGCCTAATATTAGGGCTCAATGACCATCTCTCCACAGCCCATTCGTCTCCTGTGTTTGTCCGTCCGGAAGTGTTAGCTTTGCTGTTCTTGTTTGCTTTTTTGGCAGGCAGCAAATAAGAAGCAGAAGTACAAAAGGGGGGAGGGGGAGCGGCTGAAGTGGCGTTTGCTGTGCTGTACATTCATGCATGTGATCAGAAACGACCCCCGACAGCGCATCGAGAGAATAATATCTTATCTTCTCCCTCCCCCTCCTTCAGCAGTCACCATTACCCCTCCTTCCGAGTGGTTATGCTCACTGGACCCCGGACATGGCCCCAATGATCGCCGCCCGGCTGAACAGCCTCCGATCGGTGAACATCAAGGACCCTGTAACAGCCGCTGATTACTTTGCAGCACAATGGGTCAACCCTAGCGATATTTTCTCCGTTCTTCTTCTGTTAGGCCCCGAGATTGTTCAACAAGCGGTCGCCCAGCTGGCGGGGCGCATCATCACCCCTGTCGCCTTTTCGTTCGGGTGGGTGGCGTACTCTGCCACAGCATTACTGTCAATGGTTGGAGGCAAGTAAACAAACTACCCCTATTGCCACTCACGCTTACGTGCCATAGAGGGACGCCTGATGCCCGAGACCGACATGCTCAGTACCCTCGTGATTCGTGCAGACACCGGACATGTCCGAACCACCAGTTCGTGGGTCTTAGGTCGCATGTTGCGCGACCTGGATGATCGATATGACGAGGAGATGGAAAATGAGGAAGCCCATGTTTCACCCTGGCAGGCCATCTCGGCCCATCCACCTTCTGCCGAATGCCGCTCCCCGGGAGAACAGAAGAAGAAAAAGAAGAAGCCGTGGGAAGCGCTGCACATCTCGGTCTATGAAGTCATCGACGAAGAGGGATACAAGCATGGCGTCCCACATCGTGACTGGGTATGGTACTCGGGCTTTCTGGTCATCTTGGTGCAGCTGGTCATTGCGATGCTGCCTTGGGTGCTGCATGGGGAGTGGGGGACCTTCTTCATCACCGCCTATGGGAACCTTCTGGCCCTCCTGGAGGGCTCTCTCCCTCAGTGGCGAAAAGAGAAGTGGTCGTGTCCCCGCAAAGGGGGGGCCACCGTGACTCTTACCCAAGGCAATGGGAGCCGACACGCAGTGGTCATCCTCGGGAAAAAGGGGGTAGGGTTGGATCTGGAGATTCTGGCCCGGGGAACTCGCACCTCGGCCCCCTCACACTTCACCCGCGTGGCGGCCGCGCTTCTAACCATTCAATGGATTGGCCTGCTGATTACCGCCGATGGGTTGGAGATAGATACCTGGTGTAAGTGACATCGCATGGCTCCCCATGAAGGGCATATGAGAACTAATCAATGTCTATCTATCAGACCTGTTGGGAATCGGAGCCCTGGGAAGTATACAGAATGTGATATCCGCGGGAGCCCCGCGGTCTCCGAGTGCATTGGGGGTTCACATTCGCGATCTGGGCCAGCCCATCCGGGGCAAACGCGTGGCGGATGCGCTGAAGGCCGCGGAGCAGCAGTATCCCGGCGTGGGCATGAGTCTGGTCCCTATTTTCTTCCCCGGGTCCATGCGAGTCGAACCCTCCGAGTTTGACTTTTGGCGAGCAGCCCAACAGCGCCAAATGGGTCCGAATTCCCACGGCACTCGCATCGACAATCTTCCCCCTCCATCCACCTCTATCACGCCTTACCAGGAGATTGTAGAGCATAAATCCATGTTTAGCTGAGATTTCACAAAAATACATGACCCTCTTTCAACCTCGTCAACACACAATCTATCTAAAGAACAAACTCAATAATCCCCCTCATCCCTAATAACCCTATCCTCGGACAGCATATTCTTCATCAACGACCTCGGACTATCCCACTCAAAGAACATCTCCCCAGACAACACACTACGCCGAATCACATCCTGCGCATACGGAAACATCTCCTTCTCATACGCCGCCACCGCCTCCTGCGTAATACCCAACTCCCCAATCTTGTTCGCCAGGATCCACGCACTCCGCATCGCACAATTCACCCCATCGCCCACAAACGGCGTCGTCACATGCGCGGCATCCCCAATCAGGGCTACCCCGGGGGCAGTCTCCCAGCTGAGTTTATCAGGGGGGAAGTAATACAACGGCCAGGTGCGAAAGGGACCGGTAGAGTTCCGAATGATGTCGTGGACGACAGACGTGTGTCCACCGAAATACTCTTCTCGGAGAAGAAACTCCCTCACGGCATCTTCATCAGCAAGATCGAGTTCATCGGCAGCAGGGAAATCAGTCGGTCCCTTCCACCCGAAATCCATCCGGTAATGGCTATCCCCTTGTCGCTGGATCCAGATTTTCTTCTCCCGGCCACAAATTACCATCGGTCCTTGACCGGCTAGTTGCTCGAGGATAGAGTGGTAGGGGTTCGAGGGGTGGATGAACATTGTCAGGAAGAGAATCCCGGAGTAGATCGGTTCAGTGGACGTGACCTATCACCATAACCACCCATTAGCACCATCCCCTTCCCCCCCAAGAAAAGAAACAAAACTCACCAAATGCCTCAACTTACTCCTCACCCCATCCGCCCCAACCACAAGCCCAAACCCCTCCGCCACCTCCCCATTCTCAAACTCCACCACCACCTGCCCATCCCCATCCCTCCTATACGTATTCTTCACAGCACACCCCCATTTCACCTTCTCCTTGGGAATCGAACTCAACATCACCCTCCGTAACTGCCCGCGATCAATCTCCGGCGAATCCCTCCCCTCCCCGAACTTAAACAATTCCGTGCCGTGAGCATCCCACACAGAATGGATCGTGGCGTACCCGCCACGAGCATATTTCTTGAATTCCTCGAAACAGCCGGCGGCTTTTAGGGCGATTTGGCCGCTACTGCGGTGGATGTCGAGACAGCCGCCGCGGGGGGGAGTTGATTCGGCGCTGCGTTCGTAGATGATGTAGTCGTGGCCGAGTTGTTCGAGGATGCCGGCGAGGGTGAGGCCGCTTGGACCGCCTCCGAGGATGGCGATGGGGGGGGACATTTTTGTGCTTGGTTGGTTGGTGGTTGAGATGGGGTGGATGGAGGGGTGGTTAGTGAGATGGAAAGAGAGGTTGGAGAGTATTTATATATTGTGTTGATGTATGGTAAACTAGACTAGAGTATATGCAGGACATGGCACTTGTTGCAGACTCCGGCGGGAGCGCGCATCCATGTCGAGGATCCACCCCGGGCCGGGGTTAGGGTTGATACAGTATACACAGACTCCGAGTTGGATACCTTCATCACTTAATATTAGTAAAAAGACATGTGTATATTGTATAACAGCCAAGTAAGTTATGGTTCTATGACCAAAGATAGTATAGAAAATCATCTATAATCTATGTAGTATTAAGCTTATCTACTACTACCGTGATCCAGCCCTCCGTAATTCATCCACAATGCCCTATTGGTGAACATATATCCAGTCTTACTACCTATAGTATTCCATACTATTAGTAGATAAGAACCAACAACCTGACATAACTTAATCTAGGGATTGAATTAAGGTTCAGTATGCTGAATGGCGCCCTATCTTTATTATGCAACTTTTACAGATTCGGGATGTTGTACATCATACAATGTGGATGTATTTCGTTTGTTACCTTTCACTTTGCTTTGTTCCTATGAACTTGGCAATCTCTGACCAGGGAAATGTATCTAGGTCCATTCTCTCCCGAGACAACTAGGACAGACTATTCCATACATTTGCGTAGAATAGATCCCGTACTTTTACAACAAAGCAGCACACCGAGGACAACAGCAAACACATATTTTGTGTCTGTATCATTGTAACAGGACCGGAGTTTAGAAACAGACTCACTGCAGATCAGTGGATAATAGGTGGTGGGGCTGGTTTGTCAGCGGATCCGGGGTCGGGGTTGGGGACGGGTCGGGGTTTGTGCTGGTCCTAGTTCCGATGGGATAGATGATCGGACTTGAATAATTTTAGGGATTCGTTATGATGACGAATGAGAGGGGGGGTGTAAGTAACTGGGTAGGGGTTTGAGGTGGGTTGGATTAGTTTATTATGTTGAGGTTGGATCTGTTGTCCTTGTTGGGGGGTATGGGGTTGTAATGAGGGAGGGATGGAAAATGGGATATGAGTAACGCTCTGATAGTCTCTAGATCATTACTTAGGAGAGATAGTTGGGGATATCATGTATGACAGATAACCACTCAGTCAACACCACCTGGGTTCTGACTGACTGATGCTGTCTGGGTCTGAGAGATCCAAGTGAGGGTATGACGATATCGTTGGGAAGTGACCTATTGTAACAACACCACCGAATCACTCGCCGGTAAAGCGCATGGATCATCGACACCAAAGCCAGCCGAGTTGGTATCGTGAAATCCCGGTCCAAGAGAACCGAGATCAATCAAGTCCCTGTCGACCCATGTTTCATTTCCCACATCAGCCACCTGAATCCAAGACTCATCTGCCTGATGACCAGTGCCTGGCTGTAACATCGATGACAAAAGTCCCCAGGACAAGATCGACCCCCCACTTTCATCACCTAGAGAAACCAGCAACATTCGATTATACGACATCCTAGCTCGCTCCATCATGTCGTGCATCAATTGTCGCAGCCGACCCGTTGGCGACTCAATATCGAGGGTATTGAACGACAGATAAGTTTGCTCGATGAGCGGCCAGATACTCTCCACTAACCGTATATCATCACAGACCTGAACCTCAGCAAGAGCAACGGCCAGTGCCTGCCAAGGAAAAAACAGAGGATGGATCCACCGCCACTGTTGAGTTTTGGCGCTACTATACACCCGACGTCTCGAGTCAAGGGCCTCTACGGCTAGCCTCAATGTTCGGACGTTGGTGACGGGGCATGGTTCGAAAACGGGGTTTTTTTGTGGTGGCCGGACAGCAAGAAGTTGCAGGAATACCTCGATGGAATGAGCAAGCTCCTTGAGGTACCAGTGGAAATTGTTCTTGTCGGGTTGAATCCCGACGAGCAACTCGTCTGTGCGTTTCTTGAATGTTAAAGTTTGTTGCCGTCGGGCATTTGTGGATCGCGTGGAGTTCGGGATTGTCAAGTATCGGGTCGTTTCCTGAGCGTAGGAAAGAACATGGAAAAGAGAAGTCTCGGAGATTTTCCTGCCTGTGGATACTTGTATCTCAAGGTCCGCGCTGAATTCATCGTCATTCAGATCGAGAAAGGGTTGGAATCTGAGCCAGCTTGTTTGCATCATTGGCTCGGATGCACTACTTAAGGATGCTTGAATGTCCAGCCAGCCAATGGCGTGCCATAGTCGGCGGCGCATCTCTCTCTCAAATGCTTTCATAGGAAACGGGGGATTAGGATCGTGCAGGGATAGAGCCTGTGCGATACGCAACGCAAGGGCAAGCATTGTCCAGAAGCGTCGAGTGCGGTCGTGGCATCTCATTGCGATCTGAGCTTATTAGTAGGCGGCACGCCATGATGCTGGTTACTTACCAAAGAGATAACAAATGCTTGAAGAACCGTGAGGTCTTCTGTCAACACATAGTCTACTCGTTCGAGAGCATATCTTGATTCATTCTGATACTTGGAGATCAAAGACGCTTTGTCTGTTCCGAAAGAGGAAAGACAGGTTTCTGGGCTCAAAGTACAGCTGGCAGCATAGTAGACGGCAGATGCAAGGGCTGCAGGTGCTGGATGCCAAGGGCCATAGTTCAAGTAGCATTTTCCTTCCAATAGATGGGCCCGAAGTGAGGGACCATGTATGATCTTCACGATCGGGTCGACCTGAGAAAGGTAGATCTGCAGCAGCTGTTGACGCTCTCGATAACTAGCTGCCCCTGTCCAGTGGAAGAGGGCCTCGTTTGGAATGAATTGAGGGCACGGGTCGATAACCCAACCGGGGCTGTTAGTTTGATCCCATGCCTACATCAACGTCAGACGCATCCTAGAGACATCGAGAATGGTCTTACCATTCTCCTACGGGTGCCATCAAGACCTGTGGTAGGGTGAGATGCCTGTATAGAGTGGTTAAACATTCCTCCGCTGGGCGATGTCATCGACATCGAATCCGACGAGGTTGATTCTGGAAACCAACTTCCCCGTGGGAGTTGCGACGAGACTATCGTACCATCATGACCCATAGGAACTTGTGACGAAACAGTCTCTGGCCTACGAGACCTCCCACGAGGAAGTCGTCTCCTCTCGACCGGAACACACAAAACCCCTGCAGTCCGGCAGTTAGTGCAGGGAATAAGCCTATCGCATTTGACTTTCCGTTTAGTGCATCCCACACAGCTCAATCTTGCCGTGGAAGAAGTTTGTTTGTGCGGTAGTTTTTGAATGCGGGCTGCGTTCATACTGGCTGGCTGCAGACATAGAGAGTTGAAGTCAAGAAGGTTGGTGGCAAATTCAAGATAAGAGTAATCTATTTGGACGGATAGCCGCTCCTATAGGCTAGAGTGTATTAGTGTTTCAGTCTGGGGCACCGCCACTTCCTAGCCCCACTGGATATATAGCTGTATGTGATTAGAAATTATACTCAAAGATTAAGATTTATGACCCTGTTACCTAGAGATCTTGGTTATGTGAAAGCTTATTAGATGTGAAGAATTCTCTGACCCGGTCTTGTTTCTGCCCCTTTAGAATAGACCTGCTGACGAACGATACTAGCCCCACACCCACGTATCAGCCCCACAGTGGGTCTGTTTCCAGTCTCCGGTCAAATTACACGGTACTGCCAACGGTGGTATCGATGCCCTTTGTGGGATGGGATATCTCTAGTTCTTCTAGCCATGATTGAGACTCATATGTAGCAAACGATTCATTAGAAAGCAATATAAGTAACCCACACAGTAGCAATAGAGCAATATCAAGTACTAGCCTCCCAAAGACCTATTCAGTCCTATAAAGGACACATGACCCACCATATCCACCATGACGACCGTATTCCCGTTCACACGCGAGGTCGCCAGCTCCCCTCGATATTCCGGTGGAATCCACAAGATTTTCTCCTGTCCGAGAAGTATCCATTCAGCAGTTAATATCATGAGACTGTCTTGATCCGTTTGACGCATTGTGTATTCATCACTGTTGGGGTCCAGAAACCAGGACCTTTCGGCATTGCAGTCGTGCAGAGGCCAGTCGAACAATTCCAACGTCTGCTGCAGCATTCCGTCTGAAACATTCCACACGTTGATGTTGTCATGATATTTTCCAGCCAGCAGCTTGCCATCGGGCGAGAATTCCAATTCACGTGTGTAGACGCCTTGGATCACACGTTCCTGTGTACCTGATGTGATATTCCATATTCTCACTGTTTTTTCATACCGTGAGCTGGAGGCCAGAAGATCGGTAGATGGTGAGAAGGCGACTGCATCAATGACGCCAGAATGGCCAGTCAGGGTTCGATGTAAAGAGCCGTCCGTTGTGTTCCAGATCTTTATGACTTCCCCTTCGCAGGACAATATTGATAGACCATCTCGGGAGAACTGCAACTCTGGGGTGAAAGTGTTGAAGATTGTGGAATAGTTAGACAAGTGTTCTGGCCTTGGGATCTGCTTGCTCCAGCCCGTGGTGGTATTCCATAGTGTTGTTGCGTCAACGAGCTCAAAGGCCAGCAGGCTCTCGTCTGGGGAAAACCGAAGCGATCCAACTTGCTTAGCATGGATTGCTAAAGTATGTCGCAACTTCCCGGTGGATACTTCCCATAGTTTCATGAGCCCATCCCTCCCCGAGTACCCGGCTAAGAGTCGGCCATGTGGAGAGAAGGTGACCAGGGCATAGCCAGTTGCTTCGAACTCTAGTACGTGTTGTACTGTACCCGTCGAAACATCCCATAGCCTCATTCTTCGTCATACGAGCCGATGGCCACAAGGTTTCCAGTCGGGGAAAACTCCATGAAGGCCCACGGTGCCTGATGCTCTTCCAGAGGGAACTTTTGTTCACTCTCAGTTGTATCAGAGATTATCACCAGAGTCTCGTGCGCAGACACCACATGTCGGCCATCAGGTGAAAAGCTCACGGATGTCATGGCGCGGCTATCAAGTGTGGATGAGATCGAGCTGGTGTCTAGATTACAGATGTTCAGCCCCCCCTCACAGGCCACTGCCAATGATCTGCCATCATGGGAGAAGGCCACACTGTCAACCACGCCAGAACCTGTGTGGCAGTGCCATGTATCATGCAGAGTGCCTTCGTGGATATTCCGGAATTTCACTGTGCCATCAGCCGATCCGGAGGCTAATAAATTTCCATCTGGCGAGAACACCAAGGATGAAATTCTTGCACAAGGGCCTGTCAGTGTATACCGTACCTGACCGTCGACCGTATCATAGAGCTGTATTGTGCCTGTCCCTAAGCCCACGGCTAGCAAGTTCTTCTCAGGCAAGAATTGCATCTTAAGACATCTCTCGGACCGTCTGTAACGCTTCAAACGTACGCTTCGCAGCAGCTTTCCGGACACAATATCCCATGTTTTGAATGTTCCAAGGTTGTCTGCCGAGACCAACTGTTGATTTGATAAAAACTTGACCAGACAAATACAGCCCGTATGACCTTCCAAGATAAGTTTGAGGTTACCTGAAAGCGAGTCCCACAATCGTACTGAGCAGTCAACGGAGTCTGCAGCTAACAGCCGCCCATCTGGTGACAACGTGGGTGATTGGATATCAGTAGAACGGGCCTGTTCTATATCTCGCACATTACCAGTGCTGCTCTCCCACAGTCGCAAAATAAATGTATGGGCAACTGAAAGCAATAGTTGTCCATCCGGGGAATAGCCAACGTGATCCATCGAGACCCAGCGGTCTGTTTTTTCCAGTGTTTGTAGATTTGCACCCCAATTCTGAGGTACACTGGGTAGCTGGGTGAAGTGTGATGGGATACAATGAAGGAATGTGCTCCTGATAACACTTTCCTCTGGCGCAAATACCAGTGCAGAGGAATATAATTGGAGAGGATGTGACTTGACGATTTGCATATTCTTCAAAAGAAATCGTTCGGCATCATACAAGAACTTGGATAACTCGGCACCAGCTTGGGGCTGCACAGCCGTCAGATTCGTCTCTTATACAGGAGGATGGTCTTACCTGTATCATATGTTGTAGTACATTGATACTGCTTACAACGTCTGGTAAATGGCCCAAGATGCTCATCGCCTCCAGCCAATGAAGGAAATGTTTCTTGAGAAATTCATGTATCTGGTTGTGATCGATCAAGTCTCCTTGTTCAAGATGATGAACCCAGTATCGGGTAGAGTAGCGGAGCTCTGCTGAAAGGCACTCTTTAATATTCTCGATTCCAACATCATTTTTTGAGGTTACATGGCTAGTCAGGCCACATATGTTCTGTCGAAGACCATGTTGAGAATCCATGATTTCAATACATGTGTGCGCTAACTCTCGATTTGTCGACTGTCTGTCCACTGAAAGCCTTGTTTTATCGCTGGTATTTGGATCGAGAAGAAATTCTCGGAAGGACGGTTGGCGAAATGAAACTGATTTATTGCTGTCATCTGGGATGATCAAGATAGACTGAAACGAGTCCAGCCTAGTGCGCATACTACACTCTTCGAGATGGATCAGCTTGGAAAGTGAAGCAATGGACAGCGGCGCTTTGAGGACAGCAACTATCCCAACCACCTGTCGGAAACTGCTGGATTAGTTTATTCTGGTCTTTTTCTCGTGGCAATCCATGGCGGGCAGTAGTCGACGAAAAGCTTTGATGGGAGGTTATATTGAGATGGGATTTGTTCAAACTTGAAAATTGAAAATGTCAGGGTGTTGCTCAATGACGAGAGAGTACACGACCACGAGAAGAAAACTCTTCAAGATGAATTGTATGCGTGATGTAATCCAAAAACGTCAGAAAGTGTCGCAAAGAAAGGAGCGGTCAGGTAATTGCCTGAGCCTATAATTGAATATCGAAGCTCTCCGCTGGTTTCTTTCTGTTCACGCTTTGTTTGAGCTGATTTTTATCGGGTTTCCTTTCCATATCTTCCGTAGATAGCGACAGCAATCAAAAACAACGTTGAAAACCTGCCAGACAGTTCTAGCCATCAGTGTCTAGCCTCAGGCATTACTATTGTCATGATGAATCATAGTTACAAAGAAGCACAAATTATGTTATGTCTCTGGATTCAGGGCAGCCCCAACAGCCTGCTGCGCAAACTCCTTCAAACTAGATATAAACCTCGTGACGGGCTGCAACTCCACAAGCTTATCGGCCCTTAGACTCTGCCTCAAAAATAACTTCTCAGTGGTATGTTCTGCGGCTTCCAATAGCTGTATATCGCGCTTCGCTGTGTTCATATGCCGATTCTCTACTATATTACAGAAAATCGTCAAAATCGCCGACATGGGATAGAAGAGTAAGGTCCTATTGACGTTAGCAGCGCGAGGACGATCACCAGAGGGAATGCAATACCAGAAACTCCCTGCGCTAACAATAGACTCGGAATCATAAAGGAAGAGCAGCAGCGATCGACTCGCCTCCACGGAAAAGGTGAGGCTTAACCGGAGGCCGTCCATCATGCCTGATGGCGTGGTGGTGGATCGCCAGGCCTGGCAGCGACCGCCTGCGAGATGAATCAGGTTCACGCAGGAATAGTAGTCCAAATGGGTGAGCACTAGAAACATGTTCTTGGGAGCCGTCGCATCGAGTTGATGGGCAAAGGAGAGTTGAGGGCGGACCGGGGCTGGTATAGAGGTCCGCCATTGCTCGAGTTCATCGTCAAGCTCGCGGATTGAGCGGATGATTTCGACGTCGCTTTTACAAAGACCACTATATGAATACAGAGCCGTGAAGATCCGAGATTTTATCATGCTGAGTCGAAGGTCGACAGGAAACAGAGGCCCTTCGGGATGGTTTGATCGTGGCGAATATGCCATGCGAGAGCCGAGTTGCTCCACATATGCGGTGGGAAGTTGAAGGTTGCAGTCATCGCTGCGAAGGCAGTGGGGTTGACCGGTTCGCAAAGAAAGGTCTTTGTCCAAGGCATAGCATATCCAGAAGAGAGTGCGGAGGTGGTGGGCTTCATTCCCATGGGGTTCGCTACAGGTGTGAGCGCCAACTGCCATGATTTGTCGTGCGGCAATTGATGTAAGGTGAATGGCTGTTTGTAGTTCGCCGATGAGAGTGCCATTGATTGCCTGAGACGAGTGAGTTTGCGAACCAAGGCATAAGGGCTTGGCTTACTAGCAGGAGAGCCGTCTGAATAGCATCTAGATTCAACGAATTTTGGACCATATATGGCATCAGTGCTCGTGCATTCTCAACATATGCCATTCGAGAAATCGGGGGAGGACGTGGGGCAGTGCAACCGATTGCGACGTGGTCCATGCTGGACACCAGAGCCATGAAAGCAAAGATGCATGCAGCCGCACAACACCGCTGCGTCTGCTGACCATGCAGTGAATACGCTGCCTCCATGGTCTGCAAGAACAGGGAGGAGTCAACCACAGGAAAAATCATCCGAATTCTGGATGAATGGTACACATCCAAGTACTGTTTCAGCACCGACTTCATCGGCAACTCAGCAAGCGGTGGAATGACTGCACGGCCCACGGTGCATGTCGGCGGAGCTTTCTCCCATGGGGCATGGCTCAACCTGGGCAGGGGAATGACGGCTCCAGTTCGAGACTGGATCCAATGAAGGCCTTCAGGCAGTAGGCTGGGAATGGCCGGGTCCACGAGCAAATTGCCAATTTCCCACCCAGCGAAGTGAATGATTCTCGGCGACGGCTGGAGGTTTGAAACATGATCCGGCGGAGGCCCGGAATCTTGCTCTGGTTTCTCATCCGGCTTTGTCATCCGTTCATCCAAGCGGCGTATGCGATCAATGAGGCTAACCCGGTGCGTCTTGGACGGGGTCTTCCTTCTGGGACGGGCTCGGGAATAGGAACAATCCCGATGGTGGTGGACACACCAGCCACAGCGAGGGCGAGCGCTATCGCATTTGATCTACGCTGGTTAGCACGGGCCGTTCGGACAGGAAAAAGCCGACCTTCCGTGTATAGCAAGTGTCACAGGCCGTATGTTTCTGCATGATGCCAATTCAATTGCCATTCTGGACAGGATGAGGGGTTAAGGGGTCAAGTGGAACTGCTTTTAAGGTTGTGCCAGAAATAGGGCTGTGCTGGCAACACTCGGAGGTGATTAGCTAATCCCCTCCGTCTTGGCGGCCACCTGCCTTCTATACAAATCTCTCCCTCGGATGCCCCTTTGTGGCACTCGTTTACTTACAATCCTTTTTCTTCATTACCTTTCACTTTCCCCCATTGAATCAACATGCAGCTACCTCGACCATTCCTAATTGGCGTAGGGGGGGCCTTTCTCACCCTACAGCTTCTCTTCCTCGCCAATATGTGCTACCTCTATGGCACCGCCTTTCACGACACCACGCGATACAGTGCCATGCACGTGCTATATGTCGATTACGACCAGGGGCCTATTGGCGAGTCAGTCGTCGGAGCCTACAATCTTCTTCAAGGCCCCTCTATCGTCACCCTCGATCAACACACCCCTGCCGAGTACCCAACTGAGGACGACATACAACGTGCAGTTTGCAAAGGTCACTATTGGGGTGCCATCTACGCCCGGGCCAATGCCTCGACGGAGTTGGCAGTGGCAGTGACCTCCTCTGATGCAGTCCAGGCGTATGACCGCTCCCAAGCCCTCCAATACTACTACAAGGGCGCCAGATATGCTTCCTACGCCACCGGAGTGTACTCGCAGCTCGCCGAGCTCGTCCAGACCACTGCAGCCGTATATGTCCAGAACCACGGCACCACGCTGCTATCCACAGCGAGCAACATTACCGACCCAGTCATTGCTGCAACTCTCCTTCTCCCTGTTGGCGGCACATCCACCGACCTCGCTCCCATGCCCCAAGGCGTCCGATTCTATTACAACACCGTGTCGATGGTCATGGCCATCCTCCCACAATTCTTCTTCCTTATGGCCCTGAATGGCCTTTCCACCCACTGGAACCTATCGTCCCGCCTCTCCCTCCGCCAAAACCTCCTCTTCCGCGTGGGTCTCTCCCTCCTCTACACCTTCATTGGTGCCCTCGTGATGAGCGGCTACATTTGGGCTTTCCGGGAGTCGTGGTCCGTCACTGGATCGCAATTCGCCCTAACCTGGATAGCCATCTGGCTGACGATGCACCTGAACTTTCTACTCATCGACTTTGCAACGGCATTTATTCCCCCGCAGTTTCTCCCATTTTTCATGCTCACCTGGATTATTCTCAACGTGTCGAGTAGCATCACCCCGTTTGAGCTATCAGCTGGGTTCTACCGCGTGGGGTACATCTTTCCCGCTCATGAGCTTTATGAGGTTCTTCTTCAGATCTGGACGAATGGATGTAATCCATTCCTCTATCGAGCGTTGCCGATCCTCTGGTCCGAGTGGTTGGTCGCCTTGGGCTTGTTCTTCGTCGGGATGCGACATCGCTGCCGGATTGCACCCGCCCCGTTGCCCTCCCCAGTTACAGACAAGCACTCGATGGTTTCTTTGAGATGAGTGGCATCTGCCGTCGTGACGTCGATATCATTTTATGTTCGTTTTATTTCATTCCGTTTCGCTGGTTCAGTCTTCGTTTGCATGTACATAGTTAGAACAAAATATACATCCTTTCCTCAACCTCCATCAAACTCTCATAAAACATTGTATCCCTAGAATGAATCTCTATCATTTACACTTCATATTCACATATTCAACAAATCATGTAAATTCCCCGCCCTTTCTCAAAGCAAATGTGACCAAAACCCTTAATCTAAGATTTCAACACACCATCCTTGCCACAATCCCATTTCCAAATCCCTAGTCCTCAAAATCTGCCATAACGTGTACTAAGCACAATCAAGCACCACACTAGAAACGAACACCCAACATCCCAACAGGAACAATACCTGAGGAGGCGACATGGGACGGTGCACATCATTTCGGTTCGCTATATTCGGTCTTCACTAGATGAGATCACTATCAAGAATAGAATAAAAGCGTCGCCTTTTCCCCTTCCTTCCCGCTCTCAACAGTCTCTTTTATCTTATTTTCCTCGGGTTTTAAAATTGTCATCTGGACATCACATCGCTGCGCAAAAACCATCCCTCATTTCAACCCCTCAAAGATCCATCTATCCGAACCACCGGGGAGCAATCGAGGTTCTTATATTACCATGCTTGAGCCGGAGGACAATATCAGACTACATACTGGATCCCTTGGTATAGGTGCGTCAAGGATCCCACGTGGGGTATCTCGATTCCAACTGGTTCGTGTCAGGTCAGCTGCATCAAGTTCATCCTCGTATGCATTTACCTAATTCGTATCTAACCGAGCCCTCAAGGACTACCAGAGGACTACAAGGATCATGCCAGCAAACAGAGAAAAAGGGAGAGGAACGAAGTAAGAAGTTAACCAACGATTCAGAGTACTTCATACACGACACGGAGAACCCGAGTACTGATCGAAGCCTTGTCGTGATGCTTTATCTTGGCTAGCGGGCTTGCGCCAAGGCTGTAGTATCAGACTGTGAGAGGAGCATCCATATGTCGGAGTTGAGGTGTAGTTGGATTCGAGATATAGAGTTCCGTGGCACCTCGTATCCGAATAAGGTTATAGAATGAGGACCGCAAGGGAAGTTTAGATGAACCGGTTAACCAATGCCGAGATTCTTGTGGAGGTGTTACAAGATGCTAATCTGATTATGTAGTCGACATGCGCGTGATAAGACGAAGCCACAATGCAGGCTACGACAGGAAGGTTCTGTGTAGTCGCACTTGCCTTTTAGGAAAGTGCATTGTGGCGAGGCTCCTTTCCAAGCTCAATCTCAAACAATAAACTGAACGTCAGTCAAGCAAATCAAGAAAAATGGCCCAGCTACAAGTCAAAGTCTTGATATAGAACTCAATGCAGAGGCAGCAGCCCGGGCCGATCTTCGCAAATGAGACAGTTTCTAGGGATGAAGCGTGAATCAATCAATCAACAATCAATACGAGCACTTCACAAGGACAGGACCAAAAATAATATCAGCTCGAGTAAGGATAATTGGAAGGATGTTTGATCCCATCCTATTCTAGTGCTGTTATCCAGCCGAGATATCAGGAAGCTAAGAAGAACAGGCAAAAGAAGACACTAGATCCTGGCCTGTGGGTGACCACAAATCATCCACAGCCCCAGGAATTACGCAGTGGCTTAGCCGCATTACTTGAAGCAACTGGTCAAGCTATCGATGCATACGAAGCGGTAGACTGCCAACCTCGTTCGATCTTTCTCGCCCCTCAGCTAAATTGAGCATGTGGACAGGACAACGCTTCTGCTATGATATGAGGAACTGTAACCACCCGTTTGATAGGCCAAACATACTTTGTGATCTTGACGGCTGGATCGCTGTAAAGTAGTGCTTTTCTCGATCGGTCAATGGTGGGCGTAGATTGAGATCGAGGCCCCCTCCCCCAAGATGTTGTGATATCTTGGGTTTGGTGGGTGAGGGGCGATGGTGGCCTGGGGGCTATGTGCAAGCCATTCTCCAGACGCTGTTTCCGTCTCTGGCAGGAGCGGTGATAGATCTTGATCACTATACATCCACATCCTTGATCCTTGCAAGAGATGTTAACCAGCACATACTGTCATACGATGCCTTCTGCTCAGCAGCCATATATTGAATGTGGTCAGATGACAGACGCATAATGCCTGGGTTGGGGCTGCCCTCGGCTTGACCATCAGTGGACAAACAAAAATCATGTCAATTAAGGCTGACCATGTAATATAATCTGGTCCTCCAAGTTAGGTACAGGTATCTCCAAATGGAGTAATCAGTTTTGTCGATTTGGTGAAAGCTCCTCTCATTATTTGCTATCCCAGATATTTCCTAACAAACAACATGTCGCAAATCAGAACTTCATATACAAAGCATCGCTATGGTCACCAACAATAGTATATGCCATACAATCGTCCCAAATGTTCAAAACGCCAATCCGGGTAAATCCAATTACATCCATGCTTCATACGCCCTGTCCTCCATTCTGCTTCTGCTTCTTTTTCTCTTTCGCCTCAGCATCGGCTTCCTTCCACGAGCCTGCATAGTGATGCGTAACCAGCGCATCGCCTTGGTCTTGAGGATAACCGCTCTGAGCTGCTGCGAAAGACACCCCCGGCATGATGAGGACATCGCCGATTAGCTTCGGCTTCTTGATGGCGTGGAAATCGCGATCATCCACCGTCCGACCCAGCAACTGACGAAGGCTCTCGAGCACCGCGATGGTCATGATCTTGGGCCCGGTCACATCGACCACATCGATGGGCAGCATCTCCAGGGTCAAGTCTTTGATCTGCACACGATTCAACGCGGCAATCTCCTTGATCTTGGCCACGACAGCGTCGACGACCACCTGGAGAACACGTGACGAGGGCGGGGCGGCAAAGACCCAATTGCAGAACTGTGACGCAATCGGGGTTCCCTCCCCGCGCCATTCAAAGTCGAATTCCAAGCCCACGATCATCTCAATCTTGTCGTCTTTGTATTCCGCCGGAACCCACTCGGCCACGGGCTTGTCGCAGGTCACGTCCAGATCACTCCAGATGCCGCCTTCGGCGAGTACCAGCAGGTAGCGAAGGAGATCGGCCCGCAGGATCGGGATCGGCAGGGTCTCAAAGACCTCGATGATGTCGGGTCGCATGGCATAGTGAGTTCGAACAAAGGTCACGGCCGAGGCATCGGTCAGGAGTTCATAGCGGAAGGATGGGTTCTTTGCGAACCAGGTGTCGATCCAGTCGTGTTGGTCGTCGCTCAGATGGGGGTTCTTGGCGGATTGCCAGATTTTGTCGGTGATGCCGGAAATTGCCCCACCCACCACCACATCGCCGGCGGGTGCCGAAATCACTGGTCGGGTTGTTGGGATGGTGTTATGGGAGGCTTCTTTGGGGGAGTCGACGACCTTGGGTGCTGGAGCAGACTCGGGAGTTGCTTGCGGTGTCGGCTGACGGGGCAAAGGCCCCGGCAGTGGGTCCCACGTGAAGGCCAGCAGGCAAAGCAACACAAACACCGGAATCGTTAGGGCTGCAAAACGCCCATAGCGCGACGATTTCAAGTTGGATAGTAACATCGCGGATGTTCAAAGCTCAGGGGATTCATGGGGATGGGAAAGGGGAGAAACAGCCGTCGAGGCCAGCTTACCGGCGAGGCTCAGCAATTTAAAAATGACGGAGGTGTGATGGCCAGGGTTTAGGGGCCCTGCCATGCTTAGCGGGGGCGCTAATGGGGGCCAATGACATGCCCATTCAGGGGCAATTTACGTGAAATCGTGAAATGACACGGGCCCACCCGGCGCAGGCTTAGCGGCCTTAGCTGGGCCTTATATAGCCTCTCGACTCGCTCGGGCATCTTAGTGTGCCCGGGTCCGAACGGCGTGGACTTTCCTTCCGCTAAGGATCACTTAGTCTCGTGTGAAGATTAGTGATGGATTCTAGCTATATCTCCATCATGGTATATAAGAGAAGGTTCTTCGCACTAGCAGAGGAACCTTTCATCCGAGTCTCCCGTGCTCAGCATTCTGCCACGTGAGGTAGATATCCTCCATACATTAGGGTTACTCCCACGAACATGATGCGGGTCTCCTCGATATCGCCAACATGGCTGGCATATCAGCTGATGTTCTTGCTCTGGGCCCAAGGCAGCCTTGGGGCGACTACCACGTCGATCGACACCTCCATCCAGGACAGTCCGCACTTTATGGGATGGTATCTCGGAACCACCAGTCAGTTCGTTGCTCCGATATGCTGATTATGAGATTGACCATCTGCAGCCCAAGCTCTGACTGATGGAGGGACTTGGACAACCTCTGGACACTATGCGGCGGGCTGTACAGCGTCCCAGACTTGCTCATGGGCCACCGCCTGCAGTAATGAAATCCTTTACTATAATGTCAACAAGACCCTGGACTGGTATGTCGAAAGATCTTTCGATCGGATGAAAATTGCTAATGATTTCAGCGGGGCGGAATCAATGCAGTGCCAAACCATGACCATCTATCAATCGGAACCCTATGCCACCCCATCTGCCTACAACATCTTCTGCGCGAATTTCTGGTCGGCAAACACAATCTACCGCGAACTGCCCGCCTCGACGACCACCTCGTCAGCAACCTCAGGTATCCACCAACCTGGGTCAACCATACTCATGTGACTAGACTGACAATCGTAGGTTCGACGCCCAGTGTAACCACCGCCTCGATCACCTCAACTTTTCAGACCGCTTCCGCCACCCAAACCTCGACTGCCTCACCAACCGCAACCAACAGTCCTTCATCTAAGAAGAGTCGTGCGTGGATCGCTGGTGCAGTTATCGGAGCAGTGGCGGGGGTGGTGGCCATTATAGCGGCGGCGATCTTTTTCCTCCGCTACCGGGTCTCCAGACGCCCCGAAGCCGTTCAGTACGAAAATGTCGCCCCTCGGCCGGTTTCCGAGCTGCCTTCCGAAGCCTATACGGAAATGGCACATGAATTGCCCCACGAGAACCCAGGCCCGTCCGCCTCGCGTGGGGGTGTATATGAGTTGAGTTGATACAAATAATCTGGAAGCAGCGGATCGGATTCAGTGGTGTCGAGTTGATGTGTTGCAAATTGCAGGGCGGCATTTACCCTTATCACCTAATATAGAGCTTAGTTTCTAATGACCACGAGCAAGAAATGAATACGAACACACTAACTTTTGTTCCGCCAATCATTTTGCACCCTCGCCACACTAGCACACACTAGTGCTTACGCCTCGGATCCTTTCAAGCCTCTCCGTCTGATACCTGCAGCCAAGCTCAGCCTCCATTGCGCGTAATGTCACACAACCATGGCGCAGCATCACACAGTTAACTTCCTAACCTTCTATCCGTACTCCCACTCAGTCATAATTCTACACCTTTCCTTCCATTAATATTCCCCTAATCCCAGTTCGCCAAGGATACCCGCTAATTTCTAACCAACCGGCCCAACCCGCTTCTAACCTGATAAGGCAAGGTGAGGCTGGTAGGTAGGCTAATTTAGGGCTTGCCTTCAACATTTCGAGAAATCAGTTTTAGAGCCGCGAAACTTCTTCTTAGGAACACTGTGGGTCTGGGCCAATGGTCGGTGAGGAATTCATGATTCAGTAGTTACCTGGTTTTGATTTTATCACGGATAAACAGAGTAATATTAGCGGTGATTCTAGACTGGGTCTAGAGCGTCTCCACTTTTCTTCAGTTCCCAAGACTAAGACTAAGACCAAGACACAAGGCATATTTAGGTAGGTGCTGGGCACTTGTTGCCGGAGGGCGGAGAGCGGAGGACGGAGCTGTTAGTTGAGATGAGATGCGATGAGGTGAGATAGGGAGATGGGGAGATACATACGTGCATGAATCCTGCAGATTTGATTAAAAGGATTTACCCGTGGGAGGTTATCAGAGAAGGATGAAACATGGTTTAATGCAAAATAAATTTACCCCCACTTTACCATTGATGAATCTTTGGTAATGAATATAGTTTTATAAATTACCTGCTATGGGCATCTAATGGGATGGGGATTGTAAATCTGCTACATAGACTCTAGACTCATCAAAGATTCAAGCACCGTTCTAACGAGTAAACTATAAAGCAGTCGAAATCAATTCCTAAAAGGATAATCCCTGTCAGTGGAGGGACAGCAGATCTACATCCACCCTTCAAATAAGCCATTCCCTCTCCTTCTCCGTCAGATTCCTATATACTCCTCTAGCGGACATCCCTTCATCTCACTATCACCCTCATCCTCGATCCGCACTCACGCAAATCAAAGCCGTCCCTCTCCCCAATCAATACTCAACCTCACCTCAACCCCACCATCACTATCATCTTCCTCCTCAACCCCACACCCAAAATTTACCTCAACCTCACTCGTAAACGCCTCCCACTAATTACCAACGAAGAACGCTCACCATCTTCCCAAGGTATCGGCCACCTGCCTTCCTTGTTCTGGGACAGCATGAAATTGAAAGCTATGCCCTTCAGGACATCGATTCCGTGGGCTCAGAGATCGACTTGGAACCCGGGGCCATGTCATCTTCTGCAATTCAACTAACCACCCATCCAAACTTACCACAATGATCTCCCTCAACTCCGCCCTGGTCCTGATTCTTCAAAGCCTTGGACAAGCTCAAGGCCAGCCCTACCCCTGTTCTGGTCAACCCCGGGCCTGCGTCGCCCACATTGTGGATGGGGCCAATCCCACTCCTCCCTTGACCAGCCGTCTGGCCGACTGTTCCAGCTACCAAGCCGTAGTAGTGACTCCTCACCCAACGTAAGTCAGCCCATCACATCCCTTCCATATCCAAAGCATTCTAACCATCCCAGCACCGTAACCACCACGGTGGCCACCGAGACCGTGACCGTGACCACCACCTTGGGAGGCCCGGTGCAGCGTCGAGCCAACGTCGCTGCCCGACAGGTCACGTCAACCCCAACCGCTGTGCCCACCTACCTGGATAACCCCTGCTTCAATCCCGGCGTCTATGGCTCCGCCTGTGCCTGTCTCGGGGTCTCCCAGACCACCACTACAGCGCCCACTCCCACCAGCACCGTCTCCGTCACCGTGACCACCACCACGACCACCACCGTGACTCCCTGCGTCGGCGGGAACTGTGGCTCCTACGTGCCCGTTCCCTGTCCTGAAGGCGTCTGTGCCTGCGGCTTCGACGTCAACGGCGATACCTTTTGTTTTGTGGGAGAAGATTGTGGCCCACAATGTACAACTAATGCGGAGTGTGGTGCCGGCTTTAGATGTCTGGTTGGTAGTTGCTGCGGGGATAACGTCTGCAATCACGAATCCACGGGCTCTTGCCTTAACCCGCCTTTGCAGCTGCAGGGGGCTCCGCCGGTCGATCTGACTGGCTGCTCTAGTGTGTCGTGTCCGGATGGAGATGATATCTAATTGTCTTCTCCCGGTGTGCTCGGGTTTGGATCCGGGGTAATGATGTTTATGACGTTGTTGTTGTTTGAAAGCCAGCTTGGTTGTGGGCCCAGATTGTCAAATACTGTGAATCGAAGCATATTGTGCGTTCAATCTATTCAACTGCCCATTATACTTGATGTATCAGATCATAGCACCAATGGTGGTTTGTAGACGTTAACTTCACAACAGGATATGACGAGACTGTCAAGATACCAACTCTTCGCAACATGCTACAATTGAACAATGGTTCTTCGGCCACACTTACCATGCTGTCAGGGTGTGGACTTTCTTCACCTGCGGTTCACCAGAGGGAACCAGCCTGGATTTCGTGCGGAGTAAGCCGATCGGCATATACATACACAAGTAACCTAATACTCATTCACTCTTGTGTAGAGTGGATAGGTTTGCGAGTGGCCTGGACAACCATAAAGGGTGAAAAGGTAATTGTGGTGCAGTATCTCATCATCTTCACTGCGGATTGATTGTGGAAGTATATCCAAGCAGCTGGCTGTGAATTAACTACAAGGGTGGATGCACTTGGGTTGTTTTTTCAATAGGGATCTTCCGCTGATTCAATAGTTTATTCTAGTTGCTTTCAAACAGAAGGTAAAAAGACTTGTGACTTGATTGTTTACTGTATCCACTAGTATTGGGGGAATCTGCCTTTAGGTGACACAAGAGGTGCCTTTTCTCCACCACCACCTCCTCTTCTTCTTCTTCCTCCTCCTCCTCCTCCTCCTTCTCTCCATCATCAAAAAGCTCCAAGTCTCCTAAATCTTGTCGCGAGATCATAATGAAATCCATATATCCTAAAATGATGGGCACCATGCTCCCCGCCTACTACCCCTCCGTTGCCGCATTAAGTGAGCTGAAAAAGACCCTGATCAAGGATCTCACCCCTGAGACCCATCATCGCGGTTCATATCTCTTACTGAGAGACTTCACGCCGACGATAATCAAGAATGCAATCCATGCCGTGGTGGCAGATGAGAGCGGGGACATTACGATATTGCAGCTTTCCAGCCAAGAAAGCAGTATTGCTACTGATGGCCGACTTGCTGAAGGAAAAGTGATACTCATAAAGGAACCTTACTTGACGACCATGGCTGACGGAGATTGTGGTTGGCGGGTTGACCATCTCTCCGATATCTGGTTCATCCCGGATCATGACCCTTTGGTGCCGTTCGTATGGAGAAGTCAGCCAGATACTCATGCCTCTGCCGCTTCATGGAAAACAAAAGGAAATGGTCACTTCAACAAGGCCGCGTATTATCTCGCTATTGACTGGTACGTATGATTGTGAGAGAAAGCACAAGCTGACCATAGTACAGTTACTCCAAGGCTCTGGAATTCTCCCCAACCCTCCAAGAAGACATCACTATCAGACTGAATCGTGCTCTGGCTTGTCTCAAAACTCGCCAATTCGACGCAGCCCTTCGTGATGTCGAGCTGGTCTTGTCAAAGTATTTTTCCTCTTAAAAAGCCCTATCTCGTAAATCGCAGGCCCTATACTACCTCGAAAGATTCCGGAAGTCTTGTGGAGTTCACAAAATGCTCAGCAAGGCATATCCAAATAACAGCGCCGCTAAAGGCGAGTTTAGTATGGTCAAGGCCCGACTCATGGAGGCGCAGAGCGGCCAGTATCCATCCAAACAGTTGCAGCAAGAAGCAACAGAACGTCGTCCTCCCCTTCTTGATCGTGCGACATACATCGGCCCTGTCTCGGTAAGATCTACAGAGTCCCATGGACGCAGTTTATTTACTACAGAGGCGGTCCAGACGGGTGACCTTCTGTTGTGTGAAAAAGCCTTTGCGTATGCCTCTAATGACACGACTGCTGATTCAAGCACGGCTTCGCACCTGATGAACCCCCAGACAAACACTATGATGAAGGGCACCAAGGTAGAACTGATCAGCCTCATCGCGCAAAAACTATACAGGAATCCGTCGTTGATGCCAACCTTGACTGATCTGCGCCATGGCTCCTATACCCCGGCGGACATCACCGCTGTCGACGATAAACCCGTCGTGGATACGTAAGTACCACACTACAACTACTATCAACCCTACTAACAATCCAAGTTTCCTCATCGAGCAAATAGTCTCAGTAAATTGTTTCAGCTGCCCGGTCTCCTCGCGCGCACTCCACATACGAACCATAAAAGAAGCCAAGGCGCAACAACACGAAACAACCAACAACCAACATAATTCCTGCGGCATCTGGCCTCTAGCATCCTACACCAACCACTCCTGCTATGCCAACTGCTACCGATCCTTCGTCGGAGATATGATAATAGTTCGCGCCACCCAGGATCTCCCTGCAAACACGGAACTCACATTCCAATACATCCACCCCAACATCAACCCCGAATTCCCTGATTTCCAACACTGGGGGTTCCAATGCAGCTGTGTTATCTGTCAGGATCTTCGAGATACAGGGGACCAAGATCTGGCTAAGCGAAGACAACTCATGACCGACTTGGAAACGGCCTTTTCGCTTTGCTACCGCCCCCAAAACCGACGTACCGAGATCCCTAATATCGAAGGCATCATTTCAAAGATTGAGAAAACCTACCGGCGACCGTCAACCGAAGTGCCTCGTCTCGGCATCTGGGGGGCGTATATGTCCTTGGCAATGGTACAGACCAGTCGGCCGCAGGAAGCCATTCGACTGGTGTTCCGAACGCTGGAGTCGCTCGGTTACGTGGTTGAAGGCGGGAAACTTCCGCATGCGCCTGGCACAAGATTACTTGTCAAGAAATGGGGCTTCATGATTGATGGTCTTGTTGGTTGTTGGATGATTCTTTGCCGCGCGTATTGCAAGGAGAAATGTCCCGATTTGGCTGGCCAAGCGGAAAGGTATGCGAGAATCACCTATAGGATGTGTGTTGGTGAGGAGGAGACGTTTGGGGATACCTACAGTCGGGACTCGGACCAGGTTGATGGGATGGTTGTCGTGAATTAGGTTTTTGTTACCTGCTGCGTTGCCAGTTGGTCGTCGATATAGGCTGATGTAGGCTCGCAAGACCTACGGCTCTATTTCTGGAATAGGATAGATCTTGCGACATACTGGTATCTTTCCTTCCAGAGGAATTGTGATGAGATGGTCTGGCTTCTAGGGAACTTTTGGGTACGTGATGGAATTTAATTAATCATAGTTTTTGAATGGTGAACTGAACTTTTGTAGTCTTCGTGGTACTGATAGTAGGTACTGTTTCATGGAATCTATACTTTCTCAAGGAACAAGTACTATGTATGTTATCGTATGCCAGTGCTTTTCTCTACATAGACGGAAACCGACAAGTCCTATTTTTCTCCAATAGCAAATCAGCACACATTCATATATGTGTCGAGTGAACTAGTCGTAGTGACTTGTACCAAAGTAAGATGACTGTGGTGAAGCATCTCCCTACATTCAAAATATATGAATTGCTTAAGGGAATTCCTACGGTAGGATTCCTCTCATCACTTCATGATATTCCCTAGCTACTAATTCCCCTATATCCATTCCCCGTAGACATTGCCCTATAAAACCCACTCTTTGCCCGACAATCACCTTTTTTTTCCCTCCGAAATTTAAGACTCCTGCATACGAGATGCAGGAGTATCCTACGCACTGAGGTGTTTTGGGTCCTATTATAATATCTATACCACAGACACATTCATCCTCAATCTAATCAGCTTCAATACTCCCGCAATACATCCACCTCTACTCCATCTGCATCATCCAACCCTAGACAAACAATCCCGCTATCATCCGCGGAAAGACGACCCGAAACCAAAGACATCACTCAAGGTTCTCTAATCCATCATGACCATCGCTTCAATCCACATCCATATCTCACCAAGCACATAAGCCAACCAAAGCACCAGTCACACCTCCTCCTCACAAACAAGAACCCCAATCCCTTAAAAAACAAACTCCAACACAGACAATCAACTCACATAAACCCCAAATACAACTCCACCAACACCACAAAGACCAAATTCCAACCTCATCTACACCTCAAACACAACCCTACCCTACAGCTAGATACACTCTCCCACAACATGTCGATTGTATCTCCACGAAAACCCCATCTCACCTCACCTCACATTCACAGCAAAACTAGCGAAAGAAATCCCCTACCGCGTGAAACAGAGGAATCAATACGTACCAAACACTCCTATACAGTATCTCAATCCATGGATCCAGACCAGCAAGCTAAGCTACACAGCAGTCGTGGCGACGGACTTAGACAAGGAGAATATCAGAGCACTCCCACGCTTCGCATACACTAGATTCAGCATATCATACCACGTCAACGACGCTTGGTTTCAATTCCTCTCGGTCAAGTATTACCTGGAATAAAAGCGCACAGTACCCCGTGCCGCCACTTCAGCGACAGCGACAATATCTTCCACTCCTGATTCATGTCCCCTTTGCATGCAAGGAAACATTCTTCCAAGACGCCTACAGCAACTATATCAGACACAGTCAAATAATCTATATATACCACGACACGAAGGAAAAGAAAGAAGAAAGAGGCACGGACGGAGAAATTGCGTTCATAAACTAAATTACATACCGTTGTTGCGGAATAACGAGGATGTTGAGGATGCAAGGATCTCGTCTGTTGACTCCGAACACGGTGCTCTGTCCGCGTCCTCTAACAGGGGTGTGTCGCCCTCAAGATGAAAGGTCGAAATGGTTGATTATTCGGTCGAATTGGGAGTGTCGATAGCATGAGGGATATACCTATCTACCTACCTACCTACCTTCTCAATTTATCTCGAATATATCCCTCACGGGAACTGGAAATGACACATTCGATAAATTTCGAGAAATGATGAAGGCAGTCTTTGTTTTTTAGTCTGAGGTGGAAGAGTGATGATATTAATGCTTTCTTTGGTGAAAGGTGCTTAATACTCAGGGGATAGGTGTCCTAGGGTTTGTAGTTGTTGGGATGGTGCTCGATAATGTGTTGGTTGGCATTATCTTCTTCTGATTTTAATCTCCAAGGCAATGCAGAAGACAAGATAAGGCAATATCTGGGATATATGCATTTTGCTTATATCTTTACTCTGGTCGTGGGGTATACATTCAGTATTGTTGATAAAGGTGAGTATCATCAATATGTCCCAAAAGGGATGGTTGGTTAGGAAGGGGGGAATGAGGGAAAGGCTTCTGAAAGATGTAAAAGGAAGTCTGAGTGGGGTTTGGCATTCCCTCTTTTGTTGCTATGGTACATGCTTTGTTGCTTGCGGTTTGTTGTCGTTCATGTTGTGGATCGATTGCGATTGAGATTGCTTAGTTGGGTATGTTGCATGTCTAGGTTGTACTCTCTTGCGGAGTTAACTGTTTGTAATTTTAACTGGGGCGTTAGAATAGCTCGGTTGGAACCGACTCATATGACTTTATGGTTTTGGGTGCTATGTGGGTAAATGGGGTGGTAGTGGTAGGAGGTGAGGTCAGGGGTGATCTACAGCATATCTTTAAAGGTATTGGGTTGTCGTCGACTCTGAGTGAGTATCAGACTTTTGACATGACTAGAGTAGGATGGACCGCAAACGCCTAAACACAACCAGACCTATGTAAGAAACTTGATTAAATACAATGGCATATCATCGGGTATCTGCAGCATGTTTATGACCAGACGCATTATCGCTGTCACTCAGTAAACTTTGGCTCAAGCCCTCTGCCGCGGGTGAGGTTGTTCGTTGGACCGGGCTGTTCCCTCGGCTGATAGAGAGTAAACTCGTCCTGGTCATTGGTGACTCGGTCATTTCGCGAGCAGGCAAGCTATCACGGACCACATCCTGATGACTTCGATGAATCCCGTCGCTGGCAAGGGATCCACTATCGTCCAGCAGACTAGCTTTGTTCCATTCCTTGTTCCCCTCTCCCCGAGCAGTCGAGCCCAGCGCAACCAGCTCCGTGACCAACTGACTTTGCGATTTGACAAATGATCCCCGGTCGTCCCGCATAGGCTGGTAGCGCAAATCAGGGTTCTTCGAGAAGATGGCGTAGGCTGAAGTCAAAAGGACGAGGACAAGAAGAATCAGCACAAAGGCCGCATTGTAGACGAAGAAAATAACCCCCATCACACCCGTCACGATGCCAGGCTGGTCGAAAATCTGCGAAAAGAAGAGCAGAAAGATGGCATTCACAAAATTAATGGCTGCGATGGCGATGTTATACCCGTTCGTCTTTTTATCCATCCACGGACGCACAATACTGATCCCAATAAGGGCAGACGTCTCGATAATCAGCAGAGCCACGGTCTGCACAATCGGGGCCGGTTGGCTCAGACTGATAAACATCGCTTTGACAAAGGTATAGACCAGGGTGAAAACAAGGAAATAGTAGGCAGTTGCTCGGTAATGCACATACAAGAACCCCAGCTTGTTCAGGCATGCCTGGTCGGAGTAAAGAATGTATGCTGGGTTCCTGTGCAACGTAACAGACCGTCTTGCCAGAATGATGACTCTACATGCAGCCCAGCCCAGGGTGCAAATCATGGAAACGAGCATAATCACGGCCAGAACGACCTCGGCAGCCGAATCGTGTCGAGTAAATTCCCACAGGCAAAGAACGCACATCTGGGGAAATCCAATGAAGATAAGTCGGTAAAGAATGCCTTTGGACACTTGAAAGTCCCCAACTTTGTCGGCCCTAACCTTCCCCTTCTTCACAAGCAGGTAGCCACCCGCCTTGACTGATGCGACGAGGATCATCACCACTGCCACAAAGAAGACGAAAAAGATAAAGCCATTGAGGAAAATATTGGTGCCCTCAATATGGGCCTTGAACCCCACGCGACCAATGCCCCGCACAACAGAAGTATCAGTGTTGGCTGTCTCCGATTGCGCATATGCCCGTTTGACCAAACTGCCGATTCCGTCAAAAGATCGCTTTCGTTTGAGCACCTCCACAGACGTCGTAGAGAGCTCGGATAAAACAGTAGACGGCTTCCCGCCAGTAGATCGTTGGTACCAGGTGCAAATCGTGTCCAGGAAATGAACATGAATAATCCCCATACTCCACTGCAAATTCTGGGTCCAAGCTTCCACGATCGGGGGCATGTGGACCGATATCATGCCAAACATGGCCTGGGATTGCATGAAGCTGAAAAAAGCAAGCACATTAGCAGCGACGTGGGCAGCCGTGTTGGAGTTACCCAGACCCGCCGCCACCGCGGATGCGATAAGCCCAACACCTGAAATCACCGCCGTAGCCCATCCGACCCCTTTCTGGTAGACCGTCTTTCCATTGGACAATGTCGCTTCGAGGCAGGTGATACTCGATCCGGTGTCAGTGGAATTAATGTAGACACGAACGGTGGCATCAAGGTCTGGCACGCTGTATGCGATACCTATTCACAGTCAGTAGGGACTCGTTTGCGCCAGGAGCATACTGACCCGGAATCCGGTGCACCACATCATCTGGGATATTGATGACTGCATTCTGAACATTGATGGCCCCCGCGCTCATGGGGCAGAGACCCTGCAGACCCATCTTGCAAGGATCCAGGGTCTCGCCGGTGAGTTGGTAGCCGTAGACATCGACTAAGAGATCAGCTGTGACTTTGCCGGAAATCGCAGCGACGCCATCGAAACTGAGAGCCAGGGATTTGTTTCCGGGCGTGAAGCGGACGCTGAAGTAAGTGGCGGTGAAATTGGGGCTGTTCTGACAAATGTTCAACGCGTTTGATTCAATGAGCCTGGTTGCCGCCACCAGCGGCGCCGTGCAGGTGAGAAGAGCGCTGATAAGACACGTTGACCAGCGCATTCTCACGGTCTCACTGAGAGGATAAACGAATGGAATGGGGAAGATGGAGCAGTTAGCGGTTGGTGATAACGACGGAGAGCAGAGTGCTATGTGACATGTCGTCCAGCGTCTGCGAGCGAGTGGAACGTCGTGGGGTGGGAGAGAGAAGGAGAGGGCCGTGGTTACGCAGGATATAAGCCTGACAGCGCCCGGAGCCAGTGCAGGTGCCAAGCGTGTCAGTTGGTCGCCTTCAATGGCCAGGACCCTTGGGCCTTAGGCCGGCCCCAGCTAATTTTAGCACCGGATCGCCTTGACTCTGGCCTCGCCCCTCCGGTTAATACTGATCCTCTGAGTCCGGACGGAGTACGCCAGATGACTATTATCATGGTCGGAATACAGTATATAGAGGATTTACACTCAGTTGTATGTAATATGTACCTTCTACAAAAGCTTTTCGACCCTGAAAATAGGTACCCGTCCTCCGCCCCAGAAAGGGTCCTGGTCGTGATTGGGCGCAGGCAGATAACCGGGCGCTGATCATCCTGACAGTTAACCTAAGATAAGCATTCCGACAGGCGCAACCAGATCAAATCTCCTTGCAGGAGTGGGTGTTGGGAGGCGCAGTAGATGATCATTGTCCGTCACTTTCCGTAGTTTCATCTTGCTGACAGGGTTGCAAAGGACTTGAAATTGGTTGAACATCCGATGAGTTAGCTCGGGAGAAAGTGCTAGCAAAAAGGAGGTGAGCAGGCAGCTGACTAGGATGATAGATAACCAGGCCTAAAAGGGAAGTTCGGAAGGGACCGGACGGAGAGAAAAAATGAAAAGAAAAAATGAATGGGACGAGCCGGGCTTGAACCGGCCACCTCCAGATCTTCAGTCTGACGCGCTCCCAGATGCGCCATCGTCCCTGATTCATGTATTCAGGCTGGTTTTTAAAAACTATGTTCCTGTGTGAAATGTGTGCCTACCATATTGACATGCCCTGGAATTTATCGGGCTTCTTGGTTCTTAGATGATACAATTCTCCCAAAGTATAGTCAATCTACTTGCTACTACTTTATTCTTCGAATAAGCATCTCAAATACAATCTTTTATTGTGATGCAGTGGTCAATGTTCTGTTTTGAGTACTTGGGCTACTCCGCTCTCAGAGAAGGCCTGGCAGTATATCAGATGTATGTGGCGGCCCCTAGGGGGGTCAAGCTTATAAGGGATGCGCACCTGAGCCTAGTGGCTCAGAATCCTAGTCTTTTGCCAGATAGTGTAGCTGTCTAGCAGGGGTTCCGTCCCTACAAGCGCACCTAGGGAGCAGCCCTGACAATGTACAGAATTTACAATTTCTGCATCCACTTCTTGACTGGGTCTAGTTTCATAATTCTCATGGTGTAAACATATAGCTACAGCAATATCTCAAATATATCCTATGACGCTTTCTGACTCGTGATATACGGGTTATATATCAATTACTTTTTACATATAAGCGATGGACAAACTCAGATCCAAGATATCATCTTAAACACTAGCAGATTTGCTAAATCCATGATGAGAAGTCAACAAATACATAGGGGGCTCGATTAATCTGCAACCCCATATAGATACGTTGGAAGAGGATTCCGATGAGATGTCTACGGATCTTGCCTCTCTCAGAGGTTGGTACTAGTCTAAGACACGCCTATAACTGGATAAAGTAGCCTGAACCAGTTTTATAGTTCCTGTTCGATATCACCATCAGCATCACCATCAATACGCGGAACCCATCGAACATCTCCACCAACTGGTGGGTATCTATCTGACCCGTCTGGCCCCTTACCAGCACAGAAAAGGGGCAGTACTTTATACACCCACCATCCAACACTCCGAGATCAGTCCACGTAGAGCGAACAGCCCCCAATCTTGACTGAGTTGGCCGAGCCAGACGAAATCCACGTATACTCCCGGTCGGTTGTGTACAGGACCTCCACCCGTCAGCCTGAGCTGCGGGGTAACCAAGCAGCCGCCTGCCTTGCGTCCCCTCAAAGAACCCCAACCCCAACTCCAACCCCAATCCTGTTCTTATATTCGATTCCCTCCACACCAAATCCAAACAAAATGCCCAGGGCTCCACTCCGCAGGGGATTACTGCTCCCGATCGGGGAGATCCCGGTGGATTCCATTCATGCCGATCCGACCATCTCCGCATCCAAGAAGGACCTCAAAACGATTACATCGTATAATCTTCTTCCCAAGCGGACGCAGACCATGATTGTGCCTGGTACAGACCATCTCCCCTGTTCGAACACTTACTAGAACCAAGTGCTAAACATAAACAAAAGGCACCCCCGCAATCTGGAAACCAGTCACCACCCCCCGCAAACTCAAACCGGATGCCGGAAAATACATCCTGGATCCTAATGGGCTCGTCTTTCCCAAATTCGCCATGGAGCCGCTCCTCAGAGCCATTGCCGTCACTCAGCCCCGGATGAAGCTCAACGATGTTGATCTTATCACTGATCGGAGGAATCTCCGACTTCTCTTGGCGTTTGTTAGCGGTCAAAAGAAGGAGTTTCGAATTAATGTAGAGGTGGTCGAGTCGACTGTGTTTCTGTCCACCTGGGCACCAGTCAAGACCAATTTTGTCAGCAAGTTCGAGGGCTACGGGCACGAGTTTGAAAGCGTCTCGACGTGGAAGCCGCGGTATATTCGGGACAGTATCATTCATGCTCGTTCGGTTGGGTATACTCTCGGGGGAATCAAGATGCTGCTTCGCTTTGAAGTAGATGCGTGCATGCCGGCTAGAAAGCATAGTGGTGGAGGGGTTGCTCCAATTGAAGCGCCGACAGGCATCAAGGTGGTGAATGAAGGAACCTTGGTGGGCCCGTCACGCATCGTGGAGATCAAGACGGGTCCGGTCGCGAAACGTCTGGATTTCGCCAAAAATATGGCGCAGATGTGGTTCTCCCAGACGCCCTTTCTATGTAAAGGGAACTATGAGGCTGATGGGACGTTTTTGCCCGCAGAGGAGAGGAATGTGGAGAAGGAGGGGAGACTCGCCAAGTGGGAAGAGGACAACAAGGAGAAGATTCAGAAGCTAGTCCGTGTTCTCCAAAAGATCTTTGAGGTTGTGAGATGTGTGCCGCATAGATGTGCACTGGTGCATGAAGGCGACAATACATTGAAGGTATATCAGGATGGAAACCCGGGCCATAGGGGGATCCCAGAGGATCTTCTAGCCATGTGGGATATACCAGCGGTAAAGAATGGTTAGGTTGGTCTGAGACCCAACGTTTTTGGCTTGATGGATCGGGAATGTTTATGGTTCAATTTGACAATCCCAATGGATATTATCCACAATCCGCAGGTTTGCGATCATCGTCGAGGAAAGACCTGATGACGACTCTTGGCTATGGAGCCCATGTCAGTCCGTCGCGCCCGAGTTTACAGAGAGGAAGTGGAGGGAGGGAGCGAAACGATGGATGTGGAGAATCTCATGGCCAGGTCAGGCACATCAGGTCGGGTGGAGAGGACATGGAGCTGGAAAGGATCGGCCCCCTTTCTGCGTCGGCCACCTCATCCTACTTTACTTCCGATGCAGAACCCAGCATCCTGTATTTAGTACCTAGAACGAACCATCCATATATTGCAACATCTACAAAAATAATGGAGGGCGAAGAAGGAAAAGTAGCGACATAACCAGCCGAAAATAGATTAACCCGAACCGTATTATCATATATGTCATACAAATCTCTATCCAGACACGCACGCTAACTTTTGCCTAACCAAGCCAATCCCGAAAACGCTACAGCAATCCGCGAAGAACGCCCGTCTGCTCCAACACAGCCCGGCGGCTGGTACCGCCCACTGCATCCTTCAGTTCCACCGCACGCTCGTAGTCCAAGCAGGCCTGAACGTCGTTGTCGAACCGAGCATCCACTGTCTGGAGCTGCTCCTGCGAGAGGGTGTCCATGGGAACGCCATTCTGCTCAGCCAGAGCCACGACCCGGCCGGAGATGTGGTGACCCTCGCGGAAAGGCACACCCTTGCGGACGAGGTAGTCGGCGAACTCGGTGGCCAGCATCTCCGGCGCCAGCGCGGCGATCATCTTCTCCGGGATGACGGTAAGAGTCGACAAGACACCGGTGGCGATCTGGATGCTGTCACCGACAGTCTTGATGTGGTCAAGCAGGGGCTCCACGCTCTCCTGCAGATCCTTGTTGTAGGTGGTCGGGAGACCCTTGATGGTGCACATCAATCCGGCCATCTGGCCAAAGGCACGACCGGCCTTTCCACGCAGAAGCTCCAGGCTGTCTGTGAAGGGTCAGTATGAATCTGTAGAGAGCGGGAAGGAAACCGACCTGCGTTCTTCTTCTGAGGCATCAACGACGAACCAGTCGAGTAGGCATCGGACAGGCGGACGAATCCAAACTCCAAACTGCTGTAGATGATCAGATCCTCCGCCCAGCGGGAGATCTTAAGCATGAAAGAGCTGCCCCATTGCATGGTCTCCATGGCGAAATCGCGGTCGGCCACGGCGTTCATCGAGTTGTACAGCAGACCATCGAAGCCAAGCTCCTGAGCCATGGCCTCACGGTCGATCTGGAAGGGGTTTCCTGCAAGAGCACCGGTACCGAGGGGACTGCGGTTGACGCGCTTGGTGACCTCACGCAGACGCTGGAGCTCGCTGGCAAAAGCGGTCGCGTGCGACAGGATCCAGTGACTCCAGCGAACAGGCTGGGCCTTCTGCAGGTGGGTGTAACCGGGCATGATGTAGTCAATCTCGGACTCGGCACGGGCAATGGAAACCTTGATGAGGTCGCACAGGAAGCTGTCCAGCTTGCGCAGCTCATCGCGCAGCCACAGGCGCATGTCCGTGGCAATCTGCTCATTACGGGACCGGCCGGTGTGCAGCTTGCCACCAATCTCCTTGCCGATGATCTCGGAGAGACGGCGCTCGTTGGCTGTGTGGATGTCTTCGTCGTTCTCCTTGGCAACGAAGGTGTTGGTGCTCCATTCCTCGGCGATCTGCTTGAAGCCGCGCTCGATCTCGGCGAACTCGTGGGCGGACAGGATACCAGACTTGGTGTTGGCCCGGGCGAAGGCAATAGAACCAGCAATATCCTGCTTCCAGAAGATGCGGTCGTAGGGCAGGGACATGTTGTACTGCACCATCAAGGGGTCGAGGCCCTCTGCAGCCGACAGTGTGCATTAGTCGCTATCACAATAGAAGGCATTGAGCAGGGAAGAGAAGACTTACGGGTAAATCGACCTCCCCAGAGCATATTTTCGGCGACTGCTTTAGAACCGCTCATTTTGAATTGTGTGTAGTGATGAATGAAGAGGAAGAAGAGAGAAGAGAGAAAGCTGTTAAGAAGAAGACGGGGAGTGGTGCCGGCTGGATTAGGCAAGTCTGAATCACACTCGCCAGCGACATCGGGGCGCTAGGCTGCTTCCAGATAACGCCCTCGGTCCAATCAGAGGAGCCGGTTGGCAGCGGGTCATCAAATCACGTGTAAAAATGACTCATCGCGGGGCATCAGTATGGTCACGTGAATATCTTAGGTCGGGCATGATCTGCATCGTCTAGACTCGTCAACTTTTACTTCTGACATATAGTTATGTTATCTACCTACAGCTTATGTACAGGAAATTGCACGTCTACAACAGTACCCGCATCTGGTCAGTGGCGGTGAATTAGTACTCGAATGATTCCTCTAGAGTATATTTCGGTGCACGGACTACTACTACAACAACAGTAAGCTATCTTAAATGTTTCAGAGACATAGCACGGACATGGCATCTCTGGTCAAATTGGCTGTAGGGATATGTTGGCAAGCCTAGAATTTTTCATGCTGTTCCACAAGGAGTACTGAACAGGTACTGTTTCCTGCAACACGAGCGTTGAGACAATGCGGTACCTCGTCATGAATTGCGGGGTTGCATTGATTTTTGGATGAGATCGCTGAATGCCATGTACTACTAGTAGAAAATAAACTGCTGGAGCCAAGCCAATGGCTTATTTGTCAGAGTGGCATTGGTGAATTGGGGTCGGTAACCGACACTTGACAACTCACCGTGAGAAGGTGGCGGTTATATATCCGTGGTTGATTTGGCAGCTGGAAGTTCTTAATTTGGTGGGGTGCGCCTGTTAGTGATCTAGACTTGCATTTCATTGAGAAGAACCTGTTTCTGTAGTATTAACGAAACAGCTCGAGGGAGAAACACCACGATGAGCCCATCCAGAGGGAAATAGTAGTGGATGGATAATAATGCGGGGATCAAATCCGATCGAGTGCGGCGGATCAATCCAGAATGCGGAGAGGCAGTACGTAGTGGAGTCAGCTGCAACCAGCCAGGAACCACATTCCAGGATCCTTGGTTCCTAGTTGGATGGTAGTATTACTGCATTGGATCATTAGGCTGGATATTCTTCTTGGGCATTGCACATGCCGTGCCATTCACTGGCTGGTAATGCCTGTAGACTCGACCTTATTTTACCTTTCTACCCCACTCCTTCTACTCCTTACTTCTACTTCTTCTACCTCCCTCTCCCTCTACCTCTACACCCCTCTACTTTTACTTCTACTCCAACCTCACATCCAATCCATGCCCACAGACAACAAACCCAACAAACCCAACATGACAACCCCCTTCCCCCCACCCCCAGTCACTTCCATCGACTGGGACAACGTGGGCTTCAAAGTGCGCGATGGTACGCCCGCCCCTTCATACCCCTCCCTCACTCTCCCTCCTACAAAAGACCCCCCACTAATCAAAAATTCATCAATATACAGTAAACTTCCACATCCAAAGCACCTACACCACCACCACCGGCACCTGGAGCGCCCCCCAACTGATAAAATCCCCCCTAATCCCTCTCCACGGAATGTCCCCCGCCCTCAACTACGGCCAGCAAGCCTACGAAGGCCTAAAAGCCTTCCGCCACCCTTCCTCTACCCCCCCCAGCACCAGCACCACCCCCAGCAAAATCACCATCTTCCGACCCCACCGCAACGCCTCCCGCCTCACCCACAGCACCACCTACGTCTCCATCCCCCCGATCCCAGAATCCCTCTTCGTCCAATGCGTCAATCTCGCAGTAGCCACCAACGCAGAATACGTACCCCCGCATAACACCAAGGCGGCACTCTACATCCGTCCCGTTGTCTTCGGGTCTAGTCCCCAGCTCAGCCTCACCCCGCCGGACGAGTATACTTTCGCTGTGTTTGTTACGCCGACTGGGGTCTACCATGGGGTTCATGCCGTGGACGCCCTAATCCTCGAGGACTACGACCGGACCGCACCATCCGGGACCGGCAGTGCGAAAGTAGGAGGGAACTATGCCCCCGTGCTGCGTCACAGCGCAGCAGCATATAAAGATGGATTTGGAATCACGCTTCACCTAGACAGTAAGACCCGGACAATGGTGGATGAGTTCTCGACTAGTGCCTTTATCGGAGTGAAGAGGGACAAAGACGGAGGGATCACGCTCGTGCAACCCGATAGTCCGAATGTGATTGATTCGGTGACTGCGGCGTCGGTGTTGGAGATCGGGGAGAGGATGCTCGGGTATAAAGTTGAGAAGAGAACCGTGAAGTATGAGGAGATCGCGGAGTTTAGCGAGGTGATTGCTGCTGGGACAGCGGCGGCGTTGGTGCCGGTGAGGAGTATCTCGATGAAGTCGAGAGGGGATCGGTGGGAGCTTGAGTGTGGAGGGACGGAGGGGGGAGGTGGGCCGGTTTGTGTGGAGTTGTTGAGGTTGTTGCAGGGGATTCAGACAGGGGAGGTGGAGGATATATTTGGGTGGAATTGGGTGGTGGAGAGGCCAGAATTGGAGGGTGAAGGAGAAGGGGAGAAGGAGAAGGATCGGGAGGATAAGGAGTTGAATGGGGTTAATGTGCCTTAGTTTCTTTCTCTCTATGGTCTATTGTCGAGGATTGTAGTCGGTGGCTAGTGAAAAAAGTAATACGGCTAGTAATGGTTTATTATCATCAGACTGGACAAAAAGTTCAATTACATTGCAACCGAATCACCTGCCGACTGCACTGCTAGAATTACAACAACAGGCTTCCAGGAAAAAAAAACAAAGTATGTATGTATTGCACGCCACATCACATGCAATCCTGGCATGGAAGAAAAAGCCGAAACATGCCCAACGCACAAGCGCGTGACAACAGATCATACAAACCACCAAATTATGTAAACACGGACCTCTGCTGGAGGGAACATACATAGCTGCTGCTGCTGCTGCTGCTTAATCGCTATCGCTGTCACTGCTCTCACTGTCACTTTCACTTTCACTCTCACTTTCGCTCTCATCGCTGTCTGACGGCGGTGAGAACATGTTGCGCTTTCGGGGCTGGTTGTTCGCGGCCCGTCGTGGCTGCGTCTTAGCTTCTAGCTCCTTCTTCTGGTTTTGGATCAGCGACTTCAGCGTGGTGCGTGTGGTCCGGGTCGCGCTGGGGGGACGTGCCCACGCCTGCGACGGAGCAGGTTGCGAGGCGGGAAATTCAGAGGGCGTGGTAGAGTTGGGTTTGATAAGTGAAGACGCCGTCTTGCGAGGGGAGGTTTTGCTGACAGGCTCGTCCTCAGATCCCGAGTCAGACTCGGATTCGGATTCCGATTCCGATTCCGATTCAGAACTGGATTCTGAATCGGACGATACCTCTACCGGGGCCTGAGGGGACGGTTTGGGAGCCTGCTGCGGCGATCTGACCGGAGTGGGTCGGACAGGTGTCCCATTCGGTTTGGCAGAGCCGGCGCGGTATACAGTTCTTCCCATAGGCGGCAGATCCAGACCGTCCGAGGCAATGGAACTCTGAGGAGGCTCGCTTGCGACAGTCTTCGGGGACGCTGCCGTCTTGCTGGCCAGCCTGCTCCGCGCTTGAACCGGGGCGGTCTTCCCCGTTGAAGCTGGTGTTGACTTTGGACCATTTGCAGCTTTCGCGGCCTGGGGGGTCGGAACGACGATGGAGACCTCATCATGGTGGGAGCGTGGCGTTGATTTCTGCGACCCCTGACCGTTAGTTGTGGGTTTAGGCGAAACAAGGGCTGCCTTAGTTTTCAGCGAGGCCTCAAACTTCTCGACCTCCTTCCGCTGCGACTCAAACTTGATACGCTGAGTCTCCAGCTTCCCTCGGCGACCCTCCTTTTCAGCCTTCTTGTAAGCAGTCCATGCGGTCGACATATCCGTCAGTTTGCGGATATACTCAGGATCGGCCTTCTGCTGGCGTGCGGTCCCAATCTTAGCCTTCAAGTCCTCTTCAAATCGTTTATCCTGCTCAAACTTTTGGTTGGCTTCTTCCATGAGCTGGTCCAGCCGCTCTTTGGGCACCGAAGCGGGGAAGATCATAGAGCTGGAGTCCGACGTTCTCCTGTTGGCATCCGTCGCCTTGGCCCGGACCTTTGAGGCGCTCTGAGGATTCGACTTGGGCGCGGGCTGAGAACCGGTGCAGAGAACCTCGTCTTCCTCGGCGAATGACACAGACCGGCGTTCAGATGGTCTTTCAGCCGGAGAATTCCTGCGCAAGGCTGAGTGCAAGACTTTGACCTTGTCGATCGGGGTTTGGAGTTTCGAGGGCGTGGAGAACTGGGGCAGCGATACTGACCCACGCCGCAGCGTAGGGGCGCTGCTGCTAGGGATCTCCGGGGTGCCATTGGGGGGTAGAAAGTTGGGTTGCGCGGGGATGGCCGAGTCCTGGGTCAAATGCATATGCCGTTTGTTAGGCGGACTCTTCGTAATTCCCAGCCCTAGGACAGACTTCGGGGGTTCTGACGGTACACGTGCTGAAAAGCTCAGGCGGCTACCAAATCCAAAGGATGGGGCCCTGGCGCGCTTGCGTGGAGTTGATGGACTCACCTCAGGTGTCACAATGCTCTTCTCAGCGGACTTACTGTCATCCTGAGTACTTTTGGGCTCGGAAAGACGGGGCTCCTTGCTCGGTTCGAAAATGTCCGGGCTCAACTTTCTCTTGCGCGAGCTACCGTTCGATTGTTGCACTTCCTGCGTAGCTGTCACGCCTGCATCGCGCATTACGACATCGCCATTCTGGGGTTGGTCCTTTGTAGCTGGCTGGGGTTCTACATTCTCGTCATTCTCGTTACCTGTCTCTTCATTCTCGCTCTCGCTTTCAACTATCGGGATTGGCGCCTGCGGTTCATGCACAGGCCGACGCTTGAGTGGCTGACGAATACTCAAGGGAGAGAGCGATCCATCGGCGCTGCCCACTTCGCGCGGTGCGGCAGCTTTAACTTCCGTGGCATCTTCCACAATCGGCCGTCTTGCGGGACCTTGCGATGAGCCATGCCTCGAGGACGCGGCTGGCTCTTTGGGCGTCGGGGTATGGGAAGGGGAATCTCCCAGCTCCTGACTCACCGTGCGCTTCTGAAGAGGTGTAGCCGCAATGGTGCTGCCCGTCTGGTCCTGGGAATCCTCCCCATGCACTTGTGACTTCTTATCCCAGGGCGCGGGCGATCCTGGAACCTCATCCTTTTCAACCGACGAAACGGGTATTTCTGATCGGCGGTTCCCATAAGATCCCCACGCAGACGATGGTCTACTCGCCGATTCCGAGTTCGAAAAATCAATATTCTCCTCCTCAGCAATGGTTGGGATCTGATTCATGGCCGCCTTGACTGCCTCCTTTTTGATCTGGATCTGGCGCTCAAAACTCTCTGCGGCCGCGTCCCAGTCTTGGGTGACGGAGGGAAACCGTACGGGGGCGTATTGACCAGGCTTTTGTATGACGCGGACAGTAGCTCGCTGATCAGAGCCATCCTGGCGTGCTCTACCGTTGTCCACGAACACCTCAGCAACGGTCATGTCGGCATCGAGGTCGTCGGATTCATGGCTGTCATCGAGGAGCTTCTTGATGTCCAATGGGCTAAGGTGACATGAACAGTCAGCGACAAAAGCCAACCCGTAGCGTGTACATCCAACAATCGTGTGCAGTCAAGGATACAGTAGCCAACAACCAAAGCATTGCACTTACTCCGCCTTAGGTCTCAGCTTCTTCCACTTGTCTTGGATCATACCCGCCAGCCCACCGAGTGTGATCTCCTCCGGCTTCTCAAGCACGAGCAGGAACGTGGCCGGCTTTCCGACAGTCGAGCCATTTGTATTGCGACTGGCGTCATCGCGGTCGCGATCACCGAGGATGGAGCGGAGCGAGAAAGATGAAGTAGGCGCAACCTGCTCGCGGGGGTACACCTTGACCCTCAGACGTAGGAAAACCATGGCGGAGGATGGGCGCAGTGATAGCGACTTGGTTAGACTCTTGAAGCAGCACGCAAAAGTGGAATGTGCATTATCCGGTAGAGACCAGTGAATTTGTGACGGATCGTATTTGGACGGCAGGAGGAGTGGGTTGTTGAGAAGGGAAGATTAAGGTGTCCGGGGAAGTCCTGGGGGGAAAGACGGAATTGAGCGACAGGTTACTATGAGTGGCAGGGAGTAACACTGACCTAGGACCAGGGGCCAGGGAATTGACAGGTGTTTGGTCCCTTCCCTGCAGCGCCAAAGACGTGAATCTCTCTATCTGATGAATATTGTCGGCTTCTCACCGCCTTATTGGTCCGCCCGACATGGAGCCCGCGCGTCTTACCGCCTGCCCAGACGGGCCGGCGTGCTGCGCTTAACCCCATCGGGAAGATTGCTATACAGCCCCAATCCAGTAATCTCTTAGGACTCGACTCATGGCTCTTACAGATCAAGTACACGTATCGGTCCTCAATATGCATCTAACTCATCCAGCTATCTTTGGAATGTTAAGCTAGACATGCAAAAAGTGACAAGCCAGCAGGGTAATGATAATGATAATAACAACGCCGGATTGTCTCCGGTCGTGGAGTATGACTGCGTCCCAGGCACCTCAACTCCAAATGTCCCCTGCATCCCAAGAAACTCCCTGGCTGGTACTAACACAAATGAGATACACTATCCAGCAGTTTTGATTAGCCAAGGGAAGACAGTACCAAGCCAGACAACAATTAAACCAATATAGCAGCCACCTGTAGCCCTCTAATGGCTCAACTTATATGTACAGAACAGATTATCAAGCAAACCAAAATCCCGGGTGGGGCTCAACCTCCATAGACCAGCCAGGCAATGGAAGCAAGCCAGCCGCTGATGAATACTACAGTAAGAACCGAGGCGCCTGCGCGATCTGCGGTCGTGATATCAGGCAGCTTGTCGGGTGAGCTCTTTGGAGCAGTGCCCGCATTAGGGTCGCTCTTGCTGGTGCCGCCGGTGTCCGACGTCAGCGGGCCCTGACTGTTACCTTGATTCTGATGCGTAATCATGCTGGATGAGAAGACGCTCAAGGCGCTCATATCTGTCTCGAGCGAGGTCTCGCCGTCCCACTGCGGTTGGTACCACCGCCGCCCACACTGAGTGCCGGAATCACCGCCTGAACATTGCTTCGCCGCTGCCAGGGCTGACTGTTGAATCTTGGGGAGAATCTCGCCAGCAGTGTAGGGCGCAATGGTCGTGGTAAAGGTCAACCAGGACGCTAAGAACCCTTTGAAGCAATCCTGGTTCCGATCGCACATCATGTTTGGTTCACAAGAGATTTCCGACATGACGTTGCTGCCGTATTGTTGTGGGAAAAACTTTTGGAAGGCACTTGCAAGCAACCCATTGAGTCCTTTCTTCCATTTGTCGGCACCGTTGGTCTAAAACCGTGAGTACTGAGACCATACCAGACAATCTTCAATCAGAGGGAACTTACTAGATTATACATGTACGCAGCCCCACTGATGTAGGTTCCATAGTTGTACGTCCACTGTATATCACCATGGTCCTTGCACTGTGCCTCGGTGGTCGTCGTGTCGGCAATGTACCAGGCGTTTGTCTGTAACAGCGGGGTTGTCGCACTCCAGTCCCAGATCTTCTCCGCCCAGTTGCTATACGTCTCATTGTTGGTGTATCGTCCAAGGCGAGCCGCGAGTTGGAACAAACCGCCGTTGGAGATGGCATTCTTGGTGGTATAGCCGGCCTGATAGGGCCAAATCTGCCATCGCAGCCCACCTTGACAGCTGGAGGTATCCCATCGAGGAACCTGGGTGTTGAAGACACCCTGAGCGAGCGACAACCAAGATGGCTGGCCATCATCCTCAGGATAGTTCAGTTCTGCAGCTGTCATAGCGGCCAGGCCCCAAAAGACCTGGTCATCGTTACCTAGGTAGTTACTGTCGTTGGCCGGGAAGTAGTCGTTCTGGCCCTTCTGCCAGAGCATTCCTTGCGTGGTAACCTCATTGTACGAGGTGTCCCCGGTCCAGTACCAGTACTGAATCAACGTCATGAACATAGCACCACCTTCCCACCAGGTGTCGGGGAGCTTCCCTGGCGTTTGACCCGATTCGTTGCCATGGTAGTAGCTCATCATATTGTAGGCCGTGGTCCTGGCGGCATTCTTGATAGATTCTATGATAACAAAGGATTAGTTTCGGCGCGCGCGTCACTCTGCGCGGGAAGGACTGGGCGCTTACGCTCATCGTTTACATCCAGCTGCAGAGCAGTGACAGTTCCCAGGAAGGCGACCAGGGTAGTCAGGACGACCGCCCATATCCAGCCGGGCGAGATCATCGTCGATAAACGCGAATGCGAGTATCAAGTGAAAGACAGAGGAGACAGCAGCATCGATGCGCGTGAAGAGGTGGGAGAGGGCCGGCCGACGAAGGCGGACCGAGATGGGCGGAATGCGGCAGGGAGGGGAGGGGAAAAGAATGAGGGGATCAATCACGTCCGACCTTGCGCTGGGATTCAACGAGTGCAGGGATCCCAGCCGAGTTGGCAGAGGAATGTTGACCAGTCAAGTCGCGGTTGTTGACATGACATGCAACATGGTAAAAAGCAGCCGGGGAGGTGGCTGGATATGGACTGGGACTGGAACCCCAAAGGAAGGTCAAGAAGGGATTTCGGAGGGTGAGACTGCAGTGACGGCATCAGGTCGCGGTGGTACCAGCCCGACCTAGGGTGGTAGCAGGGTCGCAGTGGACCACAGCCCCTATGACCCCTTCCGAGTACGAGCCATGGGGTCGCATTGTGGTGCCAAGGGCAGGATGAAGGATGGATGGACGCAGTGACGGAGTGACGGAGTGACGGAAGTGCCAGGAGCTAGCTGAGTGCGGTGCCTGTCGCTGGACCCTGGAAGGCTTTCCTTGGGACTCTAGCTCAGGGTCCATGGCTTAGTCCGGCGGGTGCTTGTGTGCCGCCGAACGCGCAATGGCTCCCGGCAGGCTTCCTGACTGGCTGTCCCTTGCGGGGGCTGCTCCATCGATCGCCCCCAACTCACCTGCCCAGCCCGCACCACTATTTAACTACATCCTGACATCGCACGATTGCAGTTGGTTTTGAAAGAAAAGAGAAACCCAAGAGACAGGAGAAGTCCAAGAGAGAAAGTATAGGGGAATCCACATTGCTATCAACCAGACACCTCGACCCATCTGATGTCTGTTGCGCGTGCTCGGAGTAATTCCCCCACACCCACGCCCTCTAAATATAGGCAATCGCCCGCTTCTGTCTTGGCTGCTGGGATGATCGTCCACGGAAATTTTTTCGTGCCGAGGGTTTTCTATCCCGTACGTTGGACGACCGCATATCAGCCTTGGCGCGGGTGGACTGGCAGTACCAGGGCAGATGTACTACCCAGCAGTAAAAATAATGCAATGTCTGGGGTTATAGCGGGCGGCAGCTTCCCTACCACACCAGGACTTGGATCTGGTCTTAGTAGTCTGTGGCTACCCCATGTTTCGTTATCGTTTCTGTCTGCTATAAGCTTATGAGCGTGCCAGGCCCTCCGAATGGGGGGCTGGGATGACATCAGTTCGTCATACCTGAAGCAGATGCTGTACTACGTCGATGGATCCCATCGTCAATGGCAGCAGGAATCGTCGACCCCACAGCCCCCAGGGTGAGTGCTCCCGTGTCTAAGACGATCCTCCTGCTCGTGGAGCATTGGCATTCTGGCTCAGCACCAATAAATGGTACGTGAGTATACCAGAGCAGGAAGACAACTAAAGGCATCGCAAAAGCAATGCCCACAAATCCAGATATCGTAAGATGCTTTTGTCATCAAAGGTCTATAACATGATTACGCTCCGTATAGAGCACGCGATTGACATCCACCTCCCTGACCATACTGGCTTGAACCAAGTTCAGATTATTTTCCACGCTCGCATGATATTGGATATTTACTTGAAATCTCCTCGTCCCTTACATACGCTCACGTCTCCGGGGGGCGGCCCGGATGATGTTGTCGACACGCAGAAGGAGCTACGTGACAGTCACAATTAGTTTCCGGATTATCATGGGAAAGGAGCAGTCTTACCTCTGCAGCCTCCGATGCGGAAGACACCACCGCCTTCTTCAGCTTGTAGCTCTCCACAACGCCCAACTCGCGCATGTCGGCAATGCCACCACCAGGGGTGAGCAGGTCCAGTCCGGAGCTAGTCATGCCGTTGTTGATCGCCTGTCGTAGACGAGTAACCAGGTCGCTAGAGTCCAGACCAGCATTGTCGGCCAGGATGGTAGGGAGCTGCTTCAGAGCGTACGCAAACGCGTCCACGGCCAGCTGCTTCTTACCGGTCGTGTTCTGGGCGGCCTGCTCAACAGCCTTAGACATGACCATCTCGGCACAGCCACCACCCAGGGTGACGCGGGGGTCCTTGACGGTCTGAGAGAGGACAGCCAGGGCGTCGTGGAGAGAGCGCTCGGCTTCATCGAGCAGCTGCTCCGTGGCACCACGGAGCACGATGGTGCATGCCTGACCGGCAGCCACGCCCGAGAACTTGATGAGGGTATCCTCGCCGATGATGACCTCCTCGATGACATCGCAGTGACCCAGCTTGACCTGATCGGGGTGGTCAAACGTCGAGGCGATCTCGCCACCAGTGACCAGGGCCAAGCGCTCGACACCGTCGAAGTCGGCGTGTTCGATGGACATGATGCCAGCCTCCGTGAACAGCTGTTCGGGCCAGTTGTAGATCAACTGACGGTTGACGAAGCAGTTGATGCCGTGAGACTTGATCCGCTCAACCTTGGCCTTCATCTTCTCGCGCTCCGCCTTCTCGAGCTCCGCCAGCTTGCCGGTCGACTCGACCTTGACCCGAGCACCAAAGATCTTCACCTTGTCTGTGTCCATGGCGGTGTTGGCAACCATGATCTTGACGTTCTCCAAGCGCTTGGGCTGGTTCACACCGATCTTCTTGTCGAGGATGAAACCCTCGTCAAGGTAAGAGTCGCTAAGCTTGCCACCGGCCTTCTTGATGATCTGGATGTGGCTCAGGTCGGTCGAGCCGCGGAGACGGAGGACTGCATCACAGGCGAGGGTGGCGAACTGGTCACGGTCCTGGGCCAGGACCTTAGAGCTGAGGGTTGTACGAGCGATGGCGTGGAGGTCTTTGCGGAACGACTCCATATCGGCGCTACGGTCGACAGCGACCTTCTCCAGAGCCTCAAGAGCGGCCTTGCTAGCTATCCGGTAACCCTCGATGATGGTCTGAGGGTGGATCTTGCGGTTCACCAACTTCTCAGCCTCCCGCAGCAACTCCGCCGCCAATACGGTCACGGAGGTGGTACCGTCACCGACTTCGTCATCCTGCACCTTGGAGATGTTGACCAAAACCTTGGCCGCGGCGTTGTCGAGGGCAATAGATTTGAGGATCGTAGCACCGTCATTCGTAACGAGGATATCTCCGGTCGACCTAGATCATCCGTGTCATCAGTGCGGTGCTCAGGACGGCAACCCCGCTTAGCCTGGACTGTCATCCCACGTACGCTGACTGGAGGATCTTGTCCATTCCCTTGGGACCGAGTGTGCTCTTCACCAAATCACCGACGGCGATGGCACCGACAAAGGCGGACAAACGAGCATTCTCACCCTTCTCTTCGATGACATCGTCCGCAAAGATCTGCGTGGGATTGCCGAAGGACGCCTTGAGGGGCGGTCAGTATTTGAGAAGAGGGTAACGTTAAGGAGTGGGCAGCATCCTAGCCGACGTACCATGATGATTATAAGTGGTTGGAAGAATGGGCTACCGTCGGGGGAAAGACTGGCAGCTCAGGGGGTTCTCCTGGACGGTGAGGACTCAGAGAACGGCGAGTCGACCAATGCGGGACAACCAGAAAAGTTCGCGATGTGGCCCGAGCTCCAGCAGCGCCCGCAGACCGCCCGCCGCTCTTTCTGTCGCTTTCTCTCCAGCGCTGCTGTTACCTGCTCGTCCAGTTGCGAATTCCAAGAATTGTCCCCTTTTACCTTGAAAATGCCCGCCGAAGAGGAACAGAAGCTGGCGTCAAACAAGCGCCCGCACTCCGCTGTGGATGCCAGCGAAGAAAATGGTACGTCCGAGGTCGTCGGACAGCTCCTGCGAGCACCTCAAGATCGCATGCGATTTAGGTAGCTTTACTGACCACCTCTCATAGGCGATGATTCCTCATCCGATGATGACTTCGGTCCGGCCCTCCCCACCGCTGATGCCCCCAAAAAGAAACGTCGCAAGCTCCCCTTCGAGAAGGTCTACGTGAATGCGCTCCCTGCCTCGCCGCAGTACTCCAAGTCCCTCATGCACAAGGACCAATTGTCCTTCGTCACTGTGACTCCGCACACCGATTTCCTCATCACTTCATCCATAGATGGCGTCGTCAAGTTCTGGAAGAAAATGGCAGTCGGCGTGGAGTTTGTGAAGGAATTCCGCGCCCACACGGCGGAGATCAAGAGCGTCAGCGTCAGCGCCGATGGGAAAAGCTTTGCAACGACCGGAACAGATAAGACAGTCAAGATCTTTGACGTTATAACCTTTGGTATACTTCCCAGCCCTTATCTATGCACCCCTTCAATCTAACCCTCGCAGACCTTCTTGCCATGCTTACCCTCGAGTTCAACCCCCGCTGTGTATGCTGGGTCCATCGCCGCGGCGCCTCATTACCTCTCCTGGCTGTGACCGACGAAGAAAGCAGCATGATTCAAGTCTTCGACGGCCGTGGTGAGAACCCGAACCCATTACACACCGTCAAGTCTATTCATCGCAGCCCCGTGGCCGCCATTGCCTTCAATGACGCCTACGACTGTGTCATTTCCGCCGACGAGTCCGGCATGATCGAGTACTGGCGAGCCGGCGATGGCTCCTTTGAGAAGCCCGACAACGTCTTCGAGCTCAAATCCTCCACCAACCTGTTCGAGTTCCGCAAGGCCAAGTCCGTTCCAGCATCGCTATCTATCTCCCCGTCCGGCCAGCAATTCGCCGCAGTCTCCTTCCCAGACCGTCAAGTCCGCGTGTTCGACTTCGCCACGGGCAAGCTCTACCGCAAGTATGACGAATCGCTCACCACCATCACCGAGATGCAACAAGCCGGCACCGCAATCTACCAACTCGACGAGCTCGAATTCGGCCGCCGCCTCGCCGTCGAACGTGAAATCGAAAACCCCATCACCAAGCCCAAGATCAACGTCCTCTTCGACGAATCCGGGCACTTCATCCTCTACGGTTCCCTCCACGGCGTCAAATGCATCAACACCTACACCAACCGCGTCGTCCGCGTCTACGCCAAAGAAGAGCCCTTCCGCTCCCTCAACCTAGCCATGTACCAAGGCCAGCCCCAAAAGAAGGGCATTGTAACCGTCTCCATGGCCGCCAGTTCCAACCCCCTCCTCCAAGAAGCCGAAGAACGCGACCCCATCCTGGTCAGCACGGGTTTCGCCAAAGTCCGCTTCTACCTCTTCACCAACTCCACCGATATCTCAAAATCGACCCGCGACGTCCAAAACGAACGCCCCCGCGAATCCGCCTCCGGACGCGACTCCACCGCCCAAAAAGCCGCCGAACTCGGCACCTCCGCCATCCTCCACACCACCATGGGCGACATCCACCTCCGCTTATACCCCTCCGCGGCCCCCAAAGCCGTCGAGAACTTCACCACCCACGCCCGCACCGGCTACTACAACAACACCATCTTCCACCGAGTCATCCGCAAATTCATGATCCAAGGCGGCGATCCCCTCGGCGACGGCACCGGTGGCGAGTCCATCTGGGGCGGCGAATTCGAAGACGAATTCTCCAGTCTCAAGCACGACAAGGCGTATACGTTATCCATGGCGAACGCGGGACCCAATACCAACGGAAGTCAATTCTTTATCACGACAGAGAAAACCCCCTGGTTGGATGGAAAACATACAGTCTTTGGGCGCGCCGTGCAGGGTTTGGATGTCGTGCATAAGATTGAGAATACCAAGACGCATAAGGAGAAGCCGGAGCAGGATATTAAGATTGTGAGTATCACTGTGGCTTGAGGTGCTTTGTTGTTGTAGACTTGATGCTGGTTGTATGTTTTGGTTTTTGGATATCAGGTTCAGCGGTCCATGGATAGTTATTTATCTTACCTATTTAGTCATTTGTTGTTGTACTGTAAATTACTGGGTTGTTTTGTTAGCTAAAAGAACGGATATAGTATAGTATAGCATATTATAGTACACATGTTCGATTGAGATGGTTGTTCCATACAAACAAACGGTTTCTACCTATTCATCCTGTGTAGCCTGTAACCTGTCTTGGCGTCCAGTTACATACAATAATCATCATATATTCCATCCTGGTCATGCTGGGAGTATGGTATAGATTTTCATCAACGAAAATGACGAAGGTATGAGTATATTCGATCAAAAAGTCAAATGGTAAACACAGCCAAATAATAAACCTGAACCATAGGTATGCACAGTCATTCGGAGCAGGCAAGGCACATAGAGTGTTGTGTTGAAGAAGAAGAAAAGAAAGAAAGGGACTTTGTACTAAATCGGACTGGAACTGTACGTGAGATTTTCAATAACCCCACAGACACGTGAACGCCAGGTATATGCAAGTTTGTTTAGCGGGGCGCATTGGTTTCCCGACTGACTGACTCTGCCCGCTCGTTACCGGATAGTAGATATTGTGCCAGTCGTCGTGCTTTCGGTGAATGAAGGATTGGAATCTCGAGAAAAGGAAAAAACCGTAATCATGTATGAGGTCACCGGGGAACTTCGCGGATTTCGGTATCGCCTTCCGGCACGGGTTGGGTCTTTTGTAAACGCGACGGCGTTCGGCCGGGTCGGGTTGTCGAAGATGCGACATTTGTGCGGGAACTGCTGGCGATGGACTCGGAGTTGGTCGCGGTATCGTACCGACCGGGCCTGAATGCGCCCTGCGCGGGAGGCCCTGGTCCAGGGGAGGGGCTGGCATCCTGCTGACGGGCTGCCAACAGTGCGCTGTCCGTTCCAGCGGTTCCGGCGGCGTGGTAAAGACCGGGGTATTTCCGATCGTGGCGACGTTTAAGCCAGATGCCCACGACGGTAATGACGGAGAATGCGACCACAAGGACAATGATCATGATTACCCATTTATAGTGCGTCGTCCACCTGAGCACGTCAATATCTGAAGCCATTTAGGTGGTCACCGGTGACTACCTACCAGGCCTGGGAGCGCGCATCCCTCGTGAAGATGGATGCGCTTGCATCGGCCGTGCCTCGCTTGGAGAGGGTGCTCTCGGACGAGCAAAAGTCGTTATACCATGTTCGTATCAAGGAACGATCGGATGCGCTAGCACAGCTGTCCGTACAGACACCGGTCGGGGAATAAATCGAAGTGAGCAGGTTCGACTGGCAGAAACACGAGACGTAGGTCGCATGGTCGGACTGGAGGGCGACGGGCGGCACACAGTTGTCCTGAGCCTCCTTTAGGACGGAGCAGGACAAGCCACACGAGGGAAAAGAAGACGAGGCCGCGGATGGCAGGAGGGCGACACTGTGAGCGCGAGCGACGGTTGAGAGAACGAGGGAGATCAAAGAGAGATAGAAGACCATGGACGAGGACACGGATCGCGAGGTCGACCTGGCAGCATGGCTGGGCCAACGTGCCATGACGACGACTCTTGAGGCTAAAGGAAGGCGGTGGGGACCGTCGGGGAGAGAGTCGTTCACTGAGAAGTGCCCACCATGGTATGACGGTGATCTGATCGAAGACGAGTGCGGCGGGGGAGGGAGATATAGTGGTCGGGGGGGTGGTGGTGGTAGTGGTGGTGTGGGTGGGAGGGAGAGTGGTGGGTGGGATGAGTCGAACGAGTGACAGAAAGAGGGAACGGCGATAGATCGGGGGAGGGAGGAGGGCGAACGGAGCGCTCGACGGCGACGGTGGTTTGGCGAGGGAAAGGACAGGAAGGAAGACGGGATAAGGTCAGGTCAGGTCAGAAGATGAAAGGAGGAGGAAGAGGAGCCTGGAGAGGATGCTTGGCCGGTTGCGGCCGGAGGGCTTTTGGGCGGGCGATGCTTACTGGCTTGGGCTTAGTGCCTCGAAATTTCATTTGCGCCGAAGCAGAAAGCGCCCCAGCAGGAATCCTTCCTAATCCCCTCCCGGTGTAGTCGCCGGTTATTTTAATCACGGCCACGCAAGTCTGGACCCTGAACGCCTTTCTCCTCCCCTCCCCGTCATCTCCTGCTTCGTATTTCAGGCCTGCTGTGACGTTCTATCTCCCTTTGGTTGGATCCCTTCTCCGCCAGTCCCTTCCTTTCCACCCTCGCCGCATGCGTCGTCCCGAATCCGTGGCTGTTGCCCTGTCAGAGTGACCTGTGGTGGATGCTGCAGCACACTATTCCCAATAATCTGGGACGCCTGGGTCCACTCCGCCAGGCCAACGGCCTAATGCAACGGTCCTCTGATACCATCACATTGACGGTGTTGCGGGGGTGGACCCCGAAGGTGCCCAGCAGGTTTCTCCTCACTCTTGTTTGGATCAATGCGTCACAATCCTTGCTGGTCGTTATCTTTACTGATCTCAAGTTAACATGGTTGATCTCGGTTTGACACATTCCAGTTTTGAGTTTGAATGGACAAGGATCCACGGATCGATCTGGAGGGATCCGATCCTTGTCCCCGGTTGATCGGTCATTCCAGGGGCAGGGCAGGAATGTATCGATGACGCCACACGGGACCTATCCGGGAGTACCTTTGTCTGGTGTTGCTTTCTGGCTTTCCCTCTCAATGCCGTGGTCTCGGACAGTTGAGCGGCGCACGTTCGCGAAGCGGTGAGCAGCACTAATTATTCGGAGCAGGACGACTGCAGCAGATTCAGCAAGCCAGAGGAGATGCTATCAAGGGGATGATAAGTAAGGGTGGTTTTATTTCAGCATGTGCCGCCTGTGACCTATAAAAAGATCAGTACCGATCGGAGAGTTCAGCAGTGACAGATCCCTTGCTCGCTGGCGACTGTTCATGCAGAGAAGCTGATGTCTGGATCGGCACCTACTTCCAAAGCCATGGTTTTGCTAACAGTCACTCGAAAAGGGGATCATTACAGTACAGAAAGGCGTCGATGATATCCCCCATACAACGATCGCGGTCTTGACAGCCGTATTTTTACATATAAACTAGCTGCTCAAGTTCCTTAGCAGGGTTCGAATTTCCATATGGTATAGTGGCATCACTCAGCACGAGCGTCAATGCAGATAGTCGGATACAGGAAACAGAAAATCTCCGGCACTCGATCGGATGATCAGAGACGAAATGCCAATCCCTTTCTCCCGCAGAAACCGCTCATCATTCTCCGATGTGGCAGCCCGAATACGAATGACTCCTGACTCATCCAGAGTGCCCGGCGCATTGAGCTTGAACTCCGCCTGGTCTTCACCCTCTGACAAGCGTGGGAATTCCCCCACGATGCAGGTGTAAAGGGTTATATAGGATTGCAGCTTATCCTTTGGCACGAGGACCTCGATGCCCGCAATCCCGGTCGCTCCTGACGGGTGTTCAACGACAGAGGGCAGATTATACGGAACGCGAAGGACTCTGTCCGTGACATCGTGACAGAAAAAGGGAGCATCCGTGCGGCCTCGAGGATGGAATTCTCCCGGTGTAGATGTTTCTGGATAGAGTGCCTTTAATATCTTCCAACGGAGAATATTACCTGTGGGCGTTTGGCGGCCTCCATCGATCGGCTGTGAGTATGTCACTCCTAGACTGTCTTCAGATATCGTATCCAGCGCTTTGACGATACGGTCATGATTGTCTTCGGCCGAGATGGGTGCCAAAGAAGTGAGGGCGAAATCGCCTGGTCGGTCTCTCCAGTCTGCCGGCTTTTTAATCCAATGTAGGAGCTCCAGATAGGTTCCGTCGGGGAAGATGATCAGTTTGTTGCGGCTTAAGCCTCCTGCAGGTCATTAGTGAATGCTGTAGACTGGTTCGTAGAAGACACGGTTGACTTGCCTGCGTGGGTGCCGCCATTGATGATGGTGAAGTGGTCCGTCAGCCATGTTGAAGGAGATTCGAATTCATCCTTGCTGAATTGGAGAAGCAAATGGTCGAGATAAACGTGCTGCGACGGCATGATTCGGTGTGGCTATGAGGAATGTTAGATTGATAAGAAGCGTTCTCCCCGAGGAATGGAGGACGACGGCATGCGGGGTTGTCGCGCACGCCAACCGGCGCGCCCCATCGCGTGTGATCATTATTGCCTCACCCGACCTCAGGATAGCAAAAGTTTCTGCTTAGCCCTGAGAATATTGGGTTTTAATACTATACCCAGAACTCGAATTTATTACCGGAATATATATTTGGCACCAGTGGATCAAATATATGTCATTACAACTAGTACCTACAGTGATCGTTGCAACACTACAACCCACACGGTGTATTTCAGAAAATGTTCATCGCAGTGGCTTGGGCCGTTTCAGCTTGTTGAGAAGAGATGGTCGCCCCAAATTCCATGTCTCCGCTCATTCGAACCATGGGGGTTAAGATACTTCCGGCACAAAGACCAGCAAATTCGACATCGACAGACTCAACCAACTCAAGCTCATGAAGTGTGTCGCGTGCCCAAGTTTCTTAATATACATATGGCTCTGGACGGAACACTGCTGTCATCATGTCTTCCGCTTTGTTTATAATCGATGGCTAGTACACCCTCGAAACGGGGTTGGCAGTTTTGATTGAGTTGCAGACGAATGGGACACCTGCAGAGTCCGAAAGCAAATGACATGTATATCATTTTCTATGGAATTTCTTGTAAAGTTACTCGATATGGGATCCTTTGGATGTTGTCTTGGAGTATATAACCGAGGAAGTTGAGGAAGAGTGAATAGGAGACGGCCTTTTGTGGATGTATATGTCGACTACAATAGGCGGGCCAAATACTTCAATCGGATATATCTGGAACGAAATGGCAGATGCCTTTCAGAGGACGAGGTATGGACACGAGCCACGCTGGGGAGACATGCACCGGGCTATTCGGAGGTATAATGATTGATAACCTCCATGATGTTCGAGTTGTAGAACAAATTCAATTGTAATCAATCTATGAGCTCTTCCCATTGTCAATACTGACTCTTTTATTTTCATACCCTGGAAACCGAACTACTAGTACTTTCTCAAGGCTGGAGAGTTGACTCATTCTTGAGAGAGATGGAATCATAGTCATCCAACAATAATACCATTCTTTCCTCCACAGCACACCCAGATACTACTACTCATCTAAACTACCCGTAATCACCTCGTCTATCTACCAAGTCCCATCTTCACCATACCAACCAACGACATGAGCACATACCACCCCGTCATAAATATCTCTCGGGCGAGAAAATCATCCCTTCGCAACAACCCCCTCCTCCTCCTCCTCCTCCCAGGATCAAGTCAAGAATCCTAACATCGGCTCGACACCAAGAACAAGAAAGATACTCTTAGCTCACGTGAAGACAAAACCAGATACACACCGAGAAAAGCCTATTTAATTTAAATCATTAACCCCGACAAGGGAGGGAGAAACATTATAGGACTGGGGGATTTGAAATACTCCGGTATCGGATCGATTCAAAGGTCACTCAATGTAGGATTCTCAACCAAACTACTCGAGTATCATCATGATACCTCGTCATTGTCTCGGGGTCTTTCTTTTGGATTCTATTTTCTTCTGTTTGGGGAGGGGTAGGACTCATTGGCTGGGACTATTGGGATTAGGGGGTTGGATGATCTGATCTGGTTTGTGTATTGGAGTAGAATACTCTTTTTACTGGGGTTACTTGCTACGGAGAGTGCATTATTTCTATATCCTTATAGAATAGCAACGGAAGAAATACATCCTTAACGCCAGAATTAACAGTATCTACTAGTCCCTAGATGATCAACACTCTGTCAAATTCTTCTCTCCTTCCCGTTCATTCAAACTTTTACAACTGTCTCACTAGTCAAAGCCAAGATAGATTTTTACTCCCGGGTCGGGCGGGCACGGCTCGAAAGCGACGATCAGTAAATCCTTGCTTGGTTCCGGGCTGTTGGAATAAGGTCTGGAAGCCCAGAGACAGGTTATGGTCTGAAGAGGGAGAAAGATTTTACCGGGAGTTGGATTTAACTTTTTTCACTGTGTCAGGGTCTGGATGTTGAGTTCTTCTCTTATCTGTGGGGATTTGCAGTGAGCATATCCTGCATTATAGGGGATATATGAAAGAGGTACTATACTATAGCACCTGAATATCGCAGTAACTCATTCCCATTACTCTCAGGGCTCTATAAGTTGTATCTGATGAACATCAGACACCACCATACGACAAACATAGACCTGACCTTCACACAGACCAGGCAAGGGACGGGGTCCCCAAGGACACGGACGTTTCCCCGATTGGGGGATATGCCCGGACCTGCTGTTCCAGACCGGGGGTATTGCTCGTTTGTGCGGCTGTAGCTCCCGTGTATGTCTTGACTTAGGGCTGATTAGTATGGAAGTTTCAGCTGCCTGCTTTGGTAAGCGGAAGAAGAAAAATCTGTAGTTAGGTATATTGGTCCATGATTCCTTCTGGAACGAAAAAGGTTATTCGGAAGCCGGGGACTTGCACCAGAAAGGTATCATCAATTCGAAGATCAGTGGGTGAGCAAACTTAAGGGTCCACGGATCAAACGAACCTTGCAGGGTAGGTATGGTTCATGTCTGTGATGTGTGGAGACGCGGGAAGTTGGACCTTGTTTGTGGTTTGAGGTTATCCTGGTAACTGGTGTCTGTAATACCTTTTCTTAGTATTCAGACTTGCCTCTCACCATACGCAGATATATGTTCGGTCATGGTGCATCTCGTCGCTGCTAGCTGTTAATGATCGACCCCTAACGCGCTAAGCTTCTGGGGCGGATCGGCGGGGCGCAGCCGGCCCGAGGATTAGCATGTGCAAGATGCCCACAGCCAATAGGCGGGCCCTGACGATTTGCACCCAATTTTAGGGCTGGTTGCCTTCCCTCAAGGATTCATAACCGGAAGTAGTTCATGGAGATGAGACTCGGCGGCTGTTACAGGTTTGAACAAACCAAACTTTTCTGCTTGTTCGGTCTGTGCTCGAGGTCGCCGATGCCATAGCTTGGATATGCACTCGATGCGAGGTTGAAACACGGGAGGTTGATACAGCAGTTCCGTGGTTCGATGTAGCAGAATTTATCCGGTATCAACAGGGACATCGGATGAAAATGCCGGAGGAACTGTTGGTTGTCGCGATCCAGAACATGACGTCTTGTCTGGAATGGCCGATGGTCAGAACTTGCCTGCCGGAGAGGTATAAAGGGGACCTCAAAGACTACCTATCTACTCATCAGCAACATCAAAACATTCTCAACCTTCCTCACTTTCCTACAATTCCTTCAACCTTCATTCGATATGAAGCTCTCTGCTGTTCTTTCCACCTTGATGGTGGCTGGCCTGGTTGCCGCGGCTCCTCCTGCTCCTCGTATGTGACCTGCATGCACCAACTCGATCAACAAAAGCTGACTTACTTCCAGGTCCTACTGGCCTCCAGATTCATTCTCATCCGGACTCTCCTCCTAATGCTCCTGCTCCCAAGCCCCACGACGACGGTCCTCACAGGCGGGATGACGGACCCAAGCTTCCCAAGGACGACTCTAAGCCTCATGATTCGCCCAAGCCCAAGCCAAAGAAGAAGGACCCTGCTCCGAAGGATCTTAAGGGCCCTAAGGACCCAAAACCCCACGACCATGGCCCTCACAAGCGTGATGGCCCAAAGCCTCCTAAGGACGGTCCCAAGCCCAACGATTCGCCGAAGCCTCAACCTCACAAGGATGCTCCCGCCCCTAAGGATCCCAAGCCTCATGACAATGGTCCCCACAAGCGTGATGACGGACCGAAGCCTCCAAAGGAGGGACCTAAACCTGACGACTCACCGAAGCCTCACAAGCAGGCTCCCGCTCCCAAGGATCCTCAGGGCCCAAAGGACCCCGAGCCTCATGACAATGGTCCCCACAAGCGTGACGGACCCAAGCCTCCTAAGAAAGGCCCCAACCCTGGCGATTCTCCCAAGCCTAAGCCTCAACCTCACAAAGACGCACCTGCTCCCAAGGACGACAAGCCGCACGACAACGGTCCTCACAAGCGTGACGATGGCCCGAAACCTCCCAAGAACGGTCCCAAGCCTGACAACTCGCCCAAGCCTAAGCTCCAGCCTCACCAGAAGGCTCCTGCTCCCAAGGACGACAAGCCTCAGGATCCTCCTAGGCCCAACTGAATAAAGGAGTCAAACCTTGGAACGAGAGGGACGGTGTTCGTTGCAGATTATGTCGGGGATGAATGTGGGCTGCTCGAGGCAAGCCATGTTGTACGTTTTGTTTCCAGCCGGGTCTGGGTGCTTAGATGAATGCTTGTTAAATAGAATAATGCAGATAGAATAGATTTTGATGTTTTGTGAGATTTTGGACTCTCGGTGTAGGGAGTAACCGGGTGTTCTTTGTAGAGTGAGAAGTTAGCATGATGAACAAAACAGCCTAGAAATAAGAAGAAGAGGAAGAAAATCTCACACTGCTTTCAGAGCTTCTATCGACCTAGGAGAGGATAAAGTCAGCTCCTGAAAGTAGACCCCAACTCTTGGTCAGGGTTCTTTGCGCTGGTTGACAATGCGTGGAACTGCCGCGTCTTATTCTCATACTGAAATGGACAGAAAATATTCAGGAGCATCAAGACCACTAACTTGGCAGTCGTAACAAGGAAAGTAGGCACAAGAGCATCTACTCCCAACGAGCACGAACAGGAAAGTATAAAGCATCGCAGAATAGTTCTCATGTACAAGAATAAGATAACCCGCTAAACCCACCTAAGCCGGTAATGGATCCACCGCCCCCGACCTCCGAGCGCGGGTCCACCCACCCCTCTCTATCCATCTCCTCCACCTCCCTCACCTCACTCACTCACACCACCACTCCTTCACAACCAAATCCAACACCCTCCAACCCACCATGCAACAATGACCACCACAACAACAACCATGCCCCAATTCAACATCCCCACCCTTTTCACATCCCTAACACGCCACCCCTGGACTCTCTTCCGCGTACTAAAATCCGCCAACCCGCATGACATCCAAGGTCCCCTCCACGGAACCGCATCCTTCACTCCTCTCTCACCAACCTCCACCTCCACCTCCAACCAAGACCCATCAACCTCCCCAAACAGCGAAAGCCAAATCCTCTACACCGAAACCGGTACCCTCCCCACAACTTTAGGTCAAAACCTTCAATGGAAGAAATCCTACATATGGCGACTTACCCCCATCAACGCTCTCAGTGTATGGTTTGTGAAGGTGGCGGAGCCGGAGGTGGCGGATTATTTGTTTCATGGGATGGAGTTTATTTCTCGTTCCAGTCAGGATGAAGTTGGGCAGGGGGATACTGGGAAGGAGGAAGGGGAAGGGTATGTGAGTGCGCCGGTCCCACCAAACACTGCAGGAGAGACGGTAGTGGTTACGGCAAGGGGAAATCATCTTTGCATTGATGATATGTATCGGACGGCATATGCGTTTCGGATTAGGGAGGAGGATGGGGAGGTGGTTAGTTGGGCGAGTCGGCATGTGGTGAAGGGGCCGAAGAAGGATCAGGATATTGTGAATTATTATTCGGTGTAGATAGATTGTCTGTATGTATGTATGGGTTTAGATTAGAGTGGAGGGGGGAAGTTGGGTTGGTTGGTTGTGGATAGATATCCGGGTGTGGTTGCATCACAGCGTGTACATAAAATCAGGCCGCTTGTCTCCAAGGACCTCGATCTCACTTGCTGCAAGTCCCTGCACCCAGTGGTCACGCTCCCCTCGTCGCCGCTTCGCGTTCTCCCGTCGCAGCAACAGGTATTGCATTACTGACCCCCCGAACAGAAACACCACCAGATATGCCAGCACGGTGCCGTGGCCGGGATAGAACTGGGGCGCGTCGTTCCCACGGTAGATGTTTGACGACACGATCCCGTTCAGGTTGCCCCAGCCGATCACTATGCCCAGTGTGACGCCGCGCTTGTACACGCCTGTCCAACAGTCAGCTACGTCACGTTATGAAAATCCCATGTTATGAGAGGGGACATACCTTCTGTGTTGTTACTGGCCCAGGAAATGGTGTTGGCTATCGCAGGGTAGATGCCCATCGCACCCAAAAACGTCCCCGCATATCGTGCCCCCGCTGACTTGGCTCCAAGAAGCAACGAGAACCCAGCGATGCCTACAAGAGACACCGCAATGTTGCAGATGCCACGCTGGCGGGTCCGGTCCGCGATAAAACCAATCGTTACTGTGACGATGGCAGCCGCCGCATAGGGAGGGACGCTGAACAGCTGCGCCTGGATCGCCGTGTAACCTGCTTCCGTTAGATCCGATCAGTGGTAGCGCATGCAAGACGAACCCTAGATCGCGTTAGTAGCTGCATATGCAGGCTCGTGGCAAGAACGTACTAGCTCCTTGATGATCGTAGGTGTAAAAAGAGAAAAGGCGTACAAAGCCCCATCCGCACCCATGAAGATAATGGCACTGGTATAGGTCTTCCAGTCTTTCAGACTGCTCCAGAAATAAGTCATCTGGAACTTCTCATGACCAGAACTAGCCTGATTGTCAGCCATCAACCGCCGCAGGACGCGCTTGCGATCTGCCTCGGACAGGAATTTGGCCTCATCCGGGAAATCGTAGACCATCCAAAAAGACAGCACGCCGATAATGATCGTAGCCAGCCCCTCCAGAATGAATATCCATGACCAGCCTGACTTGCCCCCCACGCCGTCCATTAGGGCGATCGCAGCGGCGAGTAATCCGCCGAAAGACCCCGCGAGAGCGGCGGCGGAAAAGAAGATGGCCATGCGGACGCCAAATTCAGATCGCTTATACCAACAGGACAGGAAGTATCCAACACCAGGAAAGAGTCCCGCTTCAGTCAGGCCTAGGAACCATCGCACCTACAGCTTGTGAGAAGAGCACAGACAGGTCGGCTATTGGTTTCAACACATGGGGGAGGATTGCATGCAAGAAGTCGCAACTTACCGCCATAAGCCCAGAGAAATTATGTACCAAACCCATAAATGTCATGCATATTCCCTATATAGATACCGTCAGCGCTGTCAGCAGCATTGTCGGCAGCGCACCTACCCATATTGCCATTATAATCGGAATAAAGACGCTCGGCCGCATGCGCTTGAGAAGTACGTTGGTCACAGGTTCGAAAATCGAGTATGAGGCGAAGAAGATGGTCAGCACGGCGTTATACTGCGAGTTGGTCATATGGAGGTCCTTCTGGAGGCCTGCGAGCTTTGCATTGCCGACATTGGTTCTGCGAAAGATATCGTTAATGCCTCATCATGACCGTGGAATCAAGCTCATACCTATCCAAAAAAGAAACCAGGTAAAGTAGACTTAGCCATGGAATGAGTCGCAGATCAAGTTTCCACACTAAAGCACGATCCTGGCTGTTGCATTAGTCGATCCGTGACCCCTGCTCGGGGCCGATGCTCACGATCTTCGCTTTTTCCTCCTCACTCAGGCCCTCGTCCGGGTCCTCGATGAACTCCAGTTGCGAATCGCGGGGAAGACCATGGAATGAAGTAGCCTTTTCAGTATCGAAGCCTTTGGAGGATTCGTCCATGACTGGTTTCTCGTCGCTCACCGGTGTCATGATGTTCTCTGTGGAGTGTAGTCGATAGGGACCGGAAACGAACGCTAAGGAGAGCCAGGACAGGGCAAGACAGGAAATAGATGATTTAAAGGGTGGGATTCCGGAAATTGGTAATCATATCGTTGTCTGGTGGCTGGATGACGATGGCCTTTGCGAAAGATGCGGAGGGTCAACACGCGAGGACAGAAAGTGATCAGCGTGACTGATCCTGGAGGTACCAATCAGAGTAGCCCCCAACTGGGTGCGCGAGGGCGATTGGTAGCAGATAGCTCAAAGTGAATGGACTAAAAGTTAGTCGGAGCCAAACATTGGGTTTTAATCCCCGCGGGGGGGAAACCTGCAGAGGATCATGCAAGGACTATCGCGTTTGAGCCGGCTATCCCTCGTGCAAGGTTCCGACGTGGCAGAGAGATCGCCATGAGCTCAAGCAAGGGCAATGGCTATGGCTGAGCTATCACAACTCCGAATCTCCCATGATGACGATGGTACGGAGTATAGCCGTCGATTTGCGTTGGTTCATGCTTGGGTCATCCGGGGCGGTACAGATTCCTTCGCTTAATTCTGAAGCCGGGGTCGAGGACCCACCTCCATGCGGGGAAATGCCGGTAGTTCTACTAGTTGGCCGTCCTCGCTTATGAGATAATGTTTGATTGTTATGATGACTGTTCTGATTTGAATGCTATTGTACAGGCGTCTGGTAAGCCTGAAATTGTTCGATTTAATCCCAATTCCCAATTCCAGGTCGTGCGGTCGGTCTCAACCCCTCTAGAAACCGGAATTTACAGCCCGCAAAGCTTGGATGACTCTTCAGAAGCCCATGTGCCGCAATCGCAACCTTGATGGAATGAAACCAAATGTTCACGTCACCCACCACCTCTCCATCTTCAATGCGCTCAACATAATTGGTGTGGGGCGATTTTCTCAGGACACGATGCACTTCCTGCTGCAAACTTTCCCGCAGACCCGAAACACAGACACAGCGTGTATATCCCTCATCCTGAACCAGCCGGGTCATCGTCGCAGTCATCGGATAAGTTGGAGTCGCGACCAGAGTCACTTTTGCCTGTGCCGCTCCCACCATGAGTTCTCCCCCCGAGGACTTCAGGAAGCTAAGGGTATCCGTCTGGCTCACGAAAGTGACAATAGCGGTGCTATATCCGGTAATGGGCACTGTATCGAGGAGATGGGCTGAATAAATTTCACCGTATATGAGGGGCAAAACTTGTTTCATTGTCACGTCCGACGGTAGGTTCTCGATTGTGATAGCGCGATACACATCTCTTTCGTGCTTGGCGGGGAGGTAGCGTAGGCCGTACTGAAACACCCAGAGGTCAGCCGGGGGTTCTTGGGTGATCAGGTTCGGGCGGTACAGCAATGCGTCAATCTCGTCGTCAAGGTTGTCGAAGACACTGCAGCCTCTCAGTGCCCACCTGATCTGCCCATCCCAGGGCACTGGTGCAGGAGTGTTCATGTTATCAAAGGGCTGTTTCTTGACGTGCACACGACGGGTTAACCATGGAAATCCAACGGAAGCGGTGCTGGTTGCACAGGAATGACTACCTACACGCTGGGGTTCCAACACCGGGATTGGCAGATCGCCCACGTGCTGATCCAAGGGCGATTTAGTCACCGTCTTTGGCAACTGCACATTGTCTATGCCGATGATAGCGGACTCCTTGTTGAAGGAAACGACGATAGGGGGCGTCTTTTCGTTAGACACGGTGATAGAGGACGTCTTTGCAATGCTAGGCAAGACCGCAGAAGGTGTTTTATTGGCTCTGAGGAAAACAATAGAGGGCGTCTTGATCAGTGGCAGCGGCTGTAAACTGGGAACTTTGATGTCATCAAGCCCACTGTCCAGGAGACACAAGGCGCGAGTGGGAGGACTGGCCCGGGCATGAGCAGCCATGGGACCCTTCACAGTCAATTTCGCGTGGTGAATGCTTTCCTCTTTGTTGTGATCCCCGTCTCTCTGTTGACGATCCTGGACCAGCAGAAAGACGTGGGATTCAATGCGGTAGACCAGGATGCAAACAAAGACGACGATGAGAAAGATTAGAGTCGGAAGCGCGTTGAGGTCGCCGCGGGGACCAGCGCGGTCGCAGCCACAGGAGCCTCCTTCCATTTTGGGAATCTGCGCTAGTGAACCTTCACCCTCGGCGGAAGACGTTTTCCAGGTGGAATACCTTGCTACAGATTGATGTGGAAGAAGAGAGGAGGACAGGAGCGAGAAATCAGATTGATATAGGTACGAGAAATCTGATGATGAGGTCACGGTCCTCACTAATATAGCCTACGAAGACCAATAATGCGTAGGTGAGAGAATAAAGTGGGCGCTGCTTGAAGGCCACTCGCATCAGACTGACTGAGATGCTCTATGAGAATATAGCCAGAAATAACTACCCCAGGAATTCCCCCTGCGCCAAAGCTATCCAAGGTAACTCTTCCGTCCAGCATCGCTGCATCAGCGTGCGAGCATTTTGCATCTACAGAGACCGGTCAGACGTGAAACCCAAGTAAGATACGACCAGACTCACCTGTTTCATCCCCGTTCTTTCAAGTATCTCAAATCGTTCTTGAATCTCGGCGCGTTGCTGGGGGTCCCGAGTCTCGCAGCCCGCCGTGAACAATGGGAACAGAGCTCCCACCTCGGCGGACGCGCCCCGCCTGAGGCCGGCCATTGCCTTGAAGAGCTCGTTTGCCGCCCCCTTGACTGCCTCGGAACAGGGCGATGCATTCAGCACACGACGGTGGAGATGCAGTAGTCCCGCATAGCGAAACGCTCGGTCAATGGCTAGGAAATCAGTCGAGCCCACACCTTGAAAGTGCGCTGCATCAGCATAGGCATGCGTCTCCAAGACACGCAATTCCGCGATCCATGATTCGGCTTCAAAAACAACGTCAGGCGACGGTTCCCAGTCAGAGACAAAGGCCCCCGCCTCATCAAAGCGTTCATTGTCGCATTGATGGGTTAATATCCCCAGTTGGGTTAGGAGAAGACCCGTCTTGGGTGTGAACCCGGTGAAGCAATCCACACAGAACTCGTCATGCTGTCCTATATCAGAACAGGCACTTAAGATTGGATTATATCCAAATAAAGGTGGCCCACTCTGTCGGCATGACAACGTGCCCATGAGATCGATGTACCCAAGCCAGCGCGTGAGAAATGCGCCGACACGATTCCCAGGATACGCCATTTGTTCTTTTCGTGCCAGAAACAGATCTCGAGCAAGCTTCAAGTGGCTTTGCCAGGGGATTGGCACTTCAAATGTACTGGGAGATATGATCTTCAAAGAAAGAAGCATAACAGCAGTCGCAAGGTGACTGTCGGTGACTTTCTCATGGGGGTCCTCCAGCGCTAGGCGCAAAGCAGGAAACACGTTGCTCACCCAATGCGCGATCCGGGTGGCGGGCTCTGGATGGCCCAGATACCGGGCCCGGTGACTAGCAGAATATGCTAGCATCAGATTCAGGAGGTTGGAGTCACCGATTGCCACTGATCTCATTAGTCTGAATAATATCGATGAACTGGGGTTGAAAGCTAAGGCCACTTACTGGTCGGTAGCACCGAGACAAATGGGTTATCGTCGCAGTCGTGTGGGACCAACATTCTGGCGGTATGATTGAGAAAGTGATGGAAATACATCAGGTTGATAGGAGTCTTCAGCAGGGACGGTGGCAACGGAGACAGATACCGCGGTATATTGATGGGCACTGGGGATGCATAGTAGACATGCTTGCTGCGGTCCAGTCCGTTGTCCTTTGCATTGCTTGTACCCAAATCTTGAGGATTGGGAGTGGAAGGTTTCGTGTCGGAGTTGATCAGGTCCAGGGCGTAATTGATGTCAATGGCGGAATGATCGTCGTTGTTGTTCAGGTCCAGGTCCGGGCGGCCACAATCCAAGCCGTAATTGTCCGTGACCCGGGTCAAGTAAGCCCGCCATCTCCGTTCCGACATGGAAACATCCACCGAGTCTGATAGGTCCCGACCCGCATTGTCAGGATGAGCGAACATGCAGGCGGCACTCGACTGGGGGCCTTCGGATTGGTCGTCGGAGGCTGAAGGACCGCTCATAATCTTGCTGAAGAAGCTATCCGTATGGACGGTTGGGCCGGCCTGCAGCGCTGGGGCCTCATGGGACATCCCCGACGAAAACAGACTTACTTCCGCCGAACTTGGAGGTGTAGCATCTTGAGCGGAAGTGGACACATGAGAATCGAAGTCTGCATAAATGCTCATCACGTCTGCAGACGACGAGTAGCTAGAGAAGTCGGTGCGATGATCGGACACTGGACCGGATCCGGGTGGAGAGTGATGGAGATCTGAGGTATGCCGAAGGAACGAAATGGGGCCTGATATCGTGGCAGGCGAAAAGTTGAAAGTCGCAAAAGAGCCGACGCTTGAATTCGTATCCGCGGGCGATGGGTAGGAGACTGTGTCCAACGAATGGGGGACAGACGAGGGGAAAGCCAGCAGGGTCTCGCTCGACGACGGTGTTGCTAGTTGAGAGGACAGGTCTGACCATGAGGTTGTCACATCTTGCCCTTGTGACAGAGCCCCCATGTCTACAGAGGTCTTGCCATTTGTACGGTTGGATTCATTAAGTGACTGGCCAAAGGCCGTCGGAGATTCATGGTGGATTTCATGTAATCCTTTAGGACTGGAAGTGGATGTTCCTATTGCCATCTCCTCCGCAAGACCGGCACCCCATAGCAAATCCCCTGCGGTTTGATCCTGTGCCGTCGTCTCATCTCGGATGGCAAAAGGCGTAAAGTGCGGAGCTGGGCTCAGGGGATCGGGCTGGGGGTGATTCGATGGCGACAGGCTGAAGGAGGAATAATGGGCGGATGGACTACTTGACTGAGAGCCCGGGGAGTCTACTGAAGATTTTCTCCGCGTCCTCCCGCCCCAGTTCAACCTGATGCTATAGTCGCACGGTTCATTTTGCCGTCGGCAGTTGAGACACGACGGTTTCTCCTCGCCACTGCATGACAATTAGTTTCGCCGATAAGAGATAAGGGTTTGATGAGATTCCATGACAACCAGGGCAGGAAGACAAACCATTTCACCTTACGGGCTTTGCATGGCCTAGGAATAGTCAATTGCAAGCTATTTGGACTGCACTTGGAAAACTCACCAGCAGCCCTTACGTGATCTCCGCTTCGGCTCTGGCGCGCCGGGTCTTCTGGGGCGAGGCATGGAAGTTCACACCCGATCTGCTTGAGGGAATAAATCCAGCAAACAGTAATTGCGACCACACAGACTAATAGTCCGGAATCTAAGATGGTTCCGATCTACCTTGTACGGTAAGATCGCCATACAGACCGAAGTAGTGAGGAGACCACGGTCTAGACAGGGTCCTCGAGGATAGTTTTTTCCGGCGTGTAGGGCGTTTCACCCAAGACGATAAGAAACGATAATCGACAAGACACCCACACCCGTTGTTCGTACTCATCGGGGTGTGGGGGGGACTGAAATATGTACTATGTTAATGACAGCAACCCTACTGGTCGATCGACAGGAGTGAATTGAAGTATATCTGGGAGCTTGGGAATAGTAAAGTGATGCTTGGTGGTGTCCAGGGTAAGGACCAGAGCCAGCAGGTTTCCAACTGTCGGAGCAAAAGAGCGAAGAAGGGGAAGAGTTGAATGAAATCACCGGCACCAGATACTACACGAGACGGGCGGAGAAGACAGACCAGTCATCACCCCCAGAAGCTGTCCGATAAACCACCAGGTGGGGGACCCCATCGGCCGTCTCCATCAATCAGATCGGCCTGATAAGCCAAGGACCAGCTGGGTCCGGCGGGTGGTTTCTCCGGTTCGCGGCGGTCTATCCAAGGGCACTTGCCCTGTTCTGGCTTAGTGGCAGCGGGTTACTAAGACAGCTCCGGGATAGCCGGTCATTCCAGCCTCGTTTAGATCATCTCATTAGTGAGATCACTATCTCTCTTATTATTATTCATGCCTACGCGGCTGTGATCGCAATCTCCCGAATCCAACGAAGTCCCATTTCCAATATCGAGGTACCTATCTATTGGAACCCTAGAATCTTCATATCCCGCCTCTATCCCTCTCCCAGTATGGCGTCCACGACGGTCCAATCGCTTCAGCGGCAGCATCCCCTGCAGCGACTGTCCAGTCCGTCCAGAGGCTTCTCGGCCTTGGTTCATGTGAGTAGTACCTAGCGTATCGGTGACATGTTCCTTGGACTGATCGTTGTTTCTCCCCCCATGGCAGTTACTGGGTCTAGCCAGCTTTATAGGGTCCTTCAAGTTGTATGTTCAATTCCCGACGGCTCGTGCTGCCATGTTCGACCCGCCCACTAATTCGACTTCAGCATGCACGAGAACCCCAATCGGGCGTAAGCTTCCCAAGGCCATGGTCCTGGGGTAACCAGGGATACTGATAGACGTTTTCTGGTAGTAATGAAGCATATGGTTCGCATTTCCAGTTCCTGACGGTCATTGGGCTGACGCTGGCCACGCTCACCTTTGCCGTCGGTCTGCTGGCGGATATGGCGTTATCGGCTCGGCTATTCCTTGCCAAGAATCTCCTCTCTATATGCAGCGCTCCGATGGAGGTGCTGATCAGCATCCTGTACTGGGGGCTTCGTGTGGTACCTATCCTAGTCTGTTTGCTTCCCGATTTTTCTTTAACCCTTGAACAGATCGATCCGCATCTGGTTGTTCCTGACTGGGCGGTAATTCCCCTACACGCCGGTAAGCTCACTAGAAATCAATACCGCTCCATCTTATTTTACTGACATTCCGACCAAGACATCGGTTTCCACGCTGTACCATCAGTTGTTCTACTCATTGATCTCTTTCTTCTCTCCCCTCCATGGACGATCTCGGTTCTCCCTGCTCTGGGGCTGTCCAGCACCATCGCCTTTGGATACTGGTTTTGGATCGAGCGGTGCTTCCAGTATAACGGATGGTAAGCCATGCACCCTGTTATCTAGGATATCCTACTGACGCCTTCAGGTACCCATATCCTCTTCTTGATGCTGCCGGATTTGAGGGTCGCATTGGGATTTTCGCCGTGAGTGCCATTGTCATGGCATTAAGCACGGGGACCCTCAAGTGGCTCTACGGCCGCGTGAATGGCTACGGGACAGGCACTAAAGCACAGTCTCGCCCTGGACAGATCAAACGCAACGGCAGTCTCTAAGAATATGTCGTTGGTTGGCAGAGCATGACAATGTCTGTCTCAGCTTGGGAAGATCTACGCGTCCTTTGACTAATAGATAAGATGATAGAAACTACCCATATGTAGCATCTGAGCTAATAGAGACCATATATGCACGATCGTAAATCTCTTGCTAGAGGTGATAAAATGACACATGATATTATATTTCTTGGCCACAAGATTCGATACCCCGCAAAAGTCCCCGCTTTTTGTTGCCGAGCTTCATCCAAGACGACGAACAGGCTACACAGAAGCGTCATATGCCGACTAAATAATAAACTCAACTAAAGCTCTACGGCCGTTCTACCGAGTCGACCAACCCCTCATCAACGGTACCTCACTTTTACCCAACCTCTTCAAATGAACCAATATATGCATACAACTACCAGAGATCCTCTTTCCCATTTCAACCTTACCAATTAACCACACATCCCGCACAAACCTCACCAATCCTGACTCTTAATCTCTAACAAAAGACATATATTGGGCTAAGAGCGAACTAGTACACAGTATCTAGGCATGTGACTTAGATGAAATTGAAGGACCTATAGTAGGATCATATCTCACTTACTCTATGTAGCCGCGAGGTAGAATAATGGTCGCGGAGGACATCTTGCAAACTCGTCAGGGAAATACGGCACAGAATAGCCATAGCCTAGACAATAGACATATACTCAAGGTGGATGTTTACCTACTGGAAAATCTCCCAATGAGGTCATGCACCACCAGCCACCGCTTACATAATCCCTACAGCTTCACCCGCCGAACCTGAACCAATCCACCATCACCACAACATCCTACCTCAGAGCATCCTCCATCCACCATGCACGCCCCCTCGATCAGCGGGATGCGTACCGCCATGCTCAGCGGACGTTTTACCTCCACGGCTCTGGGCCCTTTCGCGCACCCCAGCGGCTGCACCAACCCGTTGTATCATGCGCTCTCCCAGGCCCGGGCAGCAAGCACCTCCACGATGCGAGTCCGCAGCACACACGCCCTGAAGACCACGGCCGTGCGACCGTCGACACAGCTCCCAATTTCTCCGATCCTCCGCCGTGCCAACTCGACTGCAGCTGCCACCAACGAAGCCGTCCGTCTGGACTGGAACTCGTTCTTCAAGCTCCGCGCCAGCCGTCGCCGGTACTCGCTTGCCTCGTCGATTTTGAGCTCCCTGGCCACCACAGTCATCGGCGTGCAGGTTCTCTCGTCCCAGGACTTGGAGTCTCTCGGCGCTCAGGTTATGGGTCTCGACCCCTTCATTGTCCTGGGCATGGCAACTGCGGCGTGCGGTGCGGCGGGATGGCTCATTGGACCGTTTGTTGGCAATTCCGTGTGGGGGTTGGTTTACCGGAGATATAAGCCTTCTGTCATGGTGGTGAGTTGATTCTTTATAACTGTCCACCCATTCTTAGAAATTACATGGATACTGACTGATGTTGGTTTGTAGAAGGAGAAGGAATTCTTCGACCGTATCAGACGGTTCCGCGTCGACCCATCGTCCAACTCCATCTCCAATCCAGTCCCCGATTACTATGGTGAGAAGATCGGTAGTGTGCAGGGATACCGGCAGTGGCTGAAGGACCAGCGGGCCTACAACCGCAAGAGACGTCATTTCATTGTTTAAGTTGTCAGGTCGTTTAGCATTGGGATGCCTTCTTTTCCTGTTTCCGGCATTCTCGAGAGTTGTGCTGGGCTTCTCTGTTTGTACGAATAATCATATCGGTGAGCGATTTAAAATGGATTTGTTAGCTATGCTGGTTTTGCGATGATCTCTCATCTGGTCACGACTTTCACTCCCTCACAACCTCTACCGTTCACCTCCGACCGCCAATGATGCCTGGATCATCCGCAGCTGCAGGCGCTTTCTGCGAGAACATTTTCGTAGAAGGCCCTCGCAATGTGGCGGCGAGTCCGCATCATCTTTTTCTTGAATGGGACTAATAGGATGGCTGGGGAGCGACTCGTCCACCGCTTGTTGGGGGGCTTTGGCTATTTACTTTCCTGCATGGTCGTATCTTCCAACCTAGGGTCTTGGCTATAATCGATGTGGAATGTGAATTAGGTTTCGTAGGAGTGTGATATTATCGTAGTTGTATGACTTTTGCGGGGAGGGAGTAGATAGGCTACGGAGCTATCGTGTCATCCCTTATCTTGCTATATCGCGTTATGGTTACGGAGTATTCTGTCGGTCACTGAATTTCAACTTTGAGACCAAGGCACTCAATAGGGTTGTGCCCCGCGGACAATGGAGAAGCGTCGTCCTGACTCGGAAAAGTTTTTGCATTGGTGAGCTCCGTACAAGAATCCATTAAACTTGCAAGTGCATCAAGGCAACTGAAGGCCGAGGCACGGCACCAATGTTGACTTGCCAATTCGGGAAGAGGCTAGCCGTTCCATCGGAGCACCTGACAGATCAATGGGAATATGACAGAGTTTGCAGCAGACCTCGAGCAGTACTATTGACGAGCTGGGTGGCACCGGTGTGACCACAATGAAGGAACTGAATCAATCCATTATTCAAGAATAATTCCACCGTGGCGGAGCAAGTAGCAAAGACATACACAATCAAGACATGATGCTGCGGGTCTGTGTTTAACCGTCCGTGACGATTTTCTTGTTCAGGCAAGTGAGAGGCGGGACCGACCCGAGGATGACTTCGGGGCTAAGCTTTTCCTGGGCGGCCTTTTTTTAGCGGGAGCGCAAAGGCTCCGACTGAGACATCCCAGCCAGCAAATCACCCCATCTGCGCTATTCTTATCGTCATTGTCAGACACTTCTCTCTCCGTCCCTCCATCAACCCCGACGGAGCCATTGCTGCGCCTTTCGTGATTCTGGGCCGCATCGTATCCTCCCTCGAGTCTCAATCGTCCTGTTTCTGGTCAGCCCTGGCGCCCCTCTCGGGATCGGCCAATGGGCTAGCGCGCTCCAAAACTTGGCTACGGGGCCACTGCTCCACTGCGCCGATAAACGAAGGGCGACCGGACCGACTATCAGCACTCGGCCAGGACTAAAACTAACTAAGCCATGGGCAGACCCTGACGGAGGGTCAGGGCATCCGCTGGCACTGACTGGGCACTGGGCAGCACCAGGGCAAGATTCTGGATTTATGCCACTAGTCTAGCTCTGCTAGTCCGATGCTGTGCTTATCTGTAGTCAGTCGCAACCGCGCCTTTCTCTGTTTTCTTCTTTTCCTCCTCCTCGGCTCCTCCTCCTCCTCCTCCCCTGCGGTCTGTCGCCCTCCCTCCTCCCCAATTCCTCCCGATCGCTCGTCGCTCAGTATGTGACCGATGGCTCTCTATCACTATAATCGGAAGCAGAGACTGCTGCTGTCGTCTTTCGCCATCCTCTTTTTTACCCTGTTCGTCTTCTGCCACTTTCGGTCCGCCCGTGACCCCGGCTCGTGGTTCTTCCAGCCCAACGAAGGCTATCGCCCAGGATACAGTCTCCATCGCATTCAAGAGTCTTCAGAATGGCTATCGGCCTTCAATCACTCTGGCGCGGGCTCACACCACTCCGTGCCCGTTGTCAATCCCCCACGGGAGAAGACCGCCTGCGTTGGCATCGTCACCGTCAAGCGTCCACTGCAGCAGGACCTTGATACGACCGTGGCCTCGATTCTTGACACTCTCTCGCCAGAACAGCGATCAGCGCTGACAGTCCAAGTGCTCTTCGCACTCAGCAACCCCTCCGATCATCCAGACTACAACCAAACGTGGGTGTCGAATATCGTGGACCATGTCCTCACCTACGACGACGTCGACGCGCCCGGATATATCATCCGCAACCTGGAGAAGAAAAATAATATCAAAAAGAAGTCTCTGATTGATTACCGGCTCGGACTGCAGGCATGCTATGACATGACTGACGCGCCGTGGATCATCATGCTGGAAGACGATGTGGTGGCCCAGCGCAACTGGTACGAGCATACCATGCGCAGCGTCCAGCAGGTCGAGGACTGGCGTCGGCAAGACGCCATCAAGGACTGGCTATACCTCCGACTCTTCTACACGGAGAAGTTCCTCGGCTGGAATTCGGAGCATTGGCCCATCTACCTGTCCTGGAGTGTGCTGATCGTCTCACTCTGCGCCACTGCAGGCATCTATACCCGGCGGACCATTCGCTCCACGCAGGGAGTCCTCACCAACTCATTCCTGCTGGTGGTCTGCTTTGTCTGCGTGCCGCTATTGATCGGCCTTTTCTTCCTGGCTGGCCGAGTAACATGGTACCCCATGCAGGACGGGGTACATGTGATGAACGCGCACGGCTGCTGCTCGCAAGCACTGCTCTTCAACCGCGAGAACGTCCCGGAGCTCCTCAAGTACTTCGAGCACATGGAGGACGTAGTCCCCACCAAGGCCGTGGACAGTGTGATCGAGCTGCAGGCGGAGCGGTACGACCTGGACCGGCTAGCCGTCTCCCCGTCGCAAATGCAGCACGTCGGAGCCGTCTCCTACAAGGAGAAGAAGAAAACATGGAAATGGGAGGGACCGTATCGGGTCAAGGGGGCTCACGGGGTATGGAGCATGGGATTTGAGCAGGCGTACGGGATGCAATCCGATAGATGGTTCGATTTTGGGGATCCGGCATAGCGGGCGTTTCGCTTGACGCTGTATGCAGCAAAGGTTCCACGCACGAAGGATTAATGGTGGTAATGAAACACGTGCATGACTTGTGATGTTTAGGGTTTTTGTATATACATGATGTTATTATTCCATTGTTTATCAACAATCATCATCATCATAGAGTATCCTTCCCCACCTCACCTCCCCTATAAGTCAATGATCATCCATCCCCCCCCCCCTGCACACCCCGGGCGACAAGGGATCTCTTTGATCGGCAACATCCCTGCACGATTCAGATAGGAGATAGAGATAAGGATAAGGATAGGAATCCCGGCCCTCAATCATCCCTCCTACCTACCCACCTACCCAGCGGATTACTGTTAGGACTCCCGAATATACAGCGTACATACCCTTTTTCTCACCATCACTCCGCAGTCACCCGCAGCACTCGTAGGATTCCTAGTATTCCTCTCCCCCTCTTACTCGTCTCACCTCTACAACCACATATGTGTGTCTACGTAGTGATCTATACGTCAGCTTATAGCACACTTACACCCACAGCTACCATCCATCCTACCTAAACCCCATTCCATTGAAATTGCAACAGTATTCAATTACTGGTTTGTACGTGTTGTGATCTTATCAGTTATAATTGAAGCATAAAGAGAGGATTGTTTGTGCGTATGCTGTAAGGTAGCTAACTATAGTAAGTTTTGGGGTATTGAGGGGTATGGGATTGTGGGATGCAGGGGGGAGATGAGGTGATTTCTATTCCGTATTCAGGGAGTATAAGCGCCCTGTTCTGTGGCGGCCTGCTCGTGATGAAAATGAATATGTAGGGTATCAGCCGGTATACAGCAACTGAAGGCGTTGCGGGACCGCGGGGAACAGAACTACTAGTCGGCACTAGACTCCCTCGGGTCAGGAAGAAATTTCCAGTGGGTTTCTAGGACATTTTAGCCACGACTAATAAGGATAACAGTGGGGAATGGGAAGGGATGGAGCCACCGGGTCCTCATTCAAGTACCTAAGAGACCTCCCTCCCAAGGCGTGGAAACGAAGGAGAAGACTGGAAGAATGGAAAGCAAAGACCCAAAGAATCAGAATCAGGCCGGACGAGGAAAAAAAATGCGGCCGCCAAGCAGGACGTCATTTGATCGGGTCGCCCGCCAGAGCCACTCTTGGCCGCCGCCATTCTTCTTCTTCTTCTTCTTCGTCGCTTCTTTTCTTTCGCCACTTGGACCTCCGTCTTTCAGGTCGCCAGCCTTGTTGACTTGACTTGACTTGACTTGTTGATCGTCATTGTGGGTTCTTGCTCCCCCCCCCCTCCCCTGTGTCCCCCTCTCTCGGTCTCCCTCTTCGTTGAGACGACTCGTCTGCAAATCGCATCCCATACTCTCGGAATTGAACTCTCCCCTCCGATCGCATCGTCCCTCCCCCTGTTCGGTAACCATGGGCGGAGCCAGAAACATCTCCCACGGCCGCGGCGGCGCAGGTATGTCTCCATGCCCAACTTACTTACCTATATCCATTTCCCCTAACAACAACCTCTCCCCCACTAGGCAACATCTTCTCCGGCACCAAGGAATCCCGCACCACTCCCAAAGATCTCGTCACGCCCACCATCAAACAAGATGTCTTCACCACCGGTCGCGGCGGCTCCGGTAATATGATGCACAACGACCCGGAACACCCCGAACTAGCTCGGGAAATGCAGGACGTGGAATCCCCCCCGTTGCGCATGGAGGAAGCGCCGCATTTCATGGGTCGAGGTATGTCATTCCTCCATTCAATTCTTCCTGTCTTTATTTTCCCTCGTGAATAATGGCTAACAAATCTTGTCGTGATCCAGGCGGTGCTGCAAATGCCTACATCCCCACCCCGGAAGAAGAGAAACGCGTGCGCGAACAAGAAGAGGAGCAACTGCGTCGCGTGCGCACTCAGTCTAAGGATCGGAGGAAGGATATCGAGACGGGGAGCGTGTCCGGTGCTGCCGCTGCTGAGGGCGACGGCGAGGAACGGAATCCGTCCAGTTGACTAGCACATGTTTGGAGTTAAGGATGAGTCGGTGTCCCTGCTGTTTATCTTCTGGTTAACTTTGGCTTGCTGGCGGACATGGCATGGCATAGCATGATATGGTGTGGACCGGGTTAGAAGTCGGGTTGATTGAGTGGCAGGTATGGATGATGTTCCTCTTGCTCGCTCCACTTACCTTGCTCTGGCCCCGGGCTATGCCTATCTGGCTTTGACTTTTCTCTAAACGTGTGTATATCTGCGTGTGTGCGCTTGTGTTTCCGGTTCTCTCTGTCAAGAGGTGGACTGGATTGGACTGAACTGAACCGAACTGGACAAGATGGATGGGATATTTCACCCCATCCATTCACACTCTCGATTGACTGACTGACTGACTTACCGACTGACCGACCGACTTATGCCCTGCTTGATCTACCCCAGACAGGCAATGCGCAGGTAGTGCTTGACACTTCCTACCTCTTTCTCCCCACCTTCATACCTCTCTCCTCCATCACCCGCGACAACAACCGCGACAATCGAACCAACACTTCCGTCACCGAATCTCCTCACCTCCACCTCCTTCTCTTCTCTCCTTATCATTCCTTCCCTTCTACCCTGTTTTACCACCGCAATGTCTTATGAATACCCAGTTAGAAGCCGGACGTGGACCGAGGCGCGAAAGGCACGGATTTGTCGTTTTCTTCTTTTCTTTTCGATTTTCGTTGTTTTCATTCTTGGCGGTTCCTTTTTTTTTCTGGCCTGGGGGTATATCTAATATTGTCATTTCTTTTCGGTTTCTTTCTTTTTCTTTGCTGGTTTGTGGGGTATGTAGTTGTTAGGGTGCATATCGCCTGCTTCTTGTATGTGGATTGTTGATTGCTGATTGTTGCGGCTGCGCCACTAATTATCTATGGCTCCAATGAAATTGCTTGGGCTTATCGGCATACACTACTACTTATCTAGATAGTACATAGTACATGGCCGGGGTGGGTTACTGTGTACTTACGTATATTGCCGTAGTGGGATTGCTGCATATTGCTTTTTTGGCTTATTGCTGATAGGTAGATATCTACTTGAGGATGTACTATTGCCGAAGGAATAAGATGGATGGTGGCGGATCTGTGATTTGTGTTCGTACTATAACTTGTTCTAGTGCTATGGTCATGCCAAGCTGCTCCATGTGGTCATTGTTCCTTGACCAGGCCTTTCCGTCGGTCAGATGGCCAGCACCCTCCTTTCGCGGCGGATTGGCGGTTGATAGTCTCATCTTGTCCTCACTAGCTCATTGTCTTCGTAGTGTTCACCCCTAGTGCTTGCCCCGGTCGGCCTCCCCAGACGTCGAGATCCTCATTTCTTATGGTAGCCGACGACATGGCTCCATCTGTCAGTGAGCTGCATGGTGACTCGTGTCATGGCAGTGGGGTCACCTGCCTCTTTGCGAGGATCTTTATGGCAGCGGGCGCGCTGCACTCGTCTCACGGATGGTAACAACGATCACATCCCTAAATAGGTGAATGAAAGGATTGATTCCGAGCAGTCTCAGACCGGAGGAATATAGCAGCCCGTTGCGTCCACCACCCAGCTGATGGAGTCTCGCCAGTCGGCACCCAAATGCTGGCCGATCTCCCGGATCAGTCGTGCCCCCCACTCGCCCATCCACCAATGTCCTCGCAGCGAGTGGATAATCACCGCGTAATGGGCCAGAATTGCTAACGCAAATGGCTGCCTCTCCCGGAGTAATTCCATGTATCGCGGCGGAATCTGGAAAATCCACTGAAACGCAATAATCATCGTCTCGCCGCCCCGAGCGAGCTTGTCCAGCGAGTAACTCAGGTACCGAATCGTTGTATCATACGTGTCCTTTTCGTGCGCGGGATCGTCGCTCGCCAGGTTGGTATTCAGCCGCGACAACGACATGATCGCTAGTCGAGATGTGTCGGGCATCGTTGGCTGCGAATTGTCGTACTCGAGCAGCGGGCTGAACTCTCCAGCTGCAACCCATTCGATGATTCCTCCTTGTACGTCCACCGACCCGCGTGTGAACCGGAATATCTCCAGGAGCTCGTCCAATACATCCCCGCGTTTGTCCGTTGTTCGAGGAAAAGCAAAGGAGAAGACCACCATGATACTGGAAAGTGCAAAAGCGGCGTTGCAGTTCGATCGGTCCAGGTTTCCCGCGACCTTGTTGAGACCGGTCACGGCCCGGGACTGATGGGTCTGGGCGGTTCGGGTGTAGTAGTCTTTCGGAGGGCCGGGAGGAGAGTTGAAGCCCAGATCCAGGGCGGAGAGGGCCAAGATGCCGTGCATCAAGAATGGGTGGCGCATGGCTTCCCGCGGAACCACGCCCTGCCAGATCCCCTCCACCGAGCTATTCCGCGAGACAGACCGGTAGGTAGTGGTACACCATTGCATCATCAATTCCAGATCCTGGATGTTGAGCTCGCCCGCGGGGCTCTGAGGGGCGACGGGATCCATAACGACTCGGTACTCTGCGAAGACCCTAGGGTTCAGGTGGGCTGGCGATGCCGTGCGGGACGGGGGGATGGTCGGAGTGGTGGAGCGAGACTTGACCCTTGGCCAGACGAGAGAGGTGGACGAGGAGAGATATTGACATATTATGTTGTCGCTGGTGCAATGGGAGCACTGGGGGTGTTCGTTCGGACACTGCATCCCGGCCAATCAGTATATATCGGGGAGAAACTGGCCCACCAGTGCCAATGGTAAGACAGCGGAGATGAAATTCAGGGGAACAGCGAGGTCCCGATTCACAGCAGCAATTGAACAAGCCCGTAGAGGTTCACGAGGCAGTACATATCCAGGGTGGGAAGGAGAGAGGGAGGGATGGATGGAGGAATCACTGCATCATTCAGGCATCCAAGCACCCAGGCATCCCGGCGGGTAGGGAGAAAGGCAAAAGAAGAAGAAGAAGAAGAAGGGAAATGAAATGAAATAAAATGAAATGAAGCCAAGATGGAAAACTTTCAGCGGAATCGACGACCAAGAAAACAGCAGGCAGGCCCAGACAACTTAAGTTAAGCTTCGCCGGGATTAAATCCAAGGAGACCTACCTTGATTCGCCGGTTCCTGCACTCAAAACAGCCATTCCGCGCTGGGGCTCTGTAGGTGCGCCGTGCAGGCATGGCTGGGACTTTTGACCTCTGGGGAAAAGGATGGAGGGTTACAACTTGGCGCAAGGTGGTGGAGGGTGCTGCAATGCACCGATTCAAGCAAACAAGCAAGACACACTGCGACCCCTCAACTAACTCAACTCACCCAAGAGGAAGCAAGTAAATACCAGGTCGGTGTTGGCGACCCCGAGATTTTAATATTCAGAGCGGATGGAAGGTTCCAAACCCACCCACCCACTCCGTCCGCTGCCCACCACCACCAGCCCTGATACAACAAATCACAACGACGGTCTTCTTTCTACTAGCCGATAGATCGTTGCGGCAGTGGGGCTGGCACCACCCAGGAGGCCAGGACAGGCAGGTTCCAGCCATTGCACGGAGTAGGCAAGTGTAGGCTTCTGGGCTCCTGCCGGCCTGGGACACAGCTGGCCAAGCCCCGACGAAACCAGTAAATGCGGGAGGCTGTCTTGCTGCCGATTACTGCAGCACGGCAAGGCATCCTGCATCATGCGCTCTAGGTCGCCTTTCCTCTTGGGCTTGAACCTTCGATCATCCCCCAGCCCTGCTCGCTGACGACTTACTGTACCGAGTAGTCCTCGTTGCGATCTTCCGCTCAATTTGAAGGTTCCAAGAGGTTATCGAGCAACAATCCGCTCCCCCATCCTTGACATGCCCCACTGCGCGCCCACCAAATTCACTCAATTTACCCAATCAGGCGGGATCCACACCCCCCTGAGCGGACGCCGACGAGCCTGAGGACGACGGGACTATCGTAGCTTATCCAGGATCTGCCCCCCCCCGAACCCAAAAGACGGACCCCCCGGGACGGACGTTCGAAAGGTCCGATGTGAACGAACTAGTCCAGGTTCTGTCTTTTGCCCAGGATCTATTTGCTGGCCAGGACCAAGTGGCCAGCAGCATTGAAGATGGACCTCCTCGTCATGCCGTCTTGGGACAAAGCCGGGGTCCACCGGGTCCACTTGCAGCCCAAACCTAAAAGTCAAATCCCCATCCTCGCTCCTGGCCCTTTACCTATCGCGGCCTAGTTCCAGGCCTCCATGAACCCTGCTTTTGCCGTTTCGGGTAACCAAGATTCTTGGACTCCAGGATGACTCCTATTGGTCCGTCACTGACACGCCTTTCCCGATTAGGTATAAGGGGAGCGGTTCGGGACTCTCCCGCCGCCTCTTCTGCCTCAAGGCCTGATTCGATCGTTGGTTTCCGACGCCTTCTCCGCCCGTTTCAACTTCCTTTTTCTCCATCTCGAGTGTTCCTGTCGCGTGCATAGCATGGTGTATCCGGCCTCAATGTCTCTGCGACGGCTCCCCAGCTGATGTCAGCCAAAGTTTCTCTTCCTTCCTTCCTTCCTTCCTTCCTTCCTTCCATGGTTCCATGACCATCATCCTTCATGTGAAAGACGAGACAATCCCCCCCCGCAGGGGAATGAATTCGCCTGTCAGTGCTTGTTCGGGCCGGCTTGGGGGAGCTGATAGAGTCATGGAACGGGCACCACTGCATCATTTCCGAAGAGAACGGGCCCCCGGCTGCGACAAAGCCTCTCCCGCAGCCTCTCCCACGCCTTCCACGCCTCCCACGCCTCCAGCAGCAACCCATCTGACCCCGCCAATGGCCCGCAACGTTGCGCTACCACTATCCAATGATCAAGCTTAGGCCACAGTCCAAGGTGCATGCGTCTTACAGGCTTACAGCCAGCCATACTCCGGAAGAAACCCGACCGTTCCGGCCGGTGCTTTGCGCAATATCGCGTGCGGGTCGTGCTTGTGCTCAAATGGATAAGGGCATCTCGCTTCTCGATAGTATTAGTGTCATCTGGCATCTACATCTCGGCCGGCGGACGTATACCGGCCTCAGCGTTGGCTCGTGGTGCCACGATCAATGGCGGCTGGTGGGTCCACCTGACCCTCGCCGGGGGCTCCGAATTACCCTAATCGCGGCGCCGGGCCATTCCTCAGTCGATTTCAGATCACAGACCTCTTCACAGTTCACCGTTCCCAGGATCTTCTGGTGCGATTCTCGATGCACCCAGACACGCCTGGGGCCGGCGGGTTTGACTCGAATAGGAATGGCGTCAGCAACTGTCGGGTTTGTGGCACATGGGATTGGACCTCACCGGCGTTATCGATCTGCTGATTCGCCAACTCATCGGAGACTTGGGTTCCGTAAATCCTTCTTCTCCTCCCAAACGTTATCGCCTTTCCCGACTAGGAAAATGCAGGCATCGCTTCTATATGAATGGTACTCAGCCCGCATCTTTCCTGTCATTCCTGGCCATTCATCTTCAGCAATCTCACCTCTCCTTGGATAAACAACCACGGAAATAATGCTATCAACGTTGGTGTGGTCATACTACATGGCTCGGAGACTCTTTCCGTATTTGTCGACTGACCGTCTTGTACAATTCACAACCACTGTGCACGACACGATGGCATTGAGTCGCTTGACAAGGCAGCAGCTTATCGAATCGCCAAGGTTGTGGAAATGCCTAATCCAGGAAGCAAGCATCTGGAAACCTGGTCAGGCCATTCGGTCGCGTCTTAGATTAATTGGGGCCAAGATGCACCGAGCCGGAGGAGGTGAGATGCGTACGACTGCGGAGATCGAGACGTTTATTCCTTGACTGACACAACATGCGGTGTAGCCGTGCTGGGATGGGATAATTCTTTGGTTGCATGTGCGAGGCTTGGTGAGTCGGACTTGTAGAACTGGAAAGGAGGACAACAGGCCCATCCTCGAGAGAAGTACAAACCCTAAAGGTGTACAACAACGAAAACCTAATACGCAGTCGGCTGTGCCGTGGACGTTACTACCACTTTGGCCCCATTTTCAATCTGACTAGAAGACTCGGCATTGTCCTCCACTCTCATGAAAGCGAGAACTTTCAATTTTATGACAATGATACAGCCATCCATGAACAACAGCCAGATGGAAATTGTGAGACCTAAAAAAACAACCCTGGCGTCACCAACTTACTCTACGCTTGTGATTCATGTCGTACTGTTTCAACTTGGCATCCATGCTGAGGATGAATCCTGGCAGCAGGTCGTATTCGATAGTCACGATTATTATTATTATCTAATCCGCGCTGACTAGGATAGTGTATTTCTGCCTAAACAGCCAAGTAATACAGCGCTCGAACGTCCTACATCTCGCTCATTATCCAACTCATTGTATGATTTGTGCCACTACACTCTTAGTTTTCTTTAGTTTCTCCTGTTCAACAAACACTGCGTAACAGACCCCATACCATTATTGAATTGAACTCCTTTATCCTCCTACCCGAAAAAAATCTGAACATATCCATATCTGTATCTACTTTCATATCTCTATGCCTTTCCTTAGATATTGAATTCAAAACTTTAACCTTCGTCTAATACCTATTGAAAAAGAAAAGAAAATTTGTACAAAGTATTATGAACTCTGTTAGTCCCATGGAGATATGCGTGGGGACGACATGATGTATAGGAGAAGTAGGAGGTGTTTTTCTGGGTGAAGGGTGTGGTATGTTTGACTTGGACGATGGACCCTTGAGATAAAGCTATGTGAGATGAAATGGCTGTATCAGGGGACATTTTATGGATGACTGTCAGGGAGGTGAGGGAGGATCGTAATCGTGATATTATCAAGATGGGTAGGTAGGATGGTTGTAGATATAAGAGCCACAAAACTTACAGAGGTACGGGTGAATCCTCAACATTGAATCCTCACATATTCTAATCTTCAGCATGGAATATGGTGGTAGTTAATCATTACTTACTGGAGGAATGATTATTCTTCTTCTGGCTTCACAATGACCACACATGTGACCTCATACTTGAATATTACTGATTAATCACCTTTGTAGACTTAACCTGTGCCCTCTCTTTGTCACCTTCTTGACACCTCAGTTAGCAGCTTGGATCTCCTTGACACTTCCAACAATCCAACCACCGCGATACAGTCAGGTTATAATTAGGTCAATGCAGATAGAGAAAGATTATGTGGGAGGATCTAAGTAAACACATGTTATCTTTCCTTTTCATCGGGTTGTTCCTTGCCTCTGATTCTAATCTTTCGTGGTGTCAATGTATATAGCCTTGTGGTAGGTGATTTTGTCTTGACTAGGACCTTTGTACGGACTGATAACGTTCCACTTTCGATACGGGGAGGAAATATGAAATGTCGTTGCTATGACCCTTTCTGCTATGTACATTTGGAAGGAATGCGCTCCCTGTTTCTTCATGGGGTGGGGTATATTGATCCGTCTAACTATATGTATTAATTATGTACAGTATGCATCATTTGACTGAACAACTAGCGTCACCACTGATTTGCACCTTGCAGGGCCATCAACGCATAATGGCTTCCCAGGGCTGGTCTGGCCCGGAATGAGAAGAACTCGCCAGCTGAGCCGGTTGTACTATCTTTGACCCAGTAACGGTCCGAAAATGGCACCCCGTTGAGCCCATTCGCAATGTAAGCATGCATGTCTGCGATGAACATGTCTCTGGCTTCCCCTGTGACTGTTGCAGCCACAAACCCCTGCCAATTTGTTTGGCCCCAATTGAGATCAGCGTCGAGTGCTACCCCCGCTGGTTTGCGCACGGTAGGGTAAAAAGCAGCAGTGGCGTTGTATGCTTCCTCGGGGAAGAGATCGAGAGAGAATAGTACGTCCGCATAATGGTTGTATACGAGGAACCATGTGTCACTGCCATACTGGATCGTGAAGTAGGTCCCATCAGGATCTGTACCCAATCGCCCGTTGTAGAGTGCATCGGCGATGGATTTTCCCGCGTTCGTGTAGTTTAATTGCGAGGTCATATGCCCGTAGGATGCAAGTCCGCTGGCTGCTTTCATGGCAAGATTGGTTTGGTTTGCTATCTTGCCGAGTGCGTCGTTAAGGGACAGCTGCGCCTCGGGGTATTTTCCGTGCGCTTCCAAGTACTGGGCATATTTTCTCAGAAGGGGTGAGTACGTGCTTGAAATGTCGGTTTTGTTGGTTGCCAATTCGTAGGCATAGGTCATGATCAAGATGTTCCCGCTTTCCTCGACCGGCATCATCTCGCCTTTGGGATTGTGCCCCGTTGCGTTCGGATAATTGGTACCGATGTCGTGGACTGCATAGTCTTGGGTGTAGTTGCTGCTATCCATGTACTCGAAGATAGGCCTTAGCAGGAGTCGGATGTAATCGGGGCTTAGGATATAGAAAATTGGGAAGGATGCGTAGATGACATCGACGGTGTTGATATTACCGTCACTAGAAATTTCCTTGATAAATGCTCTCGCCTCTTTGATGTCTAGGGTATCATCGGGAATTGTGAGCTCTATGCCACCGTAGATTTGTCGAAGAGAAAGTGCGAGTATGTCTGAATAATTGGTACCATACGATGACTCCCCGCCCTTTTGGATCAGAGTGTCCATCTTGGTCGCCTCATCCGCCGCATCCGCGTAATCGTCGAGGAAATGGGAGACGGCTGATGTGGTATCTGGATAGGTTGCTCGGTAGTACCCAGTCTGCGCATTTCCAAGATAATTGATAGCCTGCTCACGCACATGGCCAATGGCAAATGTGACAGATGCATCCCCTGTAATTGCTCCCAGGTCATGCGTAAATGCTACAACACCATCAGATGTCCACTTGGCATGGGAATTGGTCAGAGATCCGTTAGCAACAAATTGAGAACGGATAGCAGACAATGGTCCAGAAGCAGAGGATAGAGTGTTCCCACGCGAAGCCCGCGTGGCGTAGACAGTTTCACCCCATAGCGCTTGATTTTGAATGTTTTCTGAAAATTTGGCGTCTCCCACAGGGTTCAGCTGAAACACGGAGGTAGTGCTACTTTTTGAGAACTCCCACGCTGCGCTTTCTGGCTGACCAGTCCAGGATGAATCGATATCCGAGTAAATCTGAACTGAGTTACTGCTTGATATCCCACTGACCGACACTGTGAGATAGGCGAAGGGCAGAGACTGTCGCAAGAGGTTTGTTGGAGAGACGGGCGACAAAAAGTCCAGCGTGAAGTTCTTTGATCCAGCAGTCAACATGAAGGTGCTGTGCGTCGACGTAAAGTTGCCACCTGTGACAGTTGCAACCTGAATGCCCTCTAACGCATCAGGGACCCCGAAAAGACTGTATGCCTGGCCATCTACGCGAACAATGACCGACCACGTGAGATTATTTCCGTACCAAAACTGCGGAGAACTGGAAGGAAGGCTCGATGCCTGATTCCCAGGCAACCAAGCTGTACACAGAGGTCAGTACATAATGGGTTTGTCTATACAGTGCCGTAGAAAATTCAATTGAGAGGCAGAAGAGAATGTGATACTAACAAGATAGGTAAGGGCTGCGAACAGCGAGTGGATATGAAGGAGGGAGTAGGGGAGTGAAGGAGGCGGTCACAACAATCTGCAGAAGAGTCAATCCCCAAATCCATTGGGGCAAGAGTCCCTTGAAGCACCTCATAATTTGGAGAGGATAAAGCAGAAAACGACAGAGGGGCTGCTATGTAAGAGAAATTCTGGCTCGCACCTGTCTAGCACCCGGCTTTCCCCAAAGGGAGAGCGGCATTCAAGTACTCCCTCTTCTTCACCCTCGCCTGCAGCACAACACAATCCAGCGACATATTTGTGTGGGAAACAGTGGGTCGAGACATTTGCCGCCGAGATGAAGGAGTTCAGAGTGAGTGTGTGGAGGAGCGATGGAGGAAGTATGCGGAGGACCATCTCGTTCCCGTCCATAGTTCTGCGCGCAGGTGAACCAATCAAAGGCAGTCATGAAGAGGCTTACCCCTGGTTCATCCAGCTCATTCTTCAGGCTCGAGACGATCTTTCAGATCGCAAAATATCCCCGACCTTCCCTGCCCCTTGTGCCCCCCGTCCTCGGTCCGTATGAGGTCACCCCCGCAGCTTTCGCCCTTCTGAATCCAGGCCTCCTCCCCGCATTCCCGACGTTCACAACCCGCCTCTGAAACCTGCTTCCAGGCAAGTCCATTTGGCGAAGCATGCTTCCTCCTCCCGAGCACTCTGTGAAGCCTGTGGGATAATATCCACGGCTAACCGTGGGGCTTTCATTTAGTGCTTACCGATGGGCCCAAGATCTCGTCCCCGAAGCTACCCACCCGTCGGAAAAGGCTTGCGGGATGTGGCTAACGGACCATGGGAGGCAGCCAAACGCTCAAAGCGAGATATGATCGGTTCGTGACGGGCCCGTTGAGGAGTCATGCAGTGGGGACTGAGGGAGATTCTGCCAAGGACTTTTTGACAGGGAAGCCTTGTCTTCTGCACAAACACGAGGGCACGTGGGATATGGTATGTTATGCTTACTCGGGGAGGACAGTATCGTATCCCTGCAGAGTGCAGACTCACGGTAAAGCTTATTCTACCAGCTTCAATTTGTCCAGCTTCTTTCTGACAATCACTGCGAAGAAATATAGTCTCCGTTGACCCCTTCATGCATGCGAGTGAGACGGACATCATGGGACTACTGATCAAATGAAGTTCTCTGCCCCCATGGAACCGTCTGGACGTGGCGATAGTATTACACAGAAGATACTGTGCAATCAAGGGCCCCTTGTCAACCGCAGGGTCAATCTGGCCCTTGCCCTGTGTACACTGTACTTACACGCCCCTTACCGTTGGTGCCACTAGGGAATGTATGCAGGTTGGCTACTCCGAGGAAGCGCTCAAGGGACATGCCACATCCTGGTCGAGCTATCACTAAGGACGCGGATAGCTGCAGGCTTGGATAAACTTTGCTCATGGCGTAGATTATCGGGCTGCATGTGTCAGTGACTTCATTCTTAGTCATTGTGCCATCATCTCCATTGGTTGCTTTTCCGGTCAAAAGACCTTGACGCCACTAGGGATTCAATTGAAGCGGTCGTGGATGCAGCTGGTGGGGGTGGCTATGACCACTACCTATGTACATAGCAGTGCCTCTATGCGGTTTCTCGGTCGTTGTCAATGAGGCATTATGCCCTCCATCGAAGTGAGCCACATGTCCCATCAGAGACCAGTTACATACAATTGTTTATACATATATACACAGTAAGGAGACGCTTGTCTACTATCTTAGGGGCTCAGTGGAGTTGCAATTCCTCACCGTATCTCAGCTTGAGACAGGACGCTGTTGACTTCGGCAAGAGCATTTGTGATAGCACCAACATGACCATGCAGACTAGACGGAAAAGTCCGGCCGGCAGCATGACGGATAAACCAACCGCATCCCCAGAGGGTAAGTGGCCGGGTAGCAGTGCAGCCTGCTTACCCATCCAGCGGGGCCGCGCCCAACTTATGAGCAAGTCTATCCTAGGCTTCGTATTGGTGCAATTCGAGGGTGATCTTCCGGCTAGGGCGATTGGTCCGCTTTCACACCCAATCAACTTCCTATTTCCCCTGTAAGCGATAGAAAGCACTGGCGTTATATGATCAACCAGTATTGGTCAATTGTGTGCCCCCGTTTGAAAATAGATCGGGGTTCTTATAGAACAATTCCAGAGGCACTAGGTGGAGGAATTTTGCTTGGGATGGAGTTCCGTCACTGAAAACGGATGGCTGGAGTTTCCCGCCTAACCTAGAACGGCGACCAGCAGGCTCAGTCCGACCCAATGCTGAGGATCCATTGCGCCAACGAGAAGCAGCTACGAATCGGATTGGTTGGAGCAAGACCGGTTGCCCCACTGTGAGCACACCCTTAGCCGGGGTCATGCCGCGGTTGGCCAGGTTAGGTACTAGGTAGGCTCGCACAGTCGCGTTCCCCTCTTTCGTTACATCTGGCCGCCCCACTGTGACAGCAAGGCCGGATGACGAAAATGGAAATTGAGAGACAATGGATGGAATCCGATGAGATCAAGTCGAGATAAAGATTGGGTAGGTAAACGACTAGGTATTCAAGTGCGCTATTATTAGTTCGATACGGAAGGAGGAGGTAGGACCGTAGGAGAGAGATTAGAGTCGCGAAGGAAAAATGACAAGGGAGCTTTAAAAACAAGCAGCTAGAAAAACAAACAAAGGACCGGGAAATAAACACAGCGGGAATTGCTTCGGCGATGGGTCCAGGCAGGCGATTCTTCACTGGTGGTGCCGTGGTGGGCAGCGACCTACTGAACCCGACCGTTTGGGTCGCGAGGTTCCTGCGCCGGGTTGATCGCCTCCTGATCCGTGACGCTACGACCGAAGGAAGGCAAGGGCAGGACAAGGCCTAAGGTTAGCCTGCTTAGCCCATCCTTCTATGCCCCAAACACCGCCGCGGCTTGCTTGCTGGTGCCCCGGGACCCGTGGGCTTTGCCCCCTCTTCCCCCCCAGCCCGCGTTTATGGATCACAGAATTAATTCCCCAGCGACCGACGGCGGGAATTTGGATCGTTCCAAGAGATTATGTACTATATATTCTATGGATTATAGATGACAGATTTACTCCATATTATGTAGAGATCCATGCTTGCTTCTAGATTGTTCGTACAGTGTAGCACCAGAACTAGACTAGAGCAAAAAAAACACCCCCCCCCAGTCACCACGCCGAAATGAGCTCATTCCCTCCCAAAGTTTGGGTTCTGGACCTCGAGAGCTGCCCGTGACTTCCAGCTCTGCATTCGTCCCCTCCTCGGCTGCTCCGATCTTTTCTGCTGTCCGCACACCAGCAACTAAACTCTCCGTCCTTCTTCTTCACGACGTTCTTGCCAGCCACTCTGCGCAACCCCGCCTTTCCCCTGCCTGTCCTCTCTCCGTCCTGTCTGCCTTGCTCGGCTTTGGGTTGGCGTGCAGCATCGTTATCCGCCAATCGTTCACCGCTGCAGGTTCCTGTCCTTGTGCTACCCTCAGGATTAAAAGTGGACGCCGTTGGGGAACCTGTGGTCTTGCGGCCGATCCGTGGAAGCCTCAACGAATCTTCCGCATTTTGACGCCTCGTCGCTACGGCTCACCCACACCTAATCGTCGCTTTGCAAGCTCCTTCTTTGCGTACTCTGTGCACTGTTTTTTGACCCGACGTATGTGTGGTTCTTCCGGATCCTTGGCTGTTCTCCCAGCAGGCGCGTGCCTTGTCTAACTTCAGCTCGTGGCAGATTGGGTTTGTCCATCGCGAACCTCATTGCTGTTTCGGGTATTCACCCCTCCTTCCGCCACTTTCTCACCCTCGCCTTCACCTTCACCTTCGCCTTCTTCAACGCGATGAGCGCCATGTACGCTCTGGACGACCGGACACATACCGCTCCGCCTCCACCCCCTCCGCTGTCGATGGATCGTATTCCGCCTCCGTCCTCGTCATATCCCACTCCCGGCTCTGCAGGCGTCGCGTCCGCCGGCGGGCTACCTCCGTCGAGTCACCTGGCGCCGCTTTCCACCGTTCACGATGGTCGCGTTTGGTCTCTGCAGGTGGTTCAGCAGCCTGTTCGCGCCCGGATGTGTGGCTTCGGAGATAAAGTCGGTCCTACTTCGATGTCGTTTGACGATTCTCTTGGTTTCATTGATAGCTGACGAGAGCTCAGGACCGACGGCCTATTACACCCCCTCCTTGTATTCGCCTGATTGTTCGTGATGCGCAGACCGAAAAGGAAATTGATATTAAGTATGGCAATCTCGCCTGCCCACTATGATGAGGATAGTCATTGACCAGCCATTATAGTGAAATCGACACGTCTTTTTACGTGCTCATGGTCGACCTGTGGAACGCTGAAGGGACCAGCGAGGTGAATCTCGTCAAGCACTCGGCCACGTCTCCCTCAATATCTACCGCCATGTCCTCCTCATACCCCCCTCCACCGCATAGTGTTTCTCCGTCCTATCCGCCTTACGCACAGAACGCCTACGGCCAGCCCGTCGGATACCCTCAGATGAACAATTACTATGGTGGAAACCCCCAGCTACAGTACCAGAACCCCTATGGGACGAACCCGCAAGGGCCTTACTACCAGCCGTACTATGCTGGCGGTCACATGCCTCCCACCAACATCTCCCCGGCGCAACCTGTTACCTCCGGGCCTGGCGGCATGTTCACGCGCAACCTCATTGGCAGTCTCAGCGCCAGTGCTTTCCGACTGACTGACCCCGAAAACAAGATCGGGGTATGGTTCATCCTACAGGATCTGAGTGTTCGCACGGAGGGGTCTTTTCGGTGAGTTCAACCGCGCGATCTGGTCGCGTCGTGGCCGATGCTGATATCTCAACAGCCTCAAAATGAGCTTTGTAAACGTCGGTAACCAGTCCAGCGATTCTCCCAACGGGGTGTCTGTGATCAACCATGGGTCTGCACCGGTGTTGGCCTCGGTCTTCTCGGATGCATTCCACGTGTTTTCGGCCAAGAAATTCCCCGGAGTCATCGAAAGTACGCCGCTGAGCAAATGTTTCGCTCTTCAGGGGATCAAGATACCCATTCGGAAGGACGGAGTCAAGGGATCCCGCGGGCGTCACAGCGACGGGGACGACGGCGGAGACGAGTACGACTGAGCCAGGGGCGTTTGTTAATTTAGGATACCTATGGGCGATCTGATTTTCTGCTTTTGATTCCTCTTTCGCGCTTTTGATTACAGGTTAGGGTAGGATGTGGGTTCGGTTCTGAGGTGTTGGTGATGGGCTCTTTTGAATTGGGTGGGTGTACTGTTACTATCTGGACTGGTGTCGCAGGTTTCTTCTGGTTCTTTTTTTCTTTTTTTTTTTCTTCTTTGCTCCCCCTGGCTTCTCCTGGTGGGCTTCCCCTTCTTGATGTCTAATTAATCCTGTCTTGCTTTCCCATTCCTGTAACATGCCTTGTACGGTGTGAAGGTTCGCGTCTGGTTCCACGGTCCCGCGCACACACGGTTAGAGGAGAAAATGATCCACCCATCGGACACTGCATTTGTTGGAGGGCCTGTACTGTATGCACTACGCCGGGAAGAATGAATGAATGAATCAAATTGGCTGGCACTCGACTTCCCAACCATCGGCTCTAAGTTAGAGTTCTGAATGGAAATCCGCAGGACACGCCCCGGGGGAACCGTTGCTCAACCGAGGAATGCGGTTTTGCAGGCTCCTATTTTCCGGTGGCGGTGCGCATGCGGCAATGACGTCCACCGGGGCAGGCTCGGGGAAACCGATGGAAAAGGGAAAAATACTCGAGGCTCTCCTATCTAGATAAATCCTAATCCCATTCTTCAGAGTCTCAGACTCGGGGGGGGGGGGCGGATCGGCATTGTCCGACTGGAGACAGGAAACTGGGGGACGGCCATCGGATCGTCGGAACGGCTCCTGGCTTGGGGATCGTCGTTCTATAATTATCTTCCGCCTCCCACGCTTAACAGCTGAAGTGAACATCCTCATTTTTTTCCCTGCCGTGTCTCGGAGGAATGTGAGACAATCGTATAATCGGCACGTCATGAGCTCTACGTTCTCCATCGGAGCCGATGAAGAGCCACTCACTATGGCTCTCGCCCGCTCGACTCCATGCGGTCTCACTTTAGTGCTGGTGCCAAGTGGAATCGCTCCATCCACGTTCTTCTGGGCATCTTCTCCTGATAGGCCAGGATTTAGATTCTCTTCTGACGGCTCGTGCCGCCGGGCATTGCTGCATCTCGCAGGTTGTAACGGATGATGCTGGAGGGAGGCAAGTTTCCTGTACCTATAGTGTAATCGTACTCCGTATACAGCACAACCTCGGGGCCCTTGCTCCTCCAACCACTCCACTCTTGTCCTTGCCTGACCTCATGGGCTCATTCTTCAAGATATAAATACGGGGGTCGCGCATCCCATCTCCCCAGTCATTCCCAGATCAAACCATCCTATCTTCCAAACAACTATTCTTCTCAGTCTCTATCCCACAACTCCAACACAAACTCCAACCCCAACCATCACAATGAAGTTCACTCTCGCCGCCGCCTCCGTCCTCCCCTTCCTGGCCGCCGCCGCCCCCTCCCAGCCCAAGGCGGCCCGGGACACCACCACCTTCAGCGTCATGTCCGCCCGCTCCGGCTCTCCCATTCACCTCCTCCCCCTCAACGCCGCCGGCGGTGCTTTCTACCTCGGCGGAGAGACCTCCTCCTACTGCCCTATTGCCTCCGGCTGCCCCGCCGGCACCGAGACTGTCTTCGCCGGTGACGGTTCCTCCCTGGTAAGCCCCCATTCCATACCCCCAAAACCATCAAATACTTACTAACACCCCCAATCCAGGACGTCGAAGTCCCCGGTGGCCAGCAGGTCTACGTCAACCCCTCCGGCGCTCTGAGCTTCACCGTGCCCCACTCCGCCTACATCCCTACCGGCTCCTCCACCGGCCCCTTCACCTACGCCCCCAGCAAGCCTTTCGGCACCTGGTCTTTCGGAAAGGGCTTCATGGCTTGCCCTACCAAGGATAGCAAGTGGCAGGTCTTTGCTGCTTCTCAGAACGCTACCGTTCCTCAGGGCAACGTGAACGACTGCCTTGGCTTTGATGCTTTGGCTGTTGCTGGCAATGGCTCGGTTGCTGCTTGGGAGTACATCTAAATTAGATCTGCCTAGATGGTAGATTGGTTTGAGATGGGGATGGTGGTATATTTGGGGGTGATTGTCTATAGTTAGCCTGTCTTGCTTGGTATAGGTCGTTGGTTTTGCTATTGTATTTACTTCTAAAGTGAAATATTCTTTTTTTGGATGTTGAGTAAAATATTTTGTCATGTGTTATATGATGTATTCAGTAGGCTGAAGATATAGGCTAAAGATATATCCGCCACAGGGCTAGGTAGGAAAATATTTTTGCTTTTTCTACCTTGAAGATATTTAGATGGGGTCGTACAAGTTGACCGCTGAAATGCATCTATGCGTCTTTACATGGAAATTCATGACATCCGGTACGAAATGGTATCTGCTTGAGTGAAGGCATTTTTGATGGTTCATGAGTATCGTGGTGGGTTATATTGGGGGTTGGGTTATTTTGGTTCATAACAGTATCATACGTATAATATAGTATAGTATTAGTTTCTCCATATCCGCACCGCCTTGTCCTTGCCTCCACTTCCCACCTTCTGTCCATCCGGACTCCAGTCCACAGCAAATACCTCGTCCTTGTGTCCTGGCAGATCTTCCGACAGTTTGCCCGTCCGCACGTTCCAGACCTTCAGTGTGGTGTCCTTGGACGAGGACACCAGGAGTCGCGAATCGGCGGAGAAGCAGCATTGGTAGACGGCACCGACGTGGCCGCGGAGTGTGGTGATGAATCTGCCGGTGGTTAGTATTTGTAAATGTAGGGAGGATATGGAAGGCGGTTAGTTGATGGGGAATTGGTGAAGGTGGGAACTCACTTTCCGTCACGGGCGTTCCACAGCTTGACGTGGTTATCGAATCCCGCGGATGCGATGTATGCCATGTCTGGCGAGAACGTGACATGGTTGACTTCCTTCTGGTGGCCCAACATCCGGGAAATCGGCTTGTTGGAGCTCCCCGGTTCCCACAGGTACATGGTGAAATCGTCACTCGCAGACACGAGCTTCTCGACGATCTTGTTGTTGATGGTAGCGGCCTGCTCGAACCGCTTCTTGGCTGCGGCCACTTTCTCAGAATCCGCCTGCGGAACCTGGCCGGTGTGATCGTGGTACGCAGTCCGGAGGACGAAGTCAGTTGAAAGGGCCAGGTGGTTCACTCGGTGGACGTGCGCCGAAAGGGTCTGGACCAGGGTGCCGTTCTGAGCGTTCCACACCTTGATGGACTTGTCGTGAGAAGCAGTGTAGATATTTCCGGTTCCGCCCCAGCGAACGCAGGTCACTGAGCCCTTGTGACCGGTGAGGACAATGTCGATCCGTTTCGAGACCACATCCCAAATGCGAACTGTCGAGTCCTTGGATGCGGAGGCCAGGCGCGGCCTACCGGGTTGTTGGAGGTGGTATGGCTCCCAGGCCAGACTGGTGATCCATTTTGCGTGTCCCTTCATGGGAGCTCCCAGTGGGGTTCCCTTCTTCGCATCCCAGACTCGTACGGTGTTGTCCATGCTTCCTGTCGCAACCATGGCGCCGTTGGGTGAGTAAGCGACCGCCAACACCCAGCTAGTATGTCCCTTCAGAGTGTGCAGAGGGGTCCCGGTGTCGCAGTCCCAGATACGGGCGGTAGAGTCACCACTGCCGGTGACCATCGTAGAAGAGTTGACGGGGGAGAAGCTGGTCGCAAGAATGGCCTCGCCGTGTCCGGCGATCGAGGCAGAGCATCGCGAGACGGCCTTGACGCGGAAAACTGCCTGCGGGGTGAAGTAGAGCTGAACAGTATCTTCGGTCGTCTTCAGACCAGGCTTCAATAGGGAGTGGTACAGGTCGGATAGGATGTCGATCGTCTGTTTGTCCGTGTCCTTGCCTTTGCCGTCGGACTGGTACGTGAAACGGTATGGTACTCGCTCATCTTCTTCCTGTGGTGCAGAAGGAAACAATCAGTCTGTGAAAAGCATGGGCTGGCCGCCACCACTGCGTACCCACATTGCCTTGTAACGTATTCAAAAGAGTCTCGAGGTTCTTGACAGTGGCATCGGCCACAGGAACGGACACTGCCGGCCCGGTCGCGGATCCCGTCGCCTGGTCGAAGAATTGCACACGAATGCTGCCCAGGTTCTCGGGGACACTCTGAACCTCCTGCTGCTGGCGGGCCCTTTCGGCCGTCTCCGTTCTCTGGCGCTTAGTCGGGGGAGGAAGAAGAGTCGCCATTGTGTCGCTCTTCAATTGGGGTGATTTTGGTCGTCGAAGATTTTCGCAGAAAAAAAGATAAAAGATAGCAATCCGTATCGCGGGGAGACCCATCGCGCTAGCCCGCTTTCGGACGCCCGCTCTACTATATCCTCATCTCTCCCTCCTTTTTCCCCTTCATCGGCTTGGGTCCCTCAATGATGCATAATGTCGAATTTCTCTAGGGACTCTTCAGTTGGAGCTGCTAGCTCCTTTGCCCCACTATCCAGAATCAGCACATTCCCCAGGACAACCCCGAGGCCAACGACAACAGCAACAAGCGTTGCTTCGCAGGATATCATCTGCGCTGTCAGTGAGTCCAGAGGCGTCTCTTCTACGGTTGGCCTTGCTTTCGTCAATCTATCCACCGCAGAGACGGTTCTGTGCCAGATCTGCGACAGCCAGACGTATGTCAAAACCGTCACCAAGATCGGAGTATTCGAGCCGACGGAGATCCTTTTCGCGAACTCTGCCAAAGATTCCAAGCTATTCTACATCATCCAAGAGAATATCCAGGACACTACATTCACCTTTCTAGACCGCAAGTTCTGGTCTGAGAAATCAGGACATGAATATGTGGACCGACTTGCCTTTTCCGAAGATGTTGAACCTATCAAGATTATCCTAGGAGGAAATTACTTTGCTGCTTGTTGCTTTGCTGCGGTAAGCACCGCAACCTTCTGACAATTCTCACTAACTCCTGTAGGTCCTAAAGTATGTTGAATTAGAGCTTAACAAAACCTTCACTTGTCATTCGCTTCGTATCAGGTTCGAGCCCTCTCAAGGGTCTATATCCATCGATCTCTCCACCATAGTCTCCTTGGAGTTGATCCAAAACATCCACAACGTGAAATCGAAGGACAGTCTGTATGGCCTTCTTAATGAGACTCTAACCCCTATGGGCGCGAGGCTTCTCAGGGCCAACATTCTTCAGCCTTCGACTGAAGAGTCGAAATTACAGGCCCGTTACGACGCTGTAGAGGACCTGTCTACCAAAGAGGAGATGTTTGTGTCGGTGAGACAAGGTCTGCTTCTAGGGATCTCATCTACGGCTAGGTTACTGACCCCATATGTGACCAATAGCTCTCAAAGGCTTCATCGATGCAGACAAGGTCCTGACATCCGTATGTGGACTGTAATTGTTCCTGAATAACTTGGCTGACATCCCAGCTTATCCTTGTTCCCAATAAACGAGCTTTCCAATACGTTGAACAGTCCGTCAATAATGTCATCATGATCAAAACATATGTGTCCTCAATTAAGTCGGTCTACAAGGCACTTACCGCAGCTCAGAGTAGTCTTTTGACAACTATAAGAGAAGTAGGTGTATCCTGGTGCTATACCGATGAAGCCAACATTTTATCCAGCTATGCGCCCCGGCAGGTCACCGGGCTGTCCAACAGATGATTGAAGAAACTCTCAACGAACATGTCACATACCAGACCAGGCCACTCGACCTCAGGAATCAGCGTATTTATTGTGTCCGGGTGAGCCCACCATCCACATCTAGCATCCTGGTCAGGCTCATGATGATTCTAGGCTGGAGTAAACAGCCTCCTTGATGTCGCAAGACAGACATACAAGGAAGCTAACACTGATGCCGCAGAACTTGTAGCAGAATTAGTTGGTGAGAGTGTTCTGAGTTATCAGCTTGCATTTGCATCTAATATTTGTAGAAACACATAGCATTGCCCTAGACCTGAAGTTCGACAGAGCTCGCCAGTACTACATTAGCCTCCCGGCCAAAGAAGTCGAATCCTTGCCTGAAATGTTCATCAACGTCTATCGCAAGAAAAACCGAATCGAGTGCCAAACTCTCGATCTCGTCAAACTCAATCAAAAGATTACAGATGCGCACAACGAAGTCATCAACATGAGCGACGAAACCGTGCAGGAATTGATCCAGGACATCTGCTCGGAGATCTCGGGTCTCTTCAAAGTAAGCGAAGCTATTGCCATGCTCGATATGCTAGCGGCGTTTGCCCAACTAGCTACTTCCCACGATTACATCCGGCCTGAACTGACAGATACCCTCGCGATCAAATCCGGACGCCATCCAATCCGCGAGAAGATACATACGAAGAAATTCATCCCCAATGATGCCTATGCCACACAGCAGTCCCGCTTCCAAATTATCACAGGGTGCAACATGAGCGGAAAATCAACATACATCCGCTCTCTGGCACTGATGACTCTGATGGCACAAATCGGCTGTTTCGTCCCAGCAGAATACGCATCGTTCCCTATCGTCCATCAGCTATTCGCACGAGTCTCTACATCTGACGACCTCGAAGCCAACGTATCCACCTTCGCTGCCGAAATGCGCGAAATGGCCTTCATCCTTCGAAACATCGAACCCCGCAGCATGGTCATCGTCGACGAACTAGGCCGAGGCACCAGCACAACCGACGGCCTCGCCATCGCCATCGCCATCTCAGAAGCTCTCGTAGAAAGCCACGCGTTAGTCTGGTTTGTAACCCACTTCCGTGATCTCGCCCTGATAATGGGCGAGCGCAACGGCGTCGTGAGTCTCCATCTCGCAGCGGAAATATCCCCCGACGCTTCAAAGATGACCATGCTCTACAAGATCGCCGAAGGACCCGACACGAACCAATTCTACGGCCTCACCCTAGCCAAGCTCGTCGACTTCCCCCGGGAGTCTTTGAAACCGCCCAACAGGTATCTGAGAAGCTCACCCTGCTCGCCAAACGCCGCCACAGCAAATCCAAAGCACTAGCCGTTACACGCAGGAGGAATTTACTCATCTCTCTAAAAGAAGAACTCCTCCTCGCCCGCAACGGAACCATGGAAGGCGAGCCCCTCCGAAAATGGCTGAAACGACTCCAAGACGACTTCGCCTTGAGCATGGCAGCTATTGACGAAGACGCGGCATGTATCAGCGACGAAGATGCATCCGTTGTGGAAACTGTGGAGGAAAGGAACCCAAGCTCTATTGGAACCTTTGACGAGAATGTCGCAGAAATCCATAGAAGTTCTGAACTGGGCGAATCTCCGACCCGACCTGCAGATCCCCAGAGTGATACTGATCTGGACTCTCCGCTCGATAACCCCACTCACAGATCACAACCACTTGGTCTCTCCTCGGAAGTATCCGAAGGGACCATGACAGAGGAGCTATTCCAGACACGCCCAGCAAGTGACTATTCCACCGATGATGACGAGTGGGATACTGTTTCCTCTGTGGAGTGTGTAGGTTCATGAGCGAGTGATTCGTAAACCCAATCAACCAATCATCATTTGTAGTAGTATCAATGTATTGTATGATCTCCAAGGCATCGATATTGAAATTGAAATTATTTTATTTTTATTTCATTTTCTATTTCCATTGGTTTGATGCATCCATGAACAAACCCAGGCCCACAGGCTCTTCCTTTTTTTTTTTCCCACCCCGCAACTCTAATGATAATTACAGGCGCTCAAATACAAGTTGAACAAGCAACAAAGCTGGACCAGACCTATGCAAAGACAACAAGCCACTTTCTTTTATGTCCCGGGATGAAACACAGAGAATCACAACATATGTACGTGAGTGTGTGTGTGATGGTCATGATCATCCAAAGTGAAAGAGAGTCTGTTTGCCCTTCTTTCCCTTGCCCTTTTTGCCTCCTCCGGCGGGGAACTCGGGGAAGTCTTCCTCTGCGGTGGAGCTGTCGTTGCGGGAGGACGAGGACCAGGCGTTCGCGGTTGGCTGGCGACGGTCATCCCAACGGACGGTGCCGCGGGTCAGTCCGGCCATGAGGACGTTGGGTTTAGGAGCAGCAGGTAGTGCGGGGAAAGCATCGGTGTTGTTCGTGTTGACCGGGCGAGAGGGAGCGCGGGAGACGGATCGGGAGGAGGGAGCGCTGCTGAAGGCTGAGGTGGGAGCTGAAGCTGCGGCGGCAGCGCCCCAGGGGGTGGTGGCGGGGGTGGAGGAACGAGGAGTAGAGCGAGCAGTGGTGGAAGAGAGAGGGGGAAAGGGGTTGGTGGAAGAGGAAGATGAAGGCATAGCGCCGCTTCTGCCGACAGCGGAACGAGAGGACTGGGCGGTTGAGGATTTCAGACGCAGAACGCGCTTCCCTCCGACTCCACCGCTGCTCACAGTGCTCGGGGACATGCCGGGGAGGATACCGCCGGGTCCGGGCAGAGCAGGGTAGTCTTCGTTGATCGCACGCCAGTCGTTCCAGGATTTGAGCAGTGCAGTGCGCTTGCCTTCGTCTTCGTAGATGTCGGCAAGCTCCTTGACGAGTTTGCCCAGCTCGGAGCTAGAAGTATCAAACAGGGAGAAAAAGGCGTCAATGAGTTCCGTGGCGGAGATGGAGGAGGTGCGGTAGCTGGACACACGTGTACGGAACTCCTTGAGCTTGTGCTGGTCGTTTCCCAGGAGGTTTGAGGCTCTTTCGACGACGGCCGCATGGCGTAGACGGCGTGCCTGTTCTTGAGGAGTAACCGAGCCCGAGTCGGCAGTGGTATTGAGACCTTCCATCTCGGCAACCGGAGGGGTCGCAGCAGAAGTCTGAGTTGAGGTAGGACGAGCAGGAGCGCGCACAGGTTGGGTGTCGTCGCGTGTTAGTTGGCCTCCAAAGCTGCGAGTCGACACGGACTGTGCACTTTGGATGGCCATCTGACGCTGGTAGGCGACCTCGTCTCTTCGCAAAGGCTGGGCGCTGGACACAGGCAGCGGCTCTGCGTTGGGATCACGTCCGCGACCAGCTCCACGGCGTTGTTGACGTTGCTGGGGCTGGTATGGCGCCCTGTAGTCGAAGGTAGACAAGTCCACGGTGCGTGCGTCCCGTCTGGCGTCCTTGGACAGGCCGTTGGGATGGGCTTCGAGCTGATGCGCCTTGAGGTCCATTTGAGATTCGAAAACCACGAATTTTTTCTCGAGGCACTCCTGGTCAAGACAGAGGAAGTGATCCTTCTGGAAGTGACCCTCGAGGGCGTTGTAGTCGATGTAATACTGTTGCTGGCGGGACGCCGAGAGACGGTCACAAATATGGCATCTTTCGTGACGGTCTCGGCAGTGGGCGTATAATTCGTCGTCGCCGTAAAACCGCTGCCTGCAGAAGCCACACTCAGGGTGTCCCTTGAACCCACTCTGATCAATCGCTCCTGGCACATCATCTCCATACTTCTCGTGTTTACGCAACTCAGCAGTCGTGAACACTTCGTGCTCATGGGTGAACACTTTCTTGTTCCGTGTACACAGATCACTGGATTAGAACGAGTCAGTATCAGTCCCTCCACAGTCTCCCACTTCACCCGGCAGAGAGAACATACCACATCACTCTGCTATGCTTGCTTTTGACGTGACGGTGCAGGTCAGGCCATCCCAAGCAAGCCACATCACAGCCTCGGTCCGGACAATTATACCGCAGCAGCAGAACCGTATCCTCAAAGATGTCGTTGTTCTCATACTTGATCCCGAGGTTCTCATCTTTCTGCGAGAAATCGGCATCCGTGAAGTCCTCAAAGCGCTTTGTATGGTCGTCTGTGAAGATGACATAGTTGGATTCCGTCTACAGCAGAGCATTCGTTAGCGCATGGCCGGAACCAAGTTGACAGATGCGACGGGCACAACACATACCCGACAATGAGCACAAGCTTTATTCTTATAGAGGGCCCTCAATCTCAGCGCACAGATGTGGCAGGTCCGATGATTACACGGCGAGACAGACGTGTGGTCGACCTTCGAGGCACAGATGAAGCAAACCTCACTATCATCCGCATTGTCTGACTCTTCTGCGACGGGCTGCTTCCCCTTACTCTCTGACCCTGCCGGAGCATCCGCTGGCGTTTCAGCTGAGGCTTCCGACTTGTTCCCCGTACGACTCTGCTTGTCACGCCCCCCAGCGCCTCCTCGGCGGGGTCCCTGGCCTCTGGACCTTGCACCTCTTCCAGAACCGTCGTGGGAGTGTTGGTGGCCCTCAGGTTGTCCAGGTTGGCGAGCAGCACCGAAGCCTCCACCGCGACCCCGGCGACGACCACCGCGGCCTTGGCCTTGCGCTCCGGGGGCTTGGGTGGGCTGGGTTTCGGACATTGGGAAGTTTGAAGATGGAGGGCGAGTTCACGAAGGGATAGGGTGGGAGCAAGTGCCCAAATATGCTCTCTAGGACGCGAAGAGCTTTGCGCTCTTGGGAGCCTGTGCGACCAGACGGCGATTTCAGCGGAGGGGTGATAAGCCGGCGTTGCTGTGGAGGGACCAACTTTCAAGTAAGAGCGGCAGGCAAAAAAGTTGGTTTGGCGGCATGCTTAGTGAGCATCCAATCCATTCCCCCGTTCCAAATTGCGACAGCAACGACAGGGAATTACTGATATTAACTAGGACTCAATCTTCCTATGACTCATCATGGCTCACTCCGGCTCATATCCGCTACGGATAACAACTCTACGGCCGGCCATATGTGTTGCTTAGCAGTCCTTCTTCGGCTACACTGTACGGGTGACCCGCGATGACAAGAAATGCATCATGCAATGACGCGATGCACTGTATGGGTCCAACTCAATAATCAATACGACCTCTAGGTAGCAATATCCATCGCGCCTGTCCGCAAGGCAGCACCAACTCCCGCTGGAGAGAAAAGCAGGTCAACACAAGGAAAGATAGGGCAGTTATTTCGCCAAAGAGAGTAACAGTAAGTGCAGCAAGGACACCAATGTGGGGAACAAATAAAGAACTTTGGAATAAAAAGAAAGACAATAGCGCCTGGGTTCCAAATGCTGTGTAATGAGTAGTGATGTGCAAATGTAGAAATCGGAAAATCGTAAGGCAACGACTGGCTCGCTGCGACTGCCTTGTCCTGAAGGCAAAAAAATGGCTTCTAGATACCCAAAGTTATTCATCGGGACTGTACAAATTCTGGCTCAGAATCTTTGTCATCGTGAACATATGTATACGATCTTGCTTGAAGACAGCTCTCATCGCATCGTCACAGCGGATCTGACGCCGGTCGCTGGGGTCCTGGAGATCATGCTCGTGGATATATTGCCAGAGCCTCTTCACTGTCTGCGGCCGCGAGAGCTGTCGAGATGTCAGCAAGTTGATCAAATCGGGCCAGCGATAAGAGAGAAGATGACCTACCGTCACCTCGCCGTCCAGCAAAGCCGAAAGTGCCGGGGAAAGAGTCAGAGGTTTCTACACAACTGTCAGCGCCAGCCCCCACTACAAGAAGTAACTAGCCTACATGAAAACCGCCCGACCGATTCACCTTCTTCCCGGATTCCGAGCCCGATTCCAGGTCCGAATCATCCTCGGCCTTGACTTTCTTTGACGTCTTCGCTTTGGTGGGCTGTTTCTTCTTCACCGGCTGGGACCTGCGGGTACTAGCCCCGCGGGTCTGGCGAGCACGCATATTCTCCTCGGCCTGAAGCCTGGCAGCGAACTGGGCGTCCGCATCAATGTCATTGTCGGGTTTCTGTTTCTTGGCCGGGGGAGTCTTGTTTGAGGTGTCAGAGTGCTCTTCGCTGTCGGCCTGGCGTTTCTGGGACATGGAGGATTGGGCCGGAGACAACGGCTCTACAGGGGTCACCGAATCATGATCTTGCCCATGCCCATTGGTGGTGGAGGTAGTCGCGGTTGTCTCGGGTGTGGCTTCTTCGCCCCCTCTGTACGCGACAATGTCGAACCGCTCCGTGATGAGCTGCCTAATTGCGACCTGAACGAGGGAAACAAATGTCAGCATCCTATCCGGTGTCTATTGCGGTGGGTGAACGAGCAGTCTGCGACAAGAGCGAAGGGCCGGGACGCGGACCTTCTGCGGGGTAAGATCATAGCCGATCTCATCCTCGAGACCTTTGCGAATGCGCTTTATGGAAATTGTGGTTAGATCGCTTTTGGCCAGGATCGAATCAATGATCGGAATGTATCGATCGTGGGCATCTGGGGAGACTGTTGCAGAAAAAGAAACGACATGATGTCAGTTGAGAGCGACCTCGGCGTGGAGCACGACCCGGGAACATCAGAGTTCCGAACTTACGCGACATCTTGACCCAGTAGCTTGGCTTTTCGGCCCTTCTGCAGACAACGATGCGGGATGGGGGGGTTGAATGTTGTCAATTGCCAACCGAATCCAACCTCGAGGTCCGTGAGGCTATCAACAGCTGGGTTCAGCTCACGGCGGTCGTGCACTGGCGAGGATCGTCTAGATCTGGGCGTAGCGCTGGCGCTTAGGACCGGCGGGGCATGAGAGAGGGAGGGAATGTCGGCCGGGGAATGGGACGGGGAGGAGGGATTGAGCGAGAGTGAGATGAGATGAATGGGAAGTCAGTGAAGGCCGGCCCGCAACGACCAGCAGCTATCACCCGGAACAGCACAGGAAAGCAGGAGGATGCGTGGGATCGCGAGTGTTGTGGTGTCCAGCCCAGCCGATTGTACAGGTCGGTTACAGAGACATAATCAGCCGGGCGAGAAGCTGGGGGCGGGCGGCTGACCTAAGCGTCACGTGGTCCCAGAGCTGGGGTTGCGTTATCTTACGGTATGGTTACCCAGGGAGTACCGATAACCATCCTTCACAATGGGTCAGGTGATGTGATTGCAATCTGACTCAGCCCTGACTCAGCCAGTATCGCACACAGAAGGCGCTTGTGGTTTGGGATTTGCTCTTTTGCCCTAAAATCAGCCAAAACGGGGTCGACCAGCAGAAAATCCAGAACAGGATCTTTCATCTTCAGTATCAACCCTCTCCACCCACCCCCCCCCCCTTATCGCCGCTCGCTGCGACTGCAACCATGGCGCCCAGTTTCGACACCCTGTCTGAGCAGGACCTCCACGAAGAGGAGGAGGAGGAGATTGATTTCTCCGGTGAGTGCGCCTCGCGTTGTTTTCCATCTGCCCTTCGCCCATCGCCCATCGCCCGTACCCCTCGTCGCTGACTCCGCCTTGTTATCCCCATCTAGACCTCAAGGAACAATACGAAGTGAAGCTCGAGGAGGGTTTGGACACATTCGTCGTCATCGATGGACTCCCGATCGTCCCGGAGGAGAGCCGGCAAAAGCTCATCAAGTTTTTGTTGAGGAAGCTCAACACGGTCGGCCACACCGCGGAAGATGCCGTCTTCATGCCCATCAACGATAAGAACATGTCCGAAGGGTATGTATTGGGAAAACCGAGCGGGAAGGCTGTGGAAACATTAACACTCGGTTTTCCAGTTTCGCCTTCGTCGAATACGAGACCCCCGAACAGGCCATCGCCGCGGTCAAGCAGCTGCACGGTGTCCCCCTCGATAAGAAGCACACTCTCGCCGTCAACAAATTGATGGATATCGACCGCTACGGCCGTGAAGGACGCATCGACGAGGAATACAAGCCCCCCACCATCGAACCATTCAAGGAGAAGGAGCACCTCCGCTCATGGCTGGGCGACGCCAACGCCCGCGATCAGTTCGCCCTCTACCGCGGCGACAAGGTCGGTGTGTTCTGGAACAACAAGACCAACCCCCCCGAGAACGTTGTCGACCGCGCCCACTGGACGCAGCTTTTCGTCCAGTGGTCCCCCAAGGGTACCTACCTCGCGTCCGTCCACCCCCAGGGTGTTCAGCTGTGGGGTGGCTCCGGCTTCTCGAAGCAAAAGCAGTTTCCCCATCCTTTCGTCCAGCTGGTGGAGTTCTCGCCCGGTGAGAGCTACCTGACCACCTGGTCTGCTCGCCCCATCCAGGTCGAGGAGGGCCACCCGGTCTTGACCTACGAGGAGGACGGAAAGAACATCATCATTTGGGACATCGTCACGGGCAAGCCCCTCCGTTCGTTCGTCTCCAACGACCTGACTGCCGGTCCCGGTGCTGAGGGCGATGCCCAACCCAAGAAGAAGGTTCAGTGGCCTGCGTTCAAGTGGTCTGCTGACGAGAAGTACGTGGCGAGAATGCAGCAGCACCAGTCGATCTCGATCTACGAGCTTCCCCGGATGAACTTGCTGGGCAAGACTTCCGTCAAGATTGATGGTGTGATGGACTTCGAATGGTCGCCCGCCACCGTCGCCCGCGAAGGTGTGAAGCAGTACGAGCAGCTGCTTTGCTTCTGGACCCCCGAAATCGGCAGCAACCCGGCTCGTGTCGCCCTGATGAGCGTTCCCTCGAAGGAGATTGTCCGTACGCGTAACCTGTTCAATGTGTCGGACGTCAAGCTGCACTGGCAATCGCAAGGTACCTACGTCTGTGTGAAGGTGGATCGTCACTCCAAGTCCAAGAAGTCGATGGCCACCAACCTGGAGATTTTCCGGGTGCGCGAGAAGGGAGTCCCCGTGGAGGTGGTCGACAGTCTTAAGGACACGGTGATCAACTTTGCCTGGGAGCCCAACGGTGGACGTTTCGTCCTCATCACAAACGGCGAGGCTACCGGCGGCGCCGGTGTTCTCCCCAAGACCGCGGTGTCTTTCTTCGCGCCCGAGAAGAAGGGTGTTTCGGCGGGTAACTTCAAGCTGGTGCGCACCATCGAGAAGAAGACCAGCAACGCCATCTACTGGTCGCCCAAGGGACGTTTCGTCGTCGTTGCCACGGTGCACTCGCAAACGAACTTCGACATTGACTTCTGGGATATGGACTTTGAGGGTGAGAAGCCCGAGGGTGAGAAGGATCTGGCGGCCAACCTGCAATTAATGAAGACTGTGGAGCACTACGGTGTCACGGATATTGACTGGGATCCCACGGGTCGCTACGTTGTCAGCAGTGCTAGCGTGTGGACTCACTCGGTATGTTTATTCTATAGGTCTTTCTGGGCTACATATACTGACTGGTATAGATGGAAAACGGCTACAACATTCACACCTTCGCCGGTCAGACGCTCGCGGAGCAGCCCACGGACAAGTTCAAGCAGTTCATCTGGCGCCCTCGTCCCCCCACCCTTCTCAGCAAGGAGGAGCAGAAGCAGGTGCGCAAGAACCTCCGCGAGTACTCGAAGGAGTTCGACGAGGAGGACAAGTACGCGGTGGACATTGCCAACACGGCGGTGGTGGAGACGCGCAAGCGGGTGCTCAACGAGTGGACCGCCTGGCTGCGGCGGGAGAAGGAGCTCCTGGCGGAGGACCAGGAGGCTTACGGCGTGCCGGAGGACGTGGACTCGGCCAAGCTGGCCAAGGATGCCCCGGCCGTGTCGGAGGAGCAGGGCGAGACGGTGGTGGAGGAGCTGGTGGAAGAGATCATCGAGGAGAGCGAGGAGATCATTGGTTGATTGGGGGGGCCAGGTCGTATCTAATGTGTTCCAGTCCATCTATTTCCCTTTCCTTATCCTTCTTGCATCTTGTCTGTCGATATCCTCGCTTTTCTTATCTTCTCCGAAGCCGTCACACTTCTTCCTGCCTGTGAGCTTCCTGTGAGATCCAATTGGAGTGGTTTCCACGGGGGGACTGTGGAACATTCAAAAGTGAATAAATAGATCTGTGTTTGCATATTCTGCGTGATGTTGGTAGCAATGAGAGATGACAGACAATGACAGCACCAATCCCATTCAAATCAGCCCAATCCCAATTCCAACCACCACTCCAACCCATAACCACCACCACAACCAACACAACCAACCCCTCTCAATCCCCTCCACCCCCCATCCGCCCAACTACTCCCACTCCCCCTTCACTCCCACTCCCCGTCTCATCCGGCCCCTCATAACTCCTCCCCTCCTGCACATTAATCTTAAAAAACTCCTTATCCCCCAACCTCTTATCCCCGCCCATAATATTCCCCCTGGGCTCATACTCACACACCACAAACCACCCCTGCGGCTCACAAAATCCCCCGTCGACCCATTCCTCGTCCCATTCAACCCGCAATCCACCGCCGCGCACCCCACCTGTCGCGTCGCCCGCCACACAAAGCTGCGTGAAATGTCCCGTTTCCTCACTAAACCCCGTGGGTAACTTGAAATCGTACTTTTGGCGCTCGTCGCCCCAGGCGCATATCGAGAGGGGTGGTGTTGGGGTACCCGAAGGCGAGGTTTTCGCCGTAGGGCCGTTCTTTTACATACATATTAGTTTTGGGGTGTTGGGGGAGGTGGGGGTTTGGGTTGACGTACAGAATGCTGCCATTTACATTGCTCGGCCAGGATTGGGCGTATTCGGTGAGAGTGGTGTTCCAGGTGAGGTTTGTTGCGTTGTGGGCGAGACGGTAGGTGTTACTGATGTTTAGGATGGAGTTTTGGAAGAGGGTTGGGGAGGTGTAGGAGGGGTTTGGGTGGTGGTTGGGGTGGCGGTTACGGTTATGATTATTGTTGTATGCTGTTGTTGTTGTTGTTGTTGTTGGGCTGTGACGAGGGAGAGGGCGCTTAGGAGGGCGGTTATTATGATGAGTGAGATTTTGCGGTGGAGGGGGTGGAGGGGGTGGATGATGAAGTGCATGTTGGATCTGAGGTCATGGTAGGTTTCTTTGGATTTGGGTTAAGGATGGAGAGGTAGAATAAATATCAGACTGGGTGATTGTCAGGACAATGCGGTGGTGATGGTGGCGGTTCCATGATGAAACATTGCTTTGCTTCTTTGGTTCTTTATTTTTCTCTGATTAATATTTATTGTCTGATGTCAGGACGGAAGTATGCAATCAGTCCGGGCTGCATTTAAACTTTCTGGAGATGCGATCCGTTGATTCTATGGAAGTTGAACATTGTACTGGTATGCATGATGCAATTGGATGGGATTAGTAAGAACTTAATGGATGTAGAGTGTGTCAGCGAAACATAGTACTAGTGTTTATGACTTGATGTTGATGGAAAGTAAACATGACATACTAGTATATATCTTGCTTTATTGGCAGGGATGGTTCTATCTATAGAACATTGTCTTTAGAATCGGTCTGGTTGAATCAACTATATTTATCCAGTCACAGTAATACTATATTTTCAATAAAAGTAATTCTCAGCTCAAGATATTCTCATTAACCAATTCACATCTCATTGACAATGTATCAATATATCAAAAAAAAGCACAATAACCTCCCTCCCAGTAACTCCCAAAGCCCAAACCGAATCCCACCATAACCCATCCATAAAAACAATCATCCATCCATCAATAATCATCACCACCAACCCCAACCCCACCCTAACACCACTCCTACCAAACAACCAAATCCATCACCACCCCCAAAAACCCCAACATGGCAATCCCCAACGCCCCCTTCGAAACACCCCCCGAAAGCACCATCACCGCGCCCGCCCCCGACGCATCACTATGATTATACGCCTTGGCCTCGAGTCCCGCATCCTCCAAGCACGACACCACGGCCGACTGATTCCCCGTCGTCGTGCAGAACCCATAACAGGTATCGTATTCTGTGATGTTGGTGGTCGCGCCGCAGCAGACTTGCGCGGAAGCGGTCTTGTCGGAGTCTTTGCGGAAGGCTGCACACGAGGTCGTGCTCCATTTCGAACTCGGGGGTTTGGCTACCGTTTCTTTGCAGAGGGTTTTGTGGTGGTGGCCCATTCTGTTTTCTGTTTTTCTTTGTTGAGTTGGTTGGAGGATGGGTTTGAGTAATTGGAACGAGTACCCGAATAACAACAACAATAGGAAAGGGATGGTGTTAAGCACAATAGTATCAGAGATCTTTTCTAGTCTGTCTACTTTTCAACAAAGAACCCAACTTCCCAGCCCATATTTATATCCCACACGGGCTGGTTAACTTAACTAACCACCAACATTTGGCCCCCATCTCCCAGGAACCAATTTCCGGGCTCCAGGGCTTAGACAATAGTCATACAAGCAATAGAAAATCGGAAAGAGGCAACTAAAATGGAGCTACTTACTCCGTTAGAATGAATCGGTTCCTTTAATGTTACCAAACTAGACTGGAATGGGAAGGCGAGGTGTCGCAGGATGATAGTAGTACTGTGTAGTGCGCTGCGCCCAGAGGATTTGCGAAGCGTGCTCCACAGGGGATGGTTCGTTAGGGTAGGAAGGGCTGTAGATCGGTTTATCCGAGGAGACCGGTTCGAGGCTGAGGAGTGAGCCGTGGCGGTGAGGCTCGGGGGGGAAATTAGGGTGGGTTGGGGGAGTGACTAGTAGGTAGGTATATGGTGCACTGTCTGTGTGCGTGGGCAATGTGTGTGGGATTGTTTGGATGGGATTGCATAGCCTCAGGAGATTTAGGTCTAGAGTGATTAGGGGGATGAAGAGGCTGCCTCTGTTAATACATTCGGTCCTATTGTTCTCATCAGTCGTCTAATCTATCCATGACACCTGGCGGCAAATGGCAAAGCTCGGGGGGTATTCGTCGCTCTATATACACCGTATAATCGTAATCCGGGACATCATCTTCACATAACGTTGCACCCAATTCCATACATGGCACGCTCGACATCGCGTTTCACCTGGTACCAGTCCGCCCGTCGCTCGGCGAACTCGTACACCTCCTCCACTCGCCAGATCCCGTTGAACCGGTCCGCGTCTGCGATGATCGTGGCCAGCTCCTTGGCGTCTGACGGGTCGATCAGGTAGATCTGCGACAGCTCACGGAACGCCTTGAAGTAGAGGAGCAGATCATTGTTCTTGAATGTCTGGATGAATTTGAAGTAGTGGTTCATGTCACTAGTTGAGTTAGCCTCGTTCAAGCCCCTAGAGGCGGGATACCTACCTGATGAGCTTCAAGGACCCCTCAACGCTGATCCTTTGGCGCTTGAGATGCTTGCACAGAGCCGCAAACAGACGAAGCCCGACTTCCTGGTTGAAGACGTCCAGCATACTCTTATCTGTGCTCCCGACCAGCATCTGTGTATGCGACGACACCACATCAACCACAGCCGCTGCTGCCTCGGTGATGCTTACATCCATCGTCTTCCGGTACGGATCGGTGGACATGCTGGGGTTGAAGTCGGTCGCCAGCTGTCTCGTTGCAAGAATATAGTCCACTTCTTCCATCAGGACGTCGATCCCTTTGTTGAGCCCAGCAGCCACCCGCTCGTCGAGGCTCTGCTCGAACTTTTTCTTTTCCTTGACGGCTGGATCGAGGAAATCGTTCCGATCCGTCAGCTTGTTGCCGACTAGTTCCTGCTCGTAGAAAACATCGATCATCTGGAGAATGAGATCACCCACGTTCACCAGCTCCAAGAATGTGACCAGCGGTTCAACGCCGGATTGGTCGCGTTCCCCTTGTTCGCGAGGCCGATAGTTCGACAAGTGGTCGACAGCACTGTTGAACCCACCGATCAGGTGACGGATTCCCAGGATGCGCACAAGGGCCACAAAGATGGCCTCGCACTGCCGTTTTACAGCTGCCCCGTATTCACCTTTGATCCTCATAAATTGCGCGGCTCGCTCTAAGCTCGACTTGGCTGCATGCACCAGGCTTAGAGCGACTTCGATGCTGAAGAGAGATCGAATGCCTTCCATCTTGGATTTCATAAGTGCAGCCTTGGCTGCAAGTTCGTTGGTTGGAGCCTCCATTATAGGAGGAGTCGTGGGCGAAGCGATTGTCGAGAACCGATTGGGACTCTTCAAGGACGAGGCGTCACTGGGGGTTGGATCCGGTTTGGATTCGCTCGCTTTGTTTCCCGAAAAGCTAGGAAGAATATTAACAGGCGCCATGATCACCTTCTTAAACGAGGTCAAGAAGTCACGCTTGTCGGCCTGTCTATTGATATTCGACATTAAGAATGACTCCGTCGAGGCTGCCTGTTCCGACAGCTGTCTATCCCAGTCCCCCACTGCTGCCTCGGACAGTTTTCGGAAATGATCCAGTTCCTCTGCGAGATACAGGTCCATATGAGGCTCGTAAGCTTTAGCAACGACATGGTCCAGGAACTCGTCAAAGCTGTCGTCCAGATTCTGGATGGGCAACAATGTATCCGCTAGGTTAAGACACTGAGCAAAGGTTCCTGACACGGCGGTCAAGTAGGACTCGGTATTTGTGCGATGGAGCTCGTCAAATACGGCGGTCAGAAACGGATACAGGACATCCTGACCAACTTTCTCAATGAACGGTGTCGAAACTTTCAGAGACGAGGGGAAAGCACGATTGATAATCGAGACCTCCTCATTGTAAGCCACGCTTAAGCGGGTAAAAAAGGCTTGTGTATGTTCAAGTTTGACCCGCTGTGTCAGAGGGTCAATACAGTCCGACACTTTGCCGAGCTCTGATCGTCGCGTAACCAAATGGTTGTGATGAATGAAAAGCTCCACAGCCGAGTCTCCCCCGTTTAGAGTGTATAGCACATGGGCATATTTCCGCATCCGATCATCGATATCCTCGGTTTCGTACCCATGTCTGTATTCTTTGATCGCAGCCGTTTCGAACATCGACACCGCGGACTGCAACTGTTCAGCTCGTTCATACCAGCCCTCGGACCAATCGCATTCGGAAAAGTACTGCAGCTGCGACAGGATCTGCGCTTGGTGCTGTGGATCGGTATAGTTCTTGAAAAGCAGGTTGTCGGGCGAAGCTCCAGAGGTGACAATATCATCGTAGTACGGCGCCAGTGCTGCATGTACCTTTCCATATTCCTGGCGCGCTTCTCCGCGCACTGACTTCACCTGTTTTAACGCGCTCAAAACCGGGTCGCTTTCCGACCCATCTAGCACATCAGCGGCAGCGGCAGTAGATAATTTGATTTGGTCGAATCCATCAGAGATCGATTGCAAATCCGCCTCGGAACTTTGCGAAACGGCGCTTGCAGGCTCATTTGTTTGTTGCGTATCCACAGCCTCCTGGTGCTCGACACTTTTCATGTCGGCGACAGTGCCAAACGCCTCTTCCGCATGTTTTCTGGCTTCCACTTCGTCCCAGCAGCCCATCCGTTTTAGTTTCTGCACCCATCTTGTATCGTCGTATGCCATCTCGCGCATGAGTTTGGACGACCGGGCTACCCGTATGAGATCGACAGGGGAAAGGTGATCAAGGATCGAGGACATGATCTCTATTCCTTGTTAGATTATTGTGTGCTGCTGAGAGTGATCGCTTTCCTCCGCGCCCATCCTGTTCTGCCGTGGTCTGACGTACCTGCTGGGAGGGAGGCCCTGGAGATTTCCTCCATCGAGGCCATTTTGAGTGAGGCCAGAACATCCTTGCGCGGCTTCACGGCAGCGCCTGGCCCAGTCCTCGCTTTCTGCATCTTGTAGGGTCTGAGTCGGCATCGAGAGGGACGTCGTGCACCTCTGTCGAACGCTCCAGAGGCTCAGCGCGGACTAGCCAGTCAGGGTCCCAGCGTTCCCACCAACTAGTTCGCTCCGCGGGGCTGCCCCAATTAGTCGAACGGAAAAACCGAGAAATCGAGCGGCACCGGAGTCGTGGGCAAAAATGGCCGATCATGAAACATATGGCCGCATTGTGGAATCATAGCCCCTAATTCTGAGAAACGGGACCATCCACGGCTTCGAGCAATTGCATCGGTTGGTTGGCAGTTCGTCACTGTGGGCGGAAGACCCCAGAAAATCTACGGTTGGATCGGCCGGCTGACTTCCTTTCCGGTGGATGGCACCAACACCGGACGACTGCACCTCAACCAGAATCAGCGTTTCTTTCACTGGAATCGGGGATTCTGTCGGATTTTGTATAATTTAAAGCGGTTTGTTGAAGTTCAATTTCCGTATATATGGGTGGGTATTTAGTAGTATATTTTCATTGCCTTTCTCCCAGTCTGCGGTGACGTAAGACATATATTATCATGTCTCCGATTCGGTGAGTGCTTGTAGAATTCCATAGCAAAACACATTAAAAGACCACGTAGATTCAGGGATGTATATGTATCCCGAGGACTCGTGAGTTGTCTTTACACCAGGCGACTAGGCGATTTGAAGACTGTAACAGCAGGTAAAACAGCTGTTTGATGTCGGTATCAGTACCTTCCACATTACACCAGGCTCAATGATCAATCTACATCCACATCTCTTCACAGTGATGCCACTTCTCACATTGTCCACATAATCCACGACGTGCAATTCAATATATACTCTTTCAATCCCCTTCGTCACAATTTGTCTTGAGCAAGCAGTGATGAGCGTCGCCGGCTGCATTCCACGTCTGGTAGACGTTTCTCAACAGCCGATCCTACATGTCGAAGCCCGGGTTAAGAACAGCGGTGATGGCATTATCGTCCGCACTGATCTGGTAGGGTACTTCAAGTACTTGCTTTTCAGATCTTGACCAGATAGCAGATTAGAGATGAAGTTACACAATGGCTTATTGACAATTTTGTCGTATTGTCCCTTGGACAGACGATTTCTTCATTCGGTAAGACCCTCGAAGAGTAGAACTCCCTGCAAGCGTCCCTGACGGTTGTATAGGAGGCTTAAGCGAGCCACATGCCCAAGCCCTGGATTCTATACTTGTTGCCGAGTGTAGTGGAGGTAATCTGGATTCCGGAGCATATCGACTCCAGCAGGTTCAGTTGGATGTTCAAGCTTACCAACTCGGCACTCAATCCGAGCAGCAAAGCTCTCAAAATACCCAGACACTCGATGAACCAGAAACTGGGGATGATGTACCCAGGGCAAGAACACTCGCTTTACCGAGTAAAGATCTGGACGGACTATGGGAATCGTACGGCTATGCTGACCTATAAGACCTTTCGTAAGGTGAAGTAACTCATCAATCGCATAGACTGGAGTTCGACCAGCCAATTCAGTCGGCGCTTCTTTCCGCTATCAGTCGAATGGGTAAGATATTCAGCTTCAAAGGTCATCCCAGGACCTCCTGACGACGTGAACAGTCTCATTTTCTGCTCGAAGACTGAGTAGATGGACCATCAATTGGAATAGATTGATCCTCATATGGGGACCGCCAGGAACAGGAAAGACGAGTTTTTGGTGTGTGAATGTGCATTGTCTCATATTCCGGACTGCTAACGGATCTAGTCGCGGCCTCGCCCAAAAGCTTGCAATACGCCTTGGAAAGCATTATCCCCAGAGCAAGTTGTTCGAAATTAACGCGCATTCTCTAGGAAGCAAGTTTTTCGGTGAGAGCGGCAAGCTGGTGAACCGAATGTTCGAGAGCATAGAGCTTCTTCTTGAGGCGGAAGAGGATACATTCGTCTGCGTTTTTATGGACGAGATAGAGACATTGGCTGCTCGGAGAGACAGAGCTTTGAGTGGCAATGAGCCCTTCGATGCTATTCGGGCGGTCGATGCTTTACTTACAGGCCTGGATAAGCTGAAGGAGCACCCAAATGTTATTGTTGCCTGTACAAGCAACTTGGTCACAGCGCTGGTAAGTTCTATGGAGTAGTGATATGCAGCGATATTGACTGTCTGCACTCGGGATAGGACCAAGCTTTCCTCGATCGAGTGGATATTAAGCAATACATACCTAAGCTGTCTAGCAGACCGATCTACAAGATTTATAAAGATTGCCTAGAGGAATTGGGTCGACATGGCATCATCGAGGGTGTCTCCTTTGACGTGGTCCAAGTTGCTCCGAACGATCCCCAGACGGCTTTGCAGTATGTGGAGCAGCCCGCGGAACAGCTCATCTTACCGACATTCGATGAAATGCTGCTGCATTATAAGATGTTCCCGGAAGCCATACCCAAGCTGCTTGCTGATGCGGTTTTTGAGAGTATTGTTAGTGAAATTGGCCTTTTCTGTTCATGTTGATGCTGAGGTTGGGGTTGGATTGAAAAGGCTCAACCGATACTCTATAGTACTGACGAGAACATTAGGGGCTTAGCGGCCGCACCGTGCGACGACTACCCGCTCTGTCTCTGGTATTATATAGTAACCGTGCCCGATGTGATATCCGGACGGCTATTCAGGCGCTGCGGACAGGCATAGCGTCGGAATGTCAGACTATGGCGGAGGCGATGATGGCCGATGAGCACTCGGGAACAGCAGCGCCCAATGGCCAATGAGAGTGGGAGGATTGATTACTGGGTACTCGGCTCTGCGTGGAGGAACGGGGGTGAGGGATGGGGAGGGATCAGTAGTGGTCTCTGTGGGGATAATCCGAGAGGCATTGAAGACCGTTGAAGCTCCCTGCAAGCTCCTCCGTAGAGTAGTTGTTCTGGTTGCATGTTGTTGTCAGCATCATCATCAGGTGGCCCTCGAAAATTGTTGTTCCGAAAAGTCGCGGTTTTCACCGAAGGCAGTTAGGACCGGGGCGGCAGCCAATCAGAACGAGGGTTTAGGCAATTCCAAACCCAAGAGAAACTTGACCCGTTCGACCAACCTCGACTTCACCTCCAAAAGCACATTCTCCTGCGCGCTCAGCCTTGCCCCCTCCCCCTCCCCTCTCCCCTTCTGTGGCTATTGTGCCTTCCTGAATTTCCATTGTCCGGAGGGTCTTTCACATCGTCAGTATGCTGGCACGTACTGTTTTGCGCAGCGTGCCCTTCCGGGGTGTCGCACGTCAGTCCTTGAACAAGACCTCCACGGTACGCACTTCCCCGACATCGACGCCCATTGGACCCAATGGACGAGGACAATCGCTCCCCTATCGACCTGAAAAGCTTCTGAATCGGTTTTCCACTGACCAAATACCCAGCGTGCGTCTTCTTCCGCCGCCGGTGCCGAATCCGCCAGCTCCCCCTTCCACCTCACACTCACTGCGTCCGCCGCAACCGCCGTCGCCCTCGGATCCGCCGCGTATCTCTATGGCCAGGAAGCTTTTGCCATGACACCTGCTGAGGAGGGGTGAGTGCATTCTTTGTGATACTTTAGGGAAAGCCATTGTGTGGCTGCTCCGTTGCTCCGACCGAGGCATCCCGTTGTCGGCCTCGACTGTGGACCAAGACTGACGCATCGATTTCAAGATTGCACCCTACCGCATACCCTTGGGAGCACGCCAAGTGGAACAAGACCTTCGATCACCAGGCGTGAGTCTCCCAATTCCGGGCGAATACTACCCTCGCCGTCCTCGGCCCCGGCAATCTTACTCATCTTTTGCACTTCAGCCTCCGTCGTGGTTTCCAGGTCTACCGTGAAGTCTGTGCCAGCTGCCACTCCCTGACCCGTGTGCCCTGGCGCTCGTTCGTCGGTGTTATGCACACCGTCGATGAGATGAAGGCCATGGCTGAGGAGAACGAGTACGACACCGAGCCCAACGACCAGGGCGAGATCGAGAAGCGCCCCGGAAAGCTGTCCGACTACATCCCCGCCCCCTACAAGAACGAGGAGGCTGCCCGTGCTGCCAACGGTGGTGCTCTTCCCCCGGATCTCAGCTTGATCGTCAAGGGCCGTCACGGTGGCTGCAACTACATCTTCAGTCTTCTGACCGGTTACCCCGATGAGCCCCCGGCTGGTGCTGTTGTCGGAGAGGGCATGAACTTCAACCCCTACTTCCCCGGTACCGGTAGGCCACCACTTGTTCATGATGTCGATTTGCCCATGTTCGGATCTAACATCATCTAGGTATTGCCATGGGCCGTGTTCTTTTCGATGGCGTTGTCGAGTACGAGGACGGCACCCCCGCCACCACCTCCCAGATGGCCAAGGACGTTGTCGAGTTCCTCAACTGGGCTGCCGAGCCTGAGATGGATGACCGCAAGAAGATGGGTGTCAAGGCCATCGCCCTCCTCACCGGTCTCTTCGCCGTCAGCGTCTGGGTCAAGCGTTACAAGTGGGCCCCGATCAAGACGAGAAAGATTGTGTACAGCCCCCCCGTCTCCCGGCGCTGAATGTTGCAGCGGACTGTATGAATTGCACACCGTGGAGGAAGAATGCAGGCGACTAGTGAGCCTTGATATAATCCATAGTCCAACTCATGTTGGTCGCACGTCGCCATTTCCTTCAACCTGTCACTCTATTCGATGGTCTCTGCATGTTTCGTTAGATGTTACTCAGGACACTTGTATCTGTACCCTAGATATTTATTCTCCGTTGAAAATGTTGCTCCAATGTCACAATTTCCTTTGTCTGCTTCATATTTGAGCTTTGGTCTATAGAGCTGTCCGGCCTCATTGCGGGAAACTCCATAAATTTGCTACAAATTTGCTACAATACTCCAAATTTATGTACTGGCTTGATGCACTAAACCTCTGCCAATCTGTTGACCGGTGGGTCCAAGGTAGTTTAATTAGATCATGATATAATTAGCGTCTAGTGTTATCACCAATTGTCCTTTCACCATCACCAAAGAGTCCCCAGAATACATTGTCATATGACTGCCAGCATGTGAAGAAAACAGCATCTGCAAATTTCACCAACCATGTGGGACTGCGACCATCTGAGCCCGCAAATATTCTTTGGAGTAGTAGAACAAGGAATACCGGTGGTCCCCAGCACCCCACAAACACCATTTTGCCTATCTTTTGGCGCAATGTGGTTATACGGTATGGCTGGATCCCAGCAAGATAATTCCGATAGGTGATTGGAAAGTCATGTTCAGCCGCGCCCGTGGCGATTAGGTTGAGGTAACGAGCAGAAGGCTGGGCGTAGAATGGATTCGGGCGTACAAGGGGGCTGAAGCGCGAGATAAAGGTACGTTTTCTTGGTCCAGTGGTTCCCAGGAAATCCTCGGCGACGGCGGGAGATAGAAGCGTGTGGGCTTTGAAGGGCTTCGTGCCCGGATGCTCAGGGAGAGGGTCCGCTGGGTCGTACGACTTGGGGAACGAGTAGCAGTCGACAACCCTGTCTTCATATCCGCGTCCACCACCCTCTGTTGCTATTATGCGGGCGTAGTCTGCAAGAGTGACCTCGTAGACAACACCGATAAGGGGCATGTCGGGGTTGTAATCCGGGGTCTTCTGTTTGAGACGCGAGCTCTCCAATGCGGCCTTTTCATCCGATTTATTGTCTTCACTCCTGCCTAAACTCTCCTCGCTTGACGGCTTGCGCAATCGTGTTCCTGCAAAACAAGGTTCCATGTATGGTATTCCCGGGAGATCGAACGTAAGCCACAGGCCTGGGACGATGACGTTGATTTGGGAGAGCGGCTTGATGCCTCGTTTTCCCAGAAAGGTCTCCGAGCATAGGTTCGAGCCGTAGGCAAGGTATAGGACGGTCTTTCCGGGTGGTAGGTTTCCGTCTCCAATTTCCTCAATTTGATGAGCTGTAACCTTGTCGGCAAGGCCGGCATCTTTATCGAGGGACCGATCTGTCGTCGACACTCGCTGTCTCTCGGAGGTGGTCTCGGGCAGAGAATGGCTCGTTTCTTGCGGGGAGGGATGCGTGTTGCCGGTCAAAGGACTTAATTCCCCGAGTCGCTCATATGTCCCGATCATGCTCGAGCGACGTGCGCGAGAGACCCGGTGGCCTCCCTCCTCGTCATGATTCACTGCTGCCATCTTTCAGACAAGTTGGATCGGTCGACCAATGGCGCTTTTCTGAGGGTGCTCTGTTTATTAATCAGTCTGGACAATGGAAGGATGAGCAAGAGCATCTGTTCATAATATACTCCATGGCTAGGCCGACTACCAGCTTGTGCACGGCACCATGCCGGAAAGCCGTGACGAGAATTCCCGTTGCTTCTCCCTATCGTAAGCGGAACCGGAGGAGTCTCGGGACGGATACTCCAGCAGCCGGCTGATTAATTGCCATGGATTCACGTGGAATTTCTTCTCCGTACTGCTTTAGCATTTTGATGATGGTTAGGGAGCTTTTGAGAGTTCCCGGGGCACTTGTTGTTGATATATACAGTGGGCACATTAAGCTCGCTAGCGTGCTATCGCGCAATGCCCAGCTAATCAACTTGGGGTCCCCTGGCAGATGCGGAGCACATGGCATCCATGCTTATGCTGTGCTTCTCCGGCTTTCCCAACCGAAAACGTCTACCAACCTCATTTTGAAACAGCGAACCCGTTTCAATCTGTCTCTCGAGTACAAAGATATCTTCGAGATCTGTATTCGTCATTTTCCTCTATTGCCGCCACTGTAAAGTAATTGGCCCATTCTTGCGATTCTTGTTTGACTCGGCTCTCGTAAGGGAGGGGGTAAATTTGGAGTCTGCGAAACATGATAGTTCATTAGTAGCCATGACTGAGCGTTGGTCCTTTCGAAGGCGCAGTATTAAAGGAAAGCTTGTAACTGACTGTTTTTTATGGCCCGCAGTACACTGGGGTGAGAGAATGGAGTGCACTCATCGAAGATTGTCTGCTAGAAGCAGACCAAGTGTACATACCAAGCGGACATCTCTCCAGGAACTTCTTTTGGTATCTCATTAGTTAAAGGGCATGATGTATTTGAGGTAACACAAAGGGCATCGTCAATAAGCACATCATGCGTGTCTGTGTTGGCTAAAATTGGCAGGCCATGGAAGAGCTCGTTCTGGTCAAGTGCAAGCGCACCATCATGTGATAGACTCTTACGTCTCTTGCTCTCTCATCTCGAAACAAACAGCTCACGTCTGTCTTGATTCCAACATTTTTAATATTCAACAAGGTCTCATCACACAAGACATAATGGCCTCCCTATTCTCAAATATAGTTCAAGAAGAATCGCAATGGGCTTGCATCACAGAGTTAGCTTCGCAGCTAGCCTGTGTAAGAGCTAGCGACAGTGATTCTGGGAATGCAGCGCCGGTGTTAAAGCCTTATTACACTTGTCTTCTGCGTGATCCGCGGCTTTACACATTCTCGAGCCACCTTGTCGAAGCCCTGCTACATAACGAGTCTCGAATCGACGACTGCAATATACGTCAAATACTTTCAATCCTGAAAAGAGAGCCAAATAGGATAACACATGCACTCGACCATTCTGCCCTGCGCTGTCTGGCATACATACTACTCAATTCAGAAGTCGATACGGGGTTGGAAAATGGGCTTTATCTTCTACTGGTCTGAGTTCTTGTTCATTATACACCTCTCAAATGCCTAACGCTCCTACTAGGATGAGCCGCAATACATAAGGGACTCGGGCAGCATGATATACCAGGTAGCAAGTCCACAAAACGGCGATCAGTCGCGTGTGCTCCATGGCAAATTGATCTATAAGTTATATGGTCTATTTTCTACCGAGGAGCAAGTTATTCACGTACGGAAATTGGTAAGTAGAAGCAGCTTCTGCGTAAACCCGCACTCATGTCAACTAGGCTGGCAAGCTACTTGTGGAGATATTGTCAGAATCGAAAATCAACTATACCTTTCTCTTCGAATCGCAAGAAGTAGATATGTCTGGGTATTAAGCGTCTTATGCTGGAGAATGTTGCTTATACTGACGCTTAAAGTTTCTTAGGCTCTTATCCATCCTCCTCTATCATGCCGACACAACTTTGCAAGCTTTCGCAACTGTCATTTTCCATACGTTATATAACTCTGGTGTGAGCAGAGAGATCCTCTGGCCTCCAGACGGTAGCAAAGATAGAGGTGCTTTCTTCAAGCACTTAGTGGTGTATGAAGGCAGTCCGCTTCAGATTTTCCATACCTTTGTCAATGAGGTGGACCAATCGAATGGCACAAGAGGGCACCCAAAGAGGAGTCTCAGGAGGAATCTCAATCCCCGAAAGAGCTTTCTTGTTCGGTCACTTTACCTCAACGAAACACCCCTGCTGCAGGGCATGGTCCTCACTATAGCTGACGAATATGGCATATTTTTCATGAATCATGGAGCTGATTCATCCAGAGTGTGTCTTGAATTTGTCGACGTTCGCGCTCGAGATATTAGCCAGCCGGTGCGTACTGAGATGGATGATTCTAAGATATATCGTCTGAGTTGGGACCTTTCTCCGTCTAATCTGATCTTGAAAGATGGTAGACGGGAAGGTCTCAATGGCCAAGTGCTCAGCATCTTATCCAGCGAAGACCCAAATGAGTTGCTGAAGGTCATCGGGGTGTTTAAGAGGAGCAACCGTGGCTCTTCAAGAATAGGCCCCATCATTCGGAGGTCTTCGTCCCTTGTGATGGAGTTGGATTCAGGCGAAGAGGTCGCGAGGAAGTCTTTTGACATCTCACATGATAATTTCAATACGCAAGTGAGGTCCTGTAAGAGCCCCTTCTCGAAACAGAAGCCTGGCAATATGATGGATAATCACCCCGGTGATAATCCAGACAAATTTTCCATGAGTGAGAGTCCGCATCTGAACAAAGGTCTACCTCGGCCTAACAGCCCTCTGCAAGAGCAACAGCAATCACACGATGGAGGTAAACCGCTCATGCCGATACCAAATTTACCAGAGACTCGACTATTAAAAATCTCGCAAGTAGTAGGTCATCCTGTGGGTCGAACAGAGGAAACGGGAGGCAAAAAAGAGGCCGACGTAAGAGACGACACCAGTACCACCGTTGAGACTTATTCAGAAAACAAACTGCAGCGCAACCAATCAACGAAGAGACTGAGGGAACCCAATGGTAGATTTGCCCCAAAGAAGCAAATTGATAGACAAGCAAAACCAAACCCATTGTCTTCACATAACACGAAACTTCAGTTATCGAACACCCAAGAGTCTATGATCGTTTATGCGCGCCATTCTAAGCGAAAGGTGTATACAGCAACCTCGAAAGCTAAAGTTGACTGGGATGAAGGCCTCCGACCTAGTGATGATGAAGACAACTCGGGACGGAAAGATACAGAACTTACTTCAATTTCTTCCCCATTAGCTGGCGGCACATGTGTTTTTAGCAAGGGTCTGAATGCCTTAGGTAAGAAAAGGGTAGCCAAAAGAGGAAGGAAGTCAGCTACAAAGCGCCAAAACATACAGTCACGTCCTAGAGGGAAAGCAAGGAAACAACCCAAGAGAGGATCAGCACCGTCACCAACAGAAGAGATGAAGGCCAAAATCTCTAATCAAGAGCCGGGGCATAATCCATCGGCCGATGACATACAAAAAAAGCTAGACCCTGGCACTAGCCACAACTCCCTTGGAGACAATGACATGCAGGGAGAAGATGCATGTTTTGATAAAAGATGTGATGATGCCGAGGTCGATAGTATATCTGCTGATGCCTTTCAGAGAGGTGATTCTCTTATGTCACATTCCAGCAGGGACCACAACGAATCGCTTCTGTTACAAGCTACCCAGAGCGAACACGACAATACTAAAGAACGGCTCCAGGAAGCTATGAGCGAGATAAACTTGAACGCACATAGATTAGCTATTACCAAGCCTGTGCTTCTTGTACAAGGACTCCAGGGCAGGGGACGCGCTGTTGGAAACAGACTGACCGCAGCTTTTCAGCAAGGCAATTATTCAGGCCACTCCGGATCTGAAAAGACAAGATCGAAGCAATCCGAGAGTCAAGAAGAGCTGAAATATTCGGAAATTTTCATTTCGCCAGACCGTCTATATTCCCCAATTAAAGAAGGTGCCCACGAAAATTCGGGGGTTACAGAACCCACCATGAAAGATAACACCAGCCTTTATGGGCAGTCGCTTGTAATGACGCTGCATAGGTCCCTTACGAGCAAGCTTGACGATAATCTCAACACGGAATGTTCGACCCAAAGCCCCAGGAGCAGTACAGGGAGCTTGGAAACCGATGACGAGGAGTATGTGGAGGAAATCCAACCAGATAGATCCGCTACTTCAAGAACTCCGAGGAAGTGTCGGTCCGAAGAATCGTCCTCAAAGCCGTGCAGTGGAAGCTTTCGAGCTCAGCAGGATATTTCCGATTTCGACGATCTTGGGAGGGAATCTGAAGTCAAAGGAAGTTCACCTGTCAACTTTAAGAAGAGGAAGATAGCTTTACTCAGTCCGGATTATGTACGAACTGACGCAGACACCGGAGACCACCACCCAGGAAACCAAGCAGAGCCTACACCCAATGTGCGCAAAGATAACCTTTATCCTACAAAGCGTTTAAAACCGACCCCTAGATCAACCATCGTTGATCCTGATGGAAGCCCGCGCCTTCTGTCTCGGGGTAAATGGGGATATGTGGTCGATGAACATAAGTCGGGTGGAAGATCTCATAAAACGTCAGACGCAGAAGAGGAAAGGTTCCTTACTAATCCGCAAAGTGAGGAGGGCGATGGTGGAGATATTTGTGCAGAAAGTGAACACGATCAACCTGCATCATGCAGAAGAAACGCATTCCTGTCCGAAAAAGACGTGTCGATGTCGCCCCATGTCCCGAAGAAGTCGGAGCATTCCGAGGATGAGACCCGCATGAGAGGAATCAAAGCAAAGGGAGCATTTACCTTCCAGGACCGCCTAATGGCCTGCGCAGGTAAAGGCATATCCAAAGAGATCCAGCCCAGAAATGCCGCGCAAACAGTCCTTGACGCATGTTTTGCATCTGCGAGCGAGAACAAGCCCAATGAGACATGCAACCCGATACCTCGGGCGAGTCCCTCCCGAGAACAACTACCTACCCTGTCAAGTCCGAAGTTCATGAATTTGAGCGCTTCCGCCGACAGCACCGCCCAGCTGACAAGCTGGCAGACGTCCCTGCAGGCGCTCCACCAGAGAGCACAAGGCATGCTTGTGGCGACCAGTGAGGTAGGCCAGATCCTCTGGGAAATGAAGGTGTTTTACTGAATTGGTTACAAGAATATTAGTCGCGAGATTGAGAGCGAGAAAGAGACGATTAACGAGGTCTTGGAGACGTATCGGCAAGATTGTCACCGGGTGTTGGATCGACTTTTTGAAGCCCAAGAAGAACGGATCAGACTATGCCAGCAACAGATGAACTCTATCCGCACCCACCATACTGAGGTATGCCAGGAATTAGTGCACCGCTTAGAAAGAAACGAGCAGCAGCTCCAGGACCGGATGCATTCGCGGGATGACAAGTTGAGGGAATGAAACGAGGCATTTCCTAATCCCAGATGTCCGGCTTCATGGAGGTTCCGGTCCGGTCTCGGATCCGGAAAGCGTGTGCTCCAGATGTCATGGCTCGAATAATAGCTCTGTACTTACTTTTTGCAAGCAAGGACTAGTGGTATCTGCAACTCGTATCTGCAAGACCCAAGGGTCTCGATCCAGATCAGATGCGAGATTTGAGTATAATCTTAAGTATTTAGTCTCGAAGTCCGAACCCGCACGCCAGCGTGACCAGATATTTCGAGACTTTATACTAGGTTCCGCGCCTTATCCTGGGTCGTAAGCGTATCTCAACCATCTTAGCCTCTCCTAGGGCTGACGGCTTACGGAGCAGCTTACGGTGCTTACGGAGTACGGAGTATCCCATGCCCAAAGCGAGCAGGATGGAGGCACCGCGGTGACTGGGAAACAAGCCAATGGCAGGCGATACCGCGGGCGAGGCGCTTTTGAGCCGGTTGCTATTCGTGGGTTCACCGAAATCACGTGCGGATGGCCCAATGGGAATGACTCGACGCGCCCCGATCGACGGAGCTGCTGCTCGCTGCAAGGGCCCCCCAGCAAGAAAAATTAAGACCATCCGACCCTCGACGCGGATTTCATACTACTACACTCTGCACCTGCAACTGCACGATATATATTTCATTGCCTTGACCTGACCGGATCGGAAATCTCAAGCTCAGACAGAATCCACTTCTTCCCCTCCCCCTTCCTGCTTCCTGGTGCAGGCTGATCATCTTCCCCCCCGTCGGGCATACTATCTACCTATCTCGCTATCACCTCTCCTCTGCCCCTCCATTTTCCTTCCTACCCCGCCGTCCACCATGTCGGTAAGTCACTCTGTTTCTGCTTGTACACCGACTCAATTGCATTTCTCATTCGCATTTTCTTTCTAGTTCTTCATTGAAAACCCCAATGTCGGGGACAGATGCTCCCTGGAAGACTCGAGAAGTAAGTGCGCCCGTGACTCATCACATTGGGATGATGCCCCGTTAACATTTGGTCTTCGTGCTGGTGTACAGTTCGCGGATACAACCCTCTCACACCCCCCAACCTCCTTCAACATGAAATCGCCTTGACGGATAAGTCCCGGCAAACGGTCCTTGAAGGCCGTGATGAGGCCATTGCCATCGTCCAGGGCACAGATACCGACCGTCACCGTCTGCTGGTTGTCATCGGACCCTGCTCCATCCACGACCCCGAAATGGCCCTCGAATACTGCGATCGCCTCATGAAGATGAAGGAGAAGTACCAGGACGAGCTTCTGATTGTCATGCGCTCCTACCTCGAGAAGCCCCGCACCACTGTTGGCTGGAAGGGTCTCATCAACGACCCCGATATCGACAACAGCTTCAAGATCAACAAGGGTCTGCGCACTTCCCGCCAGCTCTTCGTTGACTTGACCAACAAGGGCATGCCCATTGCCAGCGAGATGCTCGACACCATCACCCCCCAGTTCCTTGCTGACTGTCTCTCCGTCGGCGCGGTTGGCGCTCGCACCACCGAGTCTCAGGTCCACCGGGAGCTGGCTTCGGGTCTGTCTTTCCCTGTCGGTTTCAAGAACGGCACGGACGGCTCCCTGGACGTGGCTGTAGATGCCATTGGCTCCGTCAAGCACCCCCACCACTTCCTTTCCGTCACCAAGCCCGGTGTCGCTGCTATCGTCGGCACCGTGGGCAACCCAGATTGCTTCGTCATCCTTCGCGGTGGCAAGAAGGGACCCAACTTCGATGCCCAGAGCATCGCAGAGGCCAAGGCCAAGCTGACCGCTAAGGGCATGCCTGCCCGTCTCATGGTCGACTGCAGCCACGGCAACTCGCAGAAGGACCACAAGAACCAGCCCAAGGTGGCCGCTGTTCTCGCTGAGCAGATCGCCGCTGGAGAGACTGGCATCATGGGTGTCATGATTGAGAGCAACATCAACGAGGGTATGTCTATCGTCGATCTTCAACCCATGCATATTCACTAACACTCGTCTACAGGCGCTCAGAAGGTCCCGGCCGAGGGCAAGGCCGGTCTCAAGTACGGTGTCAGTATCACCGATGCCTGCATCCACTGGGAGGATACCGAGCTTGTGCTGGAGAACCTTGCACAGGCTGTGCGCACCCGGCGGGAGAAGCTGGCTGTCAACGGTAACTCCCAGTGAGTCGCAGCTGGGATTGTCTTTCCGTTATTGTTATGAGGTGTCAACACACTATGTCAGCCATACCACTTCTCGACGCATGGGTTAAAGGACTGGGTTTTCTAGCGGTTGTTTCTTTGGATAAAAGTGATATTTACTTTGACTGCAATATACGTTTTAGAAGTTTATACGCTGAATCGTGATTGTTAATGGATAGCGTCAATCTGAATGTCATGATGCAGATATCAACGTCTTGGACCTGCTAAAAGAATAATATTCAAGCACTAATATTACGATCTTATGATCTGATATATATGGAAACGAAATCGAGTAATATACCAAAACAAGAACAAGTATAATCAATATTTATCCAAGCGACGCTACAATGAATCTGCAACGCATAAAGGATACTAAAAATAACCTGATGCGCCACGCTCTGTACCAAAAAAGCATGCCCCAGCTTACATCACACTGACATCTTCCACCCATGGTCCCTCCCGAGCACTCAATTCCGGGATGTTGAGATCAACAATGCATGCAGCGAAAGAAGCACGCCGTTTTGCTGCCGCGGTCATGAGTTGAGAAAGACCTGGCTGTTCTTCCTCTTTTAGCATAGAAAAAGGAAGCCAATGGGCGCCCGTATGTTGGCTGCCAAAGTCCTCTTGGTCATAATGCTTCCGCTTGCGCGAGGGCTGCGGTGCAGCTTCAAGATCGCTCCTATCAATGAATTGTACAGGGGCGACATCACCATCAGATCCAACGGAGACAAATTTGCAAGGAATCTCTGCAGCTGGCTGGGCAGTCGAGGTGAAGGTATCCACGTCAATGACGTTCGTTTTACCTGATGCATCAAACGCCCAGATGCGGGCACCACCATTGGACGACTGGAGAGCCAGCTCTACCACGTCATTAACTCGTCCAATTTCCTTGCCGTAGATCTGAAACGGCCACATTATGGCCGTGGGCCGATAACTGACGCTGAGAAGGAACTCCCAGTCGCCATTCTGGTTCTGAACTAGACTGTCTCGGCGCTTTCGCGACCTTTGATTGTCAAGGAACCAGTCCCTAGCCAGGTCGCTGTCGCCCATGACTCCGTCACCCTGTCTCTCACGCTCCTTTCGGATGACGTTGAAGACATCCAATGGCACGGAATATAGGACAAGTCTGTCCTGATAGGCAGCGACTACACGCAAGCCCCAGTTTAGGTCCGACCCCGCCGCAAAGACGGTCGGAACCATACCCTCCTTGATACCGTCAGACACGCTGTTGCTGGGTGGAGGAACGCAAACGAATACCTTTGTGAGGCTTGTTGGCCCGCCGATGGGAGCGTCGGACCCGATGCAGAGATGGCCTGTGCGGGGCTCAACGTAGAGGACATGCAGACCATCGTTGACGGGAATAGCACGATAGTTATGACAATGCGTTGCCCTCACCAAGCTGGAGTCTCCATTATGCTGTGGATCCCACCGAGTAAGAGATTGGACGTCAGCCAGGAGGTGGAACGGGCATTTTAGTCGCTCGCCACCATGGGGCACACTGCGACAACTGCACCCAGGCAGACCTGGACCGGCCAATGAGGATATGATGCGAAGTTCCCTTGGCAAACTAGGTCGACCGGGGAAGAAATGAAGAATCTCGGATGGTTGCGACATAGGGAACTGTTTACGGCAGTCTTGATTAGTCTGCCCGTCAATCCAACGCAGCTCGAACCCGGTCCCCGACCCGAAAGCTAAGCAGCGACGACCAGGACAAATTGACACACTCCGGGGTGGGTCATGCGCGGAGCATACATTGTAGATGAAATGTCGAGAGGCCAGCTCCATGGTATACTTCGCACGGGCGACAGAAGGTTCACCTTTAGCCGGAACAAGGTCGCATACCATGCCTAGACGATTATGCAGCAATGCAGCGACAGCCAACTTTGAAGTGCTAGTGTCAATTGTGGTTGCCAGAACTTCGGCAGGACAGGTAATTCTTGCCACAAGAGCGACGTCTGCATCGTCCCTGGTACTGGAACCAGCCGTCCTGGTGAGTAGACGGTAAACAAAAATCGTACGACTCGATGTCAGCAGCAAGTATGTTCCACAATTGCTGACGTGAAATTGTTTAGTTGCATCGAAACTTGCAGGCTCGATTTCTGCGATGACAGGTTGAGATAGGCGTCGAAACTCCGCAGCACGCTCCCTGTGAGATAGTTGAGAGAAGTCGACAACGGCGGTTGTAAGGAACCCCAGTCTTTCCACATTGACTTTCCGCCCAGACAAGAGGCACTCTGTGGCAAAGCGTTTGCTCATCTTCCACACCAAGCTTTCTTCCTCGCCCACTACAGGGCTTGAGCTTTGATAGTCCCGTAACCAGGAGTCCCACCAACCCGCTCGTTTGAGCATTCTTTGCAGCAAATCCTGGTCTAGGCTAACACGCATCCACTGGGAGCACGTCCTCCTCGCGTTGTCGAAATCTCGTGGTGCTAGCCTGTGAAATATCTGTAGCAATATCTCCGCCGGTAAAGTATTAGCCGCTGGGCGTCGAAGCGGCATAACTTTGTCGATTGCTCGGCACCATGGCTTGCACGTCAAGCGTAGAGCAGACTGAGAGTCGCCTGAGATGTAATGGAGTAGTCTACCCACTACAGCTGGTGGGACTCCGCGACTGCTCTGCCAGCCCATATCACAACCAGTGCTCATCATATTGGGACCAGTTTCGGAATAAGATGAAAATGAGGGCATTGTGAAGTGCCCTCAATCGTAGTGAAAGAGTGAAGCAGGTACACTTGGTATATATGAAACCCCCGTATCAGACCCAAATATGAAAGAACAAGCTTATAGCAAAGATGCGCGAATATACCAGGTATTGATCGGAGGAGCGGCGTTTTCACGTCGTATGTCGACTGCATCAAGGAATAACGCAGACTTGGGGTCAGAACTAGGTGATAGAACCAGTTGATGATACGTTTATGGTGCGACTGATACTGTCCAAATTACCGTGGCTTGACAATAAGTTGGTCTGCTAAAACGATAAAGGTGTACTTCGTCGTAAGACAAACGAGGTCAGGACGGGTTTATCAAAGCTCGTTTTTCATGCTCAGTGTGGTCGTCGATGTGCAGTGCCTGACGAAGCCTGTCACAATCCAAATAGCCTCATTCCCGTAATAAATAGTGGTCGTCTGATATCAGGGCGCTCGACTTGCGTCGGTTACAATTGCTCTCACAAAGTGTCCAGGAGCTTTTCGCCAAAGATATAGTAGTAGTTGTGGTAAGAATACGAAATTGTAGCTGCCTTATAACAAGCTAGGAGAATAAGATAGAAAGTTTAGGGGCAGAGGTAGAAAAGGTACCCGTCATTTGACGGCAAATATATCTAGTCGAGTCAGCCATTTGAACAGCCGATGCGGATAAGGTTCCATCGTATTCGCCTCCCCGGACCTGGTAGTATAGCCGTGATAACCGTTCTGACGTCGAGAGGACAGAAAGCTAATCGCCCCCCGGGTCGGAGCGCACATCGTAAGAACGAGCCATCGCCGAAGAGTGGAGCTATTTTGGTGATGATCCACATGGTTGGACGGCTGCTGTCGACCGGCGGGCCAGGTGGGGAAGAGATGCAGAACCTGTGGTGGTTTGGCTTTCAGATTTGCCATCGTCCACGGAATCGATGAGGTTGAGTCGAGGCCAACGATGGGTCCAGCGGGGCAAAGCGGGCGAGTAAGACGGGATGAAATCATCAGAGGAGGCAAATTAAAGTGATCGGCTCTTTGAACTGCGGAGGCAATGATACTGCTCGATCATGATTAACAGTGCCATACTCCATACTACCCAATCGCCCAAGATGCCCCCCTCAGGGGAATTCTGGATCATTCCAAGAACAAACCCTGTTCATCGGCAGGTCCCGGAGACGAATACGTCTCCGCTGTGGAGGGGAAGGGAGCTAAAGCTGGAGCTATACTGAATGATTGATAGCATGACAGGTCGGTGATGGTCCAGATCATTGTTGTTGTTGGCAAAAAGGAAGGCGGGTGGATGGCGGGATGGTGGGGATCGGTCAGATGATCGCGGCATTCCTCAGCCAGCAGGGATGCCCTATCTCTCAGGCAGAGGACGGTGTGATCAGATCACCTCGTTCAAACCAACACTGCATTATGTACATAGTACATAATAGTAGTACAGCACAGGGCCATGATCTTCGCCCAACAGCTACACAGTACCTCCACCCCTCTTTTGTCTCTTCTCTCATTGATCGGACTTCTTATCCGGGATTTCCTCCAAGATAGCTCCTCCACCATTACGCCATAAGACTTTTGAAAAAACAAATACGCAGTGTCCACTAATGCAGTGCTACTGTGAGTAGTCGCTGACTTGTCACCACATTTGTCATGTATGCTGTCAGGGGTGGATGTGTCACTGTCCGTGCTATCGGAATTCATGTTTTCAGCCCAAACACTGTGCTGCGCATCGGAGTTCCACCCATTCTTCACTGGAAACAAGTCCAACAACGGAGTGACCAACTCCCGCTGGCGCTAAGGCGAGGTCTGAGCGCAGATGTGTTCTCGAACATCGTTCCATGTACTCCGTACGGGGTAACGGATTTCTGCATCTGCTGACCTGGTGAACCTGTTCTGGGCCCTTCTCTCCGATATCACTTTGCTGCCTGAGAGGGTAGATGCCAGAGAACACGCTCGGGTAAATAATCATATCAAGAAGCCTCAAGAGTCTAGACTTCCCCCGCATGGGCCGAAGAAATCTACCGGTTCATACTTGCACTCGGCTGATTTATACTAGAAGGATTTGGCCGGGAAAGGACATGCTTCGACTGGAGGGTGGTGGCTGACAACGTCGCATCGTTGGGTGGAGCAATCATATCGGGGTGTGGGACACATCGGACAGGGCTATTCCAGAGGACAGTCTGGTCTGTAAACGAGTCTACCCGTCTTAGACAACACGAGGCTAGGGGCTAGTTGCTTGTGGGTTGCGCGGGGCTTGATTACCTTGGGATTTGGAATCCCATGTGGTGTACCCTAGCTGTCGGGCTGTTACTGCAATCTGGAGATTGTTTAGACAGGCGATTCATTGTCTAGAATACGGGGGGCATCATCCCTATATTACATGAAGTAATAGTACATGCAGATATAAAGGCATACATGGTTCGAATGAAACCTGTAAAGGTCTCTGGTATCAATAAACGAGGGAGAAGGAAACCATTATAGAACAAAGTTGGGGCGTAAAGATGTAACTGTGTGAGGATGCAACTCATAACGTCGGCCGGCGCATTGATCTTAAAGTCCGGTGGGAACATAGCCATCTATGACATTAAAGGCATAGCATCGTAGATCATGATGGGTAGAGGCAACAAAAAAAAAAAACAGGGGTTATTATAAAGTTAGATTTATGTGCAATCGGTGAGGACGATCGACTGCGAAGTTGTGGAGTTAGCACGCTTGGGCGCGCTGGCCCGAGGTTCAGACAGATTCATCAGCTGCGTTGCCTGGGGTCTCGTTGGCCCCCAAATCTGCCTGAAGGTCGGGAACCATGGTGCGTCCGGGAAGCCATGCATCATGGAGAGGCAATATCAGGCTTGGATTGACGTACTTCTTCAGTCTCAGCCCCAGCTCTTGTCCACCGATCCGGATCGGAAAAGCATCACGATCGAGACCGGATGGGGGAGAGAAGGTCGACGATGGCGAAGGGGAGATGTCGCCACCACCGGGCCGCTCGCGATCAATGCTCTTCAGCGCGATGAACTTCATGAGGGGCTCGTATGTCCGCGCAAAGAAGTAGCTGAACCATACTGTTGCCATCAGGAGAGGCACAATGAGCAAGGAGCGTGTAATGGCTCGGCGCAAGGCCAACACTCCGATCATCGCCAGCTGGAAGACCATCAATCCCATAAGAACTCGGCTGCAGATCATCGGCCATGCTCGTCCCGTCGAATGCTGCTGATGGTCCATCGCGTACAGGAGCTGATATTTGTAGATAAATTTACCGATGGTGAAGTAGATCAATCCAAAAAGGCAAATCAGCCACGAGCTGGGGAAAACGCTGTAGACCACACAGATGATTAGACTTAGGACCGTCTGCGGAATTGAATACCCGTAACTGAATATAGGGGGTGTGGATAGCTCGGCATAGTCCCGAGGCGTTTTGGCAGCAAGAAAGTTGATGGGATACATCGCAACACTTCCAAACTCCAGTAGTCTAAAAGGGAACAATCCTATTCCTTGGAGACATAGGAAATTGATGTAGAAGGGCGCAAAGTTTTCCAGCGTCTTGGCCAACGCGAATGCAATGGTTGTGGCGTCTTTAAAGGCATCCCGAAGATTTTCCCAGAACCCGTAGAAGGTTGTCGCGGTTCCAAACACAGTGAAGACAAGGAAGAGATTGAAGAAAGAGAAGAAGAAGGTCTTCGAGATGACTGACAGCTCAATATCGCCCCGGGACATCATGCCTTGCTGATTTGAGAGCCCTATCAATGGATTAGCGCTGAGATTGAGTGGAAAATGAAATGAGAAAGCATCTTACAGTTGTAAATGTAAGGGACAGCAACAGTCAACAGCGAGAGAACCAAGGTCGGCAAACCAGTCTGAACAAGCGACTTTGCAAGCGGGTTCCGGACCAGTGCGTCGGCCAATTGAGGGAACACCTTGTGCAGAGTCTCGTACTCCAGCAGATAAGCAACCGGAATCAAAAGCACCGACCAGAAGACAGTCAAAAAGCCAATGACAACGGTTATGAACCAGGACTGCATCATCCGTCTTGAGCGCGGAAGATATGTATTTTTCCACACGACGTCGGCTGGAGCTGGTGCCAGTCTAGCAAGCAGCTGCATGGGATGCGGATCAAGAATAGCCTGAACAACCATTTGCGACGCGGCAATCGACTCCATCGTGACGAAAGCGACCTCAGTAGGCGGGTATTCCTTTTGACGAGCGACTTGGATTTCCTCATCAAGACGACGCAGCTTTTCCTCATAATAATCTATCGCGTCGACGATCTTATACCGTAGCTTCAATGGTCCATACCACAAGCGAACTGTTGGCCGCTTATGGGCATAGTCCGTCACATGGTCGCGTCCATTTTCAGAGAGAAGCTGAATACGCTCGCTGTCCTCTGAAACGATACTAGAGCCCCGGGGCTGGTGATGTATTAGTGGTAGGGCATTGGCGCTCGCCTTCACACGTTTGTAGCCTAGATGTTTGGTCCATGCCCACTCGAGGTTGCGCAGAAGTTGAAGTCGCTCGTCAATCAGACGGTCTAATTCACGCCAGTCACGACACAGTGTAACGGTCTCGACCTTGCCAACTCGGAGGCCTTCCATGAATTCCCTGATCTTTTCCTCGGTTCCCAAGTCTTGGGGAACCCCGGACAATCGAATAGTTCGATCGGTGGTGCTGGTCTGGCTTCCAAGGTACTTCTGCCTTGTGCGGATAACCTTGTTCGTATCTTGGATAAGCATGTAGACAGCGAGTCCAGTGAAAATGTATGTAAAAATGACATACATCCACAAGTAGCTTGGATCCGATATGATCTTCTTCTTATCCTTGTCCCCACCGGGAGTGTCGTCGTCGTCATCATCCCAACCCGGAACCCCAGATTTACCGGTATTCTTGTAGTGCGTCGGCAGGATGATAACCAAGGCGAAGAAGAAGATGGTGGAGAGAAACCGGATAGCGAATCTCAAGAAGGTGAGGAACTAGTAGACGCGGTCTACGTCAGGCAATGCTCAACTTTGACCTCGACCCGCGAAACATTAAACTTACAACGAAAGCATCCAAGCCTGCAGACTCCAGCACCTGCTCGTCTGTGATCCGATACAGCACGGGTATCCAACCAAAGAAACTATCAGGTAGTTCGGGTAAGTATGAAGCCGCGCAGCGTTGTTGCCGCCGCGCAGCGTATAGTTCGGTCCATTTCGGTCGCAAAACCTATGCGAAGAAAGACATTGTCAGAGCGTCTGATGTCCATTGCGGACTATGAAAACTTACACAGAAGGAGAAAAAGGCACCTAGGCCAACCATCAAACTGATCACCAGTTGTGTGTACAGATCGCGGCCCCTCGTTTGATCATCCCATCGAGGTTCATGCACGTCAATGGGACTGTCTACCACGGCCGCGACCGTCAACATGGCGGCCGCAGCGGATTGCGTAAGAGACATGGCGCTCGAAAAGCAGCTGTTCTGCGCCGGGCGGTGGTAGATGGTGGGCGGGTTGTCAATGCATATGGAACCGCGGCCCTTGGTGCTGGGAAGGATGCGTCGGTCAAATACAACTGACGTCAGGGGGGTCAGGGTCACGTAGTAGACGGGCTCGCGACCTGGAGGATGTTGGTTCGACGAGAGAAACAAAACTTGGGAGTCAGGCGACCCCAGTGCAAGCGCTCTACACCGCAATCTTCGCGCTAAGCACGGCAAATTTGGCCCGCGTCGGGCATCGTTGTAAAACTCATGTTGACGAACCCAAACTCAAAAGTACCTAGTCTCGTCTCGCCTAGTCAGTTGGTGATGAGTTGTGCGCGCAGCTGACTCAGCGATATTTTTATGCCGACCGACGCGAAGTGGGATACTTCCGGTGTCATACGATCCATTCATTCAGTCACAACAGTACGCAGGACCACCGGAGCAAGAAATATGTTCGTTATCTATCTAGAACCTAAGCAAGATGTACCCTGAACTCATGATGACTATAGCTAAAGGGCGACAGGGCGCCCAGCAATACTATCTTCTCTAGGCCTGTGAATGCTTTGATGCATCATAATACAAATCGAGCAGGCATCCAGCTGACCATGCTTGCGTAGGCGACTACAAAGGTGCGCAAGTTAGCAACAATCAATTGACTGGTAGAAACAGACTGAAGGGGGGATGAAGACATACGGAGTCTGCACAGTGTGCACCGTTCTTATTCGTTAGCTCTGTAAGACCCTTCCATGGGCTTTCTCGCAAAGCTCGCTTGCAGCCCTCCAAGCGTCGAGTTACTTGTTGGTAAGCCTCTGTCCGTTCGGCCAGAGTCGTCCTGCGAGCTAGATCGAAATGCAAGAACGCGCGGAGGAAAAACCCGCGTTGCCAAACCCACTCAGGGCCCTGGTGGTAATTCCTGCCTTTGGCCGTGGTAAAATCGGTGGAGTCCTCTGAGTTATTGTAGTCCGGGCGGTAATTGAGGTCGGATGGGTCAAGGGTGGCCATGCCTACCGGACCAGCCAGAACCTCGTCTGCAAGAGCAAGAGCAGCAATCGCCTTGGAAGGAGTAAATAGGTCCGGGGAGACTGTCATGGCGATAGGAAAGTTGGACCGAAGCTGATAATCTTCGTATGGCTTGCCAGACCGATAAAGATCCTTGTAGATCCCTCGTCGATTGATCACGTTGGAATCAATATCGTGTTGAGCATCCTCCTTCGGGTCTAGAGGAACATAGTAGCAGCGCTCAAAGTTGGCCCGAATCTTCGATGCCCAATCCTTGAACAAGATGGATTTTCCATTTTCAGTTTCGACACCATCATGCTGATAGAGACCACGTTCGTGCAGCTTTGCAACCCATGTCAAAGCGCTATACAAAAGTCCGGTAATTTCGATGGCTGCCCCATCTCGTGGTGTCCCGGGCACACCTTTATTCCCGGCTTTCTCACTCTCACCCATCTTGTCTTGCCATGTCCCGCAATTGAATTGACTACCCCCGAAGATCAATCCTGTTTCCCAGTCAACCTTAACATCAATTTGAAATCCCTCAGGCTTCATTTGCATATCAAGGTCAGTCCCCGCGTTATACTCTCGGAAAGAAAGTCCATGCGCATGTCGCTGGAATACTTCTTGTATCACTTCGGATATTGTCGAGTGTTGCGAGTAAGCCCTCGGGTCATCAAACGGAAACCACACATCATCGTATGGAAGAAATCTCCTGGGGACCTTATGGTCTAAGATCTTTAGACCATCTGGGGCCATCTCGGTGTAATCCTGGATAGATTGTAGGAAGAACCATACAGAATCCCGAGAATTATAGCGTGGGAGCTTTCCACTGCTGAGGAGGTTTGGAATCATGCCATGCTTGAGAACACTGGCAAATGCAGATATATGCTCCTTGGCATCATCGAATCGGCTGGTGCAGAGAAGAAGGCCTCTGAGCGATATGAACACATCGCGGCCCCAGCATCTTGCCCAGTCTACTGCAAAGTGCGGTAGGCCGGCTGCAAGACTCGGTACCTTCTTTGTAGGCCATAACGAGGCTGAGTTTACATATCCCATTTGTTGGACACTCACCATACCCAGTTGATGAATGAACTCTTGTCCGTTCTGTATATGTGGTCCCAAAAGATGGACTCCGCGCTTCCAGGCAGCGTTGTAGGCCACTTGAACGATGATGGCGAAATACCGGGGTAAAAGGAAGCTTGGTAGTTCGCGAACGGCTTGGAATTTGTCCCGCAGCCATGTAGCTGGTTTGTCGAGAGCAGGATGCTCTTCCTTTTGTCCCAACTTCTCCAGGCGACCAACAACGAAATCCAGGGCCCACTGACCGTTGCGCAAGTGCTCACACAGTGGATGGCCTAATTCGTTGTACTTAATGATGGTCTCAAGAACGCTCCACCAGCCCTGCAGACCGGCGTAGACCAGGGGGCCGTAGTTGGGGATACTGTATACTCCGTCCTGACCATTACTCGAGTCTCTCTCTTCCGCTTCGCAGCGGTAAAGGACGAAGTTCAGGTCAACCAAGCTGAGGTCCGAGAATGCATGGTCAACGCCTTCAGTGATATAATTGTCCAGCCCAGTCGCATGTTCAACACTTGGCATAGATGTTTCAAACAAGGCAATAGACCCGGCAACAAACGAATCCAGCACAGAAATGGTAGTATCTTTGCCACTCTCCTCGACTGTGGTACCTTCAATCGAGCTGACTCGGCTAGGCAACCCCCGTAAGTGGGACTTGTCCGCTAATACCCGGTCTTTGGTAGTTTCATTTGCATCTACCTCCAAGGTCCACGTCCCAACATGCTTGGCACGAGTACCAACAAGATGTGTAGGCGCCAGGATAGATTTACCATCCTGCCCAGGGAATGCTGTATGCGCAATCAGGAAAACACCTTTCCGTGTTCTGGGATGTACCCTGTGAACAGTGATATATTCCCCGTCATGATGAATGTGCGTCTCGTCATATCCTTCAACGCCCATCTTGGTATGAAGGTCATTGAGTAGCCTTTTGATGCCGCCTATACCCCCATTAAGCGTGTCTAACCCGATCTTGGGGGACTCTGAGAAATCCGAGAAATATAGTCGATGCTCGTGGACGAGATCCACAAGACGGGGATATACTTCATCATAACCGATGACGCTTCCGATGGCTGAGGCACACATTGCCACTAAAGCAGCATTTGGTAGTGTATCTTTCGCAGTCCTCTTCTGCGCAGGCATCTCATTATCGTGAGTACAATCCATGAACAAGGCCTGAACTGGCGTAGGGCGGATGTGGGCAACTTTTTCTTTGCCGGTGTCAATACCCGAAGAGGCTATTGCGTGGCTACTGCCCGAAGATGGCAAGTCGAGGTCAAAACTACCGATTGGGCGGCCTCCGTGACGATGAACAAGACGGCTGAGCTCTCCAGTACTCCAAGCCTGCATGGCTTCACGAATGAGTGCATTAATGCCAAGACGTTTGACAAAGATATAATCAGCTTCTTCTGAGCCGGTGAAAAGCTCCGCGAAAACGGTGAGATTGGGCCGGACTTTTCGGGCCTCATCTAGCAGGTACTCCGCGACTACCAGTGGTGTCGAATGGCAATTGTCGATGCGGAATCCAGAGAAGTACTTGGCCATCAGACGGGTATAATCTGTCATGAAGTCCCAAAGAAATGGGTTATCGTCACGGCAGCTACCATATCTCAGCTTGACACAATCGCCCCAGACAATTACTTCACGCCGCAGATAAGCCCTGGTGTCAGGCCCAGCATTGTCCCGCAGAGCATCGGCGTTCCAAATCCAGCCGTTGTTCACCAGTGCCAATGCCTTTTCATCATGCTTCTTGGTGACATCGTTCAGAGGTAACCGCGTGAAGTATGTTTCAATCAAAGGACTCCGTTCTGTTACGGAGCCAAGCTTGGGTCCATGGTCGTCAATCCTGAGGTATTTGATTCGATTGAAGACTTGATTCATGATTTCCGAGACATCTGCGTCATACTCTTTGTAAAATGGAAGATTGACCTCGTCGAGTATTTTGGATAGGTCCTTCTCGACTACACTTGTATCAGAAGTCGGAGACTTTTGGGGCCCAAGAAGCGCCGTCAATATGACTGCTCCAAATTGGGGGTCGATTGCTCTGCTAAATCTCCCCAGAACCTGCTTCGAGGTCGGAATGCCATGGTCACGGATGAGACTCGCTTGTTGCTTCAAGGTCCAGTTTTTGTAGTCTTGAAGATTGAGCTGTGACCACTTGTCACCAGTCAAATCTATATCCTTGGAAGACTTCCACTGATCGACTATTTTTCGTGCGTCAGCCTTCACATCGATGACATAGAATTCCCATAGTCGGATGCCGGCGATCACATGGTCCCGCATGGCGTTCATGACGGTGATAAGGTCATCCACCGTTTGGAACTCGGTGGGCAGGCCAAGTGTCTGGAGGTCATCTCCGAATTTCAACAATGCAGTATCCAAATCGAACGCTGCCTCAAGCCATGGGGCAGTCTTGACACTGTAGCCAGCATCCGGGTGTTCCTCCAGCCATTTGCTGTTATTAGCAGTGTGGTTCCAGACAACGTCTGTAAGCGACAGGAGCCCGTATTCGTTTTCCATCTTTGCAATCAAGCGAGCGACATCGTCTTCACCATTAGGGAACACAGCGTCATCAAAATGCAGCTGATCGAAGATACTGTAGGGTGAATTGGAAGCTCCGCGTTTCATCAAGGGCGTGAAATGTACCATATTATAATTACGCTGGCTAATACCGTTGATATGCTTGTCCCAGTCCGTAGGGTACTGGCCCATGAATTTAGAGATGACGGAAAATATAGAAAGAGCGTTGAGTGGCAGGTCCTGGCCGCGAAGCGTCAACCTTGGCGAGACATCGATATAATGCGTGGGAGTACGTGTCGGTTCTGGTGCAGGGGTCGATAGGACTGAGAACTCAGGAAGAGGAGAGAACGTCACATAGAAGGCAAAAGAGCCAGCACAGAGGATAGGAACATCGATCTGGATATTCTTGTTGAAGTCGGGGGATAGGCTAATTCCGTCTCAAGGCGTCAGCTGCTGATGAGGGCGAGGCTACTCATGTTGCTTACCTGAAGCTTCGAAAAGCAGAGCGACTGAAAGACTCGCCTTTCTCGGGGATATTAACCCAAAGCTTGCCCTCTCTGCAAATCGAACTGCTGCCCTCGATGACAAACCGAAGCAGGTACGGCAGATCGGTCGGAGGGGGGAGGTACAGATAACCCCCTGGCACATCCGGCGAGCCATCGTCTTTCAGAGGCAGCAGATAAACCTGCTGTGGAGACGACATTGTGAGGTTTGATGGATTCGAAAGCTCTGCGAAAGATCGTCCAGCAAGAACTTCGACCAGACTGAGGGATAGATAGGTTCTCGATGGCGAGTCTAGCGGCCCTGTTCTTTGGGGGTTGCCGGCTAGACCGACCAAGCAACGAAAGGTAAGGTGGTGAGTCTTTTCCAAGACCCGAGTGAAAGAGTGTAGTGATAGCAAGAGACGGGTGATTTAAGGGGAAGAGAAAAGAAAGAGCCCGAGCAAGATTTGTTGTTCCTGGGGGTCAGGGCAACGCAACCCCGCGGGAATACTGACATCATGAAAGCCAGCGAACCGCCGAACGGGCTGGAACGGCCCGGTCACGAACTCGGGCCTCCGCACAGTCTCCCCTCACGCCATGATGATCACCAGGCAGTCAGGAACATAAGCAGCAGTGGTTATTACTCTGGGAATGAGATCACACAAGGGAAAGGTTCAGACATTTCGGTGTCATTGCGGTCTATAATCATCGGTCTATGTGCATGAGAAATCTTGACAAAGAATACCTACCAACAGGCCCAAAAATAATGATCATCATCAAAATGAAAACAAGGCGGCCGGAGAAAGAAACGGGAAGAAAACAAAAGAGGGGTATGCATAAACCCTACCCCCTTCACAACCTGGCGCTCAGAACGGCCTGGCTGGTGCCACTGCTGGTCACCCGCCCGGTTCCCAGGTACGATATAGACTCCGGCTTTCTGTTTAAAACGAAAGGAACCGATTCCCGTAAATTAATAACCCGAACATAGACAAAGGGAAGAACTCAACAGGTCTCATTTACCGCTCAATGTATGAAGGAATATCTTCAACAGACATAGTGCCCTCGAGAACACCTGTTCATGGTCAGCGATATAATGAGTTTGGCACAACGAAGAGCTGGGTCACTCACGGTAGACAGCAGTAAGCAAGGGAAACTCGTCCTCAAGGCCTTGCTTCTTCAGGAAGTTATTGACCTCAACCGCAGTCAAAGTGCCCTGAAGTTTTTGGCCGTTCAGTTCGCTCTCCTCGACTTTCCCGATCGGTTGCTTTCTCTCGATGCTGAGCTTCGCGCATCGGAAGTTACGACCACCACTGCAGCTGGTGATCAGATCGGCAACTCCTGCGCTCTCCTCGGTAAAAGTCCGAGTGTTAATAGTGGCCCCGAAGAACTTTTCACCAAATTTGACCATCTCCAGGAGACCAACCCGCATGATGGCAGCCTTGGCGTTGTCACCCCATCCCATGCCATCAACCCAGCCGGCGGCGAGAGCGACGACGTTCTTGAGGGCACCCCCAAGGGAAACGCCAGCAACATCACTCACCACACGGATATGGAAATACGGGCGATGGAAAAGCGACTTGAGGACAGCGTGGTCAACAGGAGGGTAGTCGGATGGCAATGCTTGCAGCTTCACTCTCGAAAGCTGGCCCGAAACATCCTTGTGCTCAAACTGAACGAGACTTTCGGTCGACCCGGAAGGAGAGCGATTGGGAGACGGAGCCTTGGAATCCATGTGCGGGGGATCATAGGCAATACTTGACTCGGACCATTTTTCTAGGGCAACCTCGCTCGCAATGTTTGCGCCAGACAGGGCACCGCAATAGATGCCCAAAATCTTGCCAATGGTCTCAGAGAAAAGATGAATACCTTCCTCATTCACATCGACACCCTTGATGCAGGATATCCCCCGCGCATACGGCAGGATCTTACCCTTGATTTGCTCGCAGGTCTTGATGATGAATTGGTGGGGGAGGTTAAAGACAAGGATGGTACTGTCTTTGACTGCGTCCACCAACGACGGATTAGCATGCAAGTTGGGAGGAAGACTGATTCCTGGCAGGTATTTGATATTCTCATGGGTTTGGTTAATCACATCGGTCAAGTTCTGCGGGCCTTGGCAGAGTGGCGAAGAGGGATCATAGTGCCGAGACGATTTCGAGATTTCAACCTTCTCCTCAAACACCCACATCTCTACCTTCTCCTCGAAGACCGCAGGGTTGCTGGCGGCATTTTCCGCAACTATCTTGGCGATTGCACATCCCCTTTACATCCATCAGCACTGCGGCATTGGATAAAGTCCTAAACAGCCATCTTGCACATACCAATTTCCTGAGCCGACCACAGTAACCTTGTGTTTGCGCTGATACGGTCCGAGGGAGCCCATTGTTGCTTCGTTGTTGGCGCAATTGCTCGAGGGTCGGAAACGGCTATGCGAAAAGTAGCGGACTGCGAGGGAGCCCCGGGGCTTAAATATCGTCGAAAGTGATGGACGCGGCGAGAATTCCCGACTCAATGGGGTAGAGGGGAGGTGATAGGGGGTCTGGGGCCGAGGTAGAATCACAATTGTCCTCGAGGTGGGAGGGCACGTCCGGCGAGATAAAAGGCGCGCTGGGGACAGCATCCACATGCAATGTCGCGAATAAGATGGCAATCTTTCTTGAACCGGGAGTCAGGCGGTGGTTCCCTGATGTAAGTGCCAGGCGAGTGCAAGATAAAAAGGCGGGTTCGGCACCCGTGAATGTGGATCTTTGCCTCCCGAGAAAATCTGGACCAGGAGCAGAGGAACGACTGATGGAAAGATGACGATCAAGTTCGGGTGGCCTTGGACTACGTTGGCCTAGCCTGGACTAGTGCCTTGCTGGGTCCCCACTGTTGAGGTTCTTATCAGCCTTGGAGCAGCACAGGATGGAACCCGAATGGTCAGCGTTGAGACAAAGCCGCGAGGGATCTGTGACTGTCAGACTGAAGACGGCCTTGAAGAGTCCACGGATTTCTGACTAAACCACCATAATACTACCCTGTACCAGTCTACCACAGTAGGCTGGTGCCTCAGGCCCTGGAATCCCTAACCTCGGAACTGGAAATCGCAGTCAGTTGGGCGGTGAGCCACGGGCCTTCCTGTTTCAGCGCCCGGCGCCCGCCTCGATTTGAGACTAGTGCGGATCCGGACTAGTCGGGCAAAACTATCGGAATCGAGGAAGAATCAGTCCCGCGAGCACATGCAAGTCTTTTCGTCTTGCCTGGCAACAAAACGGCGCAAATCATCATGGTAAGCTTTCTCATTCCTTCACATGTGCGTACACTCTCTTACCATGTCGGTCAACTCATTACGTAGGCTCCAATTAGATCTGTCAAGAAGCCCGCAAGTGGCAAAGGCGCTCTTCCCTCGACCAAGTCAAGCTTCTTCGACGATGAGTTTCGCACCACAAAGAAGGACAAGCGCTTGATCAAGCACGCCAGTTTCGTATCCAGAATAGAAAAGAGTTCTCAGAAGTCAAAGCGTCGGCGTGCCTCCAAGAAACTTGCCACCCTTGACTCGTTGGCCGATGCCCTTCCAGACGCTGAGGCCGACGTCAACGATCCCAGCAAACAGGTCAATATCATCAAGCAGAAGACTTTGCAGCATAGGCCCGGTGCTATGAAGCGTAGAGAGAAGCTGGAACGGGTGGAACGGGATCGGTTCGCAAAAAATATGGCCCAGATGTCGAGCATGCAGGCAACAGCGCCAGCCAATGTCGAATCGAATACAGATGCAAGCTCATCTTCCAACCGGTGGGCAGCATTGCGGAATTTCATATCTCAGACAATGGAGCAGCAGCCCGCCTTCAAAACAAGCAGCTAGCATGTTGAAGCTTTATAGAAGGATGTGTTTCGAGGGCAGTACGCTCAATCCTTCCGACATTTTGGGAGGAGGCTTTCTCGACTTGCAACCATTTGCTTTCGCGACCGGGTGCCATGTTGAGTCCCGTGGTCAGAATCCTTGCCTCTGGCCCTCAATCAGTTGACACCCTGAGTTGTTGTTCATCGGGTGATCGAGGGCTATAGGTTTACGACATTTACATGATACTTCAATGATCGGGAAAATAGTCACATTTCACCCGGAAAGACGGCAGCCAGGGTCACAGAATTCTCGTGGCTATGGGAGCGGTACCGCTCGAATGGCTAGAGCTGTATGCACGGTCTGAGTCTTCCGCGTTTGCCGCGCGAAAGACGGCTTACGGGAAGAATATAGGAATTTCAGTCAATGGGTATCGTTATTGTTGTCACTAGATCAATGCTTCCTTTGGGTAGGCTACCTTACCCTCGCTTACAGGAACGGCAGCAATAACGGAGAAGTATATGAAAGGTTTAACGTGTTTGACCAATCTGGGTCTTTTGTTCTTTGAAATCCTCAGCTGTAGTACTTGGATACGTTCTGAATATGTACCCGAGATTGACCATCACTGAAGTTGACGGAGATTCCCATTAGCGAGGTCGGGGTCTGGGAGAGATGGGGATGACGATCGGGGCCCGCAAGGGCCGCCACCGTGCGTCGCAATTGGAGTATCCGGATGACGAAACACGAGACCTCGCTGCCTGACTATCGGAATCTCAGAAGCACAAAGGAGGTCAGAACATCGTCGAAAGGGTTTCCTTAGAACAAGTCCGCCTCCGCCATAATATCGTGCCACTTGCTCCCTTCAGACCACGTCACGCGCGGATATCGTCGGTGATAAGCATCACGTGCTGCGGGGAAAGCTATCGACCGATTTGATTGTATTGCATCTTATCTGCTGCCGTCGGAGTTGACGGTCCTTGACGGTCTCCTCACCTTCCTCTTCCCTCTCCTCCCTTGCGGACTCATCTCTCCCTCGATCTTTCCCGTATCACGTCTATCACCCTCGTTCTAAGATAACATCGTCCGTGGTCATGCTACGGTTGCCTATCCAGGCCCGTGGCCCCATCAGGGCGCACCGCAATTCCCTCGTCCGCTATCGGCATGCGCCGAAGCCGCAGATCCGCCCTGTCCGCCGTGGATTCACCAGCTCGTCAACCACTTTTCCTACGCTGTCCCAATTCGATCGCTCGGATTTCACGAATCAGCCATGGACTGGCAGCTATGAACCGGGCCTCCCTACGGCCGGCCCTCTAGCGTCAGCTCCGGCTTTCGGAGCACCCCGGGTGACCCCCAGAACGTTGAAGCAATACCTAGACCAGTTTGTCGTCGGCCAGGACCGTGCAAAGAAGATACTTAGTGTTGCCGTGTTCAATCATTACCAACGAGTACAAGAGCTACAAAGACGCGAAGAGGAAAACGCAGCGTTACTAGCGAAGCGTGCGCGCAAGGAAGCAATTGAACACCATCCGGTCGAGGGTAAGTTGTTTTCATGATCATGCCTGTTATATCTCACAAACCCCGCTAAACTTGAACCAGACGAATTTCCAGGTCAGCAGCAAACCATCCGACTACCCTCCGAAACAGACACATTGCCTCCCCCGTCGGCGCAGCCTGAACTCGATGATTCGTCGGCATTACAATTGGAGAAGTCCAACATCCTTCTGTTGGGACCTTCCGGTGTCGGAAAGACGCTTATGGCGAAGACACTAGCGAGGATACTGTCCGTACCATTCAGCATTTCCGATTGTACCCCGTTCACGCAGGCCGGCTACATTGGGGAGGATGCAGAAGTATGCGTCCACAGGCTTCTGGCTGCTGCGAACTATGATGTTGAGCAGGCGGAGCGTGGTATAATCGTCCTGGATGAGGTAGATAAGATTTCAGCAGCAAAGGTCAGTCACGGGAAGGATGTCAGCGGCGAAGGAGTGCAACAGGCCCTCTTGAAGCTTATCGAGGGCACAACCGTGCAAATACAAGCGAAACAAGAAAGGAGCGCACCTCGCGTCAGCAGTTCACCCAATACATTCCCATCCAACAACCCTCTTGGAAATTCTCCGTACACGCCCAATGGAGGGAACGCGCCTCAAAAAGGAGAGGTTTATAACGTGCGCACGGACAACATTCTCTTCATTTTCTCTGGCGCCTTCGTCGGTCTGCACAAAGTGGTCATGGATAGAATCTCTCGCGGGTCGATCGGCTTTGGCCAACCCGTACGGGGCTCAACTATCACGAACGACCGGTCGAGAGAAGCCAACCCCGGAAGCAACCAGCCCATCCCCATACTACCAGGATCAGAGGAAGAGGCATTATACAAGAAACATCTCCCCTTTTTCACTTCCGCTTCCTCCAGGTCACCCGACGGCGAGCCAACATACTTCAACGCCCTGGATCTTCTCAATCCCACCGACCTACAAAACTATGGTTTCATCCCCGAGCTAGTAGGCCGTGTACCAGTCACCGCCGCCCTCTCCACATTAACCACTCCTCTCCTTGTACGGATCCTCACCGAACCCCGCAACTCGCTCCTGGCGCAATACACTACATTATTCAACCTCTCGGGCATCGAGCTCCGTTTCACCACTCCAGCCCTGCACAAAATCGCCGCCAACGCCTTCACAATGGGCACCGGAGCCCGTGCCCTTCGCACCGAGCTAGAAACTATTCTCAGCGACGCCATGTTCGAGACCCCGGGCTCAAGCGTGAAATTCGTCCTCGTCACAGAATCTGTCGCCGAGCGCAACGAGAAGCCCGTCTATCTCGCACGCGGCCAAGGCGGCCGTTTTCACTCCCTGATCGCAGCCGAGGAAAGCAAATGGGAGGAGAAGATCCGCCGCGAAAAAGCCGAGCAGGGTAGGGACAAGAGCGCCAAAACACAGCCGTCGGATGAACTTCCCCCGATCGCCAGTTTCCGGGAATTCCGTACTCAGTCGGCTGGCTTCTAGGTATTGAGGCACGGTGGGCTTCACTGTTGCTGTAAATATGGAAGCCTGACGCATAGTAGTAGGTTATTTAGTCCCCTTGTGCCGTTTTTTCATTGAGCGATTGGTCCCTGGCGTTAGCGGTGTTGATACCTAACCTCGTTTACTTACCAACCATGGTAGTATCTACGTTGTTCCATTTCTGTCTATCTGTATGGTCAACTCACTCACATAAGGAGTCCCATTCGTCAATATCATGACATACTTCACATACATCGTTTACTGCACAATAGTAGATAGTAATCACACAAGGAGTGGTATATACCATGCAACAGAGTTCCACCATTGGGTATTGAGACAAGAAAAAGCAGAAGGCCAACCAGAAAATCATCATATTCTTCGCCAATGCCGAAACAACAATGACACCATAGTCTTTATAATAGAAAAACGGCCATCATCCACATGCTCCCTGTTATATTCAACGATACGGTTCCGGATACGAGGGCAGTTTGGAACCAGGCAATCGAGCATACCTCGTCCCGTCCGTTTCATTACCGAGGCCAGACGCAACAGGGGCAGGGGCATGAGCCCGGGGTGTATGAGGGGTGAAAGGGGCGGGTTGGGCTTTAGATTCTCCGGTGGTGCTTGGTTTGATAGAGGAGGAGTTCAGTTTGGACCAGTAGTGTCTGTAATCCACCCTGAAGGTCTTCATGAAATCCTTGGCGCCGTATTTGATTTCGATATGTTGCCATGACTCCCATCTGGGAAGGGGCTTCATTCGCGTCAGAACGATGAACCGTCGGTACCGGTGGCGGTTGACCAAGCCCCAGCCGGCGAAGAATTCGACCAGGTGATCTGTGTTGCGCTGGTCTTGGGTCAGTCCTTTGGGGATATCGGGGTTGTCTTTTTCGGTGCGGGAGCCGTAGTCAGGGATATTGGGAGGGGATATGGCGTTGCTTTCAAAGTAATCATCGGTGGCACCGGTCAAGACCTCACCGGATGTAGTATCGTAGGCGGACGGAGTGCAGGATTGCAAGATGAGACGGTACATTGTGAGCCATCTAGAGACAGGTCTTCGGTTAGAGATATTCAGGTCCGGTGTTGTTGACATTGTGACGCGCGGGGGGGGGGGGGGGTAACGTACATTCCATGCTTTGACTCGTCCGCCGGTTCTGGTTGCTTCAAGAGCCAATCCATAACTGCGGGGCGGAACATGATCTTCCAATTGCCGGGGAACTTCTTCTTTATCCAGTCATTGAACCACGCCAGGATGATTATGGTTCCATCTGGCTCCCCAAGCATGAAATCTTCTGTTATCAGAATAACCCCGCCATGTGGGAAAATGCGCTGGAAGTGCGACGGGCGCTCGGCATATTCGAGTTGTTTATTTAAAGAAACGCTCCAGAAGTTGAATGGCTTGCTGATGAGATTCTTGAAGAATGGTAAGGTGTGAAAGTCAACAAAACTCTCATGGAACTACTTGCGTTAGCTTTTTGGTGCATTCTAACGTCTCCAGAAGGTAGGACATACCAAAACAACCCCTACGCCGACGGTCCGTGCGAATTTCTCCCAGTCGCCTTCCTGGTGAGAAGAGTATATAACGGGATTGTGGAGATTGAGCCATGCTTGGAGGGTCAGGAATTCTTGTTGAAGGGTCTCAGAACCGAACATGAGATAGAATGCTTCTGCCATTTGTACCTTTTCTGCGGAATTGACTTTCACCAGCGCCTCATATGATGCCCCAAACGAATTTTTAAAGACGGCATTGAGATCGGCTGTAGCTAGGGCCGATATTAATTGCTGCTCACCTGCCGCTGGAGCGGAGCTCTGCTGCTGATCGATGTCCATCGGTTCGCCTGGTGCTTGACGATCTTCAGCTGAATCTACTGCTTCGGTCGGGATTTGACCTGTTGCTTCGGTCGAGACTAGCTCCAAGGGTTTGTTTGAAGTCTCTCGCTTGATGGCATCAGCTCTATCGAGAGAGGGATCTTGTTTCGATTCTGGCTCTTGCCTGATTGGTGATAATGGCATAGGTGAGGAGTCGGTCTTGCCCTCTATCGCATCGGGTTCATCCTCCAGGACTTTGCAGCGAGGGGAATCCTTCACGGGGGTGTCTGGACCGTGAGAGTTTGGACCGTGAAAGTCTGATCTCCAGTCGTTGGCTCCTATCCGAGAGTGAAGTCTCTCAATAGATGCAAGAGACTCCAAGGGAGTCCGCACAATGATCTTGAGGAAAATATCTGGATGCGCTCTGGGAATGTAGCCGAGTGACTGGAATTTTGGTGAATTGGATGGGAAAGCGATTAACACGTTGCTTGTCTCGTAGCCCGGGAAGATTGCCATAAGACTGCCTCGGTCAAGTTCTTGTGCCATACGGTAAACGTTGGGCTCTGTGTCATTGAACCCCTCGATCCACCCAGTACAAAAGGTGCGATTTTGGGCCTGACGTGTTTGGTGAAATTAATGGCTGGGATCGGGGTGTGAATCATCAGGCAGGGGCACTTACCGCGTTGTGGCAGAGGACCCGGTAATCTTCCAGAGTGCAAAGATGCTGGAACCAGACCTCGATATAGGGCCCGTCCTTGGTGTGGATCAGATTCTTGGCAGAAAGGGAGTTAACTCCGCATAATCTAGCAAGCCCAATGGCCTTTTTGTCTGGCCCATAATACATGTTGACTAGCACCTCGAATGGATTACAGAAACGGCCGGCTATGAGTTTGGCACGAGGCCCCGGCTGCCTCCGAGGTAGGTTGGGAATGACATCTCCACCCGATTCATTGAGACGACTGGGCTGGCTGCGGTCTCTACGAGGTGACATTGGGATCATAGCCGGACTGGAGTTAGCATTGGCAGTTATGCGAGCAGCGTCATTAGAGGTATCGGTTTCCGTGTGAGAAACAGACTGGTCCGTCCCAGTTTGGTTCGATTCTCGATCAGGGGACGGGGTGACATGACGAGGCACAGGTTTTGGAACGGGTAGAGCAGTTCTGGATGGCCACTCCGATGGACGAACAAGCTCCAGTTGAGTGATATCGGGAGGCGGCTCCCTAAATTTGGCTTTCTCATGTTTCCACCTGGTGGACAGGTGCGAGAACCACTTCGGGTCCGTCTCTTGGGCCGTCTTTGTAGCGCGCGGTCCAGCTGGCCCCGGCTTCTGGCCACTTCCAAACATAACCAGGGGCGGCTTCGGTATAATGCGCTTAATTGTCCGTACTGGCTTCCCAAGGAGCATCGCACGGGAGCCGGGCGTGTGATCAGAGAGCGTCCTTTGCGGCGTTCCTTTACTCACGCGGGAGCTGCCGGAAGAACTTTGAGTTTTGCTTTTATCGTTCATGGCCTGAGACGTATCGTTGTCGGCCAATAAGCCGAGTCTTCTCCTTTTGGCTTTTCTTCTGCGCTGCCTCTCCTGCCTTTCCTCCTCGACTTTCAACATCATTTGCTCCCATTTGGCTACGTCAAACGCCTCACGCGTTCCTGCTGCAATCTCTCTTTTGGTCCTGTCCCAGTCGTCAAGGGTCTCATCCGTAGAGAAGGCTTCCACGGGCTCCCATGAGCTTCGGCATTCCGGGTAATTGGCCCATTTGACCAGATACCTCATCGAATCTGGGAATCTGCACTCGGCTAGAATAGCCTCCACCTCATACTCGGAGGCCTGCGGGCTGGCCACTGTCGAGCTGATGGAGATGTCATCGTCACTCTCATCTTGGCTCTCAGTCATTGCCAGAATCAATGGCAAGATGTGAAGATGAGGCGAGAAGGATTGTAGGGCGGAGCACTCCAGATGCCAAGCCTAACGATGCCAATCGAGCTACAGGATGGCCACCAAATATAGCATGGTGAGCCGTAAGTAGCAACCAGGGAGTCAAGCCAACAGGTATTTGCCGGAAGCACAATTGCTCATGCAAGCGCAAGTGAGGCGAGTGTACACACAGTAGATCCACAGGCAGGCAATGGCGGGAAACCCGGCGAAAGAGCTGCAGGGCCAACAAGGACTTGCGCACACGCACACGCACACAGACTCAGGGCCCCTGACGAAGTTGTCCGGGTTGGAAACGGATCTCCCCAGCAGGACACCTTAAATTATTGATCAATAAATGGGGGGACTGGAAGGGACTGACTGGAACCTGGCGCCGCCGACCTGCAGCGCACCACGTGACCCGCGCTAGACCCGAAGGGGTGGCAGGGCACTCGGCACTGCGACGACGGACGGGAATCCGTAGGGGAGAAAGTCAGTCTGGATAACCTCCTAATCTCCTTGCCCCGAGTGCCTGCCTCCCCCTACCCTCTCCACAGGTAAGCTGCCCCATCTCCTTCACTCCGTCGATTTAAATCCCCCTCGGTTCGCTACCCCCCTCCTCTACCCCGGTACTTTTCTCTCTCGGATCCGTGTTCTCGAACCTAACTGACCATTGTTGCGCCCCTCCTCCCCCAGAAAGTAAGACTCGCTTGTCTCCAGTGCCTCCAACCTCCCCCAGCTCGGCCACGTCGACTTCCTTCCCAGTCCACCCAATCTTACCTGTAATAAAGCCAAGCGAGCTCTCACAACCACCCCTCATGGCTAACGACGAGTACGATGTGAGTATCCTCTTTCTGCCGGTTTCCACCCCTTTGCCAAGCTCGGGATAACTAACGGGTGACCTGGTAGTTTCTGTTCAAAGGTAAAGTTGCCACTTCCCTCCTCCGCGCTGTCGCCGCTCGCTCCCCTCTGCCCCGGCGTCGGTTGTCTTGCCGCGATTCACGACTAACCGCCGGTGGGTTTCTCTGAACAGTTGTCCTAATCGGAGACTCCGGCGTTGGAAAGTCCAACCTCTTGAGTCGGTTCACCCGCAACGAGTTCAACTTGGACTCCAAGTCCACTATCGGCGTCGAGTTCGCTACCCGCTCGATCCAGGTCGACTCCAAGACGATCAAGGCGCAGATTTGGGATACTGCTGGTCAGGAACGCTACCGTGCCATCACCTCCGCTTACTACCGTGGTGCCGTCGGTGCTCTTCTCGTCTACGATATTAGCAAGCACCAGACCTACGACAATGTCAACCGGTGGCTGAAGGAACTTCGCGATCATGCCGACTCCAACATCGTGATCATGTTGGTCGGTAACAAGAGTGATTTGCGGCACCTGCGGGCTGTGCCCACGGAAGAGGCCAAGCAGTTTGCAAGTACGTGGGGGCCTTTTGCTGACACCTTCCCCTGGTCCCAGAGTTTTGAGATGCTGACCTGCTATTAGGCGAGAACAACCTCTCGTTCATCGAGACATCCGCTCTCGACGCCAGCAACGTCGAGCTTGCTTTCCAAAACATTCTGACAGGTGAGACTTGCCCATCTATGGTCTCCGGATGAGCTTCGTCATACTGACACTTTTTTCTTCACCCAGAAATCTACCGCATTGTGTCCAGCAAGGCTCTGGATGGTGGGGATGCCGGGCAGACCGTCCTGGGCGACCGCCGCGATATGGTGAGGATTGACGAGTCGGAGGACCCGAAGACCAAGCAGGGATGCTGTTAAGAGGCCACGAGATCGGGGAATGTGTGACACGTCAACCGCAACGACTTTTATTTATGTGATGTGATAATTGAACGGTCTTGAACTCTCTTTTTGTCTGTTACTTAGCCTCCTGGAGATGATACACAAGAGGGACGTTGTTAGGAATGGCACCTGGGGTCATGGACATTGTACGGCGGTGTTTGTTGGACATCACATTCTCCCGGCACCTTCTTCACTTTGCCTTTATATCTTCTGTTCCCTTGTCCTTTTCTCTTCTTTTTTTTTTCTTAATTTCCTGTGGATTTCCTTTCTCCTGTTTCCCCATGCTCTAACCTGATGAAATTGATCTTATTAACGTCTTTTTCCCCGCATGATATCTGCCTAATGACCGATCCCATCCCTGTTGGTTTACACGAACCCGCGCTTGAATTGGTTTTCCCGCCCCCCTGGCGTCTATCCGTGGTTCTACAATTCAGTTTAGGTACACCGTTTGTTAAGTTTCGCTTCACCATACAATAAAGAAGAAAAATGACCAGCGATCGTTCCCCCGTCTGGATTCCGGCCTGGTCTCGCCTCGCCTCGGATGGAGACCACCGCCGCCCGTTAGACCTTAGCAGTTAGCATTAATAATAAGTTGATAACCCCATACGGGCATAAACCGGCCCACATCTCGACCCGGGAGCCCCACGACAACAGGCACAGAAGCCCACACACATCCCATCTTGACCTTCCATTCACAAAACAATCAGCCCATAATCTCCATCCCCAAGAAATATTAAGCGCAGAAACACAAACAAACAATCAGATTAAACCAAAATTTCTTGTCCGCTTACGCCCAACTGTCAAAATCCCAAAAAGCGAAAGCCGCTAGGTAGGCTACCTAGCCCGACTGGCTGGCTGGCTGGTTGGCGGCTAGGCTCTGTTTCACGCTTTCGCAGTCTCCATCCGAAGCCCCCCCCCCCCACTCAAGCCCACTGTTAGCCGCCGCGGCTGGGATTTATTCCCCGTGTGGTTTAGATCCGGTTGATCAGGGGCGTCGAGCGAGCAGGTATCTACGACGTACGTAGGGGGTGTGGTCACTGGTTGGTGGCTTGCGAGTCAGAGTCATGTAGAGAGTATTAGATGCTATTTTGTATGTAAGTATGCACTATGTAGATAGGTGCTGGATGGGGGGGAGAATAGTATGTGTAGTATTTTGGTGCCTTGTGCTTTGTGCTTTGTTTGGGGGTTTGGTTGGTGGTTTCTGGGTGGGAAAGATAGGATGGTATAGTGCGGAATAGAGTTCCGTTTGGCATACATACTACTAGTATATGGATTATGCTTATGGGGATGTAAGTAGCTTTGGACACGTGGGTGACATGAACGGTGCGCTTATGGCGTACGTACGGAGCGCTTCCGGTTTGAACTTCGAGGCGCGGGTGTGATATGATATCTTTATGGCCGGATTTGTGTGGCTGGAATGGAGGTATCAGATACTAGTATCTGGATTCTGGGGAATGGTCGCGTCTGCTTGGCGTGCATAAGGTTCTTTTGGATGGGAGGGTTAGTGGAGTGGAGGGGGATGGGATAAATGTTATCTAGTATTGTCGAGGTGAGGAAATGGTTATTTATACACCCAGGCAAAGGTCTTCTGAAGAATGTTTTCATGCATCTGAAGAGCTCTATTAAGTATATGGAAGCTTGTGAAGACAGTCTTCATTGAAGTAGATGATTCTAGCTCATTGGGATGCACCACCATGCTAACAACGCAAACTATACTATGCATACGATACCGGACTCAAATGCAATGAGATCAATCCCAAACAACACCGATCTCCCGGTCTGCGATAGCAACTCGAAACTCGTCAATGTCGTCACCCCGCTCTTTCATCACCCACTCCAGCGTATCGCCAAAGGTTTCTCCGTTGTCTCGGAACCAGTCCCCCAAGGACCGGATGTACAGCTCCACCTGTTCTTTAAGAGATGCATGCTCTCGCAGCCACAGCACCTGGCCTGGATCGAGCTTCAACATGTCCTGCACAACATAGTAGTGTGGGATCTCGTCACCCCAGCCCTCAAATCCAGGGTCATGAAAGTAATCGTTGCGAAACCGCGACTTGTATTTAGCCGGTGACTCAGTAAAGTTGCTGGGGTGCGCCGTGTGGAAATACTGCTCGGCCGTGTTGGAATCTTTCTCGAACAGACCGGGTGGACCAGCGGGACTACTGCTCGTGGGATAATTCAGATGAATATTGAAAGTCAATTGATGGTTACTCTCCGGGTATCGCTTCCGGAACTTGCGTTGGATGGTTCCATTGCTGGGACAAATGTGGTTCTGCACGATATCACCGATGATCAAACGCACGTCCTCGATCTCGGCCAGTTCAGCCGTAGACCAATTATGCAGTAGTTGCGCCCGCTCGGTGACAATGTGTGGAATGGTACGGCTAAGCCGACCATAGGTGTCTGTGTGGAAAGCCCGGTGGTACAGCCACAGACGATAGATTGCACGGCGGAGACGGAACCGCTCGTTATCATCCAGCGAGCGGCGGTTCTCGTAATCAACCTTCCATTTCTTGACCGGGTATATGACTTCCCACTTCTGGGCCACATGTCCGATCTGCACAATCTGCTTGAGGAGAGATTCGGATATGGGTGCGGTACGGAAAATGTGGGCGCGTTGGCTGGTGTTCTGCGTGACGATCTGGATGATATCATCCAAGGGACCGAGCTCGGACTCCGCAACATCAACAAGGATCTGTAGCTTATTGGATCGGTGGAAGATGGTATGGAGTCGCCGACAGGTCATTGCAAGATTCATAACATCGGAGACAGATTCGCATGAACGGAATATGTGGAGCAGAAGCTCCGTGGCCAATTGATGGAATGGCATGGTTTAGTAGATTAGATGATCTAGGACGTCAGTTATTACAGCGGTAAGCAGATATAGCCCGCGACGCGCACTTATTACAGTATATTGAGGTCGAGTGGTAGAGTGTGGTTAATCGTCGGTACTAAGCACGGAGATAGCGTCCCCGTCGCAGTGAGTCAACGGGGCTGTCGTGATCGAGAGCTGGACCTAGGTCGCAACCCCGCCCTTGGGGATAGTAAAAACACAGGGAATGCAAAGCAGGCTGGAGGTCATCGTGGAAGACGGTGCAAAAGCACCCAGCAGCCACGCAGGGCTGGATTGCGAAAGGGGGGCCATGACGACTGACGGAAGGGTGCAGTTGCTGGGAGGAAGTCCGGGGCAGCCAGAAAGAGACCCGCTGCCAAATCACTTGACCTTCGCTCCATTGGCCCGCTGCCCCGATTGGGACGGACTCCAGAATAGCAGGCGATATGCCCCTCTAGGACTCTCGCATTCAATCACTCACGCCCTTGCTGCAGCTTGCACCACACCGTGACAGAGCCTGTGGCTCTGTGATCCCCAAATAGAACGGTTCGATCTCCAAGACCAACGCCAACCATACTATCAAAGATCCATTTGTCTTGGACAGCCTACGTGAGTCAGATCCATGGTCAGACAATATTGAACCGTAGCATCAAAACTTTTATTATTATTTCACACCAGACGCCAGCAGGACCATGCATGTACCCCTCGCATCAATACATATACATCCCTTGAGGATATCAAAGTCTAATAGGGCGTAAAACAACAGAGAACGAACAAAACGGAAATTCATCACTTGAACAGTTGCCTTGTGTCGAGCGCATCCGGCTTTCTCTCGCCATCTCCCAATCCGAGCGTCGACCGCTTGGCGAACCGGTCGGTCTGCACATCTCTGCGGTGGGCATAGCGAGACGCCTTGCCCAAGCGGACCTCACGACGAACCTGGTTCGGGCTGACGTACTCCTTGTTCTCATAGATGACGGGACCGCCGAAGCTACCCTCCAAGATGACGATGGGCGTGAGGACAAAGCGGGGCCCAATCTCGACGAGAGAAACCTCGGGCTGACCGTCCTTGCCCTTGGGAGTGGGCTTGGCCTCTTCACCATCCTCGCCCTTCTTCTTTCCGGGCTCGGTCTCGCGGATCTCGTAGACTCGGATCCAGATCTTGCCATCCACACCGAAGATACCAATGATACGGTCGATGAACGGCTTCATACCCTTGACGCCACGCTTGGGAACACAGAAGACACCGCGCAGCATCTCTCTGATCAGACCGCGGTATTCCTGGCCAGGCTGGCTCATGAGCGGGCCCTGCTCGTCGAAAGAGCGATCGAAAACCACAAGGCCACGGCCACCCTTGAGGCAGTTACCGCTGAATCCTGCATTCAGTTCGGCCATGGTGTGCAAGTTGGCGACGTGGAACTTGATCGTCGGTCCGTTGGGGGGGCGAGACAGCCAGAGGTACAAATCTTGACCCTGCTTCTTAGCCTCGAGGAAGAAGATCACGTTGCAGGAGTGGAGGTCGGCGAGGGAGTTAAGGAGCAGGTTGTATCCAGCGGTCTTCTTCTTCGTATCGAGCTTAGTTTCCTTGTGAGTGTGAGGGAGCAGAGACGCAAGGTCGGCGAGCAAGTGACGATGGCTGGAACAAACATGAAAACATTAACAATCCATTAATCATTTACTTAAAAACCACATGCGCATCCCACATACCGATATGTAACACCCCGAGAAGTCAGCATAAGCACACGAGTCTTGGGCATAAAGCCTGCAGCGAGCTGCTTCTTGGCCGATTCGGTCGTAGTTTCTTCATCATCCTCGCTGTCGGTGGTGTCGTTGGCGTCAGAGAGAAGTTCGTCCATTTCGATATCCTCCTCGTCAAACTCCTGCTCCTTGGCGAGCTGGCGAGCTGCCTTCTTCGAAACGGTCTTGTAAACGGATGCCATGGTGAATGGGGTTGCAGCAAATTGGAGATTCCGACGCTGTTGATCGCCCGCAAATTTAGAAAATGCTGCTGGCAGAATAATTTTTGGCTGCGACCGCCTTCCTGTCTTTAGTCACGTGATTGGTCTTTATGTGATAACGCTCTAACCTCCTAGCGCATAGGGAAAATAACAACTGCTATATTTTGTTTTGATATGTTCACTTAAAGGGCACTGTAAGATGCAGTGGATTTTACTTTTCTCAAAACTGATGTTCAGTTGTTGTCGATGTGTCAAGTAAACATCTATACATATAGGAAACCACGACATATATTCTACGTCTCACTACGATGGATCATTCCATTCTAGATTTTTTTGAACTTCATTAACATGGACCCTCCTGATAATTTACAGATTGGTACAGTTATCAACTTCGGATCTTATGGAAATGACTCCAAAGCCCTTGCAAGTCCCGAAAATCCCTCCTGTGAGACCTTCATGCCCGCAAGCCGATTTGCAAAGCCCAATTTCTGTGACAGGTCCCAATCGTCCCCTCGACAGAGCAGTGCATATAGCATCCCAGATATGAATGTGTCACCTGCACCGATTGGGCTACTCCATTGTTAGGTGTCGATTGAATCTTGGAAAATCGATACGCAAGCGCCGACAAAATCGTAGAGAAGAGAATATTGATAGGAGTGAGGCATGAAGAAATAACAAAAGATCAAACATGAGATAGATTGAAATGACTTACTCGACAACTTGGAAATCTGCTGCAGAATATGCAGGGCGATGAATCAGACTCCGAGTTTTGATATCGAAAGCTACGGCACCACTTTGACCCCAGGTGCAGCAGAGCAGTGACCTAGTCTGATTTTTAGCATTCGCAAACTAGAAAATATGCACATATCCAAAGTCGTACGCTTTTCGTGTCACAATGGATTGTTTCTCGACACACTCTTCGGCAGTTTGATATCCATTCCCCTACGAGTGTCAGTGGTGTCAGAATGTACAATATACGGCCGCAAAATTTGGGAACATTCATACCTGAGCCCAGCTCTTAGAGTAGAACACCACATCAGCTTCCTCTGCTAGCTCCTGCAGCCCCTCCCGACCTGGCTTCTCTACTTCGACGCTGATTTTGGCTAACGGGTACTGCTGACGAATGTAGTGAATACAGGATAGAGTTACGAGAGGTATTCGGCCCTGGGAACAGAAACCATTAGCTCTCTGGACGGCAACCCAACTAAAAGACTCAATGGCAAACCTCAAAATGGAACCATGAAGCCTTGTGTAGACGATCTGCGATTTGAGTAAACTCTTCCACCGTCATCTCTGGAAGTTCGTTGTAGTTGACTATAGTCCTACTACCAGACGACTCGCTTTTGATTATGTAACTCGAGGCCGGTTCCTCAAAGCCATCTCGATAGATGCAATGAGACAAGCTGACATGAGGTTTGAATGCCAATTGGATCTGCTGGGAGGCAGTAGAAGACTCTGCAGGTAAAATGGAAACAAGATCCAGGGCGACTCCGGCAGTTGATGAGTCATGTGTTATCAACTGCTGGAGAACCTCTAGGGTGTTGGGGCAGTTGCCTCCCCGTCGACGAGAGATTTTGGAAGCACGTAACTTATCATCTTCACCAGGGTAGTGGGGAGTTCTGATATGAAGGATGAGATACTGGATGGATGGGAAACTAGGATCGGAGGGCGACAACCAACGTTAGGATTGTATCCACATATAAGGCGCCTATCGCCACCAAGGACATATCGTAAAAGTAGAGCAGATCGCCCAGTGGATTCTGCAAGAATTAATATGCTGGAACTGATACAGATTGTTGTCTGCAGCTTTGTATGCTGAGAGGGGCAATGTGGTGGTGGGATTAGTCAGGACCCACCGTCGACATCATCGCTGAGATCGGAGAATAAACATTCTTGAACACTTTTACTATGTGCTAGGTCCTGGCCTGCAGCGTTACGAAGGGCCTTGATAAGCATCATCAACCTACTTTCAAATACCTAGGCAAAAGGCTCCTAAAGCACCTCCTGGAGGACTTTACCAAGTACCCAAAAATGTAGTGCTTATAGTCTGAACCTGGTTAAGACCTCTGATTTGCAGTTGCGTACTGGGGAGATCCTCTTATCACCCATGCCCATATCCTTCCAGCCTTGTCCAACTGAAACAGTGACGGCTGACAGGAGATAATAGTACATGTCAGGCTATGTTATGAGTACTCAGTAGCAGCATTTGGAAGACTCGAGTTGTGCATCAATCAGAGACCGTGGAGCCGTGAACTTCCCGTACCAGGAACTAACCTAGGGTTGCTCTAGTGCGCTTCGCAAAATACGCAAGGGCATCGCGAGATAGATTACTGAATAAAGATTAGTACATAGTCTGGTAGTTCATAGATAGCTATGCAATATTCGGTACATTAATCTCGCTAACACAGCTAAGAGTAATTGACATAGTTTTTAAAACGAACAAGAGCCCAGAGCAGTCCGTAGACAGAGGCATGCAGCATCGTGCTGCAGAGAATATTTTGCGAAAAAAAGGAAAAAGGGAACGAAAGAAAGCATAGAAAGCAGATACCCTAACGTCTGCGGGGAGCCTCGCTGCGATTCAGGGGTGACACCGACTCCTCCACCCTTTCCACCCTCCGCCGTCGTCTGTAGTCGCTCTTTGGCCCCTTGGGGGTTTGATCATCCCCGGGAGTCAACTGTCCCTGAGGAGCGCCCCTATATCGTCGGATAGGTCCAGGGGTCTTTACTGGAGGTGGGGGAGGGTTTGAGCGTCCTGGTCGTTCCCAGGAGGAATAATTCGGTGCAGTTCTTTGTCGCTGGGCATACCTCGTCTGACTCCTGCGAGATGGTTGTGTCGGCGTAATCGGTTCTTCTTCAGGAAGGCGAGAACGAGGGCGAGAATGAGGGCTTGGACTCAGAGTCCGGGAAGTCTGGGACTCGGGAGAATAATCTTCTCTAAAACCGGGTGTTGACTTTGGAGAAAGGAAGTAATGCTCTCCAGATTCTCGACCACCCCGGTCAATATCTCGCATATTCCCATCCTCTTCCTCGCTTTCTGACTCGGTAACCCACACAACGTTTTCGGGACTACGGTGTTTGCGGTCCTCTTTGACGGTATCGCACTTATCATTCACGATGTACCAGCGCTTTCTGTATATCAGTGAAATGATTTAAGTCAGTATCTGCAAGACAAAAGCATAATGTAGTTAGGCAGGCTCATACCTCAGGGTGTCATCCGAATGATATTGATCACCAAGCTCTTTCTCCAGTTTCTTAAAAGTGTTCTGAGGAAATCCTTTGGGGTGTAGTATCTTGATTATCCCATGTAGCATGATGCAGTCTTGCAGTTTGTTCCATTTGAAACAAGGGCGTTTCAGTTTGGCTTGAGGTTCCTGTGACGTTCGTCGTGGTGTCTTGGTCTCGCGCGCTGGACGGCTTCTGGCCATGTTGTGAAGCGATTCTGATGACAGAAGACTTAAGAAGGGAAAAAAGTGAAGGAATGGTAGAGAAGGCTGAATGAGAGAAAGACAGAATGAGTCGGGAATCGAGTCTTTCTTATAGAGCTGGGCAGAAAGCAAAGCTTGCCAGGAAACGCGTGGAAACGCGCACGCTGGTGGACGCCTGTAGAGAACAGCTCGACATTGTCAGTAGATCTGTAGACAAAATCTTAGCATTATGGGGGGCTGGTAAGAAAGGCGCGTTGCTTTTGATGGATTGTGCCGTGTCACGCGTCTGATGTCAAGCTTTCCCTCGACTTGACGGACGGACAGGCAGATTCTACGCAGAAATCGAGCAAATGCTGTAATTGATATATCCAATGCACAGAGCTTTCGTTGATGGAACCAGACTGCCCTGATCGACGGCATATTTTCTGGAATTGGAGGGGGGTGGGGTACCAAAGTGGGCGCTGAAACCAGGCCATGTGATGTGTCATGGGGGCCTGCATCGGGTCGGGACTGTGCACTACTAGGTACACCGTATACTTGGCAGTATCCTGTGATGTTGTGTGACAAAAGTACTACGGGAGGCTCCCTCAAGAATAGGGAAATGTTCCATTTGAATAACATGTTTTCATCACAGTGGAAGTTGTCATGCAAAAAGTGGGAGCTGGCCGTAGAGAGTCAGCCAGCCGTCCTCTATATAGCAACCCTTGGCCCCCCTCCACACCCCCTCCCCCTCCCCCCAACTCAAAATTTCTTTCAGTACTGTCTGAGAAAGTCCAAGGTATGAGTAAGAAATATTACATGTACCAGGACGAATATGCAGGTGGGTCTTAGACCAGATTACTCCCTCCACTTGCAACAAATCAGGGCTCCGAATTGCCATGTGACCCTGCCAGGCCCGTTTGACTTTGGAACAGATTGAGATTGTGGGAGAGGGTCCAATGCAGTGTGCAGTGTACAGTGTACCGGGCGTTTGCTACTGGCGTTTGGTCCAGGAAATCTCTTCGCACACATGATCTTCTTCCGAGGGCTCGTCCGCTTGATTCCAGCAGAATCCAGGCTGTACCCGCCGACCTCGAGGCCGAGACCGAGGGCGCGACTCGAGCTGTTCCGTTGCTCAATCCGTGGACTCGACTGGCCGTGGCTAACAGAGGCCTAACAGCGCCGGTAGCTGCCCACAAATCCCCAGGAAACTGCCTTTGATGGCCAATTTGAAACTATGCCGTTTTGGCATTTCGGGAGGTTATAAAAGCTGCCTGTCTGTCGTGTTTCACTGCATCTTCTTCCATCAATCTCAATCCTCACCAAACAGTGAGCACTCCCACATCTCAACCCGTCCGACGATCTCTTGAGATTATTTCAACCATGTATGCTGTCTATCCACCTGTTTACAACATGTCTACCACCCCCGACATGTCGGCTCTGCACATGAGTACCCCCATGAGTACCCCGACTACCTCTCCCACCCAGACTCCTTTGACCAGCCCCCGTCGTAGCAGAGCCCTGCCGACCGATGGCCCGACCGTCAGGTTTCTTTACACAATCATCAAACAATTGGACCTCAAATCGGTTCGACCACTTAATTTCAGCAATCACAGATAGAAGCTGACATTGAGTAGGTCGACTGGACTTTAATTGCGACTGATCTGGGCATATCCAATGGCCACGCCGCTCGGATGCGATATTCACGCTTTCGACAGCAGATGGAGGGCATCTCTCCTACTCCCCGACAGACCCAAGCCAAGAAGGTCACCAAGAAGCCAACCAAGGCGAGCCCGACCAAGACAGAATCGAAGAGGGAACCTGGCAGTCCCCAGCCTGACAACTCTCTATCACAGGCTCCGACCAAGCAAGAACACAGCTCCCATATCAAAACTGAGGCTCATACCCAGACGACGCCCAGTTTGGAAGATATCCCCCTTGCCGGACCTTCAGTCATGGAGCCGATTTCCCACATTGGTATGATGCCCAGTGTGGGTAATTTTACTCTTGCTGCACCCCAGTTCCGTGAGGGACTGTCCTTCTATCCAACAAACTTCTCTCCGGGAGAGCCAGGCTTCTATACGGCGATGAACACGGTGACTGGGCCTCTTGGTGAGCAATACGATCCTAGGCTTCTGAACCACACTGTGGATTGGGAGCTCTATAAGCCTGAGCCAGTGACAGAAGCCAACACTACCAACACGGTGGTCAAGGAAGAACACCAGCAGCAGGGAGTGAAGCCAGAGTCACCCAAGGCAGCGCAAGAGACAGCGCAGGAGGTAGCGCAGGAGGCGGTGTCGGAGGGTACTCAGCAGGAAGTGAAGGCAGTTGTTATCGACGACTAAGAGATCATGCCTTTCAGTAAGGGATGAACGAAAGGAGTTGATGTGAAGATCTTGATAGGGTTTGACTCGAACTGTTCGCACATGCTTGTTGAATCTATGATTGTCTTGGTTTGCTTTTGCTTTTGCTTCAATTCAGTTGATATAGAATTTAATCTGTTTGAACTTTTTGGATAGCCAAGCAGTTCCATGGAATTATTTTTTCTGGCTTTTTGTTGCCCCCCTCCCCCACAAGTAATTCACTTCACTGTCACCCTGTCACACACACAGCCTTTTCAGCTACATTGGCAGAGCTGAGTAGAAGTGGCTCATCTACACAATCTAGCCTGTAAAGCGACTGCCCCAAGAACAACTTTGCCTCTGGATATCCCAATCTAGTGACGCCATCTTGCTCATCTTCTCATCTGCTTCTTTGTCTCATCCCCTGCACATCTCTCTCGCATCCTTTCTGCTTCTCCCCACTCAACCATCCTACCAACACTTACCTTTCACAACCGACTAGCCAAACACACTACGTTTCTTGTTCTTTCCGATCGGTTGACTGACCTTCCTAGACCCCAACATGACTACTCCAGCTAAAGCAACGGTCGCAAAGTCCAACTCGGCCGGCGAAATCTCCCAGGCTGATGCCAAGTTCTTCCTAGCATGCCTTCAAAGCTTCGGGGACGACAAGCAGGTACTGCAATTCATAAACCCCATCAAATCTTTATTTTTATTCCATGCTCATCTTGTCATAGATCGATCTAACTAAAGTGGCCGACACGCTTGGCTACACCAACGTTGCGTCGGTTGGCAATCGTTTCCGTGCTCTTCGAAAGCGTCACGTTATGAACAACGTGGATGCGAGAACTGGATCGGGTGTTCTTAAGGGTGCTTACACAATGACCGAAATTCCAAAGCAGACTGAGGATAAAGAGACCGAGGCTACCGAAGAAATTGAGGCGAAGGAAGACTCTGAGCCTGAGTTGCCTACTCCCGTCAAGCCCAAGGCGAAGAAGGCTGCTCCTCGTAAGGGAGCGAAGACCACTTCGAAGCCTGTTCCTGCCGCTGTGTCATCGGCCAAGGGCCGCAAGCGCGGTGCCAAATCGGCTACTACTAAGGCTGTTTCTGAGGCACGTGTTAAGGAGGGAGAAGATGCTGAAGGCTCCATGGAAGACAACGGCAATAACTCGAGCAGCGGCATGGATATTGCTGCGGTGTGAGCCTTTCGACTACTCGTAAGGTTGCCATCTGCTTGGACTGCTGTAAAAACGACTAACTGAACTGACCCCTTTATTCCAGATGCGTATTTCCGCGCTTCCTTATGATTTGCCTTAACTCGACGTTCATTGGCGCAAGGCCTTGGCCCGAAAAGGAAACTCCTTCGAACGGGATTTCAGCGTACACAACACAATTCTCAGGGCTATGTTATTTTCCTCACATGAAGGGCTTGGGTCATTACTATCGTTGGGTAACTCTGTCTCCATAGTGTCTACTGCCTTCTTAGCAGATTCTGAACAGCCGGGTTGGTCGGGACGGACTTTGTAGCTAGTATAGCGCACTGGATGATTTGCTTAATGAGACTCCGATAGCCCATTTCCATTTTACCACCCTACCTGCCACCCTACCTACCATCTGCCCTCCAGAGTTGTGGCCACAGTATAAATAGACGGCCCAGCCCTCTTCGTTTCTCCTGCCATCCTTTTCTCCAAGCATCTTGTAACTCTCGAGTGAGTTACCCATAGCTACTGACGAAGTCCCTCCACTTAGACACTGACTAGCACCGTTGTCCTCAAGACTTAGGTCATACTACAGACTTCAGCTTTTATTATATCTTCTTCGACTCTATCTTCTCTATTTCTTGAGTAATACCCGTCTCTATTCCCATCTTCTCCTTACTCTTCCCATTACCTCAGTCATCTCCACCCCTCCATCCACACAACCCTACCCACCAACCAACCTCCCATTCAACCACTTCTCTCACTAACTAAACCTCTATCGAAGCAGAAATGCCGCCGAAATTTTTATCTGCCAAGTCCGCCTGCCCACACCATGAGGGACAAATTCGGTTTCTTCTCAGTTGCATCCGCCATGCCAATGGCACCAAGGTATTCCACCCTTCTTCCCGCCCCATCCATCACCACCATCTAGGTATTCCCCCTTACAAGGAATCAGGTACTTACATTCAGAATGCAGATTGAGTTTTCCGCAGTCGCTGAAGACTGCGGTATAGTGAACAAATCTGCAGCGTATGTCCCTCCCCCGTCTCCCCCACCCCCCACCTCCACCTCCACCTCCACATCCCACACACTTCAACATCCCATCGTCTTGTTACCCCCCAAACCCGATCAAGAGTTTGAATCCCTGTCTAATAAAATGCTGCTTCATACCAACAGGGCACAGCGCTATGGACGCCTTCTCAAAGAGTATAAGGCGAATCCCGAGGGTGGTGAGGGTGCCACCAGCAGCATCACTGCTGCTACCGGCATCACTCCCACCGACACCACTCCTACCGGCGATGAAAATGCCGATAACGGCTTTGCCGTTGTCAACGACGACGCTGCCCCTAACACTGCCAGCGCCGTAGACGCTGACGGCTCTTTAGCCAACGACAACAAGAAGCGGAAGGCCGCCGCTCCTCCCGCATCTACCTCCGCCAGAAACCCGTCGGGTAAGGGCCCAGCGAGGAATAAAAACCGGGTGATGAGGAGGAAGGTGGCCGTGGAAAAGGCCGAAAGTCTGGTGCAGAAGTTCTTTAGGGAAGGAAAGAAGGAGGAGTCCGACGAAGAGGTTCTGTACAAAATGCAGAGCCTTGAAAAATTCAAAATGGAGGATCTTGTGGAGGAAGAGAAGATGGATACAAGAAACGAGATCGTATATGGGATGGAATCTTGTTGGGGGATGGATGAAAAAGAAACTGTCAAGGATGAGGGGGATGGGATCTATGTGGAGTAGGGGAAGGATTCGGAGATGAGAAGAAAGTGGTGGAGTGGAGGGTATATGGGAAGAAGAGGGATATAATCCATTTGGGCGACGTTCTTGTGGTCTTCTGAGGTAATTGGGGGGGGATTCAATCTACTGTTCTCCAAAGTGTAACTACGAATCAAAAAAAAAAAATTGGATAGTAATTTTGTTTACAAGGTTGAGTCTCTTTGCTGAATTGTTTATCCAAAAATATAAGATACTTATGTGATTGATGACATGCTATTCACTGCAATAAGAGGATGAATATAGCGAGAATTAAAAGCAGAACAGAAATTGGTATCGACGCAACACTCTATACTGCCTAGCAGGCTCTGAAGTAGATCGAACAAGTTCGCTCAAGGGGTATCTGTGAAGAAGACCGAACCGAAACCAACAATCAGCTGAGGCTGCCATCAGACAGCCAGAATCGCAAGCATGACGAACATAAACCGGGGAAATGCGACGATTTACAGAGAATATAGGGTATCACAACAGAGTTAGATGTCTGCCATCACAGACTCGAGAATCTTGCGTTTGTACTGCGACAACGTCCGCTCCTTCCGCTGCATCTGAACGCGGAGCTTCATATACCGCTGCTTCCACGTCGTTTCGTTGTTGGAGCTATCGGCCCCATCTACTTCGAATTCGGCATCAGTTAGACTGTCCGCTTCGGCAACGCTGGTATCGGGCTCATCCGTGGCTCCAGGCGTGATATCTGGCTTGAGGCTGTCTGGGGTGCTGATGCTGAGGTCTCCGTACGTGACCTTGGTCGAAAACCGAAGCCCGTGTTTGTATTCATGCGAGATGGTGTACACAAAGTTGGGGCTCCCGTCGGTGCCAGGGGTGTCCGAGATTACAGCAGGCCCAGACTCGACATTCACCGTCATGGAGCTGTCGGTCACCCCGGGATACCCGAATTGCTGTCCAAGACCCAGATGCAAGGCGGACATGAGAGCCGCCAATCCGGCCGGAAGCTTAGCATATGTAGTCGTCAGGCTGGACACGACGGACACTGACAGAGCCCGAGCCTCATCCGCGCTGAGGGGAGTGGGCCGACCGATGGTTTTCCCGCGAAGGAGCTCACTGGACAGTACGCGCACAACCTCATCGGATGAGATGTCCGCATGGGGAACGCTGTTACGGTTCGCATAAGAGGACGGGTTGGTGACACCTGCATTGCCGATAGAGTCAAATAGAGGAGCCAAAGTACCGTTCCGTTGGCCTCCCTCCATCTTCATCAAAGAGCCGCAGGCACTGTTGACCCCGTTAACCATCAGTGTGGGAGGCGTCGCAAGACGGACAGGGGTGCCCGTGGGCGGCGGACCTGGCAGTTGCAGCTTGGGGGCAAAGGAAAAAGGCGTGGGCGATTGCTGAAATGGGGAGTTATTGAACCGATTGGAAGGGTCCTGTTCAAGGATCATCGCAGGGGAGGTCCGAAGCCCAGGGCCCCGCAGGTGAGACGAGTCAGTACGATTGGGATTGACGGGGAATGATGAGAAAGGGCCTGAGACAGTCCCTCGATTGGGGGGTCGGCCTCTGGTCTTTCCATTACTTCCGTTGTTGCTAGGCCAGGCCGAGGAGACAGCAGGACCGTGGCGCCGCTTAGGTCGCGTCTTTTCCCCCGAGGACAGTGAAACCATGGAACGTGGATCTGCAGGCTGGATGAAGACATCAGAGGGCTGCTGGCTGCGGGGGGCAATTGCGGAATAACCAGCCGGGGATGCATCTCGTTCGATCGGCCGCCACCGCAAATCTGGATTGGGCTGTGTGGACTGGGATTCCGAAGCCCCGTCTGGCGGAAACGAAGGCCCGCTGCCCATCCATGGATCATTCGACTCCATCTCGTCGGGAAAGGGGCTGAATGAAAGAGGGCCAGGTGGGAAGGGTGCGGAGGCGCCGGGAAATGGGCCTGACTGCAGAACGCCCACCGAGGGATCGAGAGGTGGCCGTCTTGCCAATGCCAGTCGGTCACTATCATCCTCAGCCCGCTTTCTTCCTCGCTTTGGTCTCCACTGGGGGACCAGAGCCCGCAGAGCAAGGTCTTCTTCGAGGGGCACTCCATCTCGGCTGTCACTGATTACGTTGGAGGGTGGAAGATGGGTGTAATAGGGATGGGGATGGCCGAGGCAGTATTCGAAGAAGGCATCGACATGCATTGCGCGCATCCAGCGCTAGCGGTAGGTCAGTTCTCTAGTCAGATAGGCGCCTCAACAGGATGGCACTGGCAACATACCTTGAGCCGAACGGCATATTGCTGGACCTTCTGCGTACTCTGCTTCTTCTCCATCGAAGGTGGCTCGACCCCCAGTTCAATCGCCAGCTGTATCCACGTCTTGATCTCCTTGCTGTCAAGCTTCCGAATGAGCCCCCACAAGGCAAATATACTGAAGGTTTTGCCATCGCTTCGAGGGGGGCACCGAAAGTTCTTGCGGAGCTCGGAAGTGTCCACCGACAGAGGGACATTCGGATTGCAGTAGAAGATGAACAGGATATAGGCATCGTCGATGGTGCCGTCGGTGAGGTCGCGCGATGGCAAAGACCGAGTTTCCGTCTGATCCAGTGACTCGCGTGGTGGCCGCGGCCGGATAGAGTCGTACATTGGAGGAGAGATCGAGGGCCCAGAACGCGCCACCGGCGGGGGAGGCACAACCGGGCGTGGGCCGGTTGGCGATGCCTGCAGACTGCGCGGGGTAGCTTTGCGAGCAAGAGGGGGGGATTTGGAGGGGCTATGCGACTGCGAGCACTGCCGAGAGAAGAAGCGCTATGTAAACCAGGCTCCAGAGTCGGAGGATACCTTGCGTACTGCTGGATGACAATCGTGGGCGGAGGCCCTAATTCAGTCCGGTCCGGCGGTACAGGCTGGTTCATCACGTTGGAAAAGGAAGGGTCCATGTTGAGAAGAACGACAGCTAAAGCAGATTTAATTATGAACAGACCACCGGTTGGGGAGGGAAGGATGCTATATAGAAACAGAGAAACTAGGTGTAATCAAAATAAGTATAGTATGGGGGCAGGTGGAGTAGCATAGGTAGGTAGGTAGGTGGTAGTAGTAGTGGTAGTATAGATTGAGATAGGGCCGATCAATTATTCCAGCACGCGCCGAAGTCGAGGACCCTATCAGATTGCAAAGAGCACGGGTAAATTAGGGACCAGCCCAATAAGAAGTGATGCGCATAGGAAGTTGGAATGGTTCAGGTCTCTTAAGAGTAAGAATCGGGGGAAGGGGAGGGATCTCCAGACAATCAAAGAAGACACCGACTCGGGATTGGAAGCGTCAATCCACGATGGCGACCGCGATGGTTCAAAGGGCCGACCATTGTCGCAGGCGCCAAATGGAAGGGGGAGAAAAGAGGAGAAGGTGGCTGGAAGACGGCGGCGCTTTAAAGAAGGCCGGTGATAGATTGGGACGAGCTGACTGTTTCTATTTCGGGCCTCGACTCGATGCCTGTCCCGGCCTAGCGTCGCGGCCTCAGGGCGGGGGACGTTGATGCCTGGGCCTGTCACGCCGTCACGCCAGTCACGCCAGTCACGCCGTCACCTCCTCCCGTCACATGCACCCTCACTAGTCCCCCCTGGGGCTAGTCATGCTGAGTCAGCACCCGTCTCCCTTTCCGCTCGAGACCCTCTTATCGATAACCTGGGAAGCCTCGATCGGGATCGATGGGAAGAGAGAGTGAGTGACGGACGACCAGGTCGACATCATACCTCGCTTTTCCTTCGGATCTCTTCCATCCTCCATTCTCCATCCTCCCTCCTCCTACTCCCCTCTTCTTCCGCTTTCTCCCTTTCTGACCCCTCTCGGCATCATCGCCCTAGGTGAAATGCGATCGACTCCCGTGCCAGTCGCCTACCTCTCACCACCTGGAGCTTAGTAGCTCATGTGCCGTCTACTACCTCTCTCCCCGTGGTCTCTCACAACCCCCAAGTCGGAAAGCGATCCAGTCGTCCCGCCATGGCTCCCTCGCAACGGTTCTCCCGTCAGCAATCATCAAGGCTGTCTCGGCCAATCCGCTCAAGTCGCACTCACATCCAATCCTACCATGAAGACAGCAGCAGCTCGGAAGGACGCCTGGATGAAGACACCCAGTCTGACGAGGAGCGATCGAGACGCCTGTCGCTCTCGTTGCGCCCCCGCAATTCAGGCCGCATGCCCACATCGTACCGTGAGGAATCCACTGACGATGACTTTGATCCTACCAATGATGATCTGGAGGCGGTAGTCCCCAGCGAAGCCCCTAGCCACTTTACTTACCCGTTTCCTGAGGCGAACAGTCGCACCGCGCCATCGCGAGCCCCACGTAATCGAACCGTGAAAACACGATCACAGACAAAGAAATCTGAAAAGCGCATAGGTCGAAAGCGTATGGAGCTAGGCCGACCGCTCAACAAACGTAGAAAGTTGGAGGAGGACAACACGCCCTTTGCTGGTTCTGGTGTTATCCCGTCATGGCAAACCCTTCCTTATCACATACTCCTCGACATATTCATTCGAGCTTCGAGTCCCTTGATCGATGAGCAGACTGCTACCAGACATAGCTCTGTCCAGTGGCTTGTGAATGTGGCCTTTCTGTGCCGTGCTTTTTACGAGCCTGCATTGATGGCCCTTTATCATTGTCCTCCCTTGATACCAGCTGCCAAGTCTCATGGTTTGCTACAATTATTGGCCAAGCCCCAGGAATCCCTCTCCACTAACTATATGAGCAAGATCAAGGAATTACATGTCGACGTGGAGAATCTTCTGTTCTACAAAAGCGGACCGACTTTGGGGTATTTTGAATTGTCAAGGCTGATTGAACGAACCCCTCAGGTGAAAACGCTGCGTCTCTACCACAAAGATGACTACATCATGGGTGTGCCTCCTTGGTTAAAGCCACGTTCAAAATGGGTGTATCCCGATTCCCTCTTCTCTTCACTCGAGTCTAATTCAATACACCTCCGCTGTTGGCAGTGGAACAGTCGCTTCATGGAGACTAGGAAGCTTCTGCCTCTGATGTTAGAAAAGCACCTACAGCCTGCTTTTCGCGGGATTAATGAGCTTCAATTGTTCCACATAACATCGGAAGATGTGGAGTCTGACGAATTGGCGGATTGTTCTGACGAAAACGAAGTTGTTCTTGCGACAGCTCTTCAGGAGCTCCCAGACCTACACAGCTTGGAGTTCGTGGAATGCTCGATCGTCAACGAGTATCTCTTACCGAATTTACCCACGCGACTCACTTCGCTTACCCTCAACAACTGTGATGAGGTGACTGCGGTGAATCTGAGCTCGTTCCTTTCTTCGCACGGTCATCATCTCAGGGCTTTGGATCTAAGCCATAACCGCCACTTGAGCTTGTCTTTCATCGTCAGTCTGGCAAAGTCATGCCAAAATCTTGAAAGGTTCAGGATGGACATATCTATGCACGATGGTTCTAGCTATCATGATGTGGAGCCTCACTTCCAGGATCTTCTTGACCCATCGGCAGGTGTTCCAACTTGGCCATCCACGCTGCAAGAGATTGAATTGATTCAGTTGCGCAAATGGGATGACACTACGGCGGAAGTTTTCTTTGGGTCCCTTATCGATGCGGCTCCCGATTTACGGAACTTGCGGCGACTTGTGATCAGTGCGATCCTCAAAATCGGATGGCGTGATCGTGCGACCTTTCGAGGGAGATGGATCGAAAAGCTGAATAACACCTTTTTGCGACGAAGCAGCCCCCCGAACCCAGATCTTCGTTCCATTCCGCGCACCTTGTCGCAAACCGATTCATCCCATCAGGTTCAAAATCCACCTTCCGACGAGAATCATACACATTCCGATGCTCAACATAGCGGCCTTTCGACACCATCAAAACGGAAGAGTGCACGCCTTGCCCAAAGGAAAATCTCTGAGATCGAGGATGATGAAGCAATGGATGCAGTGAAGCGAGGATCTCAGGAGGCTAGCGATCGACTGTTGAATGCGATGCAAGGCATGTGTGATGTTGTAATGGTCAGGATTGACAACCAACGCCCGTCAGAGAAACAGTTCCAGGAGGAAGACTTCCTTGATGATGAGCTAAGTGGCGATGAAGATTGGAATGGGGCTGATGGAGGACATGCATGATAGTCTATCTCGAGGCATGCCTTCTCCTCACTTACCACTGTTCTTTACTTTCTCTACTTTTGCTAGCCCACCAGGGCGTGATGTTGTTCTCTTATACTTGCTACCTTGATTTCACATGATACACTCCGGGTAGAATGGAGTATTTGCGTCAGGGATGTTCGGGATTGCCAGGGTGGGAGGAGTTATCTGTATTGTGAATCGTGGGCTTGCTGCGTTAGCTGTTACCTCAGTCCTAGACAGGACCCTTAATTACTTCCTATTTCACATGAGAGATTGAAGCATCGTAGACATCGAAACTATCCGGAAGTTATGCACGAGATATGGGTGATGAACCCCCTCTACGGTGATAATGCTACTTGTCAAATATGGGCAAGAAAAAAGCTTATTAATGGCATTGCTAAGTTATATCCGAAAGTCAATCTGCCCGACTCCGTCCATACATCCTGTTTATACAGCTCTCAGGATGGTGTCGTCATCGAAGCGCGCTCAGAAGATCTTAGACATTTAGAGGAGACTCTCCTCCTGGTACTCCAGGACACCGTTGCGGTTGGTGATGTGTTCGGCCAGGTTGACATCGGCTTCGTGGAGCTCGCCATCGACGTCTCTGAGAAGAGCTCTCAGAACGGGGACATTGTCGACTCCCTCGATAGCGAAGCGAATCTCCTCAGCGGTCTCGGCGAAGTTCTCACCGCCCCATTGGAAACGGCCTGTTGCGTAAGATTAGCTTGACTATACGGGTTGCATCGTGGGGCAAGGGAGCATACCGTTGTCGTTTCCGATGCAACGGTTGAGATCGTAAGCAGATTCGTCCCAGCGGCCGTCCTCCTGTTCGACAACGGCGAACAGAGTCCAGCCTTCGACGCGGATCTCCTGGGCGGTGCGGTAGAAGCTCATTTTGAGGGAAATGTAGGAAGAAGAAGTTCTTTGTGGAGAAGAGATGTGTGCTGTGCTTGATGCTTTGTGGTTGTGAGTTGATGGAGGAGAAAGAGAAGTGAGTTGAGGACAGAAAGGAGGGGGACTTTATACCCCGCCGTCCATCAGTGGAGCCCCCCCTTCCCCAAGATGCTCACTTGGACTCAGATCATTTGCCACCGTCTCGTGGATTGATTGATAGTCCCTGGCGGCTATTTCGGGGTCCCCCTGGATAGGAGAATGGGTGCAATGCAACCACCGCTGGAGCAAATTGAGGAGCGCCGTGAGCGATGATTCGACCGCTCATATCGCGGACTCCCTTTCTTAGCCCCAGGCAACCGCCATAATCCCACTATTGTGGCTGATTACTCCATTGAAGCGTCAATTATTGTTTCATGGTGGTCTCTGGGGCCAGTCTCCCCCACTCCGCGCACTCTGATCTGCTTGGCAGCCAGGTCACCGGTGGAGCCTTTCAGGGTCTCCATCCTTTCTCTCCGCCACAAGTACACAGCCTCGACTTTGAATCGTCAGTTTCAATCTGGCCCTAGGCAGCAGTCTTGGCACAATCCCTGGGATATGGCATGGTTGCTGTGCGTCCGAACGAATGGCGACATGTTTGTCCTCCATGAGCATTGCCGTGCCGTTGGGGCTGGATCCGGCTAGGCGCAGATGGGCCGGCTGTTGGGCTGACCTTGGCTGGGCGCAAAGCCCCCACGAGATGCGCCCTTGGCAGTAAACAATTGGCAGTGTGGCACATAGCCGAGATAATCATGTCATACTCCGTACAGTAAGGCTGATTGACTGGCGCTGAGGAGCTCCTCTGATTCTAGGCTGGAACATCACGGAATGGCCAGCTTGGAGGCCTCCGATTGGGTTCCGTTCCGGCCCCTGGCAGGGCTGAGTGCCTCAGGCAGCGATAGCGGGGGAGGGGCTTGCGCTTGCACCTTGCGAGTCTTGCGAGTTGGGACACATTGTTTCAAGGACAGGTAATCACATCAAGTAGTGACGTGGCTTTTAGAGCTCAGCCCACTAACATAGGAGACTGGTTTTCAGCTATTGGGGGATATCGACATGACGAAGCCTCTTGACGTGGTGTTGATGGGGGCGGAATGCCTGGAGGATCGCGGGCGGAAAGTCATCCATACTACTAGATTCATCTGATTACTATTTATTCCCTTTCAAGCTGCCCACTGCCTTGCGTAGGACTGATTGCTTTGAGTTGGCTCATGTTTGTGCTCCAGCAGCATCATTTATTATTCCATATGTCAGACTGAGAGATGTCTCGGCAGAGTTAATTACATCTCCAAGTTCTGGCTTTCATCCGGTCGCTCCTTCCACAGAAGCCGCAGTATGGATACGGCAAAGCTTCTCCAGCAGCCGGAAAAGTCCCGTTCTATTGGCACTGATATGGATGGAACCGTTACCAGTGTCCTTTCCACGGCCTAATCTTGCTACAATCTGTTGGGGGATAAATTCACCTTCGGACAAGCAAGCAGACCATTGAAACTCAAAACAATGCCACCACAATATCGAGACTGTTGTTCCCGAAGCTGCACTCTTACACTCTTCAAGTTCACTCCCGAGCTCAATGCCGTCAGCAAAGCGACTTCCATTCTGCATAGCATCTGACCCGAAAGAACACAGTTCGATCTACCACCGGGGCTCGCATGCCTAGACTTGAACATGTGTTTTTGTTGCTTATGGACTCGCTAGGTATTGTCTCTCGATGCCCATGCCATGCTGTCTGACAGTCATGTTCGGCTCGTTTCTTTCCCCTTCCAAACATCATGCAGCATCTGGCTCAATTACGGCAGGGCGTGGAGTTTTATCATACAAAGTCTAATGTCATCTAAGATAGACACCTACGATGACTTTGATGGGTTTGTGGTGCGATTCCAATGGTCTTTTAGCAGCCTCGGGGTTCGTGGTCTAGGAGCGGAGACGACGGCACCTAAGTCGCCTAAAATAACCGGCAAAACGCAGAAAGCCAAAGTTCAAGGGTCGTCTTCTCGTTGATTACCTGCTCTACTTGTCGTGAAGCATAGCGTGGCTGCAGCGATATTTTCCCGAGCATCCCCGCCCATCCCATGTCAAGAGTTCCGTCATCTAGAACAACGACAACTGGCAGCTATCGACCTCAACCGTCACCTCGATTTTGCCTCTCTCTTCCTTCCCCCCCCCCCCCCCCCACATCTCCCTTTGTGTGTCTGTCCCTGTCTCATTTTTGGGCTGTCCTCACTATGCTTGCGACAGCGGTAAGGAAGGAAGGAGGTCGGGCAATAGAGGTCTGTCACTGTCAAAGTATTCCGAGCGATATCAGGCAGGTAAATGAATGGCACTTGGACAACTGCCAAAGGGGTAGCGGGGATGAGACGTCGTAAATCCCCTTTCCTTGGGCTTATAGTATAGCCAGGCAAGTCCACGTACTTTTCTCTCCAGGAGTTGCAGGGGATGCCGGTGATTTTGTCCTGCAGTCCAAAGCATGGCATTCTCGGCCGTCGAACAGGCCACGATCGCCAGCCAATGGAAGCTTCAGAACCGGTGAGCAGGAAAAGCTTTCCGGGGGATGGGAGGCCCCTTTTGCGACCTGTCAGAAAACGGGATCGTGGCCGTGGTTGGTGACCGATAGCCTGCCACTAGCAGCGGGCGGGTGGCTTTTTGATCGACTGGGCCAAAAGTACTACTGTCATACTCTCATACTGTCACTCCCTGGAGAAAATCACGCCCAACCTGGGGCTGTATTCCGGAGGGACTGATTGTATGACCATGATGGCTTCTCCTACCTGTGATGACTGCTGACTGCCGTTCAATGGTGGGGTTTGGCTTGCCCAGCTAAGCGAATTGCTTTTCCTTTGTTGACCGCATCGTCCGGCAGCCTCGAAGCCCACTGGTCTTGGATAGTATCTAGTCTGGTACGACGGTCCTAGCCGTCTAGTGCGGTGACTACACGGGATTGACGGGAACTTGGCTGCCCGCAGGTCCTTCAGGCTCTGTTCCTCACTTCCTCCATCGCTACCGACTAGTTGCAGCTCGCCATCGAATCGGGAAGCGGGAGGGAGACCACCAAAAAGAATAAAGAGCAGGAAGACAATCCTCCCCCGTCAACGTCATCCATCTCTCGATATAGATACACGCATCTCTTGCCAGACCTGGCTTCATATTGACCCCAGGGACCATCGCCCCTGACCTCGGTCCCTGCTCCCCTCGCGACGCATCGAGTCAAAAATTGAACCATGGCGGAAACTGTTTCCAGAACCGACTTCGAAGGGGCCGCCGCTAATGATCCCCCACAGCCCACGGCACCGTTGATGCCCGCTCTACAAGATTCATCTCAGAGTGTGGCTCCCTTGGTGCCGGCCCATGGTGGTGATTTTTCGGACTCGGTATGATTCTTGGATTCATTTGCCGATCTCTTGTCTTTTTTTTCTTCTTCCAAACCCGTCCAGTTGTCGGCTGACTTGGACCTCGTCAGGACGAGGCAGAACGTGAGGACGAATTTTCGGATTATGCAGAGGACTTGTAAGTCAACGGTCACGGCCATCGTCATAGATTATCCCCCATTCTCATGATCAGTAGTGCAAGCGATACAACGTCGTTGAACTCTGAAATTACTGCATACCGATTCGAGAATGGACGCCGCTACCACGCCTACAAAGACGGAGCTTACTGGTATTCTCGTGCTGTCTCGTGGCATAGAATTTAAGCAGGGCGCTAATTACCTTCTAGGGGACCTAACGACGAAAAGCAGAATGAGCAACTAGATATTGCGTACGTTGTGTGAACTGGCCCATTGTGACAAGCTAACCTCGTATCCAGTCATCACATGTTTACGTTGCTTCTCGATGGCAGGCTGCTACTTGCACCGATAAACGAGAACATCCAGGTGAGTGACCTTCAAAAAAAGTGCTGCAAGTGTACTGGAGGGCAATGCTGATGTCTTGGCTGGGCAGAGGGCGCTGGATGTTGGCACCGGCACCGGGATTTGGGCCATGTAAGTAGATTGTTAGATCGTTCTTGATTGGACTCAGACAGTGCGCATCTAACTATCTATTATGCAGCGACTTTGCGGACGAGTATCCCTCTGCACAAGTCATTGGTACTGATCTATCACCCATACAACCTGGCTTCGTCCCACCCAATCTACAATTCGAGATCGACGACGCGACGGAAGACTGGATGTATCCAGAGAACCATTTTGATTTAATCCACGTACGTGCGATGTATGGAGCAATCGCAAACTGGCCCGCATTCTATCGCAATGCTCTCGAGTAAGCCATAAGACTTTCCGTCGTTAGACACTCCGAATCTAACTGTGTGCTAGCCATCTGCGCCCCGGAGGCTGGTTTGACCAACTTGAGATGTCCATCCAATTTACATCGGATGACGGCACCGTGACCGATGACCACATCCTGGCAGTCTGGTCGAAGACCTTTATCGAGGCCGGCGAGAAGTTTGGTAAGACGTTTCGCATTGCCGAACTTGCCAAGGGGTATATGCAGCAGGCTGGCTTTCAGAACGTGACCGAAGAGCGATTCAAGATCCCCGTAGGCCAGTGGAGCAGAGACAAAAGGTTGAAGAAACTAGGCATGTGGAACCTGGTCCACTGTGAGCAGGGGATTGAAGGGTGGGCCATGGCGTTGCTGACGAGAGTCATGGGGGTAAGTCTGCCTCTTCTTGCTTACGACTGGATGGTCATGCAGTTGATTAAGCTTTCTTCTTTGGGATTCTGCGGGTCTTAAGCCCAGTATTTGTTGTATTGCGGACCATCCCTTCGGGCCGCAGTTAGTTGGACACGGGCTGACCTGCTAATCCTTGCTGAATCTAGTGGAGCTATCCGGAGGTGCAGGTTTTCCTCGTTGAGATGCGCAAAGGTCTCCGGGACCCGAACACGCACGCCTACTTCAATGTGTAAGCCATCATCGTGTTTAAACTTCTGGGCTGTCAAAGCACGACGCTAACCTAAGACTCCTCTTTGACGTGTCACAACAGCGTCGGGGTGTACGGCCAAAAGCCTATGAGTGCTTATTAAACTTTGGAAAACGCTGGAGGGTACCGCGGCACCGCTGGCAGCGATGGGGACCGATTAAATGCACCATGCAGGAGACTACTGCAAGCAGGCATGACTAGCCTGGCGGAGGGGTGCCAGCTGGGACGCAACCTTCCCGTCATGAATGATGAAGGGTCGGGGAGGCCGGATGGCCTTGGGTTTAATTTGGACTTTTGAGTTAGGCCGGGTGGTGCAGATGCGTTGCACGCGCCTGCAATTGGCTGTCTCGTGCTCGGGGCAGTGGAGGCGACCAGGATGACGGCAGCCGGTGTAGCTCGAAGCATAACAGAGTATCTACAACAGGAATCGACACAGTAATTATGGTTATGCACGGATCATGTATGTGGAGTCACGGAAATGCCGCGATACCATCATCATCATCATCATTATCACCACATCCCCATCATCATACCATCCCTCCAGATAGAACAGTCCTCGGCTGGGGGAGCAGTCGCCGTGGCCCTTGGCCATACACTGTGTAGCGTGTATAACTAGCCCATTCGGAGTTTCTGGCGATGGTTAGACGATAGTCGTCCTTTTGCTGAACTCTGCTCAAGATCTCCGTTCTCTGAGTGTATTGTTCCGGTCGGGGTCAGCTCCACCCGGAAATACCTCGTAGCCTCGTAGGACCCATTGACCAGTCAGGGCCCACGGATTGGGGGCGTCCGCGGAGACTGGCCGGCCAGGCTCAGACTGTCCCGCCCGGCTGGGTCCCATCTTCCATTACTCCTACTACTACCTACTCCTCCGTACATTATTTGCTTTCTCCATCAACACCCCCACCCCATCTCTTTTCCCCTCATTCGCTTTTTCCGCCTCCGCTGCTCCTCCTCCTCACTCGTCATCGGTCAGAACCGATCACCTGGACAGTGGGCACAGGACCTTTGCTCCGGTGGCTCGACGACACTTGACCGTTGGCAGCAACGGCCGGTCTAACTGCCCGCGAATGAATTGCCGTGGCTTCTGCAGAGGGGTTCCAGATGGCCCTTTGACCCCCCCTGCCAATGACAGGTCCGAAGGATGTCAATCCCTTGCCAATAACATTGACTGATTTTCCCCCGGGCGACATTCTGCAGCCGGGACTTCGGCCCAAACCACTGGGTCCGTTGCTTTTGCTGGCACTGCATAAGGCAACTGATAGACCAAGACCCATCATCCGTACTATCTGATGATTGCCGAACGTATACGGGAATGGAAACCGGTAGGTACGATTCAATTGCTCCCGGCAAATGGGACGCTGAGGCGACCCATGATGCTTGGACCTGCTGCAGGGAACTTTCTGCTCGGGCCTAAACGGCCCATACCGTGAAGACGGTCTTCCTATCATGACTGCTTGACATTTAGACTGTTCGCCCAATCCTGCCACGAGTAGTCCCTTGCGGGGTCTGCTCGCTTCTCCTAATGAGGCAGTACCCTCTGCTTACCTGGGCAGAGGTCGATGGCAATCGGTCCCTTTCCCTGGCGGTCAATTCGTGAGCTTCTCCTCGGCGCCCTTCGTTTAAAAACAGTCGGGTGATCCGTCCGATGATAGTATCCAAGTTTGCCCCTCGATAGTCCTGCGGTAGCCTCAATTTAATCCGTCTGGTCGCCATGTTCTCTCTCCGTATGCTCTTGTTCGTGACAGCCGTTTTGTCCATTGTGTCCATTCTGCGTTGCATCTGGGTCGCCGTATATCGACTGTTCTTCCATCCCTTAGCCACTGTACCAGGCCCACTTGTTGCTCGAGCCACACATTTGTATGCCTTTTGGCACAACATGCATGGTGGATCATTCTATCTCCAGGTTCAGAAGTTGCACCAGCAATATGGTATGTCCGTCGCCTTGTGTGATGTGTTGGGTCTTCCTATTAGCATCAGTAGTTAACAAGCCCAGGCCCCGTTGTTCGTATCACGCCGGACGAGATCCACCTCAGCGATCCCGAAAATTGTGAGAAAATATACTACATAGGGTCAGGGTATGGCAAGGACCCCGACTTCTACGGTGCGTTCGGCACCAAGAAGGCGACCTTTACCACGCCGAGCCCTGACGTTCACCGAGTGAAGCGGTCGGCCTTGAACCCCTTTTTCTCACGCAAAAGGGTTCTTGAACTGGAAGATATTGTGCAGGAGAAAGTGGACACACTGGTCAAACGTATGAAGGAGGCTTTCAGGTCGACAGGTCAGATTGACTTGCATCATGGCTTCCGGGCTATCTCCGTGGATGTCATCACCGATTATGCTTTTGACGACTGCTATGGGTTCCTCGGTCAAAAGGACTTTGGGGTTGCATTCTTTGAAATGATCCGGGGATTTGGCCCGGCATTCTGGTTCTTCCAGCAGTTCCCGGCTTTACAGGAGCTTTCACTCAGCACGCCGTTCTGGTTAGCCAAACTGATCAGTGAGCCCTTATCAAGAATGATGCTGCATCACGAGGTTGGTCGTGCCTCGAGCTTCTTTTACACTGGCTGACGAATGTCCAGGGGTCTCGTCGTCAAATATGCAAAGTGAAGGACGCGGTTGATCGGGGCGAGAAAGGGAGTCGGTCGACTATCTTCCATCAGCTTCTTCACCCAGAGGCTGCTGAGGGCCATGTGGTACCCACGGTAGAGGAGCTCAAGGACGAGGCGTATATCATGGTGGCCGCCGCTGCGGACACGACCGGAAATGCACTGACGATCGCTATTTACAATGTTGTGCGCAGTCCAGAGATCTACAGGCAGTTAACGGAGGAGCTGCAGCAGACGTTCCCTGATTCAGAAGGGCCTATCGATTTTGTGGTCTTGGAGAAACTGCCTTATCTGGTATGTTTCGTATTGCTTCCATGTCGGACTTTAGCTAATGTTGAAAGACCGCTGTCATCAAGGAAGCTCTTCGGTAACTGCCCTGCTCGGTGTTCGGAGAACAAATCCGCTCACCTCATTCTAGGTTGTCATGTGGAGTCCCCGGTAGGCTCCCTCGAGTCGTACCCGAATCCGGTGCTGAGTTCAATGGATATTATGTTCCTGCCGGGGTATGGATCGAAACATGGCAATGTACCCCTGGCCCCAACTACGCTGACGGTATACTCTAGACTGTCGTTAGCATGAGCTCGTGGACAATGCACCATAACGAAGACCTGTTCCCGCAATCGGAGATATTTGATCCAAACCGATGGATGGATCCAGCTACGAGCAAGACCATGGACAAGTACCTCTTCTCCTTCGGCAAGGGGTCCAGGCAGTGCATTGGGATGCCGTAGGTTTCCCCCCATATCGATTTGAGCTGTCCTGACTGCCTTGCACGGTAGACTTGCGTATTGCGAGCTGTATGTAACCATCGGCCGAGTATTCCGACAGTATGACGACTTAAAAACGGCCCGGAAGAGCCGCGAGGAGTTGAGGTACAACGACTACTTCTCCTCCTACCATACGAAGGGACACACCCAATTTATCTTTGAGCGGGCAGGCTGATTGCCTTGTATGCCGTTCATTGCACGACTTCTACATCTTATCTTCAGCCTCTAGATGATACCACAGCGCCACGCCTCTACCGAGTGTCCCTAGTATATGACACTATTGGTCCTGCTAAAGCCATTTACTCTATTAGTCCAAACAATTGACATGCATCCCCCAATCTAGTAGTAACACATTCCCCTCACCCTCGACTAGTGCTTCATGCGAGTGAATGTGAATGCGAGGGTTGACTCACCCCCACTTCAACCCACAGACAGACCTGTGAAAAGGAACACTCACTCTGCTCTCCCTGAATTCCCTTCCTCATCCTCCTCCACCCCTCTCCTCTCTCATCATCTCCTTTCCACCCTCTTATCCTCGTCTCGCCGTCCCTCTTGCAACACATCCATCTCTCCTCGTTGTAACCCGCTCCAACTCTATCCACACTCAAGTTAAAGAGAACCCATAACCACTTTTACCGTCAAAATGCCAATGGCCTGGAACGAGACGGCCGACGCCAAGGTATGTCCATCTCCTCCCATTTCCAAGCCCAAGCCAGTCCATACTAACATCCTGAAACCCCAGCTGCTCGTTGGCATTTTGACCACCACCAACGTCAAGCTGGACATGCACGCCTTGGCCAACTACATGGGACCCGGTATGTAAATCCCCTTCTTCAGTCCCCAAAAATCCATCTATACATTGACGCAGACACTAACGACTCCCACTCAGGTTGCACCGTCAGTGCCGTGCAGCACCGCATCCAGCGCCTCAAAGAAAAGGTCGTTGCTGCTGCCACCGACTCCGCCCCTGGCTCTCTGGGTGATGGAGCTGCCACCATGACTGCCGGTCCTGTAGCCACCCCGGAGAAGCGCAAGCGAGGCCGGCCCAAGAAGACAACGACTGTCGATTCCGCTGAGGGCGATGAGGGTGCTGTAGCCTCTACTTCTACCCCCAAGAAGACTCGGGCCAAGAAGGCTAAGAAAGCCGAGATTACCGAAGCCGAGGACAGTTCTGATGAGGTCGTGCCTGACGTGGCTATTGCTGAGTCTCTGGCTGCTGCTTCTGCTGCTGAAGTCAAGAAGGAGCCTGTTGTTGATGAGGAGGTCCAGACTGAGGTGCCCGTCAAGACCGAGGAGACCAATGTGGCTGATATGGCTGGCTTGTCTGCTTGATATCATCTCGCAAATGGAAATGGACATGGGTTGGCCGGTTCATTGGTCTGTTGAAACTTTGCCTGGTCTGGATTGATTGGGGTTTTTTTATTAGCTGGATACTTTAAGGTGGATGGATGGTTGGGGTTCGGTTCGGTTCGGTCTTGGGGATGGTTTGTACCTTCGTGAAGATCGTGTTTTTTCTTTTTCATAGCTAGTATCCAGCTTTCTGCAAACGAGCGGAATTTCTTTACTTACTTGCAGCCGGGTAGTTCGTGAGTATTTCCATTTGGTAATTTAAGTACATGGCAAAAGAAAAAACCAGGAATATGATCCACCTCCGCCCAGAAGAATCAACAATCTCATAAAAGATACATTGGGCAATTCCACCACCATCACCACCAGCCAGTCCCAACCCCGAAAGCCTCCATGGCGTCAAATCAAGTTCAACCCCCAAAGTTCAAACATACTCAGCATCTTCCTCCACATCCACCTCCACCTCCTCCCCCTTAACCTCCACCTCAGGCACATACTCCGAAGCCGAGCTCTCCACCTCCGGCTCATCATCATCACTCTTCCAACTCACCATTCCAGCCGGAAGCACACTAGCCTTCCTCACACGCTTGGTAGGCGATCCTCCAGGTCCCTCCATCATATTCACATTTCCAGCAGCCATAACCGCTCTCTCAACCTTGCCCTTCCGCTCCCCCACAGCCCAACCCTGGCTACTGCTCCCCGCCACCGCAGCAGTTCTCATAGCAAGCTGCTTCTTAATCTTCCCCTTAGTAGGAGTATCAGGTTCAATTCCATTCTCATGTTTGATAACGGCAGGCGAAGACGACGACGATGATGACGACAACATTGCCAATTCCTCTTCATCGGAATCGTTCTTGCTGCGCTTACGCTTGCTCGAGCCGGGAGTCGACGCAGTACCGGTCTTGCGTGACTTGCGGGGTGTGGTTATCGGACTGCTGTTCTTCATACCCTTGCCGATGGAGAAGTGGGCGTCTACGCCGCCGGAGGCCCGAGCGGCCTGGCGCATTCTGACGAGACGTTCGGCGATGGCGCGGGGGGTGGGACGGTCTTCGCCTTCGGAGATGGCTGGGAGGTGGGTTAGCTTGGTTGGGTTTGGGGGGGGGGTGGGGGTAGGGCTTACGCCAGGCAGCTGCGACTCGCTTGGTGTCGACGGAGAGGTCATGGGTTTCGAGGATTTTGAGGAGGAGCTGGGATGGGAGGTTAGTATTGGTCTGTAGATGAGGGTTTGGGAGGGTGCGCGTTAGTTGGGGATATGACTTACGAGCTGGTCGTTGGTAGGAGTCCAGCGCATGATTGCGGATTGGAATTGGGGATTGGATTCTATTGTAGAAGTAGGAGATAGAACGAGTAGAGGACAGTGGTAGAGAGCTGTTTAGTGAGGTAGAGTGAGGTAGAGTGAGGAGTGTGGAGAGAGGAGAGACGACGAGAGTGCGAAGAGGGTCTTGAGAGAGACAAGGACTGTGGATGGGGAGACAAGAGGGCGTGAAGGGAAGTGCTGTGGGAGAGAAAATACTCCTGTCTTGCGCGTCGCGTACTTGGTGAATAACTGTGGGAGACAGTGCAATTCAGTCTCCGAGCAACAACACTTAAGTACCTGTTTCAGGGTTGGCCGCCGCATCCCGGCCGGGAATCGGGCATGCGGTCTGCTCAGTCTCTGGGGGTTTTGGTGCTGGTCTCGTCCCTGCGACGAACCCCACTGAACTGGTCCGGTGGCGGTGTAAGGATGGTGATCAAATTGTTCCTGCATCTATCATCTCTGGGCTTGGGATCAAGTGCAGCGGATGTGGTGGTGTGCTTCCCCGGCCTGAGTGGTGGTGGTGGGGTCCATGCAGGACTTGTTTCATACCCATCCGATCGGTGCTGTCTGAAGGATTCTCTTCTACTCACATCTTCCAGTCAGATCTGGCGTGCATCATATGCAGTCTACACATCAACCCCCCCCACCTGCCAGCGTTCCTTTCTTGTTCACAGACCTGGTAAACTCTGGTGCCATCTTCCACAGCTGCAGAGAGTGAGGTGCCTCCATATCTCTTGATTTGAGTGTGTTCTGTGCTCACCTCAATAAAAGTCAAGTAGCTAATTCTTGGGTTCTGGGCCCTTCCACAGATGACCTTGCCTACATTGGGCCCGACTTTCCACTCTACCCCAGGGGCTGTGTGTTAAAAATCACTACCTCGACTTGAAGTTCACTAGATGTCTGGGATTTCTTGTCTTCCTTGAACGCCATACTTCCGTTATTTACTTGCTTTGACAAGCAGATCCATGACTCCAGGCTGTTTAATTTCCGATCCCCTCCAAATACATCACATTCTATCTCAATAAACTGCAAAGACTTCACAGCAAAATGGTGAACTGGAAACTACCAGAACCCACCGACCGACTGATCGCGGCCCTCATTGCGGCCCACCCAGCTCTCAAGGTATTCACCCCAACATCTCACCCTTCACCATGAGTTCCCAATCTGACTTCACAGATCGACTACCAGACCATGGTCATATACTTCGGCCAAGGAGCGAACTACGACACAATGCACGGCCGATTGCGTAGATGTCACATCCTAGCCGAAGAGCTTCAAAAGGAGACCCGAGAACGTGGTGGCATCACCGACCTCCCTAGAGCACGAAAATCCACAACAGGCACCGGCTTCTCTACACCCCGAACACCACGAGGGCCCCGTAACGGCATTCAAAAAGCCTCATCTTCGTCGTCGTCCCGGGGGAAAGTCTTCCCCAGACCCTTGGATCTAGTGACACCTACAAGGAGCGGACCGGCGGCCCGAAACGGAGGATCCGCAATAGAGGCAATAACGATAGACGACGACTTCATGGAGTTGGAATCAACGATCCGGCCTGCGGTCAAAACTGATTCTCGGACTGTCTTCCCCATTGTGGATACGTCTTCCGAAGATGATATCGAGATTATCGATCACCCTGCATCGTTTAGGATCGGTAAAGTCGAACAACCTCCTCAGCCTAGTAACACTTTCTTCTCATACAGTGGTATCAACAATGAGAATGGATATGGACTCAAACCCGAACGGACAGAAAGTGTTCTCCTGGACACCACCACCAACGAGGCCGATCGTGCAAAAACCGTCGCCCCAATCCCACCACCGAGTAACCTGACCACCGATCCTTTCAACACAAGTATGGGCGGCTTTTTCGTGAATTCAGATTACGATATAGATGATATCTACGGGGGTGTTGCATGACTTGAGCTCATTTTTCAAAGTTTCCAAACTTTTTTTCTATCTTTTTATTTTCAATATATTTTTCACCCCATCTTCCCTTCCTTGGTTTCGGTGCTGGTTTTTCCACCATCTAAGATTCTTTATACCTTTTCTGTGTTCCCAATTTCCTTCTCTATCTATTCCCTACTCCCTATTTCCAATATTCTATCATCACTCTTATCATCTCGTACCCCCTTTCTTCCCCCTCCGACATTCCCGCTGTTAATAGCCGCGATATGATACATCAACCGAATAACCCGACAAATCAACCAACCTTTTCCCTTCGATCCGATCCACAATCCCATTCCCCGAGAACGAAAAGAAAAATCATGGTTTTTCCAGCGCCAAGTGGGGTATGTTTGTATCGTGAAGTGATAGATCACTCGGGGCCGGTTCGTATACGTTTAAGTACCTGCTTATTTAGTACATACATGCGTTAGGTGTGCATATGGGACGGGATGCTGCTGCATGCGGGAGTCATCATCTGGGTATGTAGGCTATTAGTATTTGTATATTGGTATTTTTGTAGAGAGGTAAATAGAATATATTATTGTGAACTAATGAATTAATGGGGGAGACTGGTGACCGTATCCAGTGCTGGGGAAAGCCCTAGCCCTGAGCCCTGAGCCCTATGGCATGTTGTACCGGGTAGACTTTGTACTACGGAAGAAAATCTCGTGCCTTCTCAAGTATTTTTCAGGTTGTATACGGTTTTTGTGGTAGTAATAAAGTGGTAGGATTACTGTATATATATTTGGATTCTCGCTCATAACGCTATTCTTCCCAATTTGGGGTAATGCAACTGGAACTAAGACAGTAGGTATACGGGCGGCAGCTTACATCCGAGCCGGTCTCGGCTTCAAGTCAGATGTAAATACAACATGATGGCTCAATGCTAGGAGGTTGTTCTTCTCGTCGAATAGCTGGAGAGCCGCATCATACCGACCATTGGAAACTTTGTTCGAGTTGGAGCGGATCATCACCCATTCCGTCGACGGGTCGGGCCGTCTCTTGAACTCGATCGACAAACAGAGGGTGGAGATAGCGTATTTAGTGTAGAAATCGGGAATGTGAGTAGCTGGCGGCTGGAGCGGCTACAGCGCGGAGATGGTTAGCATGGATTATGCTCGGGTTGGAACGATAGGTGTTGGCGGAGCGACTTACCAGGTCCGAGAGATACGCTAGATGCAAAATGTCCGATAATCTGGAGCCATCGCGGAAGGATAACCAAAGCTCGCGATTGTGGCCCCCGAGACGATGGCCCCAGAGTCCATCTGGAGATCGCGGCGCGACCCAGTTCATCTTTGCGGTGACGGGCGTTGCGTAGACGACGGGGTCGTTGATTGTAACGCACTCGGTTCTCCGGTCTGGAGGTGGTCTTGTGATGGTCGACCGAGATTCTTGTGATAGCCCTTTCTCCTTTCGGATGTCGCCGTACGTGAAGATACCAAGGGTAGCGACTGGAAGGGAGTCCAAGTCCTCTGTAGAAGTTGGGGCACGTGCTAGTTCGACTTGGATGACACAATGCTTAGATGACACTCGTAACAGCGTGCAGGTAATGATTGACGGGCCGGGATGGGCCATGTGTAGAAATTGTACAAAGGCATGAACAGGGTCGGGATACCGGGCTGCGCCAAGTTCCTGGTCGAGGAACCTTTGACCGGCAGCCAGCATGATGGCGGTCAAAAAACCTCCCAGGACAGAGCTAGTCTGGTCAATTCAGCGGGTCGAGTGATGAAGCAAGGATAGGGCTGTCAGACGGACGTACTGTTGGGTGCACCAGTCGCGGGTGATCTTCACGGTGAATTGGTTCGGGGATCCCGGCACAGAGGACACGGAGGAAACCACATCCAGCAGGCAGGGATGTTGTCGCGATGACATCCTGGATCGAGAGCAGGTGGGAAATGGTTGATGCTTGGGGGTTGATCAGAAATGGGGACGCGAGGACAAGAATGATGGGTGGGAGGCCTATTTGACCTGACGTTGCTCCACGTAAGGGATCCGAAGAGTCTGGATTACCCCAGATGGCGAATGACATGAAAGAAAAGACTCGGGGTAGGTTCACACGTACCAGATGTACCACCTTAACCCCCCCAGGGTTTGACAAATCATGTCCGACGGCGGAGAGGCAGCCATGGGTTGGCCCAACTCACTAGCGACGATCACAGGCTGGACCTCAATAGTCAAGACTAGTAGCCCATTGCAGGGGCAGGATGGGCAAGATGGGCATTCATGGCCGCTGAATGCTGGGAGGGGAGCCAGCATAGCTCAACCGCGATGCACGGAATGCATTGCATCACATCGGTTGAATGGATCTAGCGACGGAACGGGCGGATATGCGTCCCGAGGAAGATCATGGTCTGGGGAGTGGAGGAGGGGAGTGGAAGGGACTAAGAAGAGAACCGAGGCACTAGGCAGAAGAAGCGGGTGGAAAGAGGAGAAGCGAGAGAGTACGGAGGAGGAGTACGGAGTAGTCAAGACTATGTAGAGGAGGGAGGGAGACTAAGGAGAGGAGACGGACAGCTGAGAGCCAAATCACGAGGCGATCCCCCGATCGGGTAATATGATACGCGGCCGATCCGTAAAGTACTTCCACTTCCCCTGTCTGCAATTGGGAGATCTATCTCTTCTACGGGTCTACGAGGTATGTAAGATGCCTCTAGCCTAGTTTTCTTTCTAGTGGCATCATCATATCGTGAAGATATCTATCTATCTCGTATGATCACTAGGGTATTAGGGGGCACCCCATGGAATCGTGCCATGCGTGCCCATCTGATCGGATTGTACCCAACCCCGATCACGTGGGCTGACGCGGACGCGGCGCGGGCGGCGCTTTCCAGTTCGGGGACCTGCTCCAGTTTGCCTTTTCCTTTTCGTTTTCCGCTTCCTTTTCATCTTCTTTCGCCTCCGCTGCTTTTGCCTCTTCTTCCCTCTTCCTCCCTCCCCTCCCCTCTTCTTCCCTCTCCTCCCCTCACCTTTTCTCTTCACCCCCGAGGACTTGCTGGGCCCTGCAGCCTCGTTCCAGCGTTTCCATGAGGATCCCGGAACCCTCCGCAACACACATTGAGCCATGAACCCCCTCGGATTTCCCAACGGTGTCAACCCCAACTGCATGCGGCCCGACCACGATCCATGGGGACGAAGCACACCGCAATCCCAGAATGACCCCTCCCTGTCGGTCTCGAAACCCGTCATCTTCCCCTCCAAGGACCTCCACCAGGCATCCGTCTCGCTTAATCAATTAACTACGGTGGAGGTTGTCACCACCGGTCGCGGGAAACAACTTACTATCCCCGAGCAATTGTGCCTGGTCAACCTATGTGCCGCTTCCATGTGTGATGAACATGCCAACGCCCATCCGAAAAGCTTCTGGATCAAAATTGCCAACAAACTCGAGTTGCGAACCGGTCGCCGCTATTCATGGCAGTCATGTCGCCGTCGCATGCAAACCTACGTGACCAAATGGCACGCCTATTGGTCGGCGTATGACGACGGTCGGACCTGTCCGAACATCGATATCGCCGACGAGGTCTTCGAGGAGCTTAACACATGGCTGGAAAGACTCAACGAGCAAAAGCGTCACTCGGGGCTGCCGCTTACCGTTGAGCACTACGCCCCTCAGGCATCTGCCGCCGTAGTGGCGAGAGTAGAGCCCCCTAAGATCCCGGAACCCCTCCGAACCTTACCCGAGCAGGGGTTAGTGCAGCAGTCGACGAAAATTGACCGTGTCTGGGTCTGGCTCAGGAGTCTCCCGCACTCGGAGGAGATGGAACGCATGGTAGCATGGGCGGGAGAGGCGACGAATCCGGTCATAAATCCTATTGATGAAGCGTTACTTCTCTTGAAACGTCGGCGGCTTCGATTGTCCCAGAAGATGAAGCCTGGTGAGCAACAGCCAGAGGTTGCTGCAGGCGAAAAGCCCATTCCTGCCCAGGTTATTCTACCTCAACCGTCTCTTGCACTGCCCGATCCCTCCGCAGGAAATAAGAGGCCTCGCGAACAAGAAGATCCTGTTGCTGAGCGTCCCGCCCGACGCCTCCGTGTAGATCCTGGGAGCCACCCTTCTGGCAGCCCCCCTGCTGAGGAACATGTCGACAACGCCCATCTCAAGAGGAAACTGGTCGAGACCTACTTCGAAAGCACATTCGGCAAACTTATTGACCGACTGTCTGCTCGGTTCCGGAGTCAGGGCGCAAAACAGCAGGACTCTCCCGGGAGCTGCGAGGCCATTATGCGCGATCTTTTCAAAGACGTCGGGGTGGCGGTTGCTAAAGCCTTGATCAGAATGGATGAACCCACGAATCAAGAACAAATAATGCACTGATTTGAGCACATGTTAACCGTTAAGCGATTCCAGCGTATCGATTTCACTTTCTCTACTTCATTGGGCGGTTCTGTGTCATTTACAGCTTATTCATCTCCAACTTTATGCCCTCATCGTCTATCATCTGAACTTACGTTATCCGGAATGTCTGCTCTATCTAATTGGGTCGTTTGTGCACTTTCTTCGTTCTCATGAGCATCAAACTGCCCTAGAGATACCCTTTGCATTGGAGCTCGGAAGTCATGCTTTTATGTTGGTTACTGTCTGATATACCTAGTTTGGGGAATTTTGCATATTCGCATATTCGCATATATAGCATATATAGAATAAATAGAATGGACAAATTTGGCTTTATTCGAGTGACACCTCCTTTGCATTGAGTTGCCAGTGAGATTCACAACTGCCGAGGTGCCCTTGAACCTCATTACGACTGTCTCATACGACTCCATCGTATGATCTAGCCCAGGATTCCGGTACTACCGTCATCCTTATCCTGACTTCTTTGAAATGATTACTGCGGGGCAGTGGAATTTGGCGGGGCAGCATCCTCCTCCACTTTTGTCTCATCCGCCTTCAGTCCAAGGTTTGTCACATGCAGCTTCTGTCCTCTGGCCTCTTCAATAAGACCATCCATTTTCGAGTGTCCAGGCTTAGTGTGCCACGCCTTTGGTCCTCCTTTGCTGAACAGTTTCTCGACTTCCTCAATGGTCTTGCCGCATGTCTCGGGACGTCTATAGTTTGTCAGAAAGATGAACCACTACCATCCATACTGACAAACAGTCACCGTAGGAATGTGGGATTGACATACGTGAAAAACACCTGAAATGCGGCACCAATACATAGAACCCCGAACGTGACGAAGAGCTTCCATGTGATATTCGCGAACCCAGGAGGCACAAATCATTCAAGAAGTTAATTAACCAAATATCCGTGGCAGCAATTGCCTGGTTCAATGTTATGTTAGAAACAACTTAGTATCGGTAGCAGTAGTTGTTCCAAAGGGATGGGATGGCATACCATGCCCGATGCACGAGTCTCCAGAGACCAGATCTCTGCTGCGTACACCCACGCCACAGGGGACAGACTAAGGCGTATATGATGATCAGTAAGTAGGAAAAGGGAATTACAGTATGGGATTTGGATCCACGAGCGCGGATCAGGACGTTAAGGCTTCCGTCGACGCCGTCGGGGACGTATTCGCCTGATGAGAGGACGCCCCCGACGACGAGATGGCAGATTGCCATGCCGATAGCGCCGTACATTAGGAGGTTCTGACGACTAGTTTTGTCGATGTAGAAGAAAATGATGGAGGTGAAGACGATGAAGAGGGCATATTGGATGCCGGAGGAGATTGGAAGGCTGTTGCCGGTTAGACTGCAGAAGCTGGTCAGTTATATCGGGTGAAAAACTATGACTCGAGTACTTACTTGGCTACTGGGAAAGCATATACTACGTGATATGTCATGACATTGGCCCCGCTAAGCTGCTGCCAGGCTTGAACTGTAAACCCGGCCATGGTTCGACGCCACATGCCATTGTGGATGAATTTGCGCCAGCCTGGACTGCTGTGCCCACAAGCCACCAAAGACAGGCAAGCATAATGGAATCTCTGCGACCTATTTTGTCGGAAATGGAACCTGCCATGATGGACCCTACCACAGAGCTGACTGCAAGTGCGGAGTTGATGGCACCCTGGCGCACTCCATGTGAGTTGTCGAAAGAGTCAATGTATTGATTGGTCCCGATGATTGCGGACATTGATGAGATATTAAATCCGAACAACATGCCTCCAACTGTCGCGATGACAGCCATGAGACCCTTCTGTAAGCCTACAGCGTGAAACCATCCTTTATATGCCAAACGGTGATGCTGATAGGTGCAAGCATGTCAGCCCTGGGCCCCAAGGGTCCAAGGAAGCCAATCAGCACTACCACCAGACTTGATGATCATGTCTAGCTCATGGTTCTTCCCACCTTTATTCCCTGCCTGTGCAACGGTCCGTCCACGCAGTTACTTAAATCAACGGACAGCAGGATGTAGCTTGATGCACTGCCCTTCAGGAATTCCCGCTCCGCCGCATCGAAAGCTATCACACAAACCAACAGCATCTCAGCGGATACGAGATTCGAGATTCTTAGCTGTTAGGTGCTCCGTCGTTGGCGGAAACTGCGTGGAGATTCTCCAAAATCTTGGCCATAGTGAGGCAGATCACGATGACCCAAGCACAGTAAGTTGTCAACGGAGTTGAGAAAGCCAGGGTCTCTGGAGTCATGTTGTACTAGAGTATGAACGCGTTAGACGTGATTAATCCGGGAATGATCCTGGGGTCACAACATGACGGTGTTGGGGTAGTACCATGGAGACCCCGCTGCACAGGGCACCACTCCGCCAACTGCCAAGTATATAGCCCCGTGGGGAGACCTGGAGCATTGAACCAGGATTAGTCTCAGACTTCAGAAAGGGTCGACCATGAGCCAGAAATCGGGAAGTCGGGAATTGTGGAGAAAGGGTGGTGGGTTCTGGAAAGTGGAATCGAGAGAAGAAGTCAGGATTCAGGATGTGGGGAGTGGACGTGGGGAAGACATGTGAAGATGGGAAAGCACAATGAGCATCAACATGGTCTAATAGCCAACTCCAATACATACTACTTACTTTCTATAAGGAAATACGTTCGATTCCAAATACAAAAAGAGATCTCATACGACGCACGGTAAAGAAGAAAGCATTATAGTCGATATACGGAACGAGGCCAGACCAACCCCTATAGTTCAACTCTGTGTCCAGATGATCACCAAGACCCGACGCCAGAAATGCTTTATATACAACACGCTCAAAGAACAGGTCTAATACTACCTAATGGCAAAGAGTGATCCATTGGTCGATGATCTCCTCCATATCATGGGCGATGCCCCACTGGGAAAACATGCAGCGGAATAACTTCTGCAACGAGTTCATCTCATACAACAGATTGCGCACCGCTCCCATGCCAGGGGGAGAGTCGGTGCGGCCCTCCTCGACGAATCGCCGTGTCTCAGAACCATTTGAAGGCCGAATGTTCTCGCACCCAAGATTCAGATCAGCGCGCGAGAGGAGCGCATCCTGCCAGACAATGGTGCGTGGAAGATGTATATTTGCCACCCCAGCAAGCGAGAAGACCACGTAGATCGTCGTGGCCGAGAAAAGAGAGCTTGGCATGTGGATGACATGGGCCCTCCCTCTGGGGAGTTGTTCGACAATATCTTGGATGGCGATAGCATGTAGCAAAGCACGACGGGCATCCTCGGTGTTGACCCATTTGGTCATATCGAACCCTGACCTGATCATCCGAGAACCTCCAGAGACATGCTGAGCGATCTCGTAACGCGAACATACATGCCTGCAGAGCACTGTGGAGTTGATCATGGTGTCGAGGCATATCGTATGCCAGCGTAGAAGCACCTCGAGCCTTTCCGGTGCCGAGAGATGAATACTCATGGTAATAGTCTCGTGTACTTGAGCCAATGCTCTCCGAACATCCGAGCGACCGGGAACACCCACAGCGGCAAGATCACTCTCGTCTGAGTCTGAAACAAGAGACTGCAGGCCTTCTAGGACAACGCGTAGTGCAAAAGCAGAGAACTGGTAATCCAGGGGTCGAAAACTCCCTATGGGAGGGAAAAGGGATCGGAACACGAGCCGGAAGGAAGGCTGTTCTGCTTTGTGAGTGCGCATGATAGCAATCCATTCATCGACATTCCCGGCGTCAAACGCAGCTTCGCTACTTGGAAGATGAAGGGGGTTGGCAACATGCCGAGTAGATGCACTGTCTCCAGACATCTGAGCAACAAGGCCGTCTAGAATATGATAGGCAAGCAATGCCCGTTGCTGGATTTCTCGGGCCGCCCATGTTCGCCATTTGTATTCTTTTTCCGTGCTAGGCGCGTTTGGAAAGGGTATGTTCTCCATTGGATAAGGATCACAGTCCAGCATCCCGCAATGTCTAGCCCAAAGAAAGCCCAGCGGCCGGAAGACTTGGCTTGTAGTACGGATAACTCGATTCTATAGTTCAAACCAGTCAGCCCATAAGTCAAGTGTGACAACAATATCTCGACTCACCTTAGACAGAGCGCCGTATATCTGGCCGAGAAGGGCTGTGATGAGGAGCTGGACGCCTTTGCAGACATCATATGGACCGCGGTGGGTTATCAGTGATTGCCACTAGACCAGTGTAAGCATGTTATCTTAGACCAACATTCGCCGCACGTACAGATGTTGCAATAGCAGTATGGGCCAAGCGCCATAAAGCTTCACCCTTGGCGACAGAGTCTTTCGGGCCTAGGTATAACGAGCCCAAGGCCATAGCATTGAGAAGGAGAGGATGGGTACACTCGCGGAAAACGAAGGTTGCTCGATGTAGGACTGGGAATGTTGGAATGAATCGAACGAAGAACATATGCAGACATTCGTCTAAGAAGACTGATGTAATCGAGGTCGCTTTAATTGCTGCCGTGACGCTTGATGACTAGTAGTTTTATGGATATCAGCAACGGATGATGATAGCAAAAAGGCTAGAGCAACCCACAGAACTCGTCACCATCTCAGTAACGTCCCGCACAGCCTGATGGCTACCTCCCGAGGGAATGGTACCTATTGACGATCCCCTATCGTCGAATGAGTTTGGAGACCCGAAATTCATTCCATTTACATCCTGTACGACAGGCGGAAAGGGCAGTGCACCCAAGGGCATCTGCCATTGATCCGTTGTATCCGAGGACATTATACTTTGGAATAAATTCTCCGAATCTGGCCAGATCAGCGCGAAGTCGAGATCGGAGGCCGCATGTTGCAGACCCGGATGCTGCTCGGCTTGGGATGTTTCCCATGCCTGGCCGGGTGCCGATGTAGAGACAACGGCCGGTGCCGGGGCGCGACCGGCATCCCAGGGAAGAGCATCTAAAGATGTTGTCTGCGGATGAACATGCACCGATGGCTGCTGCACTTGTGCTTGCTTGGCATTGGCAGCGCGGACGTGCAGCTTCTCATGGCGGGTAAGAGCGTCCTGGCGGGCAAAAGGTCGCCGACATTCTTTGCAGATGAACGGCTTCGATCCCGTATCTTTAGCGCCATCAAGTCAGCCATCATGTCTTGCATAAATGATACTGTGGGATGCGTTTAGCGGCCCCGGTTCTGTATCGGTTTTACTCCCTTCTAGTTTTCTTTAGGGCATAATGCAGTGGCGATCATGTCTGTCCAAGCAAAGGGTGTCAACAATGGCGGCATGCTTACGGCAACGTTCATGTCTCTACCGCCAGCATTAGTGATGTCTCCACACCGTGGGATTGGCACTAGGGGCAAGTTACCCTCAAATGTTCTGCCTTGGAAAAGCCCTTTTGACAAACGCGGCAGATAAGCGTCTTCACCGCCGATGTGGTGGTGGGAGTTGTGGTGGGAGGAGTTGTGGTTTGTGGCATGACGACAGGGGCATATAAATAGTAGTAGATAGATCTAGATCCAGTAGATTTCAACTAATAACGATACACAACCCATCCACGATGTACACAGCCAGCAGAAGCCAGAGAGACCACCAACCAGCCAGCCACCACAATATTGTGGTGATAACTAGAAAATAGAACAGACCGGACAAGAAGGGGCGAGAGGGGGTGGGTGGGAATGGCTTGTTCGTGGAGAAGAGGATCTAAGCGGGTGGTTTTGAGACGAGATGGACGAGGAGAAGAAGGAATGAGTTGTGGGGCAGCTGGTGGCAACGCTGTTGCCTTGGCCCTTGGCACGTGGACCGGGGGGGGTTCACGGTACGGTATGGATACAGAGAGATCGGCATCATTGGGAGGGGGAAGTGGCCTAGGTCGTACTATGTAGTATGTAGCAGAATTGTCAATTGTCCCTTACCTGTCAGGCGCCGGTACTCGCTAGCGGCTTTTCCGACCGACTAGAGGCGGCTTCGTACTCCAGATTACTTCTCCGGACCCCGTGTCTACCAAGTACGACCGGGGCCCAAGTAGTGCCTCCCTAACCCTGCCTAGTGGCATCCTGTAAGTATCTCCAGTCCAAACCCACAAATTGACGGATCAGACCTTGTTTTCTTTCCCCTTACATCCGCAGAGCCACTGCATGCACTCATGCACTTCCTACAAAGTGGAGGGTTCTACACAGTACCCAGTCCTCAGATCCTCCTAGGCAGACATAAAAAAAGGAGTGTCGGAGTACACCTGGATCTCATCATCGTACAGGGATCTGCGTGAGCAGTTATCGTCCGTAGATGGCTGAATGCTGGTGTTTGGTCGAATTCCCGATTACTCGGCAAAGTTGACCCCAAATCTAGTCAGCGCAATAACCGAGATTAGGAGGCGAAACATTGGTGTGTGTGCCATGTCTCCTCCACGGAAGGGGCGCATCCACTCCAAAGATTTATCCCGCCCCGACGTGACCTACCGATGGGTCGCTACTAGAACCATTCTGGATTTTGGGTCCCCCGGGCCCTCCGGAGTCGGGCCCTCGGTTATGTTGTAGCTGGCGGCGATGGTGAGCTTGCTGGCTTGGCCCGGCCAATGAATGAATCCTGCGCTATCCCAGATGACAGAATACGGTGACAATCGTTGTTTCTGTGACTGGACTGGGCCGTAGGAAATCCTCCGCATCTTCCCCACGAGTCGCCCCAACAGGACGCGGAACTCGCGGGACTCGTTACTCGTTTGAACATCCCCCGGAAGGGTACCCTTAGCCCCCCGATGATAGGTCAACCCCCAGGTGAGCGTGGAACCCTCCCTCTTCCCTCCGGTGAGGACGTTGTGAACCATTTGCATAGGGAGACACGGCTGTTCCCTCTCAGGCATCAGATTGGGTCCCCTACCCCATTCCTCTCCTCCTCTGCCATCCTCCATCCCTATTTACAGCCTTTTGGAAGGGCCTGCAATTCATAAACCCATCGAGAGTGTTGCGTGACACAAAAAGCATCAACCCTACCATTTTTTCACAGGCCCCCAATCTAGGGCTTTGTTTCACGATATGTCTGGGAGCATGGAGATGCACCCATCTCGCACGGGGGTAGATGCCCAGACACCCTCAAAAGAAGATGTCGACTTTGTAGAGAGCACGGAAACAGGCATTCCATCGACGTATGCCGATATAGTGGCCTCTCGCCTTTCAAAGGCACACCGTGATTATCTGATGGAACGTCATGGCACGCTGGAGCTTGATCCCATTCCTAGTATGGATCCTGCGGATCCTTACAATTGGCCATCCTGGAAGGTAGGTGATCTTGGAAAGCCGCCCCTGCAAACAGAAAAGGTGTCATGATTGATGGGACTGTGCTGATGGTTTCTTCCAACCTGTCTTAGAAAGTTGCGAATCTTCTTTTAGTAGCATTCCATGCCTGCATGGGCACTTTCGCGGCTGCAGGCATCATTCCCGCGTACGAAACGTAAGTTCTCGTGGGGCCTTCAGTTTCTTCCCATTTACTGACCATTTCACCAGAATAGCGACCGATTTTGGCGTTACGGTTAACGATGCGAGTTATTTGACCTCCATTCAGATTGCAATCCTGGGAATAGCACCGGTGTTTTGGAAGCCGTTATCGAACCGCTGGGGACGCCGCCCTGTATTCCTCCTTTCCCTTATCTGCAGCCTCATTTGTAACGTAGGATGTGCGGAAAGCACTAGCTATGCGTCCACTGCCGTTTGTCGGGCTTTGCAGGCCTTCTTCATATCACCCGCCTCGGGTAAGACCCAATTTCCACCCTGTTGGAACAAGTGCTAACATCTGCGGAAGCCATCGGAAGTGCAGTGGTAATGGAGACGACGTTCAAAAAAGACCGAGCGCGATACATGGGGGTTTGGACACTGCTGATTTCGCTGGGAATTCCCAGCGGGCCCTTTATTTTTGGCTTCGTTACGTATCGGTTGGGCTACCAATGGATCTACTGGATTTTGGCGATAGTGAGTGTCTCCTTGGTCGCAGAAAACTTACCGGTGCAATGTAAGATTAGTCGCTGACCAACCTCCTTACTACCAGATCAACGGTGTTCAGTTTGTCTTGTATCTCTTTCTGGGACCAGAGACCCGGTATATCGGGGGCGATCAGGACCCTGATCAACCCGCTTGGGTGCGAGAGTATGCTCAGCTTCGACGTATTGACCCCACTCCTTTATCATTCAAGGAATTCTTCAGACCTCTAGGCATGGTCACGCATCCTTGCGTTGCTATTCCCACCGCCGCTTACGCCATGGTGTTCTGCTTGGGCAACGTAATGACCACTGTTGAGGTACCGAATTTGCTGCAATCCAAATTCGACCTGAATGCCGAACAGTTGGGGCTCCAGTTCATCGGTCCTATCATCGGATCTGTTATGGGTGAACAGCTCGGAGGCGTGTTGTCGGATCGCTGGATGAATATGCGTGCAAAGAGGATTCAGCGGAAGCCCGAGCCCGAATTCCGACTCTGGCTCAGCTACATCGGCTTTACCCTCTGCATTGTGGGATTGATAGTATTCCTGGTCTGCACCCAGAACTCAAAGGAAGGTCACTGGAACGTAACCCCTATCGTGGGAATCGCCATCTGCGCTGGAGGCAACCAGATTGTAACCACCGTCCTCATCACGTATGCCGTGGACTGTTACCATAAGGAAGCGGGCAGCGTTGGTGTGTACATCACATTGGTGCGGCAATTATGGGGGTTTCTGGGTCCATTCTGGTGAGTCGAGACTGGCCTTGTACCGACTGATGTTTGCGATTGCTAATCGGTGTTATCCAGGTTTCCATCCATGTTTGAAAGCGTTGGTGTAGCGGCCAGTGCTGGAGTCTGCGCCGGGCTCATTGCAGGTGCCAGTATTATCCCGATCCTCATCCTGCACTGGCAGGGACGGACCTGGCGTCCACCGATTGAGGAATAAGCTGGTGACACGAACCTCCTTCCGTTCTCACTCTGTTCTCTTCCATCCTTGAACCACCTTTGTTGCGACGGGTTATGTGCTGCATCGGAGACGGCGACAACATCATCAAGCATAGAATCCTAGACATTAGACATAGATCCGACCACGGTCCAACAGCCACGGCGAGAGCGACCATGTAAATAGACGCATAACGAATTGAAAGCCACGCAATGCAAAGACCTGATATTGACCAAATCCAAGCAACCAAATTCAACAAGATAGTATGAAATCCAAAAGGAAAAGGGAAAAAGAAAAGAAGCCAAGCCAAGCGGGAAAAAGACTTTATCCCTGCCAGGCCCGAAGAGTTATATACTCACACCACCAGAGTGAAAGAGAGAAAAAAAAAAGGGAAGAAAATTTAATACTAATCTAATTTCCATAGGAATGGATACAGCGTCGTGTGCCAACAACGATTACTCCCGACAGGACGGCCCATCCGATATCATCAAACCATACCATCGGGAAAGCGAAGTGTCAGCCCACGCTTACATTGTCTAGTGCTGGGACGGCGGCTGCCCGATCGGCCGCCCGAAATTGTACCTACTTGCTCGGGAAGGATTCACGGCGCGGGTGCTTTCAACTACCGGGTGGTTACTTCTACGGGGGGTTACTGTACCTATCTACTTGAAGCCATTATCCATAGCTTAGAATCTATACAAAAACTCCTCTACATGGTTATACGATAAAAGATCTTATTCGCAGATAAACAGCCACTACGTTACACAACACATGAGCTACGATCTACTACCATTTTGCCCCAAGTAAGCCTTTCTTTCCCTCGAAGGTTCATCCCGGAAGTTAGTAACTACCTACGACATTTCCCCGGTTCGGCGCTGCGTCATGGCCGCTCGCTATTAGCGGAATAGATTTACTCCGCCAGGATAAGTATTTACCCTGATGCAGGTATCGACTGATCTTGGTTGTTAGGATCGGCATATGGGATTTTTGGTACGGGGTTGTTGTTGGAATTCAGGGGGGTACGTTCCGCCGTAGGGTCGGGTGCGAGATTTTCTTTTATCCAGCGGGTTTTTGGATGGAATGGGCACAGGGGGGAAAGGGTTGGTTATACGGGATTGGTTACGGGTGTTTGTTTTTGGTAGTGGGTTCTTGGTTGTTGGTTTTTTTGTCTAAATATTCTGTATGTTTTTCTTGGAAATGATGTTGGATTTGTAGGAGGTGAGGTGGTGGTTGATTTTTAAGCATTGCAGTTGATTGACAGTTGCATATGTACGCGCTATGCAGTGAGGTACTAAGGCAGGGTGGTTTGTGGGGATCTGAGTCAGCGTGGGGTGTGGGTGTGGGTGTGGGTGTGGGAGGTGTGGGTGTTGAGTCTGATTTTCGGGGTGATTTTCGGAGCATTGCGACAATGTGATGGCTCCTTGCATCATGGGTTTAGGACTTGTTAGCTAGCTGATGCGTGGCTTGCAGGTTACGTATGTAAGTGCTCCGTACTCCGTAGAGGTTGGATCAATGAACCTGTTCATTGGTATCCGTCCAGTATATACAGCTCTATGCTATTCTGGCCTCATGTATTGTATGTGTTTCGTTATAACCCGTAAGCCCCACCAGTCTCATATTCAGGCCTGGTTCTCCACCTTCGTGATAAGAGTACCGACGTGCGGCTGCAGCTCGACGGCGAACTCGTCGCCGTGCTTGAGGAACTCCTTGGGGTTTTTGGCAGCGCCAACACCCGGGGGAGTACCGGTCAAGATGATGGTACCGGCAGGCAGGGTGGTTCCCTGCGACAGGAAGCTGACGAGCTTGGGCACGCTGAAGATCAGGTCACTAGTTCGCGTTGCTGGTCAGCTCTAGTTCGTGATATGAGATAAGGGACGGGCATAAGTTCATACGTCAGGGGGCAGTCCTGAAGGACCTTTCCGTTCTTGGATCCACGAATGTGGAGCTTGCTGGCATCGGGGACCAGGGCAGCAGAGACAAGGGCAGGGCCTGTCGGTTTGTCAGCATATATCGGGATGTCAACTGGAGAATGAGAAACCGCATACCGATAGGGCAGGAGGTATCAAAACCCTTGGAGAAGCACCATTGGCTCTGGTTCATCTGGTAGGTCCGGCTAGAAACATCGTTGGCGGCAGTGTATCCAAGCACGTAATCCAGAGCATCCGCCTCGCTAACATCCTTCGCATCACGGCCGATCACGATGACCATCTCTGATTCATAGTCACCCGTGTTATCAACCTGGGTGAGCTTGGGCAGAACGGTGGGAGCGGGCCACGGGCCTGAGAGAGCACTCGAGGGCTTCATGAAGAGAGTGGGAACCTCGGGAATATCCAGCTTCATCTCTGCGGCGTGGGAGACATACTGTGTGCTGTTGGTCAGTTCTCTTGCGCAATGATTACATTGATGTACTGCGGACAGGGCGAGCTCACGTTCAACCCAATGCATCTGATCGTGCCGACTTCGCTTTGCGCCAGAGGGGACAGAATGCGCTCAATGGTTTCGGTCGCGTCGGTCTTCTCGCCGGGGCTGAGGACGGAGCTTCCAGAGAAGGGGCGCACAGCGACATCTTTGCCCTGGTAGACAGCCAAACCCACGTCGACCGAGGCATCGACGGGCTCGCCGATCAGGACCTTGGAAGGGTTCGACTTGGGGATGAAGCGCACAAGGCCTGGTTTGCGTTAGCAACGAAACTGCAGCTGCAAAGTTGTGGAAACGTACGCGAGAAGGTAGAAGCGACTTTCGACATGATGTATTTGATTGAGGGGGCACATAAATCGATGAATAACCGAGAACCAAAGCGGTGCACTAGGTCAATTTGTAGCCACGGGATATTTCTATCCCCGATATCGTTGCGGGGTTCAATTCTGGTGGCCGGCCAGCAGCGGGGTGGGGGTTCCCAATGTGGGAGGGGCTCGTCCGGTGGGATCCGACCTCTCCTCGGCAGCCACTTCAGCCAGTCTCATTCGATTCCAACGCTTCCTCCCCTCATTGTTCTTTCAGTCCAGAGCTCCCTCCATCTCCGAGCCTCGGGCGAAGGCCGGCGGCGAAAACGCTAAACAGCCCACTTCCCCACGTTAACGTGGGGATGTTGCCCGCGGCATGTCGTGCCGGTTGAACTGCGAGATCGCATGTTCTCCGTTTAAAAGCAAACAGCTTCGCAGTCGCAACGTTTATTCCAAGCTACTCAGCAATTATCATACAAAAGTCTATCAAAATGTCTGCCCCCAAGGGACCTTTCAACCTCGTCACGGTTAACACCGCCCCCGAGAGAGCCAAGCGCCTCATCGGACGGATGGTTGAAGCCCTCAAGGACCGTTACACCATCGTCCACGTTGATAACTGCGAGAGTATGTGGTCTATATGACTTTGTGGAACTGCATATCTGGCAGTGCTAACACGAGAACCCGGACAGAGATCGAGGAAGTCGAGCCCAAGGTGAAGCAGCACATGCCCGATGTCCTGGTAAGTAAAAGTTCCTGTCTCTCATTGTGGGGTAAAGTGGCTACTGTCTCGATCACTCGTGGCTAACTTCCTCTGCAGTTCAGCGCCTCCATGTGGTCCGCCGAGCAAGCCAACGAGATCCACTCCATTGCCCGGTCGATCAAGCCCGACATCAAGCTGCACGCTATCCCGGAGGGTCTTCAGGTCGAGCGCGGCCCCGACGCCATTGTTGAATACCTCGTGGAGAAGGTTCCCCCTCTTTTGGACGCCTAAGTGCGATGCATCAGTGTACCAATTTAGAACCAAGCGGGGGTTTCATTGTGGATTTGACGACGATATCTACGTCCTGTATATACATTTACTTCGATGAAGCTCCCGGAGAATAGACGATTCACGATCTTGAATTATATAAACTCGGTATGCATACAACTGTCTGTTGGCAAGAGGGATCAACTATATCCGCATAGAGGAATAAGACGGGCTGTGCTGGGTTGAGCACGGCTTTAAGGATCCCAGACTGGGTATGGAGTACAATGTGGCGAAAGCAAATTGAATGCGATGAATTGAACAGAAGCCTACCAATGGCGTTTCGAGCGACGAAATGGGCCAGTGGTAGCCAGTGTCTGTTCTTTCCAACGCACAGGCAAGTGACTCGGGTTCCAGTTCCCGACGCCCAAAATCGTATGATCAATCAATCAATCACAAACATTAGCGCAGGCAGCGCTTAGCTCATACACCTCCATTGACCGAGGTCCATAACCCGGCGATCCATACAACGATGATGCAATGGAAAGATATATTCTGGGGACAAAGATCTGATAAGATGATCATCATCCTGAACCACCATCCAACACACCCAACCACCCTCACACAGGTACAACACAACATGAAAATACCTTCCGGACCAGACATCCGATCCAATTCCCCAAGCAAATACCCTCAATCTATATCCCTGTCGGCCAAGAACCCGGATAATGCAGGATAATCCCATTAAGCCGACGGGACAACGGCAAAACACTGCTTAGTCATATTCCCAACATCGCTGATCCTCGATGCTTAAATAAAGCAAACTCAAGATAAGGCCCGCAATCCACCCATCGAGTTGTACCAAATAGCCTCATCACAGACACCACCATGTTTCCAATCCGTGCAACCTTCCGGAACGCCTCAGGGGCACGCCTATTCTCCACAACACGAGGCCTCCGAGCAGACCTGTCCTACCAGGTCTTTGGTCCGGAGAAAGCGGAAGCCACCCAGAGTCCCATCGTCTTTCTGCACGGTCTTTTCGGCTCTAAGCAAAACAATCGGGGTATTAGCAAGTGCGTGTTTCCTTCAATGCTTTAATCCAGCCTTTTCAAACATTTCGCGGACGAATTGAAAACCAGAAACTAACCGCTTCCCTAGAGCTCTGGCACGTGATCTGAACCGTGAGATCTTCACGCTGGTGTGTGACCATCCAAGGACGTAATTCGAACAAAGTAACACCAATTGACACCCCATCTCGTCCCAGGATCTCCGAAACCATGGCCAGTCCTTCCACTCCGAGGAACACAACTACACCGCCATGGCCGAAGACGTGGTCAAGTTCCTCCAGCAGCTGAAGCTGGAAAAGTGTGTCTTGATCGGTCATTCGATGTACGTCATACCAGCACACATCTATGAAAAACAAACCATGAATTAACCCCCCCTCCACAACAGGGGCGCCAAAGCCGCCATGACCGTCGCCCTTGACTCACCTAAGCTGGTCTCGGCTCTTGTGCCCGTCGATAACGCCCCCGTCAATGCTCCCCTGAAGAGCGATTTCGGCCTCTACGTCCGTGGCATGCAGCATGTTGAAGCCGCGAATGTGACGAAACAGTCCGAGGCTGATGAGATCCTAAAGGGCTATGAGGGCGTAAGCAACTATGCTCTGAATGTGCTGGTCCTGACTAACATGTTCCTCTGTAGTCTCTGCCTATCCGCCAATTCCTTCTTACCAACTTAGTCCGTTCGCAAGAGGACCAAACGATGAAATTCCGAGTTCCGCTCGCCGTCCTCGGTAATGCAATGCCTGCTATGGCTGATTTCCCTTACCGGGAACCCGGCGCTGTCTCGTACGATGGACCTACGTTGTTTGTTAGGGGAACGAAGAGTGAATACGTGAGCGATGACACGGTGCCTGCTATCAAGAAGTTCTTCCCGAATGCTCAAATAGCGGATGTGGAGGCAGGGCATTGGCTAATCTCGGAGAACCCTGAGGCTTTCAGACAAGGTGAGTAGTTGTAATTTGCTCCGATTGAGGATTGACGTGATGGTTTACTGACGAGTTGTTCTTATAGCTGTGGTCAAGTTTCTTCAACAAGCTCCATAGTGCTGCTACTAGGTTCTGGCCTGTGGGAAGATCCCCAATTTAAGGCGTTGTGATGAGTCTTAATCAGCATTACCAGCGCGCTGTTCAAATATCTATATAAAGAACTCCGTCGAGTATCTCTAAAAGGACTCCGTTTAGTATCTTCTAAAAGACTTTGTTAAGTACCTCTTAAGAGATCTGTCAAGCATCTTTTAACGCCATTGAGCTTTATTGAATACCTCTAAAAGACCTCATCAGGTGCTATCTGGCCAGTAATACTACGCGGATTGAGTTACATGAGTAATTGAAGAAATCAATAGAAAGCCTTGGAGCTATGTTCTTCCCTTGCCAGGACTGATCTAGTGTTGTATACATACAGACCTCGAGACAGAACACAGAGCATGTACATTATTACTTATGTGCGAACATTTTTGACAGTATCAAACAGGAGGAGGCCCGGGACCATGTTAAACCACAAGGCAGCAGAAGAAGAAGAAGAAGAAGAAGAGAAAGAAGAAAGGCAAAATAAGCATAGGGATATCCAGCAGAAAACCAACTTTTGGCTAGCGATGGATTCATAACATTCGTAACCTCGTGATGCCAATGGCTCCAAAAAGGCGGCCGCCCAGGGGTAAACCACCCCTAATCAATGACTATTGTGCCTCCTGCCTGCATCCCTTGGCCTCCAGCTTGCCCCTTGCGGTTCTTCTTCTTCCTTTTGCGGCTCTTCCTGGTGTCTGTCGATGGCGTTGCGTCCGTTCCCGCCGGGGAGGCCACAGCATTGGATCTTGGTGATCCATTTCGGGATAAGCTGGAACGGTCTTCATCAGATAGAGTAGACGGGCGTGGTCTTTTTTTCTTGTTCTGCGGTGGCGCACGCGCTGGGGTTGCTTCGGCTATGTTCATCATTTTCTGCACTTCCTCATCCTCCGCATCCTGTACATCCTGTACATCCTGCGCACCCTCCTCATCCTCACACTTTAATGTGTTGGTATTATCATCCTGCGGAGGAGCTTCAAGTTGCAGTGGAGGTTCACGGCGCTGGACATTCCGCACCAGATCATTGAAGCTGTCCTTCAGAGTCTTATGGTTTCTCGACAGGGAATTTTCGAACAGCTTATTCTTTTCGACCAAACCCTGATACTTCTCCATGGTAGCGTCTTCGAGCTGACATACACGATCAAGCATTGTCTTGAGCTCATCGGGGCAGGACTTCAACATCTTCAGGTCACCTTCGTTACTCGCCTGGGCTTCAGACAATCTCTTTGCCAGGGTTTCTTGTGCCTCAACCAAAGCTTTGAGCTGATCGTGGTCCTTACGAGCATCGACGAATCGTTCAACCAAAGTTTTTTGTTCATCAAGGAGAGCTTTAACTTGACTCTGCAAATTGCTTTTCTGAGATTCGGAGAACCTCTTTGCTAAATTCTCCTGCTCCTCGGCTAGGGCTATGACCCGATCTTGCAGATTCTCGTTCTGATATTCAGAGAATCTGTTTGTCAGGTATTCTAGCTTGCCAGACAGAGACTCGAGTTGACCATGCAGATTATCATTTCTCTGGGGATCGGAAAATTTTTTTACCAGTGTCTGTTGCTCATCGGCCAAGGCTTTGACCTGCTTTTGCAGATCATCCCTCTGAATCTCAGCAACTTTTCTTGCCAGTGTTTGCTGCTCGTCTGCTAGAGCTTTGACTTGACCTGGTAAGTTGCTTTTCTGAGAATCGGAGACTTTTTTTGCCAGGCCTTTCTGCTCGTCAGACAGGGCCTGAAATCGACTTTGCCAATTTTCCTTCTGTGAACCAGTGTATTTCCTCAGTAAATCTTCTTGCTTGTCAGCTAGAGCGCTGACTCGTTTCTGCAGATCACCGTCCTTCCGAGTATCATTGAATCGTTTCGCCAGCGCCCCTTGCTCGTCAGCTAGGGCTTTGAGCTGATTATGCAGATCGGCCCGGTCCATGTTGAGGTTTTGGACCAGTAGCTTTTCTTCTGCCTTCATTGACGTCAAGTAGCCGTCAAATTTACTCGTGTGCTCCTTTAACTTAGCCTCCAGAGCGTTTAGGTCACCTTGCAGTTGTCGCATATCATCTGCAGTGAGCCACCGGTTCTGATTCTGGGCTGCAAGCCGCTCCCAAACAGGGGCGAGGGACTGCGACAAGTTGGTATGCTCCCTTCTCAAGCGAGCCACTTCCTCCACGCGCAGAGCCACTTCTTTCTGTAACTCTTCCCGATGGTTCGCGTAAATATATTGGAGACGCTCCACCGTCGCTTTCATGGGGGGAATCTCTCGTTCAAACCAGCCTCTTATGATAGAGATCTGCTCTGTCAACTGCGCTGTTGAGGGATACATCTCTTGCATGGCTACGACCATGTTTTTAACAATGGTATCTGTTGACAGACTGTTGTACCGTGCTTCGAATGATTGCAACCCGACTCTCACAGTTTCAACTACATGTTGCGTATTGCGGAGCCCGGTCGAAAGTCCTGCGATCTGCTCCTGAACCACGGCTGGAATCGCTTGGTTTTGGATCAAACCCTTCAACTCCTCTTCGAGTCGCGTCTGATTGGCCTGAATCTTCTCCAATTCTTGGGCGCCTGTTTCCCACGCCCTTTTCAGTTCCTCCATCTCGGAGAATTGCAGGTCGTCCTTCATTTCCTGAATCTTCCGTAGCGTTGCATGCTCATCTTTCATCTCTTGAAGTTTAGTCCCCAACGTTGGGTCGGGCTTATACTGCGTGGAGAAATCGCTCTCCAGCTTCTGTAGTCGGGATTCCAATTTTTTTAGCATGGTCGATAGACCTGTAGTAACGTCCTCAGCAGGTGGAGAGGGTTGAATATTCTTATGTTCGAGTGAGATTAAACGCGCGTTCAGCGCTGCTAGCGATCGGGTGTTCTCCATACTCTGGCTATCATGCTTCTTTTGATGATCGTCCATGCTCTTACTGGCCTTATCAAAAGAGTCAGAGGATTCCTGCTGGGACTTCTGCAGAGACCGGATTTTCACACCCAAGTCTGATGCCTGTGTCCTTAACTCGTCGATGTGCGTCTTCAACGCGGCGGACTCGTCCTGTCTCTCTTTGGAGGCTGACGCAGTCTCTATCTCTGAAGTTATCTTGGTGATACGCTCAGAGGTCTCTTTCGTGAGTTTATGATGCGCGCTAAGTGTGCTCGCATGGCTTGTTGCGGTTTTGTCCAGCGTGCTCATCCTATCTTGGAGAAGTTTCATTTTGCCTTCCAGATTGATATTATAATCACGCAGCTTTGAGATCTCATTATTAGTATTTCCCATGCCGGTTCTCGTCGATTGCAAGTCGCGTTGCAGATGATTGAGTCTGTCCTCATTTCTGGGAGTGTCCGAGGAAATGATCGAGCTGAATTTGGCCCGCAGAGCATTCTCCAGCTGCTTATAGTGGGCGGCATGTTTCTTGAGAGCATCATCGACCCGGGTGATATCGACCTCTTCGTCCTTCTGTGATTGCTGGAAAAAGGCAGCGGTAGAAGGGAAGCTGGTGTGGGATTTGGCTTTCTTTAGTAGGTTTTCTGTTGTGTCCCTCCGTTTTTGAAGCCTCTCCTTTTCGGAATGGCTGCTGGCAGCGATAACGGCTGCCTGCACCAAGTCGGAGACCCCTCGTATAAATTGATCGGTGGTGGCATTCTGAGCGTCAACTGGCGAGATGTTCCCAGACGGTTGTGAGCCCGATGCGACGCGAATGGGCGAGCCTGAAGTGGATGGAAGGGAGGAGAGACGGTTCAGGGGCGGTCTGGACGAACGACTGGCGAGACGGGGGTCGCGCGTAGTACCGGCGTCTGGATCCATATCACGATGTCACCAGTTTAGTGGGCCTGACAATGAAATCCAGTTATTTGACAACATCCCATGTGCCTTGCGTAACGCACGATGAATGCAATCGAGAGAGAGAGTCAAGAGGGGAAAGGCGAGGCTGGGGTGAGACAGATTAGACGATGGAAGAAAGGCAAAAGTGATTGAGACAGGCCCGAAAGGGAAATTTGCCTACATTTGATTGACCTGTCGCCCGCGCAATGGAATGCAATGCAAGAGGCAAGCGTGGAGGAAGCGATGGCGACATCGACCGGGCAACAGGGAATAGAGGATATGACCGGGAGGGGGGTGAAAGGTGTCGCTCTCGTATATAGTCCAGATGCGGAGTCCTCCGGAGTGAATGCGAATCAAGCAAACAAGCAACAAACGGGTTTTCCTGGCGCAGCAGCCCAAAAACGCGCCAAGTATTGGGGGGCAGAAAAGAGGAGAAGCCTCCATTCTGCCGGGCGGCCACTCAGGCGGCTTCGGGGCAAGCAGCTCTGCTCTCGCACCTTGATCTGCAATCAATCCGCTCTCCACCAGGCAGGCCAACATCCTGCTGACTCGCTTGCTCTTCCGCCCGATCTGTCCAAGTCTGCACGATCTGCAAGTTGTCGCGATGGCTGCTGTAAGTTGGAACTGATGGAATGTGCCGTGGTTTCACCGCTAATCCCCGACAGCCAATTTCTACCGTCGCGGAGACCAAGGAGCTCCGGGGCCTGAACCTCATTGCTGCCCACTCACACATTCGGGGACTCGGGGTAGATGCCGACACTTTGCAGCCCAGGGCCTCCTCCCAGGGGCTTGTGGGCCAGGAGAAGGCGCGAAAAGCTGCCGCGGTGATTTTGCAGATGGTCAAGGAGGGCAAGATCGCTGGCCGCGCGTTGTTGATTGCCGGTCCCCCCAGCACAGGTAAAACAGCAATTGCCATGGGCATGGCGCAATCTCTCGGACCCGATGTTCCTTTCACAATGCTCGCATCCTCGGAGATATTCTCAATGGAAATGTCGAAGACGGAGGCACTCACACAAGCCTTCCGGAAATCGATCGGCGTTCGGATCAAGGAAGAGAGTGAGATCATCGAGGGTGAAGTGGTCGAGATCCAGATTGATCGGAGTGTTACTGGTGTAAGTGATCAAGCGGATGCGCTGCTAATGGTGAAACGCTTCTGACCTCACTCTTTCTCTCAGGGAAACAAGCAAGGCAAGCTCACCATCAAGACGACCGATATGGAGACGATCTACGACATGGGAACCAAGATGATCGATTCGATGACGAAAGAACGAGTGATGGCTGGTGACATTATCTCCATTGACAAGTCCTCGGGAAAGATAACCAAGCTGGGACGCTCTTACGCTCGGTCGCGCGACTATGATGCGATGGGAGCGGACACCAAGTTTGTCCAATGCCCTGAGGGTGAACTCCAGATTCGCAAGGAAATCGTACACACTGTGAGCCTTCACGAGATTGATGTCATCAACTCACGGTCACAAGGATTCTTGGCCCTCTTCTCCGGCGATACCGGCGAAATCAGAAGTGAAGTGAGGGATCAGATTAACACCAAGGTTGCAGAGTGGAAGGAAGAAGGAAAGGCCGAAATTATTCCGGGCGTCCTTTTCATTGATGAAGTGCACATGCTTGACATTGAGTGTTACTCTTATATCAATCGCGCTCTAGAGGCGGAGCTTGCACCTATCGTCATCATGGCTAGCAATCGCGGCCACGCCCGGATTCGAGGCACGACATATAGCTCACCGCACGGTCTGCCTTTGGACTTCCTCGACCGGGTGGTGATTGTCAGCACACAGCCCTACTCTGCTGATGAGATCCGGCAGATTCTGGCGATTCGCGCTCAGGAGGAAGAAATTGACCTTTCTCCGGACGCTCTGGCGTTGCTCACGAAGATTGGCCAGGAGTCAAATCTCCGTTATGCCAGCAATATCATCACCACCTCTCATCTCCTCAGTCAGAAGCGTAAGGCGAAGGAGGTCAGCATTGACGACGTCCAGCGCAGCTACCGGTTGTTCTACGACCCTGCACGCAGCGTTAAATTCGTCAACGCCTACGAGCAGCGCTTTATCGGCGATCAAGGCGCCGTCAGCTTTACTGCGGCTGCGAGCGGAGACTTGATGGAGCTGTCATAGTCCAGGCCACTATTGGGCTCTAGAAGGACTTTGGTGCGGGAAGGGAGCATCTGCCATGATCAGACGGTGTCTTCCTGGCAGCAGAGGCAGAAATGGAGTACGAGGCCTACGGGGAACGATCTTCCGTTTCTCTTCACATTATTCGGTTTTTGTTTACCAGATGGATTGCTTGATGTATGATAATGCTGGCGCTTTTTCAAAACTTCATCTGTTGTGGGTGCTACGATATTTGGGTCTCAACTTTAAAGAGCCTAGGCTCGAATGATAATGATGCGGTTAATGTTTCCCAGTGGATGATGGTATTTGTTAGATGCTAGTATACACGTATAGCCGCCTGCTGCACGATCGTCATGTAAATGTTGCTTCGCTCCCCCACTGGCCGGTGTCTGTCGTTCTTCGAAATTCAACCCCTTCGCCGAAGTAGCCCGCATTCTTCCATGACTCCATTGTCGCGCTGTCATATGGCCCATGTATGATGCCTCCGTCACGAGCGTCAGACCAACGAAACTCCCACATTGCAGGGGTTTCTTCACTCGGTCCTGACTCCCCCGAGGGGGGATCAACCCAGTTCTCGCCGGTCTCGTGGCGGTATTGCCTGGTGAGCATCTCCCGCTCGGTGTCGTAGATCTCCGCCTGTCCTCTCGTCAAGAGAATATCGGCCGCGCCTGTGATGGCATCGATGGCTTGCTTTCTAGCTACTTCCTTGGGATCTTCTTCGGTCATTTCCGTGTCCTCGGCCGCAGATTCGGTTTGCTTCTTCCGATTCTTGTTGCGATTTGCCTGCCATTTCGGTTTCCTCGGGGCGCCTTTGCCAATCCGTGCCAGTGCTTCCAGGACCGTCTCGCCTCGTTCCAAGTGAGTGATAATGATCTTCAGGGCGTCCCCAGTTAGTACACTGTCATTTTGCCTGTCCTTTTCTTTTCTTTCCTCCTCCCGCTTTTCAGCGGCCTCTTTGGCGCGACGGATATCCTTCTTCGACACGCCCTCCAACCAGCTGTCATAGACCGCATCCGGGTCTACTGCTTTCCTTACGTAGTTACCCTGGTCATCGAACCTGCCCTCCTCCTGTTCCGTGCGCATGTTAAAGGCGTCTAGTACAGGCGCATGCTTTTTCTTTGCGCCAGCGCCCAGCTCTTCGTCCAGTCCTTCGTCAAGTCTTGCGCGCTCCTCATCTCCCACATCACTTTCACTTTCACTTTCTCCCTCCTCATTGTTGCCTTCGCCGTCTTGCCGGAGATCTGCGCGCACAGTACCGCCACCTTTAGATGAAGCAACTTGTCCCTCGATCTCGTCATCTCGTAGGAATCGCACCGTTTTCTTGTTCTTCCGCAAGGCTTCATCGGCATCAATATCTTCAGCACCGAAATCCTCCTGTAGCTCGGCAAACATATCATCGTCGTCCGCGTCGTGCTTCTCTTTGCTCGCTTTTGACTTGGCCTCGATGCGCGCAGAAAAGCCTTCATTTTCACTGTCCGAATCGTAGCCATCGAGGTTGACGGCTTTGCGGCGGACTTGTTGCCCGCGGCGCCCGATCTCGTCTGCGTCTAGAACTGCATCATCTTCAAGCGCATCGGGGGCGAGCGCAGAGGGATTCCGTAGGTCAAAGCGAGGCTTCTTGGAGGAAGCACCGTTCGGGTCGTCGTCTTCCTGGTGATGGGTGCGGGTGTAATCTTCACCAGCCCGCTTGGGGCGTGGTTGGGAGGCAGACATGGAGCTGGACGGTAAATGCAGGTTAATCAGAAAATCCCCAGCCCCGTTTCAATTACCTGCATCGAAGGTCGCTAGATCTTGGGCGTTGCAGGAGAGAGAGGATCCCGAGCTGTCTGGGGTCGGCTCGGAAAATCCCCGCGGAGGCTCTTGCGTCACTGTTGCTGAGTCGCTACCTGCCGCCGCCGCGATCTGATCGCTCCGACCGTTCCTGACCTTCACCAGCTCAGCTCTCCCTTAAAGCTTGCTTGCCCACTCACCAGCGGAGCGGATTGCCTCCCACCGACTCGGCTTAAGACCCAGACGGCACTGATCGACTACAAAGCTTGTCGGCTCCTTTTTGAGCAGTTCCAGAGGCTACCAGCCCAAGTCAATCATGGTGCGTTCCCCGCTTAGGCTGCGCCGAGTACTTCGATCAAGATACGCTGACCATTGCAGTTCCGATCTGGCTACTGGGATGACGATCCCATGAACGGAGTTATGGGTGGCTCCATGTTTCGCCATGGAGCTACTCGTCGCTTCGATGAATACTACCGCTGCTATCCCGTCGCCATGATGCCCGGCCCCGAGAGAGAAAACGTGAACCACGGCGGCAAAGTCATCATGCCACCCAGCGCTCTGGACAAGCTAACCCGGCTCCATATTACGTATCCGATGTTGTTTGAGCTTCACAACGGAGCACGGGAACGGTTGACGCACGCCGGTGTGTTGGAATTTATCGCGGAAGAGGGGAAGATCTATCTGCCCTTCTGGGTAAGGTTCTCACCACTCAAGATGCCATGCAGTGGTTACTGACAGGTTGCTCTCTCTACAGCTCATGCAAACTCTCCTCCTGGAACCTGGCGATCTCGTACAAGTCAAGTCGACCGACCTCCCGCCCGGCCAATTCATCAAGATCCAAGCCCAATCCACCTCGTTCCTCGACATAAGTGACCCCAAAGCCGTCTTGGAGAATGCTTTCCGGAACTTCTCCTGTCTGACCAAGGGCGATGTCTTTACATTTGCCTACAATGACCAGGTTTACGAGATGGCGGTGCTGGAAACCAAACCATCCAACAACACGAATGCTATTTCGGTGCTTGAGACTGATTTAGAAGTCGACTTTGCACCCCCGGTGGGCTACGAAGAGCCTCAACGGCCCAGTGGCACCAGCACGCCTCGTAGCGGGGTCAGTGGGAAGCTGCCCTCTGGTGGGCTCCTTCATCCCCACGGTACCATGGCGCAGTCTATCAACTATGCCGCCATTGCCCCGGAGTCGACTGACGCTGCAACTGGTGCTCGGGCAGTCTCATCAAACTTCTTAACAGGGGGGCAGCGTCTGAACGCCAAGAAAGGAAGCAAAACACCCACCCCGAAGGCATCTACTCCGACTCTGGGCACCACGAACCCTCAGCACCCCCCTCCCGTGCGTAAGACGAATGGACCGCAGCCTCTGCGACTGCCCGCCAACCAGCTATTCTTTGGATATGCGATCAAGCCAGTGAGGAAGCGCGATGAGAGCGGACAAGTCGTTGAGGGTGATAAGCCTCGCTTTCAAGGGGCCGGTCAGACCTTACGAGGCAAAAAGAAAGACACCAGCGGCTCCGCGACCCCTACCTAAGGCGATGATGGCTAAAGCTGAATGGACGCTGATTCGCAAACCTGTCTGACAGCAGGCCCATGCGTTTTCCTTTGTCTTCTCGGATGGGTAATAGAAAGCACCACGAAACGGCAGGATGGGAATTTAGAGCATAGCGGGGACAGGCGTTAACGAGGCTGTTTCGATCTTCTGGCTTGATCCACATCCAATGCCCACACGACTTGACAAGTCCTTCCGCGTGGGCCATGTCCTCGCCGATCCTTGTGGACGGGGAACGGCCGTAGCACTAGGCGGCACTAGAGTAGCACACCCGGAATGTCGAATCAACGTTGGCCGGACACCACTCCGGGCTCCACGCTGAGGCTGCACTGGCTTTGAGATACACCAGGAACATCTCCGTTGCCCCAAGAATAGTAGTAGGTAGAGGATTCATTCCACTTTAGTGCATTCATGCAATGACCCTGGTTTATCTTGATGACCATGGCTGCCCAGCCAGAACCACATAAATACCACCTCTTCCCCCCCAAAATCTATCCATCCTCACCTCAGCTCAACCCAACCCATAAATAACAACACCACACTTGGTCTAGACCATACCACTCTCACCATGTCATCCCCAACCACCACCAACACCACCACAACCAACAAGACCACCACCCTCCCCAAACCCACCAAACTCTCCCCAACCATCTACACCTACGCCCCCTCACCACCACACCACTCACAAAGGGACCACCACCAACACCAACAACCCCCCAAACCATCCTCCTTGCCTTCTGGATGAACGCGCCCCCCCGCGCCCTCACCAAATACATCCAACACTACCAAACCCTCTATCCCACCGCCCGCATCCTCACCCTCCACAGCACCACCCGGGACTTCCTCCTCCCCCCATCCCCATCCACCCAACAAACCCTCCTTCAACCCGCCGTCGACTACCTCCTCCTCCAGAACCAAACCCGGACCAAGAATCAAGAACAGCAAGGCACCCACATCCACATCCACCTCTTCTCCAACGGCGGCATCTTCACAACCACCACCCTCCTCTCCGCCTACCGCCACACAACCGGCCACGCCCTCCCCATCACCTCCCTGATCATCGACAGCGCTCCCGGAAAACCCACACTAGGGGGTGGCTTTCGTGCGTTTTCGTTCATCTTGCCCGGGAATGTTTTCCTGAGGGTGGTGGGGCAGGTCCTCTTGGGGATGTTGTTGGGGGTGATGTTTGGGGTGTTTTGGGTGTTTGGGGTGGAGGATGCGGTACGGTTGGGGAGGAGGAGAATTAATGATAAAGAATTGGTGGGGAAGGGAATGGGGAGAAGGTGTTATGTGTATTCGGAGGAAGATGGGTTGGTGGAGTGGAGGGATGTGGAGGAGCATGCGGATGAGGCGGAGGAGTTGGGATTGGGGAGTGTGAGGAGGGAGAAGTTTGTGGGGTCGGAGCATGTGGCGCATATGAGGGTGGATGGGGGGAGGTATTGGGGGGTGGTGAGGAGTGTTGTTGAGGGGGTGGATGGAGGAGTAGGAGGTGTTGATGGGGAGGGGGAGAGGTAGATGATTGTGGTAGTATACAGACAGGCTAAAAGGAGGATTTCTAGCAATAGAGTTAAGATATGGAAAGTAGTAATTGGATACTAATAGTTTATAGCAAAAGTCGACCGGATCGCCGAGCGCTATGCATGCAAACCGATATATACATCAAATAATATCCCCTCGAAACGCCCGAACTTTTCTCTCATCCAGCCTGTAAGATTTGGGTTGCCATTTCACATGATCATTTCTTTCGGTCCATACACCATTGGAGACGATCACCGTCCCTTCATTTCAGGGAACTCGTCATCGAGCTTCAGACGCGCCGTCACGTTCATACTCATCAGTTCCTGGATGAGGAGTTTGGCGGCGTACGGGATCGCCATCTTGACGACGCTCCGGGACGACTTGCAGCGTTGACACCAGTTCAGGTAGCCCATGAAACCGCACTGCTCGCAGACGTCGATCTCGTGTCGATCCGAGGAGATCATCAGTCGCTCCAGCAGAAGCTGACTGGTACCGTAGGCGATCAGACAATCACGTTCCATCTCTCCCAGACGGAGACCACCGTCGCGGGAACGACCTTCTGTCGGCTGGCGGGTGAGGATGGCGCGGGGACCGCGGGCACGCGAGTGCATCTTGTCTTGGACCATGTGCTTCAGTTTCTGGTAGTAGATGGGACCGGTGAAGACGTAGAAGGGCAGGGCTTCGCCCGTGATACCCGAGGTGAGATAGTCTTTGCCACCGTAGCTGAAGCCGTTGTTGATAAGGATCTGGGACATCTCCTGGACGGGACTGCCGCCGAAGCAGGTTCCGTAGCCATGGTGTCCGGCCAACACACCGGCTTTACCGGCCACAAGCTCCAGCATTTTCCCGACTGTCATTCGAGAGGGGAAACCGTGAGGGTTCATGATGATGTCTGGGTTGATGCCGAGGTCGGTGAAGGGCATGTCGGCCTGGTCAGCAATGATACCGACGACACCCTTTTGTCCGTGACGGGAGGAGAACTTGTCGCCCACTTCAGGACGGCGGGTCTGGCGAGTGAGGACCTTGACGAGCTGGTTTTCGTTCTCAGTTACAGAGACCATGACCTTGTCGATGTACGCGGGGTCGGGAAGCTTGTAGGTCATGGGCGTGGGCATGTACGAGACGGGCCGACCAGCGTCGGAGCTGGGGAACCCAGAAGCCATTGACTGGTCGGGGGTAGACTTGTTGATGTAGACCTCGCCTGCGTTGACCTGCTCACCAACTGCAGCGAGACCATCGCTCTCCAGGAGAGCATGCTTCCGGATCGGCGCATCGTTCTCATACTGTGGTCCGCTGAGGCGATCCTTGGTGCCGTTGGAGTAACTCTTAAGGTTGGTGACATATTTGCGGAACACCTGGCAGCGTCCGAAACCACGGTCGACCGATCCCTTGTTCAAGACCAGAGCATCCTCGATATCGTATCCGGAGTAACTCATGACGGCAACAATGGCGTTTTGTCCGGCAGGAAGCTGGTCATACTTGACCAGCTCGATCGTGCGGGACTTGACCATAGGCTTCTGAGGGTACACCATGAGATACAGGATCGAATCGATACGCAGGAATTGATTGGATGCGATCGCGCCAATAGCTTGTTTACCCATGGCACATTGATAGGTGTTACGGGGCGACTGGTTGTGGTGGGGGTAAGGAATAAGACCGGCGACGGCACCGAGAACCGTGAACGGCTCGATCTCCAAGTGAGTCGTTGTATCGGTGATGTCTTTCTCATAGATGGCAATCAACGAGTCGTTTTCTTCGTTGACATCAAGGTACTCGACCAATCCCTGGGCAAGGAAGTCGTCGAACTCCATCGATCCATCCCGCAACTTCTCGAGATGCTGAGTATTCACGCAAGATTTACCCTTTTCGACCACGATAAGCGGTCTGCAAATCCGCCCATCGTCAGTCGCGATGTGAACAGCCCGCTGGTGATGGTTGATGTAAATGCTGACGAACTCGGAAATCCGACCCATGCGACGCAGTCGGCGGAACGCGTCCAGGAAGTATTTCGGCCGACGAGTGAGCGCGGTGGGCGTACCGTTGATCGAGATCGTGTAACATCCGGGTCCATAGAGCTCCTTTCCACCGACGGTCTGGATGTCTTCGGCGCCTAGCATGAAGATCAAGTTTCTGATGGGGCCCTCTTCGTCGTTCGTGGTGATATGGGTCATGAGTGCCAAGTTCTTGACGAGACCACAAGCCTCACCTTCTGGAGTATCTGCTGGACACAGCATACCAAACTGTGAAGGCTGCAGCGCACGAGGACCACTGACTTTTCGCGTCTTCTCGAACTGACTGCTAATACGCGTCATCATACCCAGTGCCGCAATATAACTCAGTCGACTAAGCACGTGTGTCACACCAGCACGCTCCATGCGGAAACGCTTCAAACTCCAATTGCCTGTCGAGATAGCACGGTTCATACCCTGGGTGATGTGATTGCTGTGCATGGTGATAACACTGTACGCATCGAAAGCCTCGGCACGGTTGCGCTTGTTCAGAACCTTGTCAATGTTCATCTTAATATCGAAGCAAAACTTCTTGAACAGATCCTCAAATAGCAACGCCAGCATTTGACCAGCCAGTTCCAGACGCTTGTTTCCGAGATAATCACGGTCATCAACCAGGGTGGCATCGTTCTTGGCCATGAGCACACGACGTGCCATGTGTGCAACATAGATAGCCTTGGGCCGGAAGTTCATGTTCTTCACTTCGATGTGGGAGATAATGACAGAAGCGATGGCCTCGACAGCTTCTTGGACATGGGTTCGGCGGTAGGTCGGCGACTGCTTGCGGTTGATCTTAATCCGTGAACCGATCCAATCCAGGGCCTGTTGCTGCGTGTAGATTCCCAAATTGATCGCTTCCTCGAAGTTGATCGCGAAGTCTTCCTGGTAGACCTTGTCGACACCCGCGACCAGTAGCATCATCTCCTTGTCGGTGTGGATACCCATCGCTTTCAGGAGGATGACAATGGGAATATCTTCGCTGAGCACGTTGTGCTTCACGTAGAGCTTGTCTTTCTTGAGGACAATATAACTCTTCGACTTTCGCTCGTTGGAAGAACTGCAACCAAGTATCAGAATGATAGTCTGCAACAACCAAATCCGCATAAGTTCTCACCTCGTGACAGACGCCTGGACGATCTCCTTCTTGGGGTCTGTTTCCACGATAATTCTGTTCTTGCTCAACTGCTCTTGAACAAGAATGACCTTTTCAGTTCCATTCACAATGAAGTAACCACCAGGATCCAAGGGACACTCGTTCAACACGGACATCTCCGCCGGCGTCTTGTTGGCCAACACACATTTGGAACTCCGCAGCATGACCGGCATTCTGCCAATGGCAACACCCTTCCTCATGACCCTTTGACGACCACGAACGTACTCGAAATCGACCTGGATGGGGGCCGCGTACGTTGTATCACGCAGGCGACATTCTTGCGGGGATACGGTCGAATACGTGAAGTCGGCCCGGGCATCCTGCGGCTCATCCGCACGGCGCGGGAAACCAAGGTAAATGTTGGTAAACTTGATGTAGAAGGTGTGGTCGACATCGCTGCGAATCGTGGAGCTGGACTCCACGATCTTCTTTAACTGGACTTCGACGAGGTAGTTGTATGAGTCAATGTGCTGCTTCACCAATCCTTTGACCTTGAGGAACGCCGGCAGGAGGTTCCACTTGTCTTTTGCGGTATTGATCGGATCAGTGAGGGACTTGTTATAGTAGAACGGCTGCAGAAGCGCATCGAATGGATCGCGGTGGCGGTAGGACGAATGCGAATGCTCCTCTGTCGGTTCTTGCTGCTGTTGCTCCGCAGTTGGTGGCGGGGGCGGCTGTTCGGGTTTGGAGGGCTGCGCAGTCTGAGATGGGCGTCTCCGTTTAGAAGAGGGATCGGTGGCTCCAGGCTTCGCAGATGCTGCGGCCTAAGTTATTGAAAGCCGTTAGCATGGCGATCCGCCTGGACAGGACGATGCGGAACACTATGAGACTTGCCTCTGAAGGTTGCGCAGATCGCAGATTGGCCGCAGAGATCGGCGCTCTTCTACGAGGCGGCATCGCGGTTCAGACGAAGATGATGTCCACCAAGAGAAATTAGATACTGCCGTGTGCCGGATGTCAAGGTGTAGGGCAATTTCACGGCATCCTGGGGTGACGGGCACAATTTCTTCTTTATCAGCGAGGGGAAATATCCGGGCTAAATTCCAATTCGGCAGAATTGCGCTTAGGTAATAGAAAGCTATCCTAGAACAGTTAGATTGCTACGCAGCTTACAAATGTTTCTCCTAACCGAATACGGTTGGGATGCCTTATCTTATCAACCATGTGTGCTGCACAGTATTTCTGGCATGTGCATGAAACATCCAATTCTGCTTTTTCTGGCCCTGATCTAATAATCCGAAGTAGCTTTCTCACTGTATCACGAAGCTGACTTTGTGACGGGACGCAAAGCTTTCAGGAAAGTCTTCGACCCTAACGACTTGGATTTGAATGCCTCTTCGATCTCGTCCAGTGACCGTCCCTTCGTCTCGGGCATGAAGAATGTGCAGATACAGACCGTGATCAAAGCACAGCCACCAAAGAGAAAGTATGCGCCGAAGCTGCTTTTTGACAACAGGATCGGTGTTGTCAATGCCACCAGGAAGTTGGTAGCCCAATTGCTACCATGTGCCAGACTGGTTGCCGATGCGCGAGTTCTTTGGGGTTGAATCTCTGCTGCGTAGATCTTTATGCCGACCCCCCAACTGAGGGAATATATGACTGCAAAGATATATATGCAGACAATAACAACCCAACGGCCTGCGCCAGTTGAGCTATGTACGGCATTTCCTGCATAAAGCCCTCCTATCAAGAACATTGTGACGCTGAGCCCGATGCCGCCATAGATGATGCTGTGTCGTCGGCCCCACTTGTCCGCCCAGACGAGCGCGGGGATGGTTACGACGAAGATAACAATCGCAGAGATACCAGAAGCAAAGAAACTGGCGTCTGAAGAAGCCAGTCCTGCTTGCTCAAAGAGCAAAGGGGCATACTATATCAAACATCAGTAAGGAATGGTAAGGAAATATGGCAGCTGACCCTACATATAGCACACCATCAATTCCACTGAGCTGCTGCATCCCCATGAGGAAGACAGCCAAGGCGGTGCGTGTTCGTACATCTTTGGAAAATAGGTCGAACAGCTTGTGCTTCATTGGTCTATCCTGGCGTGGTGAAATTGATGGGGCGCGCTCCCTGCTCGGGATGGTCGCAATAACCTGGGTGTTATTGTCCTGGTCCTGTTCGATTTCAACCTTTTCACGTTCAGCCTGGCTAACTCCGAGGTAATCCCAAGCTGCGGTAGCTTCCGATTTGCGGCCGTGGAGTGTCAGCCATCTTGGCGAGGGGGTCAACCACATGAACGAGGCCACAGAGAAGGTGAATGCAAGACAAGCCAAGATTATAAATGGCGTGCGCCATGAGAAAGAGGAATTTATCCGAGAAGTACCGTAACATGTAAAGAAACCGACCGTCAATCCCAAGGTGATCAGCAACTGGGGACCGGTTGTCAAGGCGCCTCTGACCCTAGGAGGAGAAATCTCGCAAATGTAGCTGCTAATATGTTAGAAATCGAGGGACATAGAGCTGGCTTGTCACATACACCACAAGCGTGCCCAGATATAAGCCTTCGCCTATACCCTCGATGCAACGTCCGACAACGAACATTGCGATATGGACAGCAGCCGCCTCCAGGGCTGCTCCAATCCCAAAGATAAGGACACCGATGCTAATACCCTTGGGTCTACCCAATTTGTCTGCCAAATACCCCGCGAAGAAGGACGAAACTGCAGCCGGGATCAAGATAGATGAAACGATCAACCCGTGGATGGCTGAGGATTCGCTGCCGAACCGTGAAACGAAGCTGTCCATGACCGTTACGGGACCAATAATACCAGTGTCCATCCTATAAACTGCCGTCAATGTTGCACAAGGTGGCTCGGCCACGGCCAGGCTCTCACCCAAAGAGCAGTCCCCCGCAAGAGCATAATATGCTGGCGAGGACGTATCTTGGTGGTTTGTGTAATCGTAGCATTATGTCCAAGCGATCGCTGCTGATAACGACGTCGATTGCCAGATTGGAAAGAATACTATCTATGCCCACCAAAACGCACAGTTAGTGGATGGCTCGAGAGACCGATGGAGGGAAAGAGATGACAGACAGGAAGGCTGAGTGGGGAGAGAGAAAAAGTCTGGTCGAATACGGGCTACAATTGACCGCTTGAGCTCTGACCTGGTCGGCTTCACTGATAGACAAGTGAACCTTTCACAGTCCAGACCCACGGGGCCCCACCATCGACCCCAATCTGACCCATGACGGGATTAAGCGACTCCAGGTTCAACTCGGCATTGTTGCCATGAACACTCTCTCCCGAAGTCTGAAGCCGAGCAGTATAGCTGATAGAACGTTATTTATCTGCCTAAGTCAGTAGAGGGCACACTGCCACATGAAATCTCGAACGATCCGGTGGTAGGGCTTCAGAGACACGATAACCCACCTGGGCCCTCTATACCCCACATAAGTGACTAGCCGGGACTGTGTTCCGCAGCAACAATCTCATTCTAGCTGCGTATTTTGCTTTATTTTCTATGGGCGAATGACATTATGAGCACCTAGACAAAATGCCAGATAAGGTGCAACTGCTGGGATGTCCGCTAACGACCCATCAAGAGAGGTCGGCATATTTATCTGTCTCTAATTGACTAACTTTGTTCAGCTTTTGAGTTGTTCTCGGTATGGAAAGCTCGATGCGTCCATAAAAGATACAGGGACAATGTAGGTGGAGGGAATTTATACTAAGACCTGAGCGATTAGGCGGCCACATTAATGCGTATAGGTTCCAGCAAGAGGTAAAGTCATGGTCAGTTTCGACACTAGATGTCTAAAGGGACTGCAGCATATAATTCTTGTTTTGGGGTTATTCGCTGATAGTATCCTATACACTTGGAGACATTTCCCTGCAATTTTTTACTACCTGCTTGTAACGCATGATTTTATGTCTCAAAGTCTAAGGTGACGATAAGGAAAAACCTACCAAACCAGGCCTCGACTCAAAAGAATTTTCTCGAAAATGGTAACAATCTCAGGCGTACAGAAACCCCGTATCCTCATGGATCACAACAGCTCACATTAGGGGCTCGAGATTTATGACTGCAAGATTCGTATTCTTGAGGCCAAACCCTAGTCACAGCGGCTGTCGTCTGTGGGGTTGAGGAGGGTTGGCTCATGTAATTGCAATTCGGGCTTACAATGTGTTGCTCTTTGAAACAGATCAGGGCTGCATGATATGCCATGTCGAGGCTACGGGGTAATGTGTAACCAGTCAGCAAAAGGGATAGCTTGCTGATTGGCGTAGCTTCGTGCAACAGATGCTTTCCAATGGTACACAGCGCGAAAAGGCTTATGATACTGTCTGTCAACATGACATCTTCGTACTACCGGTTCAACAGCCGTTTAGCACTGGATTGGCTGCCCCAGTATCTAAAACGCCCTACTGTCATTCTACAATGTTAACCATTCGCTGAATTTTGCGGAAACTAAGTCTAGGGAGGGGCTACAGGCACAGCAGCCATGCTAAGCACACACCTTTTTCACTCTCCGTCTACCTCCTTAGGAGGCTGCCAGGCAGGTTATCAGCAGTATATTCCGTACAGAAAGGACCTTTCTAAGATTCTACATAGGCCATGAATCATATACAAAGAGGCCTCACACAATCAGGGTCTTATTTAGAACCTTATATCTTCAATATCTCATCTAGGGCCTCAATACTCATAGAATTCTGTATGTAGCAGCCTGAGGCACGTATACATGGCCTTAGACATAAATACATCGAAAGCGGTGGATTTGTGCTATCTTTGAAAGCAAGCTATTCCTACCATAGTAGGCAGTGGGTGAAAAAGGTGTGTCTGTAGCCCCTCCCTCAGTCTATCGTGCTCATGGACCAATAGAGGCATAACCTGTTCTAGAAACAGACTGGGCTTAGGCAGTAAATGATATATTCTCTCCACTTACATTAATTGATCCAACCATGAGTTATCATCTGTCTGGGACCTTCCAGGCGGTTCTCAGGCTCCTTGCATAGTATGTAGGCTCTCGGCTTGGACACGCGCCTCATCAAGGTATCATAGGTAGAACTAAGATGGTCCCGCTATATGCCTTTTTCGAATATGTAACGTCAAAGGGTATACGTAAAAGGGTATACGTCAAAGGGTATACGTAAAAGGGTATATTCGCGTGGTCTGAGGCCGCCATGCACTTACTTTCTTTTGATTTCGATTTCTGTGGTCCCGTTTATGATACAGCAGCCTGAACTGAGAGTATGATTAGATGAAGCAGGCAATTCTGCCAGATGAACACCCAAGGATTTCGGAATGCGTCCGGTAACTCATTCTCAGGCTTAAGTTCGCAGCTACATACCGCGGCGCGCATATCAGGCTGTAGGCTGGTAGGGAATTGCCACACTAGGCCATACATGAGGATGTAGAGGAAGTTTGAAAGTCGACTATGGAATACGTCCTCGCATTTCCCCAGTGAGGTTATTAATATCGCTTTGTGTGGGTCATTTTAAATCTAGCCGCAACATCAGAACGTGCAAGTAGGCCAGGCAGGCTGGTATTGTCAGAAGGTGGTATGGGATGCTTGGTTAACTGCCCATACCGTCACCTATCATATGACAACCGAGATATCAAGCATCGAATCCCCCTGGCATACGCACATGATAGGTGGTGCAAGTGGTTATACGAGCTCCCGGTTGGCCCTCAGGCGGTTTTCGAAAAGATTGCACGGCGAGCTTGAGATCAAGACAAAAAGCCCGTCTAGAGCTTTAGATCGTTGGGTTGATTAGCATTAATGGTTGTATCCCGGGACATATTGAGCCGCATAATGGATGATTTATGCACCAGCAATGATATAGTAATTGCCAAGTTCGTGGAGCTAATCTGATAATAGTCCATGACGGCAACGCATGTACGGGTAGCCTACCACCATACATGAGTGGTGCCTAACATAAGTAGAAGAGATAATTGCAGGCCGCTTGCGAAGATATGCGTGAATATCAATCCCATACATGATGGTTGATGTCTTCTGATCATCGGTTGATCTTTGCATAAGGCAACAATGCCTGATTAGCCCATCAGGAGTGAAATCGAGAAATATTGTACCAACTACATCCAGTAAGGGTATTGCCTTTACAGATAGTTGATACTGCCAGTGCACGAACAGGCCGGCGGTGTCAACACGTCTGTGCCCTTGTACAACTCACAGTGTCTGCAGGGAAAATGCCGTCCCCAAACTGTCGAAGCACATTAGGGGAATACGTGACGTCCCTGGAGTGGGCTCGACAGAACACCATCGAAGGAACCGCGTAAGATCCGGAGGTCCCGCGAAGGATTGCATTGGTACAGTGCACTAGAATACTAGAATAGGTGCCGTTAGATTCTAGCTTCCTCTGCTGTATGGTGACAGAGCACCAGCTATCGCAGATAGCTGCAGTAGTGGAAGCGCTGGAGGTAGACCTGACTGTCAGTTAGGTGCCAGGAAATGCCGCCCAAAACGACGGGCATACAAGCAGCAGCTAGCATGTACTTCTGCAGCCGAAGATGATGCTATAATCCGAAGAAGATATTGGATATTTCATGATGACCATAAAGACGAAGCTGTCGAACAGTTGACCACCAAACGTTCGGTATCTTCATTGGGAACCACTATCCCCTTTTCCAGAACCAAGCTATGCACGCTTAGCTGCAACGCCGGCTAACCTCCGTAGCTTGCGGGGTTGGGCAACAATCTGTTCAGTCCATAGAGAGATAAGTGTCTTTTACCTATTATTCGAGGCCAGGATCTTTGGCACCAGGTTTCTGGAGTAGGTGTGCGGAGTCCAGTTGCTACTGGCCTTAGGCGCGTTTTGCGCATATCCTGGGCAGTTAGAACCCAGAAGTGCCCATCTTGGGAGATGGGTAGCATCGACGACCGATCAGTTCAGCATGTGGGGAGAAGACTTTGAAAAAACCGTATGTCTGAGGCGGTGGGCTTTCTCTGACCGCAATTTTAGAAGGCGTTGCCACTTGGCAGTCAAACCTCCCCATCGGAGAGATTTCCATTCGACGAATCGTCAGGCACGACGAATAGCGGGCGGCAACATGGACAAAGTCCTGGCGGGGGAGCGGCGAAACGCCTCGAAAGACTGATCGAGTGATCCACTATAAGTGAATCGAACCATCCATGCTATCACGTGCGCCTCCAGATCTTGTCGGGGCTTATCACTGTTGGACCTTGGGAGATCAAGGGCCGGATAACATTGAACCTTAGTGTTGAGTACTAGATACGGAGCAGGGAGGAAATCACACGCAAGGCCATTCTAATAGACGTCGGTCATCGGTGCAGCAGGTAAGTCCAAGGGAAAAGCGCCCGCTTACTGTTTCATAACAGTCGGATCGGAACCTGCAGCGATCGGGCATAGGGGCCATGACTAAGAGCGTTGGTTGGTAGGGATTATTCTGTAGGTACAGTACTTTGTGCAGTGTATTGAGGTGAGGCGATCCAACCCTCGGTGGGGGGTAAAATTACGTTATCTCTCAATCGGTACGGAGTACGGAGAAAACGAATCTGGCCGATGACCTCATAGGTAGAACGTGGGCTTTCATAGTACATAGCAGAAGGTCAAGTCCATTGTATACCACCAGAAAAAAACGGCAATGTCTGTTTGAAATGTCCTGCTTCAACTCTTCCCTAATACTATTTTCGACCTCGTTTACTGTACTCCAAGGATCCCTGCCCCGGTGGCGGCAACTGGCAACCAATCTGAAACAAATCACATTTAACATGACCGCCAGGCCAACTAGCGCGCGGACTTAATTCATCAATTCAAGGCTAAAAGGAACTCTCATCGTTAGCTTCAGCCAGATTACCATCTAGGGGGGGGCCTTGATCTCTCGCTCCAGAACAGACAAATTCGTCAGAAGAGCCGGGTTCGCCATTATTTGCCCCAGAGTGGTTCATTTAGGTATATTTACAGTCCGAGAGTACCTCTACTAATTGGCAGACCCAGGTTCACCTACCGACCTCAGATAGTAAGTGGTCTGTGGTAGCCTTCATTAGCTTCCGAAGTTGTCTCGCAAGATGACTCAGGGTAAGTACCCAACAAGCGACTAGGTCGGTACCTAAACAATTCAGAGAGGATCATCGTAGCCAGTAGGGACTGTAACCACCATCATT